AAGGTTGGCACCGCCATTTCAACAGTATAACTCGGAAAAATATGCCTTTTTACAGTTTGATGTCTTTTGCCTCAACAATGTACGAGGTAAGTATAGGGGTAGAGGCGGACGTTGTGGATATTTTGGAAGAGAATGTTGTGGGGCGTGTCAACGGCAGGTATGCGGAAGCCAACGAGAGGGTGCAACATGTTTGGGAACAGTTTAAGGAAGGAGAGTTATCTGTGGACTCTCTTCTTCGGAGGTGTTCAAGGATCTACGGGCCGCAGTATTGCAAAGAGTAAGTATGTGGCGCAGCAAATTTCCCATAACGTTTAGTATTCAAATAAAATTCAATATTCGTAACGAAAAAGAAAACAAAACCTTCCATCCATTAAATTTCCCCATAACGTTTAGTATTCAAATATCATATTAAATTCATTAATCGTAACAAAAAGTAAACATTCTTCGGCCCAGTTTTTTGCCAGGCGCAGCGACAGTGCCTATCTGTTCCTGGTTTTCTTCTGCAAAAAAAAATTCCAACTCTATGACTGAAACCTTGCCGTGGTGAGTTGGCTTACAACTAATATCAGTCGGCACTAAGTAAATGCTATGCAACTATTGAGTCTGCGTTTTGCAAAGCAATGTCTTCTCCTCGAGCATCTATATCGCAGAGCGATTGCTCGACTAGTGCAGGGATGGCGAACCACTGACCCACGGGTCACGAGGTGACCCACTGCGTTTTATTCGTGACCCGCCAAGGCACGAATAAAATGCTAATATAACAGTGATAAAAAATGATCAAATCTAACAATAACTGAACTATTATAATGTACCGTCAGTGTGGTAGCCAGGGCTGCGATTGCTCATACTCAAATTGTTAATTTTGGGCCGGTATGGTAATTTTCAAAACTTCTAATCTGGATGCCGTGTCTGCACTCTGCATCGCTGTGTAACGATATTCAGCTATTGGCTCTGAGATCGTTTATGACATGACAATGCAATTGATCTGTTTATTTCTCGCAACATCTCGTCTCTTTCGGAGGTCCATTTGCAGACTGTTTTAGGGGTTATACAAGAACCAGATGCTACTTTGCAGTTTATTAGTTTCTCGCCTACAGTTGAGAAAACACAATCTTTCAGACTTGAAATAAAAACCTAGAAATCTGAAATAACAATGGGGCGGTACAAAATGCCCTAATGTGGTTGTAAGCTGAATGAAAAATTCAACACCATCAGAATGGAATTTCCCCCAAACCCTTTGGAACCGTAAAATAATTTGCCGCATCAACCTATACGTTTTCGTTAACTCATATGCGTGTTTCCGTACTCTAATTTTATAAAATCGAGAGCCATAAAAAAGTCCCTGATAGAAGTGCTGCATAAATAAAGCCTAAAACTACACCAAGAGAAGAAAAGACCACACTAAAAATATCAAAAACGCATTTCTATAGACCTAAAGCATCATCGTAGAAAATGCGAAAAGACGGACAACTCACCAGGTCTCCAGGTAGTCGAGTTGTCTCTGGTGAGTTGTCCGTGTAGTCGAGTTGTCCGCCTCCCTAAGAGCCTAACGGGTCTTGTGTAGTTTTGAGAGAGAGAGAGAGATTCATTGATTCGTCAACCAAAACAAATATAAATATGAAAGCATAAATACAAATAAATAAACACTGTTTATGGTAAAGACTGGAGGGAGCGATACGACCATACGGTCATCCAAGTCAGCTCCCCCCATATTCACTGTTATGCATACCGTAAGATTCACAGGTAATGGATGACTATGTGTGTAACAGCTAATTATAGAGTAATATACACTTAAATAATTGTAAAAAGCACAATTAGAAGGGGCCATTGATTTAAGTTAGTTATCACGCTCATATGATCATTGATCCATTCATATTAATTACTAGGGGTCTGGAGAATTACTAATATGGTGAACAAATTGTGGTAGTTATACCCAATGAGCGTATTTGGATAATTATTATGGTAAATGAAAAGGAATATGAGTAAAAAAAATAAAAAATTAAAATATTGGATTTACGAAGATAGGATTAACTTTGGTTTATGAAAAACAATTGAAACACAATGTGAATATGAAGATCAATTTCAATGACTACTGAAAGGGATTTTTCAAAGTACAAGAAGGGGGTTTGTAAATCAAATATCTAAATAACTAATATCATTAATTAACAAAGGATGAAAAATAGAACTCTGAAACCAAATCGGGGTCTGTAGAGATCTAAGTTCTAGTGTCTACAGGGGGTGTACTGAGGAAAGGTTGTACCCATTTAAAACTTTTTCATCAAACAACAAAAATCTCAAAAGGTAATTGAATATATCAAATATAAAAACAACTTCGAGCAATATTGAATTTTCAAATAGTTCAAATCAGGGCTGGGGAGCCGGAGCTGGAGTCTGAGCCATGGAGCCGTTACATTTTGATGGAGCCGGATTCGGAGTTGGAGCCAAGCTTTCCATAACAGATGGAGCCGGAGCTGGAGCTACCAAAAATTTAGTGGCTCCAGGCTCCAGCTCCTAAATATCTCATTTTTTTGTTTTTCAAATTTATAATTTTTTTCTGATAGCGTTACAAATGATAAAATCTTTTCTGTTCAGCTTATAATTCATTTTAAAAATTTTAGTTCCTAATATTTTTTAAAAAGTTTCCAGTTATTCTGTATGTTTGAAAGTTTAGTATCAAAATTTGAAGCGGTTCGCTTTTATCCAAATTTTGATTCTCATTTCCACTAAGCTGCAATTTTTCATGATTGCGGTCAAGCTCAAAAACCTTAATGGCCAGGGATTTTCGAAGAAGTGATTTTGGAATTTCCATGTAACATATTATGATTTTTTCGTGGCGTTGAATATCCAATCCATTTCAAATGTCTTCAATTCTGTTCAACTTATCTCGAGATTGAGTCGTTTTACGACAAAAGAAAGGTTTAACTACTCCAAAATGCACCGCAGCAGTCACCTATCATAAAAATGTATGGCAAAGTGCCCCATTATATCTTGTTTTGATCCATAACATAGCATGTTCTGGAGAAAAGTCTCATCAATTTCCGTTGTTATTTTTTGAATATATAAAAAGTATATCACGAGTAAGATTGATTGCGTTTAGATTTATTTTAGTGACTGTATAATTTTCAAAGTCAACCGGTAAATAATATGTCGTAGGCAAAAAAAATAATGAGATTAACAAGGCATTTTTTTTAGCTGTTGGGAGTCTCCTAGAACAAAGTTTATAGTGTTTTCCGTTTCATTTTAGTATTTTATAATAACTCTCCAATGTGGAAATTCGGCTTGCGAATTGACTTCTCTATTTATCTTCAACATCTCATCGCTGATAATTATGAAAACGCCTCAATTCTAGAACCAACTTTTGGCCTGATTTGGGAGAGGGGGACGGCATCTAATTGGGTGACGATGGTAATTTCCATTATTTTGGGTCTGCTCATTCAATTTGTACCATAAAATACTGCCTCCCTGTCAGGCCAGTTTAAATTATCATGAGTTGAAGGGCTATTGCCGTTACTATCACATGTGCGTTGCATTTCGTGAAAAGCGTCAATTGTTTTCGTCGCCATAAACATTAGGCCATAACATCTTTTATTTCAGTGTCTATTTTTCCCTTAATCACAATTTCTCAAGACATATGTTTTGTGTCACGCACCATATTTGTGAGAAAACGAGTTATTACATAATCATCGGTGATGAAATTCTAAGATAAATAAAGAAGTCAATACGCAAACCAAATTTTCCTGATTAAAAAGCGACATTATAAAATACTAAAAATAAAACAGAAAACACCATAAGTTTTGCTTTAGAATGGCCCACGACAGATTGTATTTGGCCGGCATGATTGCCAGTTATGTTGAACACAATTAAATTAAAATAAAAAGACAATTATTATGGGTTAAATATTATGTGGTAGAAAAAGTCATTATGAGCTATTTTACCGAATGCGCAAACGCTGCGACCATTCCAGAAGCCGATTTTCCTTCCCGTCTTATTGTGGGGTTATATGTAAAACCCTTATATGCTGGGTAGACCGATTCGCATATAAAAATACAGCATATAATAACTCTCGGTGGATTCACAAGTTACATGCAGGAACAAAAAGGAATTAACATGACACCGACTTGAAGGGTGTTTACAGCCTAAATAACATGCCACACTTAGAAAACAATTAGCAAAATGCGTTATTGGGCTGCACTACTGATAATGGCTATGGAGCCGGAGCTGGAGCCAGCTCCGGCATAAAAAAATGAAGCTCCGGAGTTGGAGCTAAAGATTGAATACACTGCGACTGCGGAGCTGGAGCCGGAGCCATCATGATTTCGAACCAGCTCCCCAGCCCTGGTTCAAATACCTATAGCAGTGCTATTGATAGGAAGTGGACCTAATGTATTTGTGGTAATTAGCCAAAATATAGTAAAAATTTTACAATCAGGGATGTAGAGGGATGAATATTTGAACTCAAACTTCACTTACTATATTGTGAATAGAATACTAATTTGAGTTTCAAAATTATCTATTAATTCGAAGGTTACAAAGAATTGCGCTTTACTTAATAGAAAAAAAATGGATAGGATTCAATATAATGCTAATCACAGCCACTTTCTGAAAAACTATTTCGGAGTATGCAAGTTCAAAGTTGGGTCATACACGAAAAGAGGATTATATATATGTAATCGAATATTACAACATTATATAGAATATCCACATAACTGATTTGGTTGATTATATTTTTGCAATATTAGACCAGCGGAATTAATTAGTTGACAACTTTTGAGTTGTTGCATCAATATTCCGCCAAGAATAAACTACATCATATACAACTAATTTCGAAACAAGTTATTCAGTTGACACTTTCCGAGAAACTAATTCAGAGGATACAAGTGCGATCATACATGAAATGAGAGTTATATACAGTATATATATTCAAATTTATTCAATATTTGTATCTCGAGTCAGCAATTACTTCTCGTGGGCGTAGCATAACAATTTTTGCAGTACTTGAGGTATGGTACGAAACTACACTAGAGTCTAGACCCGAGCCTAACTGCTGAACTGCCTATCAAGATCTGTAATTAGAACTTAAAAGCCATCAGTTATTTTTAATGTATTACTAGAAGAACAAAGTAATTGCTTATAATAAAGTAATATGGAGAGCGAGACGTCACCAAGTAAGGTTCATCGTATATCAGAGCCACTGCTTTCTGCACATAAAGTCACTGTCCCTGAATCGGAAACAATGGGAAAGACTGAAATTATTGCTGAATCCGATGACTCAGAACCAGAACAAAATAATACTGAAAGTATGTTTTCAGCATTTTCATTTATTCTCCGAATGTATTCTGGTATTTGAGAATTTTTTTTAACAAGGAGTAATGGCAATATTGCATGCCAAAATAATCAGATGTTAATAAAGATTGCATAAGCTATTATAGTCATGTTACAGTTTTATGAATTGATGATAGTATTACCATCTTGATGGAAAAGTTAATGCATTTGCAATTAAACAGAATATCTGTAGAAATGATCATTTGTTGGTTAACAAGTCCAGTGCTTGAAATTGTGATATCCAGATCGATAATAGGGAAAAAACTTTAATTTTGGATGTTTCGTTTTTTGTTTTTGCAGCTTTGGTTGGTGCAGCATTTCAGAGTCGACTTCCATTTGATAAATTATCAGAACAGGAAGAAAAATATTTTCCGGAAATTAAATCAGGAACGATTGAATCTACTGCAGAATTTTTGTATGTTCGAAACAGAATTGTAAGTCGATGGAAAGCATTACTCTTTACTTTTTTGCATCGTACTTCGCATTTAAATATGTATTTTTCGTTTGATTATGTATGCTCCAGATGAGCAAATTTCCTGCTTACCAATTGTCTGTTAATTTTGTTTAATACTATTCATCAAAATGTTTGTTACAAGCCTTGTTATTGCAACTGTTTTTGAATTTTGTAATAGATTGTTTTATTGATCATCTAATTAGCCATATTAATTTTTAGGTCATTTCTGTTTAGTATTATATATAAATTTAAATCCAATATTATTTATATTTTACAGCTTCTCTTATGGCTTCAATCTCCTCAGACCGAACTATTATTCTCTGACATTTCTAGCAAACTAGAGAAACCATACGATTCAGCGGATCCAAATCTTGTCTTGAAAATTTACTCCTATTTAAAAAGGTGTAGTTATATTAACTTTGGATTATACACGAGGCTCAGCCCGACACCTTGTAAGTATATGTGGTTGTGTACATTATCGGCATTGTCCTTGAGTAAAAATATATGAATAATTTCTTCTGTTCACAGCTAAGTAAGAGATTTCATAACCATTCCTAGTGGTTGAAATGAAATGAACTTTATTTCACTATTAGGCGTATAGGGTTACATTCATATATAACGATTAACGAGTAAAGTGTTTACGCCACCCAGTGTGAAAACGATGATAAATCTGTAACGCTATTAAGCCTTGCCCAATGGCAAAGATGTTGAGCCCATTAGCACTCCCAAGTTAAATTTGTGATAAAGCTTTATTGTTGATTTACCTCCCCAATATTTATGTTTAGTTCTTTATGTTGATTTTTTGCCACCCAGCCTGTTACCTAACGTTATTGGCAATGTAGATTAAGAACTCGAATTTGAACCATCTTACCAATGGTGTGATGAATTGAGTGAACAATGCTTCCGGCTCTTTCGAAAATAATAGCTCTTTACTCTTTTACTTATTAGTAACATAAACAGTGGCATTGGTCAGATTGAAGACTTGAAAATAAGGCTTTATTTTGTGTAATTTTTTTGTTGAATTATTATACAAACTCAAAACTCAGGTATGTTTTTGTTTTGTTCAGCTGAGAAAAAATGCAAAGTTGTCGTGATTGGTGCTGGTGTGGCAGGGCTTGCTGCAGCTAGACAACTTAATTCATTTGGTGTTGAAGTTGTTATTATTGAAGCAAGAGTAAGTCATTTTGCATACATTTTCAAATGCTGTCAAAATGGACCATTCTACTCAATATGATGTAATAAATCAAATTGTTAATAGGTATAGAATAAATATAATAATGTAAATTAAAAATTGCTGAGTTTGAAAATTTACAAGCAAATATTTTATTTTTTCGGGATATGTTATATTTGATTTTACTCAATCTTGATTGTGATAGATCCTTGGCAACTATTCCAGTGACTCAATAATGCAAAGATGATTTTTCTATACAAATGTTTATTTACCGCTATTGATGGCCTATTTATTGATGACAGTATTTGACTTTTGGGTTTTATAGGAAAATCACTAATGCAAATATTTAATAATATCATTACTATTATTCAGGATAGAGTAGGAGGAAGAGTTGCCACATTGAGAAAGGGACCTTACATAGCTGATCTTGGTGCAATGGTTGTTACTGGACTTGGTGGAAATCCTATTACAGTTATCAGCAAACAAATTGAAATGGATCTTCGTAAAATTAAACAGGATTGTCCTTTGTTTGAAACTGGAGGTCAGAGGGTATGTGGTTTAGTTACTTGGAATTTCCATGTAAACACTCTTGATTTTTTTTCTCGATGTAAATGAATTCAATGACATACTTTTGTATACATCTTTATTCCTGAATATGATGAAACACATTCTTTACATTATTCCATAAATGTTTACAATTGTAATATCCATTTTCGGTGCTCCAGAAGTGTGTGTACCAATATTAAGGTAACTAATTTTGTTCGCCTATTTTAAATCAAAGTTGTGTGAAGGGACTGAAACCTATGGGCAGTGGATATATTCACTTGGCTAACACAGACAGTCCCTAAACTCGTAATAGAACTAAATTGAGGAAAATCAGAATAAAATTATGGCCTTACTCTTATACACACGATGAGAGTACCCAATTTTTAAAATATTGAATGTTTATAGTTTTAGTATGATAGTTCTCTAATTCAAGGTACCCAAAGAAAAAGACATCTTAGTTGAAAAGGAATTTAATAAACTTTTGGAAGCCACAGCATATTTGAGTCATCAGTTAAATATCAATGATATGGGGAAAGAACCGCTGTCGCTTGGAAAAGCTTTTGAAATTATTATTCAGTGAGTTAATAAAGGGATATCATGTAAATAAGTGATACCTTGATGCCTATAAAGCTATTAGGTGGTGTATATCGCTGTACCTCGATGTCTATAAAGCTATTAGGTGATGTATATCGCTGTACTCCTCTACACATGTTTTAGCTCTTTGACAACTTGAATTTTCAATGTAATATCATAAAATAAGTAACGTTGTATTTCCACCAGGGCTTTAGAGCCAGTAAATATTTGCAACTGACTGAAACTCGAGACCAAATTTCAGTTCTGTTTATAAGTTGAATTGTATTCCGACTCCAGCTGGGGTAGCCGACCAGACACGCTAGCTGTTACGGCCTAACTTAGCAATTGAAAATTCCATAGCCTACCCCTCTTCGAAAATTCCTGGCCACGCCACTGATTGAAAGCACTTTTCACCCAGATTTCACAGCCTCGATTATCACACTTACTCTATTTTACCCGTCGTCTACTTTTACCACCTTGTCCTTCTCATTATTCTCTGATCTATTCTTGAAGTATACACATAAACTAACAAATACATGAAAATTTTAATAATGCAATTATCAGGCTTCAAGAAAAGAAAGTAAAAGAAGATCAAATAAAACATTGGGAATCAGTAAAACAATGTTGTGAGAAGTTTAATTCTATTGTAAAACAAATGGTTGAATTAGAAGAAAAAATGACTCAATTATCAGCTGATATTAACGAAGCTGTACAAAGTAAGATTTTCCAACTTGATTTTGCTATACATGTTTTCACTACTGAGTACTGATCCTATTTCAAGATGAAGAGTCAGACTAGGTTATAGTATTTTTTTTGGACTACTTATATGGTATTTTGTCTCCATTTCTTCATCATTTTTTCTGTGACAATTGTTAATTAGCTGACTCTAAATTCATCATGTTGTCAGGTAGTGGTGGTGAGATGGCTGCGGAAAGTCGAGACGTAACAATTGAGTTTGAAATTAGAAGTAAAAGAAGAGATTTGAAAACGCATTTGAAGGTTTGTTGAAAAATTGAGTTGCTTGATATCGAATTTCATTTTTCGCGAAGTAAAAAGCATGTTTAATATATGAAGAGAGAACTCATATCATATGTCTCTTGTTACTCTGCTAAGCAGACACTGCTATTAGTAGCTTTATTTCTCTAAGCAGAGAGTGTTCTCATTGGAGCCGGAGTATTTTTTTTAAACTTCACAGCGTTGAAGTTTCGAATTCAAGTATGAATATCAAACTTTTAATTGCGATATTTGAAATCTAAATTATTTGTATTAACTCGAACGAGAAAGCATTTTCAACAGTCTATTGAGGAAGGCCTGTATACTCTAGGATTTTTGATTTCAAGATTTGATTTCTATAGCGATTTGCACTTGAAATTTTCATTAACCGGTAGTTTGATTCTCCACATACATGGAAATTGGAAATATAGACTAGCTATTTATGTAGCCTATGTATCTCTCCAGAGATAGCGAGACATCAAATGAGATATAGCAAATTAGTGCAATCGAAATATAATTTTGTTCTGTGATAAACTCAACCATGATGCTTAATTTGTAATTGTGAAGAGTTATCCATTTCCATTAGACTTCTACTCAAAGTCACTAACAACTATTTTATCGTGAATGAATGTTATTCAATGAACTTTACAGAAATATAATCTACTGAGTGAAGAGAAGGTTTTCTATGAAATACAAATGTCGGAGTTAGAAAGCAATCCACCGACTGACATTTACCTTTCATCGAAAGATCGTCAAGTGTTGGATTGGCATCTCGCTAATCTTGAATTTGCGAACGCCGTTGATTTGGATAATTTAAGCTTGAAACACTGGAACCAGGTATTGGTATGAGAAGGTTATATCATCGTTAAGTCATTATGTTCTGTGGACCTGATCTCACACTTTTTTACTCCATAGTCTATTTAACAATTATACATGAAAGTGCTTAAATTACAGTATTATACATAGCATTGATAATCTTTTTATTGTCTATGAGGTGCTGAAATATCTCTGATAGATTAGATCAGGGGTGTGCAACCTGGGCCCACGGGCCGAATGCAGCCCACAATGAAAAATTTTGCGGCCAGCGAACCAAGTTTTCAATTTAGTTCAATCTGGTATGTGCGGTTAATTCCAAGGCTATACCTCAGTCCATTTTTTAAATCTATGCCCATGGCTTTACAATGTCTTAACAGCTCGCTTAACGGCCCATGGTTTCACCCAGTTATTTGTGTTGACCCCACCCCCCTATATTAAAGGTTGCACATCCCTGGATTAGATCATTCTAATTGAGTGAATATTTTAGTCACATATCTGCTATGTTATGGTATTTATTGAACAGTGAATGGATTGTTTTGCTAATTCGTTGTTGTTTGGTCAAAAATCACTTTGCTCATTAACCATTTGGTCAATTATTTTCGGTGAAGTATTCTTAGGTTTTTCTGTGGCCCATTGCTTTTCCTCAAATTCTGTTGGTTTCGAATGAACTTGCGTTTTCAGTTTCGGCATTTAAGAGATGAATAAATAAACAACGTATGATCATAGCAACTTTGTGTACTAGTTCAGCATCACACCCTTGTTCTGATTCAATGATTGCTTCGTTATTCGGAAATTCTCTTTTTTCAGTGTCTTCAATATTGTACTTCTTGTTTTTAGGATGATGCTTTTGAATTCAGTGGAAGTCACTTAGTTGTCAGAAATGGATATTCTGTTTTACCAGAAGCTCTTGCAGAAGAATTGAACATTCATTTGAACACTGCTGTTAGAGCCATCAAATACACTAATAAAAGTAAGTAATAGCCTTCTAGCGACAACAACAAATTATGACCACTAAAGCAATTGGACTAGTAGTTGATAAGAAAAGCTATTTTTCATAACAAGAAGAAAATTACTATTAACAAGAACAACATAAAAACAAATTGGTCCACTCCAGGTCCCAAAACTTACAGAAAGTGCCACACAGGCAATCTCAGCTTGTGACATAGTTACAGATAATATATACTACCACTAGTCAACAATAACCATGGTCATGATTCCTTATTTAGGTTGCGAAGTATTAACACAGTCAACAAAGTTAGAATCAGAGAAAATTGCTTTTGAATGTGATGCAGTTTTATGCACTCTGCCTCTCGGTGTGTTAAAACAAGGGGAAGCAACACCTATTATTGAATTTTCACCGCAATTACCTGACTGGAAACAAGATGCAATCAATAGAATGGGGTTTGGAAATTTAAATAAAGTATGTGTTCAATTAAAATTTTCTTTATTTTAGTTATCTTGAGTATACTATAATGTAAAAGAATTTATAATAGGTATAATTTGATATGAATATTTGATTTTTGAATTTTCAACCTATCTACTCAATATTTATACCAGGTAGTGATGTTTTTTGATCAACCGTTTTGGCATGTTGATGTTGGTTACACAAATCCAGATCCAGAGGATCCTAATCCACCAGAAATTCATGTTAAAAAGAAAAATTTATTTGGACATGTTGCTGCTACTACTGCCTCTCGTGGTGAATTATTCTTGTTTTGGAGTTTGTATAAAGCTCCTGTGTTACTCGCACTCATTGCCGGAAAAGCGTCAAACGTAGCAGAGAAGATTGGTGATGATCTTATTTTAGCAAGAGCTCTTGCGGTGTTAAAGGGAATTTATGGAACAGAGAATGTTCCTGAGGTAAGGTTTTTGGAACCAAAATTGATCAATGCATTGTTAGGCTGAATTGTTGTCATAGTGATGTTTTTGTTGTTGGGAAAAATTATTTTTCTCTTGCAAATACACAACCAGTCGCTTCAAATTTTCATTTGTTAGAGATGAAAGTGTCTTCTGTCCATTTTTATTGGTTTTGAGAAATTTCATACTGCCACATACATATCCCCTTATTGACAGGCACAAGCGATGTTTTTCATTCAATTGAAGTTACACCCTATTTTGGATGTCTATTCAAATTGAGATCAAAATTAAATTGAATAAAGTTTTTAACATTCAGGTATTTAAATATCAAATATAGAAAAAATATTGTATGACTTAGAAATTCATTTCTTTTCAGCCCAAACATTCTCATATAACAAGATGGGGATCAGATCCGTGGGCAAAAGGAAGTTATTCTTATGTGAGTACAACATCTTCAGGTGATGATTATGATGTGATGGCAAAGCCTGTATTTCCAACAGATGGTGATGAAAACTCTGATTCCAAAGATGCAAAGAAATTGCCCAGGTTATTTTTTGCAGGTAGGTCAGATTTGTAATAATGAATGAAAGATGTTTATATATGGGAAAGAGCATTTTAGAAATTTCAATCGTAAACTCCATAACAAATTAATTGAAAAAATAAATTTATTTTTTACATACTGTTATCATTAATTTGTCTAAGCTTTAATAGAAGAGGAATTTATTTAATCCATACAAAAAATAATTCTTATTTCTAAATCTATGCTTTATATATTATGTTATAATTTTCTCATATAATTACACATATTTAGTCCTTCTAATTTGATGGTAAATTTACAATTTTATGCTGTTATACCAAACGAAATCATTTTCAAAAACATTAAAATCTGAACATTTTCATGAAAGAAAGTATTTCTCATATTTATTATCTGGAGTCTATTGTCTTATATCCAGGAGAACATACAATGAGAAATTACCCGGCAACTGTTCACGGAGCATTATTGAGTGGATTCAGAGAAGCAGGAAATATTGCTGATCAGTTTCTGGGTGATTTGATTGATCTTACATCTGAACCAGATCAAAATGAGGAAGCAATGGCTTCAAGTGTTGAAGAATCGATTGAAACAACTTCCTGATGCATTTTTCAAGATATCTGGTTGAATAATAGTATTTGGTCAGAAGTATTGACTCTTGAGTTGTTCATGAAACTGATGATTCTTCAAATTCATTTGTGATGATGTTGACGGATCAGGACATTTCTCATGCAAAGATTGAATTTTTTTTTAATTGGTGCCTTCCAGTCGTACCTGCACTGCCATGTTCACAAGTTTTTTTTACCTGAATAAAATCGTTTCCACCATATACTTATGCCCAGTTTATAGCAGCTAGACCTCTTGTTTCTGGGGAGGTTTAAGATAATATGTTTGTGTTATAAATTTTTCCGCACTTTTATATAGAAATTTGCCCATAGCAGTCAGGTCTCCCAAAGATAGCAAGTAAAGACTGCCTTTAAGTGAAAGGGATATAGCGACTAAATGGAGCCTTGAATGACCCAAAGTCTTCGGGGAAAAGTATTTTTGCAAGCTTGTTTGAAATAGATCATAATTTTCTCGATCAAAGAGTACATCTCTTTGAGAAGTTGTTTCTCTGGGAATTAGCATGGTTCAAACGTTTTTTGTTGTTCAATTTTTACTTCAGGCTTGAATACATTCAGCGAAACATCCGTGTATATGCCGAAATTTTAAACTTCAGAACACCATATGAAAAAGAGTACTTGGGATATTGTTATCTAACATCTTAATATATCATTCAAAGTGTGAGTAAACCCAAACGTAAAAACAAGCCTTTGATAAAATGGCAGAGAATATTGTTGAGCCAATAACATGGAGCTCGATTGCATAGACTGATACAAAAGTTCTTAGCATTCCAAAAATGAATCCTGGTCAAGCATAATTAAATAGGGAAATGAATAAAAAAATATACTCTTTATTCAAATGTAATCTATATAGATGTTAAAATCTCCGAGCGCAAATGTCTACCAATGCAAAATAGTAATGATTGTGATAGTGGTGACTGGTGATGCAATGATTGATATAAATTACTTCCAGCTTGCAGAATCATTTATATAAACGAAGATTTTACCTTTGAATTTATTCGTTCGCTTTTTTCCAACCACACATTGTTGATATAATTAAATATTTTTAAAGTCCAGAGACCAATGCTTGAATATATATACACGACGGCCTGAATGTCAAACAGTGCTCCCATAAATTAAAAGAGAACAGATAAAGGTGAGTGAAATAAAATTAGTAGACACCTGGCGACTCTTCGATCGATTGTTCCATTCAGTGATTTCCCTACACCCCCCCCCCCCTATAGGGGGTGAACACCCCCCCTAAAATTTCAAACACTCCCCCTAATTTTGAGGTGCGATTCCACATTTTATTTCCTAACTCAAGTATAATTGTATTCAAATGTAACGACTATGGCATATTTATCAGTGTAGATGAGGGGTTCTAAACCGCAGTCTGCGGGCCAATTACGGCCGGCGTGACGATTTAAAATGGCCCGCCGAACTTGAGTGAAATAGTTTAACGAGCTAACCCTTCATGTAGTACCTTTTGAGTTTTAGATACCGTCTATTGTTACATCATTATCACAGTTTAAGCACGTTCATTTCGCAACAATTGAATTATACCGGTAACTTATGTATACGTATGGGTATTAGAATTACACACTTCAGTATTTTAGATATTTGCCGTTTATTAAGAAAGCTTAAAGATGTCACAAAACGAAAACTAGGCACTGAAAACAGACGATTTTTAGATGAATGACAGCGTTTTTATTTCATTATTGAAAAGAATCAAACTTCAGCGAATTGTCTTCTCACCAACAAAATATTTCAGTTCTGAAGGAATACAACATTATGCGCCATTAGGATCAGTTGACGCGCGTATTTCAAAATTTAATTCATACAAAAGTCAAACACACATGTTCAAAAAAATGTGAAATGTGTAACAAAACAAGCCATAATTAGCCATTCATACAATGCCAGATGAGCAAGTAACTTCATTAGTCACTATCAGTTGCAAATTACTTGTTGAAACGTAGTAGTATATATATATTTACGGTTGAAAGTCGTGCTTGTTATCTATTTCCCGGGAATTCTATCAGCTAAATAATATAATTATTGATTTTATTACATAACAAACCGCGATGCTAGGTGTATCTAAAATCAAGCTTAGAGCCTATTTTGGTGCCTATTTCTCAAAATTTTCTCAGGGCGCTTAAGCGCGCCTTGAACCCCAGCCGTGTCGTCCCGCACTTTTCCTCGCTCCCCTTTTCTGGCCCTACAATTTTATTCTGCCGTGGATTTTGGCTCGCCGTCAATCAACTTGGGGAGCCCCTCATGTACATCGTTTCTTAAATACATACCTTTTTTTTAAGAATACAAATAACCTAGTCTCTAATAGTAAATTATTTACCAACCCCCCCCCCCCCCCCCTAAATTTCGAAACACCCCCCCTCAAATAAAAAGCTGGGGAACATACTGGTTCCATTAGTTATGGATGACGATTTTTTTCCAACAACAACAACCTCGACTACAAAAATTGATCAAACCGGTTCACTTGCTCATTTCTTGGTCCAGAAGCCGAATTGCACTGGGGAGGCCATGGTTTGTCACGCCATAAGTATAAGTTATTTTCGACGCCATAATCAGATAACAGGCGATAACATATGAGGAAAGAAAAAGCAAAACTGATTATATATATTATATGACCACAACGCCTTCATCGTCTTTTTGTTCGATCCAATCTTCTCGTCTGATGAAAAAATAAGATAAAAACTGTGGAATTTGATTTCACGAAAAGTAATAACTTAGTTGTTAGATTTCATTCAAATTATCAATGATACACCTATGGGTAGGCTTACCATACGTCCCGCTTTAGGGTGGACAGTCCCGCTTTTCAGCGTCTTGTCCCGACGTCCCGACAAGTCAGTCAAAAGTCCGGCTTTTGCGTTCAGCCATCCAGCAAAATACACCAACATGTTCTTGTTAATGTTGTTGCTGTGTAGCGCAACGCTAGCCTACTTACTGAAGGTGAATGCGTTATATTGTTTGTTTCGTTGTTTCCCGCTAACATTGTTAGCGAACGTATCACATGTAAAATCAATTCTAATTGGTCCTGTTCGAACATTCACGTGAATGTAACATTGAGCAACGTCTTTTTGAAGGCGTTATCTACAGAAAAGCATGCTTAGGGAATAAGTAAAATTATCAATGCTTGAAAACGTCTATTTCATTATTCGTTATTCCCTATGCTGTACATAAAAAATCTAAATTCGGATCATTTGTATCGTTAGCGTCTATTCCTTTCTATTTTTCGAACTGAAACATATATTTAGACAGAGAATATGCGCATGAACTCTCGATGAAAATATGGTCAATGAAGACAGCCGGGATGGCTTCAAATGTAGGCCTATGTAGTAAAATCGGAAACTGTAAGTTACAGGATCCCAGCTAAGGGGTCGTGTCTTTGGAGGCGTCCCGCTTTGAAGTCCAAAAAATATGGTAACCTTACCTATGGGAGATATACCGATGTTGTCATACGCATGTATTAGTGCAAACTCTGCTTGGATTTTTATGTTTTCTAAAAAAATTTAGTTCCTATAAGTCTGGTAAAATGGAATCTTGCGACATTTTTATAACGCTAATAGATTCACGTAACCCCATCTGCGTTCAGAGAGAATTCTGTGGCGCTTACTTTGGACAATGACATTAAACAACATGATGCGCAACTCCGGCATTTTTGTCCGAAGATCGTATTCGATAGCACGCTCCAATGCACATACTTGACGAGACGAAAACGAGCGGATGTGTGCTGCTTTCAAGGCGTAGCACGAATGGTGTTCGTGCCTGCTTTGACAGTTCTTGTCGATTTTAATGATATTTTTGAAAGTTGGGGTAAAAAGAAATCGGCAAAAGGTAAGGTGAATACTATTGTTGTATATCACACCCGGGCATCGCACTGTTAAGTACATGTGGGAAAGCCAGCCTTTGTCAAATACTACGAAGTTATTAATTCAGTACGGTACGTAGTTGCCCATTTGCCGAAATTACATATTTACTTACCCCTTATGGTTTCAAATAGTTCATGCACCTCCAGTTAGATTTTTTTAATCAGTGAGGATATATACTCATTGTTGATTGCTGCTCATTGTAACATACTATTACGCATTCACTTTTATTTGCGTATTGAATCAAAGTGTTAACAAGTTCACCTAACATTTCACTCATACCGGTCTATATTGTATAGTCTGATTTCTCAAGTATTTGGAGCCACGAATGCTTGTAATTTTCTGACTAAACCCTTTTATTAGTTGGTTTATATACCAAATTCAGTAAAATATTTTTAAATAAAACATGAGATATTGGATTTATTAGCTTTTCCATTCTGAATCATATAGACTGCTTTATTTATTCTTAACGAAAATTAATAAATCTCCTTTCTCTCTTCAGATGTGAAAGTTGTGGACAAACCTGTCTAAGCATTGTGAGACTCTTGCAGCACAAGAGGCAATAGCAGAAATAGTAAGTATATCAATCAAGAAATTAAGCCGACAGAAAGCAAAAGTTTCAACTATTCGTCTAATCTCAATTTCCTATTATTTATTCACAGGACAACTATAGCAGACGGGGAGATATCAGAAGTTTGGCGACATATCAGTGACAGTGTGATTCCAAGAAATATAATGCAATTGAAAATAGAAAATTGCAATAGAAAAACAACCTATGGAGGCATGCAAAGACATTTGACCCTCCGGTAGAGTTGTGTATGGCCCCCACATCCTGCAGGGCTTGAGGAAAATAACTAAAAATTCCAAAGCGTAAGATTGCATAAGCGGTCTTATTTGTAAAAAGGCACAAAACACGCCAGACATACTTAAAACAGCTTTGGAAATGAGGATTACGGGTACCTCACTGCACCTGTGTTATATTTGGTTCATCAACTTTTGGTAGTACTATAGAAGAAATTCCGGAAGGGGTATAATCATCATTCATGATAAAATACTATCATATATTTTTTGAACAACTTCAATCTAGACCAGGGATCTCAAACTCGCGGCCCCAGAGAACTTCCAGTGCGGCCCTCGAACGCTTAACAATAATTGTAATAGTATTTTGGAAGTTTTTTTTTTATCTAAATGTAATAGATTTTTCAAACCTTCTAAAGTGAAATTGATTATTCACACAGAAAACAATTTACTGAAAGTAGTTTTGGAATATTAATTTTTTTTGTCCACATTTTGACCCAATTAAGAATACACATCAAGCTAGCAAAAGAATACTTGAATAAAACACTTGAGTAATTAAATTAAACGCAAAGTACATGAAGAAGGTGGCATTTTCGAAGAAAATGGGAGTTGTAACATTTCTGCTCTTCACAAAATTCTGAAGCACATTGTTTAATTTGTCATATTTCCATCAATACAATCAAAAAACACAATAAGCTCAGCAGTCAATATGACAAATTCGAAGACCAACTTCGAACAGAAAATTTCCATGTGTTTGTATATTAATATAATTATACAACGACTTAGTTACTAAAAATCAATATCAATAATAATTCAAGCAATCCTATGCCACGCAATGTAGTGCGAAATGTCTTGTCGAAAAAATCTGTCATTTGTTTTTTTACTGATCTATACATGAAATGATAAAAGTAACTTTTCTGCATTACTGGAATTAATTAAACATTCGTAAAGATCCAGATAAACCCATGATCATGTGGCCTCGTTAGTTAGAGTTGGTACTATAAAATCATTTCAGACTGGCCTTAGTATGCTGGTGACACAAAAAAGATGCCAAACGCCAGGACAAATGTAATTATTAAAACATTGAGTTTATACTGTAGTATTTTTGTTAATTTTAGGTTCATATATTTAGATTAAGTTATTTTTAGTGTATGTATTATTCTTTCCTTATTCAAAGCTTGTTCAAAAATGATTTTGATGGTTGTACATAGAATTTTACGATTTTTATAATAAATACTGTAACTTGCAAATGTTGCAATAATAGTGGAATGCAAATATTAATATGTAATTGCATTTGAAATTGAAGAAAATAATAAAACTTAATCCAACTGTTTAGTTGCATCACAATATATGTCACAAACTAAAACTATCTTAAAAATATCTTTTAAGTATACATTATCAAAAACTGTTTGCGGCTCTTTTTACAATTTTCAAAATGCAATGCGGCTCTCGAAAACCCATGAGTTTGACACCACTGATCTATTCTAGACGATTCAAGCATTGCTTTGGGAAATTATATCACTTCAATTAAATTGAAATAATCTCGCTATATTAAATACAAAATCGTTGCTATCATAAAGGTAAACCAATTCAGCCACTCGAAATATATTGGCCTTCACAAAGCAATGGAGGCAAACTTGAGAGTTCATGAGCTATGAACATTTGTTCTTTTCTTTGTCTTGAACTTTCCATACTCCACAGCCCCTATTAATTTTTTTTAATTTTAATTACCATGTGATGGTCATACATATCTTTAACTTGTATTTTCTGTCATGATGTATTATCTCAATGTGCCAAACTATTAATTAGTGTGCATATTTTGCTTCCAGATGACATAAATGTATTGTCATGTTTATTACCTCAGCTTGGAGTATTGACAAGAAAAAGGTGCCAGTAAATTAGGTAAAAAAATTTTCAACTCATTGTTATAATCAGAATTCACAATCAATAGGAATTATAAACAGCCAACAATCAGTGAGAATTATATGCGAAATCCCTCAGAATAAATTTGTCTAAAATCGGAGGAAGGCAAAAAATATAGGTAGTTTCCATCCACACAAGCATTTCAAGAAGACTTGCTCGAGCCGAACTAAATGAGCATCGTCAGGTGATCGGTAAGGCTGCAAGTTGAATTCAGCCCTGCAACCTCCTGCATAGAAGATAATATTAATTAGTGGGCTATGAGCTAAATTCCTAAATTTAAACAAACCTATCTACGATGCATTATGTACCAGCAATGTTACCTACGATTAACTGAATATGTAATATGTCTAATAAATTCACCTACAAAAGCAAGTTCGATAGGTGCAAACTTTGTGTTATGGAATTGTATCGCAGCACAGTTTTGTATGACACCCTCTTTAAATGAAATTTCAATGATTAAGCGCAAACATTGAAATTACTAACTTTGAACTTTGTCATTATCTGCAAAATGTTCCACACAAATCTTTCCGCTATCGCGTTTGTAATCTTCTCTGATAAAAAAAAAACGTCTATTATGTCCAGAATTGCTCTTTACAGCTTGCCTGTTATTCCAGCTTTCCAAGTAAGCAAAACTTCTTAGATATAGAGATTATTTTGTTTCGTTACAGGCGCAAAAAGGCAGGTACTACACGTAAAAAAGACGCCGAGTAGCAAAAGCGAGCGGAAAACGGACGCGAAAGGCGACGAGAAATATGTGCATTGGAGCGTATCATGAAATACAATGTTTTGCCTGTAGTCTTATGGAGTGACGTCAGAGTTGCCTATCATGTTGTTTAATGTCATTGCTTTGGAGGGGTATCTTGTGCCTTGATTAGACTTGTCTAATAATCTTCGATTTGACTGCAAATAGGCAACTGATATATGATCCATTTTAAAAAAATAATAATAATAATTAAAGATATTTGATAATCGAGAGTGTGCTTTGCAACGGTGAAATGTAAAGGGTTATAACCACCGTACTTTACCAAATTGTACTCACTTATGTAATTATTATCTGTCAGTGTAAGTTTTATATTAATCACCTGTTTAAAATTTTATCTTGTTATATACATGCAATTTTTTGTCCCAAAAACAAAATTTTGACTTTGAAAATGAAACTTTAAATGACGTAATAACAACCGACGTTTGACGTCATGCACGTCAAAGAAACTCCGTTGATGATAACAACAAGCTCACTTGGAGACTACCGTCCTTACAATGGAGGTGATGGCGCAAGTCGCCTGGACAAAGCGTTATTTATGATGAATAATTGCGTCCAGCTGTTGGAGTAAGTAGTTTGAAATTGGTTTTATTTAATTCTTCTTTTTGTGTAGAATATTTGTATTTAGTTTCAGGCCTGCTGTAGTGTTTTAAGCTTTTGGAAAAGAGCAGTAAAGTTGGCCATTTTTTAAGTTTTATACCTGAAAGGTTAAATAAGGTTAGAACGAAAAAGCAAACACAAATGCAATTTGAAAAAAAAAACGTTGAAGTTTTTCAAGACGGCGGCGGTTATCGGAGGTTCGTTATCGGCGGCGGAAATGCCGTTTTGGGCAATCGTAGCTATACTTGGACAAGCTTTGTGACGTCGTAGAGACGTAATTTTTGGATGACAATGTCAGGTGGGGGTTAGGAATAACATATGCAAAATTTGTTATGCTACGCCCACTGGAAGTGCATGTGGTACTAAACTATACCAGACCCCTATGCTTTACTGCTTTTCCTTATCATTTGCATTTGTAAGGACAACTGCTAATTCTTTAATTGCTAATAAAAGTAAAAATGTTTCGTTTTATTTTCAGAAAAGCTGAGAATTTGAAGAAAGAGTTGACACATACAAGAAGAAATGGGTTGAATGGTGACGGGGAATCAACTTCTAACCGAGCTGCATTACAGGATTTATACCGACAACTACTTATAACTAATTTGGAATATGCTCTGGATAAAAAGATTGAACAGGAATTGTAAGCCTAAATTTTTTTAATGTTTCATACTGTAGTTTATAACTTATAATAATGAAGGGTTTTACACGGCTTGATTCAATATTTACATGAGTACTTCAGTACGGCACAGTTCTCCGATGCCAAGAAAATCCTCCACGTTGAAAGATATCAATTATAACAGTGATTGCAAACCCCTCCCTTACGAGACAATCTGGGCCTCTATACCAGCAAAAATCTGCATAACAAACTAAAAGGAGGCAATTTAAAAACGTCACCATTGGATTTCCTGAAAAAAAAATTCGAAAAAAGATCTCACCGCATCATTTAAAAGTTTTAGGCAAAAAACACAATTTTGACACATTGCGGCCAACGCACATTGCGATTAATTCAGTTTATCATTGAGACAAGCAAAACGCGATCTGACGCATCTGCAGTCATGCCAGATGCCCTCGTTTCAGAGACAAGTTAAGTGCTTGTTTTATCGAACCAAATGTCGGGACATCTTGGAATCGGATAACTGTGTCCTGCTGTACTTATCTCCTTGCCCAACCTTATCAGACATTTGGCGATGGCTTTGATGAAAATGGAATCATAATTATGCATATCAGAATGTATACCTATTTGAGGAAGTGATTTCAGTTGGTTTTCTGAGAATGTTTAGTGCCGATTAACTTCTCTCTCCATGAATCCTAAATGCTCTTGCTAACTTATTTTTGATATCTGCCATGCTCGAAATCTGTAGGAAACCTTTCAAACAAATTTTGATGCTACTTCTCACCAGCCCTTTAACTGGTGACTTATGTGAATTTGAAATGTTATCTTTACCTTGGCATATTCTGTTCAATTTAAATTTGGTGTGATAGACTTGGATTTGATGCTGTGTCAATGCAATAGTCACAAGACCAATAAGTCTATATTTATTCTCAACGAGAGTCAAGTATTCTTACTAGAAAGTTATTCAATCATGCTAATACTGATACAATTTTCTGTTCAGATGGAACATTGTGTTCAAAAATCACATCACAGCACTTCAGCAACAGACAAAAGACAAAGCAGTATGTAAATTTGCAAATGATTTCTATTGTTTCTTTTAATTTCTGGCATTGCTTCAGTCAATTTATAAATTACTTTTTTCAGAATCCTAAAAGAACAGAAATTCAGAACCAGTTAACAGTTTTTCTTGATGCATCTAGTGGTTTTTATGCCTTATTACTTCAAGATCTTTGTCATGTTTTCAAAATCAATTTACCATGTAGGGTTCGAGCATCAAAATTGTCACTTTTGAGAGGTAAGTTCTGTTTCGTTATTTACTGTTGTCTTGTTTATTTTCTTGATATCATTCACTTATTTCATATCACAAATGTAATAGTTGAGAGGTTTATTGTTCCCCCAAGATCTGACAGCGAAATGGTAAATGTTGTGGAATGAACTTGTTATATCTGAGAAAACAATTATCCTGCCATAGAACGTGTGACTCTTAAAACAAAAATTTATGAAAACAATGTCAGTAAATACTTAGTGTTTTCTTCCCTGTCCTTGTAAACCTATTTTATTTGATAGTTCTACAAATATGCTATATTGAAATAGTGTTATCACTTGACAGATTCAGACAATATAAAGCGCAGTTCAATTACTCAACCAGAGAGACCTTCATGTCAATACATGTGCCAACATTGTCTGGTTCATTTGGGAGATATCGCACGATACAGGAACCAAAATGGACAGGTATTTTTATTAGTTGTTTCAATGTTGGTTTATTTGAATTGTGGTCGTTATATATACGCAGTAATTAATTGGTATCGAAATACGTCCATTTAAGTTAATATGAATAACTTTTATACTTTTATGATTTTTATTCAATATGTTAGTTGATGATCAGGCTTTTTTTTTATTTATTCACAACTCTTTTTAATAACATATCACCATTCTGACTGTTTTCATCAGGCTAACTAATTTCATAATCCACTGAATAATGCCACAATATCTTGACGTTCATTACTTGGTCTGTACATACCCATTTTGTTGATCAATTTACTTTCATTTGACAGAAAACTTATTGAGTGTTATTGATCCATGTAATTCGTAGTAATAAACTTTTAGTTGATTGTTTGTTATTGCTGAACACTTACCTGGGTAGAGCTCCCATGACTATTGATTATTTAACATATCTTATGGATGGCAAGAGATTGGAACTCAAGATTTTTTTTCGCTTATATGGGATCAATCATTAGTCATTCAATTTACATTTTAATTTGGCGCTCCAGTAGTGTGTGTACCAATATGGAGGTGACTAATTTTGTTCGCCTACTTTACATCTAGTTGTGTAAAGGGACTAAAACCTATGGGTATTCACTTGGCTAACACAGACAGAACTCATGATAGAACTAAAATGAGGAAAATCGGAATAAAATTATGCCCTAACCCCAACCTTGTACACATACTTCGAGAGTACCGATCCATCTTGGCACCCATACTCGTGTATAATGAATAGTTGTCACCCATTATTTGGTCTTGCATCATTTAATCGAATGCCAAATACAGATACCACATTTTTTCATTTCTGTTTTAGGCAGAGTCATATTATCGACATGCAGCCCAATTGGTTCCTAGCAATGGGCAACCATACAATCAACTTGCCATACTTGCGGCAGCTGGAGGTGATATATTGAGCACTGCTTTTTATTATTGTCGAAGTCTTGCTGTGAAATGCCCTTTTCCTGGATCCGAAACTAACTTGAAACGTCAGCTTAGCAAAATTATTGATGGGTAAGTGATTTTATTTCGAGTGTAAATCATGTATGTCAGTATCGTAATATATTATAAACAAGTTTGAGTTGTGATAGTCCATTCTGTGTATCATATACCGACCCAATACTAAATACCCTATATTTAATCTGACTCTTACAGTTAGAAGATACTAGTATGCACTAAACCACTCCCTCCTTATTTTCATCCTGTTTGAATCAGTGTGCAGCAGCTGCTGTAACAATGCTCGTACACGTACAACACTTAATCCCTTTCTATGAAATTGTAAATGTAGTATCTAACACTCTTTCTTGAATCAACCTCAAAGTGACCCCTATGCTGTACCTGTACTTATCAGTTACCCATTAGAAATAGGAACTGTTCGCTAATCGCTACAGTGAAACCAAAGTAGCTCATGTCACAATTTTCAGATATTGCCTTTTTTGATCTTCTGATCAGGGGCCAGGGGCAATCTTTTGGTCTGGGTTTCAAAGATGCACTAGTTTTGGTTTTAGGGAGTTCCTTATGTCTAATTTTAGGACTGTATGGATCTGAAAATTTTAAAAAATGTGATTTTCTCAAAACCATTAAATATGACATAAGCTAATTTGGTTCCATTCCTGCGAGTCTTGACATTTTGTATTGTTAATAAGCTCATTAGTAGTTTTAATAAAATATGGATTCGACTAATATTGCTTATTTTATTCATTTACAGTGAAGAACCTCGACATCAAAAAATTTCCACCAGTGAATTAGTCAAGTTTTACCTCAAATTTCATGCTTGTATATACTTAAGAAAATGTAAGTAAAATATTCTTCATTAATTACCAGTATTGATTTTCCTTCAATTCTTGAATAATATTTGGCATTTGCTATACATGGATTTTAGTTTAAAGAGAGGAGGGTATTTCTAGAACAATGTAAACAATTGAAATATAGTGTTGGATTAACATTGTTTGTATCTGTTCAATATGCAAGGCACCAAGGCTCCTGGGCCATTTATATGCGCCATGTGCAAGCAGCATTACGTCACAGTCGAGCATTAAATAAAATAAATAAAAAAGAAAGTAAAATGAAGGCGAAAATTTTCAATATTGACCATCTGAAAAACATTCTTATTGCGTTGTATTATTTAAAATTTATTTTATTTATACCATAACATGCATATTCTTAGAATAAGGCTTTAAGGCTGATTTATTAGAGTATGTAAGAATATGTAAGGTACTACCGGTGCTTTAATTGAGCGAAGTTTTGTTTGAGTTTCCAGGGTGATAAATTTATTCTTGTATCTAGTAGTTTCTTCTCGTTTGGTTTGGTGCCAAAATACCAGATGTAAATTATTAATTGAGTAATTACTGTTCAGAATTTTTTATGACTCCCTCGAGACTTATTATTGTCATCAATTTAGTTGATACAAATACAGTATTCATTTATTATTGAAGTTATATATGGGCTTTTAAAATCTATTAGTAAATATTTCTTCTAGTATGTTCAAAATAGTCGCACAGGCTAGGTTGTGTATAGTTCCCTCTGCAACTTAATGAGAGAAAATCTACAAAAAATTCACATTCATGCATTCTCATATCTCAAACAAATATGCTCATATGAAATAGTATTGCAAAATGGTTTATTGATCTAAATACTTGCTTTCGATGCGAAACTAGAATCAGTATAGCTGAAATATGTATTCGCTTGTGTGTTATGGTGGTTATTATTGTTTTCCGGTATAAAAATGCTGTATGTAGCCAATATGTATGAGGACTCATCCCCTTTGTGGATTCATTTGAGTTTGCGACTCTGGTTGGAAAATGCTCATGTAGACTGTAGACCACTGCTAAAACATTTTTTTGATTTTCGAATACTTCCTTGCACATTTGCTGACTATTTTTATTTTGTGATCAGATGACACAAAACTTGAAGGCATGGTGAAGAGATTACTTGGATATATGAGGGCACATCTGCGAACTGGATCCTTGTCGAGAAAACAACTTGTTCACATGGCTTTTCTTAACCTATTTTCTTTGAATCACCTCTTGCCAGCAAATAACCTTTCAGAGTCTGGTAAGAAAAACGTAAATACAGATATATAATATCAGATATAATAGTAGTGATGAGCTAAACGTGAATGATATTACAATTACAGTGATAATATTTTTGTTTCAAATGTGGCATGATGTTACTATTAAATAAGTTGTTTTATTGTGCCGAATATTTCATAAAATGAAAGTGGTGCAATTGATGTTTTTGGGATCGTGTGACAAACTGCTTATCCTTTATCACATGTGTTTTCAAACTATACCATCGAGCGGTTTCCTAAGGGCAACGAGCAAAGGCCTTCACATGGTACGATTCATGATGATTACAAATAGTTGAAACAAATTGACTATGATTAATATAATTCTTTGATCTTAATGTGCTTATTCTTTTTCTTTTGTTTGTTAAATATTTTATTGTTAATAAGCCCTTCACATGAAATAACCCGATTGAAACTTGTTAAAATCAAAATAGAATATCAGGGGGCTCATTGGTCATGGATGATGAAAATTTAAAGATTGCCCCTTATAGCAACAAAAGAGCGGAATTTTACCCACTTAATACAAGTTTAACCAAGGTTTTGCTATAGCATAAAATAAAATGATATTATGATAACTCGCATTAATTATGTCTACTTTCTTATCAGGTGGAAAACTAGAGGGTAATGCAGCACAAGAGAATGGTATGGCTGATGATGATGATAGCGGAGCTCCTTGGAATATTCTTGTATCCTTCACTGGTAATTTCTGTTGAATTTTTTCCTATTCAATGCAGTAATTGAATGTCTGAACAGTAGATTGTATTTAATTTTGTTGAATTATTCATTTCTATTCTAATCCAGTCAATTTTGCAGATGATATTAAACTTGGTGATGATTTTTGATAATGTAATAGTGTAAACCTGGTGGCCTAGTGGGTAAAGCCTTAGACTTAAAAAATCTCAGGTTTGAATTTAATGCTTACCACTTCACTCTTGGTATAATTAATTGGGTAGGCGATGTCGGACCGTAAAGATTCCAGGCCCTCCGAAGTAAAGCCACTTAGTAGTGGCTGTATGTGCGGAGCCTGGTTCAGAGTGAATGGTATATAAATATGTCATATAATAAAAATAAACAATCATACATTTCAAAATTTTTATTTGATAATCGCTATCCAATGGTTGAACTGTGAAGGACAATCCTTTATCAAATTCATTATTCTTTCAGTCCTAGAGTCAATTTAGTACAAAGTAATCAATTATTTTAATATAATTTTTTATAATGCATATCAGTGACTGATATTTCATCAAATTGAACAATCACATTATGAATCATCTTTACGTTTTAAAACGACATTTTATGACTAAAGCACAATTTGTAACAGTGTAGTGATATGTGGGTCTGAATTGCATGATCGTCAATGTTGATCGAAATTTTTCATTTTGCAAACTCAATGTTCTTATAATGGCCATAGATAATTGGCTATTTCATTTTTGTCAAATAATGATATTATACAAAAACAACCCAATTTTACTGTTTCGAATACATTACAAAATAATTTACTTACCTTGAATATTGAATTTGTGTCAAATTTTCAACAAAGAAATGTGCATAAGTTATCGCAAATTGATAGAGATTTGATTCGGTAATGCAGAACAGTTGAAATAAACATCAACCTAATTGACTTTTTATTTTAACAGTATAAGAAGGGAAATGAAGTCTATTTTGTGTATAACCATTATATGTAAGACCGTTAAAAAGACAATTTATGAATATTTTTTATATTTCCATAAACCTCATACCTTTACTATATCATGTATAACAAATTTTGAGAGTGTTTGAATATTCGATCTGTTTTGGACTCATAGTTTGCTCAAACTGTCAAATATTTTCACAAAATAATCATAATTTCAAAGTAAATTTTGCTTGATGAATAACCAATTTTTTTGTATTTTTTTATTCTAGTGCGAATGCTTGGTGCTCTACTGTCTTGTGTTCCTGCTTATAGTGATGACAGTGAAGATTTGGAACATCCTGCATTACCAGCTACTAAACTTGTTCTTGACTGGTTGTGTGATAATATATCAGTGTTACAAAATACAGAAGCAACTCTGTATGGAAGGTATGATGACTTCTTTCTTTATGATTGTATTTATATATTTAAGCATAGTTTATTTATTCATGATATTTGTTAAACTGTTGAAACAAATGTACTTTTTGAATAACAACTGACAGTTGCAGTTTTTTTTCATTTGCCCAAGTTGTTCAACTAAATTGGTTTTTACAAATTGAATTCTTTCTAATTCAAAAGTCTTACTGCACAGTAACACAAACGTTTCGTCTTACCGAGGTCAGACTTCTTCAGACAAGCGCGTCACATGCATACAGATCCACTTGCGCTAGGGCATGAAACAAGGAAATGTAGTTAGTCTTATCCTTATGTAACCCTAGCTAATAGTTACGAAATAGGGCGATTTTCTTCCAAACAGGAACACTTAAGAATTTTATACAGTTTCGGCTTCATTCTCTACTTTCAGCTGCTTAAATCAGCCATGTTATTATCATAAACAAACTACCGTAAATATTTGAACACCTTCACATACTGTAATTATAATTGTATAAAACAATAATTCTCCACCAGTGTCTGGCAAAGATTTGCGAAAGTACTGAATGCACTTGGAAATCAAGATAAAGCCAATAATATGGACAGTGAGTACTTGTACTTTACATGTATATATCATAAGGTCACACATGAGCTGACCATTCAGACCATTCATTGCTTTGCTAATAACTGTTGAATCGATGCAACGAATATGCTAACAAATCAAACATGAATATAAAAATATAACATAGGCCCTATGTTTTTGTTATTTACTGACCAGGATTCTATGCCTTTCAAATGTCTTTGGATTGGATTGTTTTGTATTCCAAGTCTATTGTGTTAAACCAAAAAAGGCAATGATCATAACAACTGGACTTATTACACGATATTATTGGTTTTGTCACAATTATTTGATAGATCGACCATTACCTGAGGATCTTGAGGTGCGAGGTTTTGTTGGACTCCGACAATCGCTCTCGAAATTAGATTTTATCGGTGGTTATGAAAGTGTTGTAGCAGAAGAAATACAACATCCTTGTCGCTGTTTCAGGTGAATTTCTTTCTGTTAATTTTATTCAATATTTCTGTTTTTAGTTTCACAAAATTTCTTAATCAACCTTTTAGTTGTATATATAACTAGGCTAATATTAAATTTTTTTTATATAAGTTTGAAAATTCAACATTTTTGTTTCAGGTTGTATCAACTTGGTTTGACAATATCTAGATCTTCAGAGTCATTGCTTGAAACATCAGAAGAAAGTGATGGAACTGTTTTTTCATGTTCGTTATCAGATGATAATCCTTCAGAAACGGAAGATGAGGAATTATTAGCGGCACTTGAAAAATCTGTATGTAGTTGTTTTCGAAAAATAGATGTGTCAAGAAAATAGAATAGGATTCTTTATCCAATTCAATTATTCAAAAATAATACTGATTTGGAATTGGCAAATCATTTTCTTCCGATTTAAGACAAGTTATATTGTCACTATCAGTTGGGGTTACTTGAGGTTGAGGCTAACAACCTTTTTTCTCTCTATGCCTTTGCGCAAGCTGATCCTCATGCGTATAATGTGAGGAAGCTGTAGCAAAAACAATGATGCCCATTCCGTTATATTCGAGAGTCTTGCTACACTCTAACACAAAGTATTTCTGTATCGTTTCATCTGACCGAGGTCAAACCTCTTCAGACAAACGTATTTATTCCACATATAAACGATCGTGGATGTTAGCAATGCAGCGAGACTCTTGAATCATTGAAAAGTATAAAGAATAAGTACATATTAAATTCTTGTCAAATAGGTCTCAGCAAAAATGCTGTATAATTCTCTGAACAGACTACCTTCAATACTTTGCGATACAAATCAAAAGCCTATAAAAAGTTATCATAAGCAAATTTTAATTTCCTAAACACAGGAAAGTATTCAGCCAACCAAGATGTCAGACTCAAACAAACCACCCAGATTACAAAAAGATAACGATTCTGGCACAACATCGATACTAAGTTCTGGTGATCGGTCATCTGGCAACAAGAAACTTAATGGTGAAGCAAAGAAAGACAGACCAAGATCAGTTATTAAAGTCGCTGCTGATAATACGGTGGACTCAAAATTAAAGGTAAATTTAGTTTACAAAGCTGTCAAGGCATGGCCATCCATAGTCATCATCTAGAAGTGAAAAGAACGGCACAGATAGAAGTGTTCTAAGTTACCAATAGCACTCCTAACGCTACATTTATGTTTACCATTTCATCAGAGATGTCATCAGTTAGCAGTTGACGCCAGACTTGACAATGTCATAACTTTGTAATTTAACTTAATATCATTTCATAGTTAACACTTGACAATGATCTGTAGAATTGGATTTCTGAATTTCAAATAGCCTATTCAACTCTCATGAACTCTTATTTAATGCTTAATTTCGAAAATTTTCAGTCTATACAAGAAGAGGATTCATACCATCATGATGACAATGCAAGAAGTAGCACAGCATCATCAGTAGATAGTACATGCTCATCACCTGGAAATCATGATCCTCCAACCCATCACCAGAAATCGACACACCATGTGACCTTTGCTCCCATGCCGACCCGTCATTCCGCATCGCCTGATCACGTTAGTAGCTACAAACGTCGTTCACCAAGCCCTGATTTATCTTCTCAAAGGAACATGCCGTCCCCGGATAGTGAATATGGGCCCGTCGCTGTACAGTACTCTACAGATCCACGTTCCCACCATCAAGTCCAAAGTGTGGTTTCACATGGTCCAATTCACCCACTCCAGGCAGGACCAGTCCCTATTGGAGTATATCAGCATAATTACCCCTATCCCGGTCGAGTCGTACAAGCCCCACCTCATGTTCAATACCCCGTTCATGGCATAACTCAACACATCCCAGCACCAGGTGTCGCTGTCAGAACTGCACAGCTACACAGTGGACCCAACCCCCCACCGAACCCAGCTGAGTTACCGAAACCGCTCTTCCCTCCTCAGAGAATGTCATTCCCGCCGGAGTCTGCTTTTGCTCCTCACTCAATTTCTGACGCACAGTCTCCAAACCTCATCATGTCTGGTAATGTTGAAGATCCAATGAGCATGTATCAGTCTCGTACTAATGAAGGTAGCTCATCCAGCTTGGCACGTTTAGCCCAATTACAACAACAACAAATGGCACATTTGGCAAATCCAGCTACAGTATTGAGAATGCAACAGTCGAGACCAACAAATCTCGGACTTGCAGCAAGGTTTCAAAACCAGCCGGGAATACGTTTTCCACCCAATGTACAGCAGATGAAAGCCAATCAGGTTTGTTTTGCAAATTTCTGTTCATATCAATATCTGGATGAAAATCCGTTAATATAAATCAAATTCTTTGATAAGCTATCAGCTTAGAATAATAAAAGTCTATTCAACAGTAAAAGGAAAATATTTTTCTTGCATATGAGCAGGCTGTTTGTCAAATGACAGTTTGATTGACTCTTTGATACACGATAATATCTGTTATCTGATTTTTTATTCTGCTTTCACGTTTTTAATTGGCCATCTGAACCCCAATCTGCCCATCCCAATCCCCAATTCCAAGTATCTTGGAATTGTCCTTACTTTTCAATCTTGCTTTACTGGAATTAAAATTTTCAGATCGATGCAGGAAGAGTGAAAGATTCTAATCTTGAAGCTTTTTTGAATCATCAAAGAAAAGCTGCATTACAACAACAACAGCAAAAAGCAGCTGCAATGAATCAATATGGATTTCCTGATGCTGCTCAGACAACAGCAGAAGCTAACTTTGCAGCTATGGTTCAACAGCAAGGCATGAATCTCAACCGAAACCAATATTCTGGTCAGGATTTATCGATGGCGTACCAGTACGGTCAAGCACCGCGAAATATTTTTGCTCTGAATATGGTTGGCCAGCCGCGAGGATCTTCGCCTGTGGGAAGTAACAATACGTCTTGCACTTCGTCGCCTACTCCTGGTGTGATTACATCCAACACATCTCCGCAGGCAGGGAGTTTACCAACTCAGCGAGCTCCCACTGTTACTAGATTTCAGAATCAAGCTGATGCCTACGAGGCTCGGGCTGGTACTGGAGCGAGTGTACTGTTGTCACAAATGATGGCACAAAAGCAGGGACAACAGCCATACATGAAATCACCAACACAGCCGGTACGTTTGGATTTTCTTTGTAACCCTAACAATCTAAAAATCCTGCATGAAGTTTGTTTTTGTGAAGTCTTTATTGGTACTGGATTGTGCGGAGTCGTACTTTCAAACTGTATGCAGCTGGAGTCGAAATTTCGAGTATGTCGGCGTCCAAAGTCGAAATTTTTTTTCAACTTTGTTTACGGAGTTGCTCAGACTTTAGTGTAAGAGTCATGTGCAATCTTCACTCGACTCCACGACCGTGCATCCAATAATTGTTGTTTATGCAAGTAAAAACCAATGTTCCGTAATTGTTTGAAATAAAATAATGGGATAACAATGATAATTGTTTAAGATTCAAAATCTCTGCCTTGAGAAAAAACAAAATATAAAATGTGATTATTCCGGTATTTTCTTTCCGAACACGGAACATTCATCCTAGTTTTTCATTCAGCATAATCAATTTGTTTAATAATTTTCAGAAACCATCTACTTTGTTTGCTAAAGAAAGAGATTCTGATATAGGCCTATTTCATACAACATCTGATCCTGCCTCTGTTCCACCAGGCAGGACTGGTCCTATCTTACCTTCTGATATTTTTGGAATTTCTCCAAGCACAGGAGGCATGGTGAGAAAGCTTCTCCTCTACTTTGGATTGTTGCCTAAATTTGTATTTTTTTTTGTTGGTGATGATAATTTATGACAAAAGAGGATTTTTTATTCAAAGTTTCAATCAAATTCTATATCAAGATCTTTTACTTCGGATCATTTTAGGGAATATTGGGCACTTTCGTATTACCGCTTTCACCCTGTACCTTACTCCATTATCAGAGTTTTGCATTAGTTCATGTACAACATTCTGGGTTACTATGGCAGGGAATAACTCAATGATTGTTTTTGTTTATTATCATATTTAATTTTAGTCTGGATTTTCTGTTGGATCAATTGGTCAATCTCCTGCAAATTCATCACCTAGTGATTCGTTCCCACCTTATCCTTTGTCTCAAGAAAGACAACAGGTTGGTTTTTATTACTCAGTCAGCATATTGTTCACTTGCCAGTTGCCACCATATTCTCATTGTAAATTGTTATTGAGGAAATGGATATAACTTTTAATTCTCATTCAAATTTGAATCTCGATATTTTACTCAAAATTTTGCTATTCTACTATTATCCATGTGAAAACTTTTTGTTATGTTCAATAACACTTTATCTCATTTCGTTTTATTAATCATTAGTCAATTTAAATGAAATAAATCTTTGTAATTTCATATAGGAGTATTTATTTGTCATTAAATTCATATAGATCTTTGATGAAAGTCTTGATATGTTGGAAGGAAGACCATCAACAAGCGTAGGTCACAGTACATCAATATCTCATCAGCGGCCTAACGATAATCTGTCCAAAGCAACAACAGGTGGTCAGTCTGAACGAAGAAGACAGGTAACTGTTTATAGCACTGATTCTCAAACTAACATGACCCATAATGGGTCCATCAGTTTTTTTATGCCCCATTTTTAATAATAAATAAGCTAACAAATGAACGCAGAAGAGTAAATATATTAAATCTAAAGATCTGTAACAAACAACAGTCGACTAACTTCAAATTGATATAGTTATCGCAAAAGACATCTGGTGAAAGACCTTGCTCATGGCTTACAGAAAAACGCTTTTTTGGCCCCCCGTGAAAACAGATGAACTGATGGATACTATAGTTCAGTATTGCTGATATTTTTGAAACATTTAAGGTGGAATTGGGTTTCAGGGATGTCCATGCTTGAAATGTTTCAAATTTTTTTCATTCTGTATATTATAAAATGAAATATTTGATATCATGGAATATTTTAGGAAAGCAATTTTGCTTTGTATTTGCTTTGTATTACTGGTAGTGTTAATTCATTATTATTATCATAGTTCTTATTCATAAAAGCTTATTGAACTACCGGTACTTCACTTGGTCTGTACAAAAACGGGAGTGCGACTTGCGCATAACATTAGTTAATGATCCATTAACCAATGAATGAATAAAGTAGTTTTATGCGTAGGGAGGGTGGAATGAAGAGTTCCAAAATAAGCAAAAGGAGTAATTCAACAAAGAAAGTTTGGAACCATTGGGAATAATTTAGAATAATGCAGCTCTATTAAGGGGGTCATGTCTACTACACAGACCTGGATGAAGTGGAGATACATCGTTTGAATTGTTTTCTACAGTTTACAAAAGTTCACCAAAATGGTCAGAGTGTGGAATTATGCAGAGTATTATTTATTTTGAATTATCTAACAAACCTAAGGAAATATTCTATTCCTGGCCATCCTCGGTCATGATCATCACACAGGTCATTGTTATTCTGAGCAAGAGATTTTCCAATAATTCCATTATTTTTCACTCTTTCTGATTGTTTATTTGTTTCTATTCATTACTCCAGTTTCCCGGACTTTTTTCTAAAGAGGACGATGAACCTTACAAGCTCTTTCCTGATACTGATTCGTCATGGAGTTTAGGAAGAGACAATAGAAATGGTAAATTGGTAGACTGTTACTATTTTAGGTGTATTATTTCTAGTTTATTATTTATGAATCTCTCAGGAAGAGACAAAAGAAACGGTAAATGGGTAGTCTGTTACCCTTTTTTAAGGTGTATTTAATTCTCAGTTAAAAATATTTATGAATTTTATACAAATCTCTTTAGCATCCAGGCTTTACGATTGCTTTTGAGAACCACTGATGTAGATTTTCCTGTCATGTGGAAGTACAGAAATTACCCTAAATTCAAATGTATGAGGAGGCAAGAGTAAAATAAATATAATAGAAGTTCTGCCCAAGTTCTGTCACTTAACGACATATTTATTTTCAAGTTTTCATAGGTCATAGAAATATTTTTATTTGAAATTTTTCTAGTTTTTAATTAGTGTTTGTTTTGAGGCTTGTTTTTCATTCATATTTATTTGTCAATATTTTATTGCAGATAACAGTTTGGGGTTATCAAATCTTGGAAGCATTGGAAGCGAGCGTGCAATGGCACAACAAAGTCATTTACCCGCTCCGATGGGTCGTCTGTTATGGGGTGAAAATCTAACCCCATCGCAAGGTGTTGGGCAACAACAGCCCCAGAGAATGCAACAACCAGGTATCAGAGGAGATAGCAGGTTTGGATCAAGAGATTATCCGGTGAGTTGATATTGTTAGAATGGAAGTAAAAGGATGAGAGAATTACAGTGGATCTTTTTGATTTAATATTCAAGGTTATTCTGTTTTTATTTTGAAAATTGCACCTAAAACTTCCCTCACGAAAGGATTTGTATAATTATCCCCGGGTGGAGGAATGTCGATAAAATGGCTCAAATTGCATGATGAACAGCATTTCATACCAATACATTTACCAGTATCAGTTAACAAGCATCAGGTTACCGGTACATTTTGTTGCGGGAAAAGTTAACCACTCATTTTCAGCATTTATGGTGGAGGAAGTCGGTGGTTTATCCCACAGTAGAGGGAATTTGATAAGATAGCCTAAATATATGGTGAACCTTGGCTTCTTGTTTGATAAACTTTCAATTTTCTTATGAGAATAGTTGACCACTTGCAGTATTTGTGATCCTGGACTTAGGATAGAGGAGGCCGGGATTTTATTGTGAGTTGAGAAAAGCTGATAAGGAGGATTAATCATTTCATTCAAGTTTATAACCGCGTATTTCAGTATTTCATGGACTTGATAGTGGAGAAAACTTAACTTATTTTTGTATTGCTTCGTTGTATTTTCATCGGGAAGCGTATTTGATATTTTCCTAGGTTTATTCACAAATTCAATATATTTTAGCCCTTCTGGTCCGGCCCTATGATGCCTTCAGGACCATCAGCCTTGGAGCAATTGATCCGGCAACAGCAACAACATGCCGGACATGACAAGACCCCGCCTTGAAGAGACAGAGTGGTCTACCTTCCCTTGCACTCTTTTTGAGAGTGAAGTTGCTGGGAAGGTTTGAAAAATCAAATCAATATGTAATCTTCTGCTTGCAAAGTGTGAAAATCTCTCTCTATGAAGAGACGTGTGTGTCATCCAACAACAACAATGATATAGTAAACAAATTTGTTGTTTGTTGCTTGCTTTCTAAAAAAAAAACTAAATCTTTATGTGTGCGGTAGAAAAAATAATATAAAAAAAACAGACAATCTATGAAAAGACCCAAGACAGCGTCAAATTCGTACGGTGAGACGCAGTGTAGGCACCTTGTTCGTTATGCTGGTGTACGGTGTACATTGTATAGTACATAACAAAGCACGCTTGCTCACTCGCCGTTGTACCAAACGATTGTACTGTATAGTTTATATTACTTTGCTTTTTGCTACCCATAGTATTAAAAATGCATACGACTGATTATTACCATTGCAACATTGAAGATTCTGAACATCTTGCTCGAGTTTTTCAACATTTGAACTGTATAAATAAATAAGTTTAGACTTTCAACTGATTTCTTTGCAGAATTTACTTGTGAATGGTTGTGGAGTGTACATACTATTGTCTCTAATTTCGATTCAAGAAGCAGTTATGCTCCAAGATAAATTTGCTTTCAAAAGTATGATTCGGTGACTAATTCTCTCTCTTGGCTTTTATTTCAGATAATTAGGCCTGCTTAGTTTTAGTTACTATTTGGCTATAAAATAATTGTTGGTTATGTTTTTTTTGAGTGTAAACCATATCTGTCTTTCCCCGAAATACCCAAAAACTAAGTGAAGAAATATGAGCTTTAGGATTTGTTTGTGAAACATTTTCTCTTACTTTTGTTCAATTGCCACTTGTAGTTGGTTGATTTGCGTGTATTAGCATTTTATGATTTGAAATTAAAAAATATATACTTCTTGTTTTTGGCTGTTTCCAAAAGTTTTATAAGGTAGTGGAGTAGTGTTTTCTAAAACTTGCTAGTTTCGGTTGCGTTCTTGTAGCGAATGTTTGTTGATCTCGCATGGGACAAGGGTAAAATGACGCTATTCTTTGTTGTTTATCCCTGTATCATGCTTGATTAACTTGAGGGGATTCCTTAATTTTTTATCCAATAAACTTGTATTTCAACACTATCGGTACAATTTTTAGTTCGTTAGCGAAGAAGTAGTATGGCGTCGGTCACACTTTTTCCTATGATATACATGTAAGCTACAGACATTTTACAAAGTACCGTGGTTGATTCATTCTTTCCTTCCACAAATTTTAATGTTATTTTCCAAAAGTATGAAATAAAATTCAAACATTGAGTGTTATTGCTTGCTGTTTCAAATTAGGTCTTTTATGCTGGCGTGTGTATTCAAGCATTCTTCTCTGGCGATACAGATTTGTTTGTAATAGTAGGGTTTTAAAATTGATTCTTCTTCCAAATGATGGAAGTCAACAAGGCAGGAAGAAAGATGATTTGGAAGCGCGCACATCAATCTAATTTTTAATTGAACTTCTTTGCTTTGGCAATCAAAGAAATTCGCCTGAAGAATTACAGGTCCAATTCGTTTAGGTAACTTTATTTATATTAATTTCTTACTATCTTCTTTTCCTAAATGCTGACGGCGTCCACCTAATTATGTAATGAAATGAAGTTATACCTCCTTAAGAATTTGTCTCTTATAGGAACCGTCTTGCTGCATTCGGTACAACGATAATGTTTTCATTGTTTTGCATCTAGAAAGAATTTTAGGCCATCATCACAGCATTCGTTGCAATGAACTTAACGTTATGGTATCTGATGGATTTAATATAGTTCGCTAACCGTTTTATGTTAGTTCGTAAATGAGAGAAGTACCACGATGTCTAAAGGCTGCCTATTGTTGTCCACTTATAAAATGTATCCTCAGACATGAAAATGAAGAAAAAGTCTTCAATTTCGTTTGCGCTTGAACTTCTGTTTGGGTGTGATACTTCTGGTGTTGTTATACCATACCCAGAATTTTCAGTTTTCGAAAATTATACGAAATATCTTAGCTGTCGGTTTTGAAATTACAACATATGTAAGGGTAAACAAAAACGTATTCAAGTTATTACTGAAAAACAAGGGGTTGGCCAAAAATACTACAGTAATTGATATTCAATTAACCTTATACTCACCTGCTGCAACTTATATTTCATACAAAATAAATTTATAGCAATAAGCTAGCAAGCAACCCAACTAGCATGCGCTATACAACTCAAAAATCAAGCAGAAATGAAAAATAAATGGGCACAGACGTACTATATTAGGTAAAAATGCAGTCAAATGAATATGGCGTCCATGATCAAATCGGCATAACGATCAAAGTCAGCATTGTTAAGCAAGCGCGCCTGTTCCCCGATCTTATGTACTATTTCGAAATCGCTATAATTATTATTTTTTTCACTAGTTTCAATAATTGTGTTTCGAATCGAAAGCCTATAAAAGTAGCCTACAACAGACATAGTACATTGTGTGAGATTTGTCTACTCTTTGCGACCCCTAAAGTTACAAAGTTGCTTTAAGAGTTTAGTGAAGTTTTATGACAGGCTGTGTTTCGAAACGGGTAAACATAAACAAAAAGATTTGCCTATGAAATCATGTCTGGTTCGTGTCGTTCGATTTCCTTTACGTTTTCTCTTCAGCCGATTCAGATTGATCCTTGTGACAAGATCCTTCTGCAGAGGATATGGTTAAACTTAGTTTTAAGAAACTTGCCTGATATTGAGGAATGCTTCCAGTATTTTGCACATTTACTGGCTTTAAAGTAAAAACATCATATGTCGCGTCAGCATTCTTATAGTGTTTGTCACAGGTAGGGCTGGGCGTTTCGAAACACGGATATGTCGAAACGGCGTCGTTTCAACCTTCGAAACGGATATTATGACGTCATATCAAATACAACCTGAAATTAGTCAAAGTATCATTCAGGGATGTCCAATTCGAATTTAATATCCGAATTTATTCGAATATCGTGACTCTCAATTTTAGTGTTTATAAGAATATTAAATATCGCGCAAACGTCCTAGCGCCGCCGACCACGTTTTGATTGAAAATTTTTACAATTATTTCATTTTATGTTTAATCGTATTCGAAGACACTCTTTGCGAGGCGCAATAACTTACTGCCTACATAAAAGGATTTAAGTCAGCGCCGACTTGAAGTATATACTTAAAACACGTCGAGGAAGTTTTTAATTGAAAATATTTCAAACAAAATATCGTATATTTCAACATAGCCGAGATAGTCTGGGTTACCGCGCAATAAATCTGAAATCAAATCGAATTCAGCTCAACGATGTCGATGTCACGCTGACCATAAACAGTCAGAATCATAACGAAAATTTGCCCTGTCAAAAATCCGAGTTAATGTTGATTTCACTGTACAATTCAAAACATTCCACCTAGTTGTTCTTTTTCTGTGCTTGCCAAGATGCACCGCAATTCATATATATATACTGTAATGTTTATCAAGTCCATTTCCTTAGAGCAAAAAAATAACTAATTTCAATCAATAAAAGCCCAATTCCAATGTTCCTGGAGTTTAGAATGTATTCGGAATTTGGAAAATTCAAAAAAATCTTTTTCCAGAATGTATTTGAAATTGTCAGGTATTTGGTTATGGCTCTCGCTGGTAGCCTATAATTACCACACTGGATCACAAGGATTTGTGGCATCGTATAAAGTAGAAAATGAGCCCACTTATTACATGAGATGAGGGCAGGGCCGCATTGAGACGTTGAGAGGCCCCATGCTATGCTGCTTGCTGCTATCTTGTCCTCGTGCCATTTGGTCACTGCTTTGTCATTAAGCAGAAACCTTCGTGGAATTATCATTATCGTTTTATCCTCTCGAATTAGCATCAGGGGTTCCATTTTGTGGATTTATTTCTGGAAAGTATGTGTCATTGAACATTATACATCATGATAATGGTATCATATTTTACTGTTTCTGGCAAACGCGTGTTTCGTTTCGTTTCGTTTCGATTTTACTCGCTATTGCTTTGTTTATAAAATGTTTCTTTGCTCTTACGCTTGCATTGCTTTGCCCGAAACAAGAACCGTACAAACAGCTGGACATGTCAAAGGTAGGTAATAGAAGATATTATATTCAAGTCAACTTTTTTGGCGACCTTGTCAAATAATGGGAAGCAATTTCTATATCAATTCTATATAAGTATATACCATAAATGACATTCAATCCGGAAAAATAGGGATGCAGATTTAGAATTTTTGGAATCTTCTGATAATAACCTTCGATAAATAAAAATAACATCGATGTCGACCATGTGATTTGGTACACAAAAACCGATATTGGGACGTGCATGGCCGGAACAAACAAACCAAAATCATGAAACACACCTTGCCATTAATAAAACCCACGGCTCCTTGTAAACGTAACTAAAATACAACCGGCTGATATAGACAAATAGTCCATATCAGTGCTCACTACAGCCAAAGTACATTGAAAGCGATGTCTCGAAAATTTTCATTGAGTCGTGTCTTTCGCGCGTTTCAATTACGAGGTATAATTTTTTTTTAAATTATTTCCCCTAGTTTTTGTGAGAGGTGTCAAATGTGGCTCAAATTTGTGGGAGACATCGGGTTAAGTTTATTTAATTTCGAAAAATACTATGCGGGCCACTCAGAACTCCTCGGCTGGCCACAAGTAGCCCGCGGGCCAGGGGTTGGGCGACCCTAATCTGAACTATATATATATATTCGGCACATGAAATTAGCTGTTTTGTCAAATTTTAACTCATGATCAATAATTCAAATAGCTGTAGAATAGTGTTTGTTCATTTTTTTTTCAATTTTTCCTATTAAACAAATATTTAATTTCTTATCAGATGTTTACCAGAAAGGTTCTGTCGACTATTATTATTTTTGTTTAAATATGTATCTTTTATTTTCTCTCATTTTTGAAACTGGAATATTTAAAAAAAATTGTGTCAGTTAACTTTGTATAGTAATGCCCATTTTATATTTTCTCTGGAATCCGTAATGTGTAATCCAACAAATATTTGTTGTAATCAATTAGGTAACCATCTGATTAGCCGTTGATGACTGTTTTCCCTCCTGGCCTAAAATAAGTGTTTTACTATTGTAAAAAATGGATGCTCGTACCAGAGTGTCCTAGTTTGGTAGAAATTTTATTTGAGGGTTGGTCGACCTTGTAGTCTTCACCGCTTTCGTTTATATTATCTATTTATTGTTAATCCCTTTTCACTGCCATGTGTAGTTTGATGATATATTCGGAAATAAATCATTAGCTCTTTTTCTCTCCATCAAATTGGCTCATATTTCACAAAGAAGCTTCATCGCGTGACAGCTCGTGTTTCAAATATGACAAACATAAACAAAAAATACTACTTACTGTTATGGGTTGAATGAGTTTCATAGTGCCTATCAAGCCTATTGGTTCAAAAGTATCAACGCCATATGTCACACCATCAGTCTCTCAGTGTTTGTCGCAGGGTACGCTACGTACGTGAAAGCAAAGAAATGATGCTAACAATTCTTCATCGCTATTGCTTTGTTCTCATATGTTCGTTTGCTTCTACGTTTGCATTGCTTTGCCCGAAACAAGAATCGTACGAACCGCTGGACATGTCAAGGGTGAGTAATAGAATATAATGTATTGATGTCAACTCATCCAACGTTTTTGGCGATCATATCAATTGATTGAAACTAAAAAAATTTTAAACCCGCTTTATAATGTTTTGAAATCTTCTAACCCATTCTCTGTTAATTTTCAGCTTAAGGCTATGAAAGGAACATTCTATGACGTTACAGATATTCCTTATTTTCCGAATGATATTCACTGTTGGGATTATCATAGCTTTGTAGCGGAAGAAGACGGATTTGCAGTTAATATGACTCAACATGTAGAAGGGTTCGTTAGCCTAATTTTTTGTGTAAATATTAAAAGGAATACTCTTCCAATTCCCTCTTTATTTAAAAAGTGAAAAGACTGTTTTGAAGACATCTATTTATATGTTTCTATGCTTCAATAGGATTTCATTATTCGAAATGATAACGTTTGTATTTCACAGGCGAACAGAACCAAATTTAGACGTATATGTTCATTTTGTACCTAACGGAGATGGAACGTATAGAGCAAATAAAGAACACAGTGAGTCGGTATTTTGATTGGTCTTGTTGATTTCTAAAAATGATGCCGTCTCCGATAAAATGACATTTCAGTTGTATTTGGAAATTTTATCGTCCTGACCCGAAGGCGACATCAATTACTACGTAGTTAGACGATCAAGCCCTGGAAAAAATTGCATTATTCCGATCGTAATGAATCTCTCGATTATCAGCTGATTATGTCATGGTTATGTAACACCGATAACGTGATCGACCCTATTATTTTATTACGGAACCATTTGATATTGATCAATAAACAAAACACCACAGTGTATGTAATATTTTTCAACATCATTACAGTGGAAGCATACATGGCCACATCCAAAGAATCGATTTCTCACAAAGCAACGCCGGAAATGGAAGCAAAAATAGAATCAAGTAATTTTGTAGACAAAAGTGAACAAAACATAATAAAAACAATTAACAACAGATTATGAGTTACGATTCAGAATTATATAGTAACTATAAATTTAAAAAAAAAGCTATTAAATATATCATCACAAAATGAATTTGAAAAAGATTTGCAGTATCTGTGCGGTGTGGAATATTGTTTTGAAATTTTGAAACAATTTCATTTCATTTCACAGCCACGCTGTTATTGTTTTCTATGGATGCTTCCATCTTGACTGACTATGAAAACTATTTCATGCTTGTTTTTTGTATTGAAGAAACAGGTAAGCGTTGTTTACATTTCATTATTTTAATTAAGGTAATTTCGTTGGAATTTTGCTCCCAAAATATTATTTCTAAATTTTTATTCGTGTGGTTGGTAGATATATTAGTATTGGTTTCTAATGTGTACAACGATTGTGCTATTGTCTCAACAGGTCCACTTGTTGCGATTAAAAACAAGCGAGTTTACCCCACTGGTCAAGATACTCTAAATTTCTGGAACGAGTTCATCAAACACGGAGATATTCCAAAAAATCCGGTTGAATTCAAGGAGATTTGCGTTCTCAGAAATATTTAGCAAAACGCACAGAAAAAGAAAACTGCTGATATAAAATAAGAGTTTAGGTTTAATGGATATTGTTATATTTATCAGTGTAGTAGTCAATAGAAATATGAAATTATTCAGAATATTACGACGCAAAAATTATAGTCTGGGAAGAGATTATTATTGTCCAATCTTAGCGAGATTATTATTATCATTATTTTTTTTTCCAGATTAAATATAATTTGAATGGCAAAATAATTTGTTCAAATAGAATTATCTATATAAAATTTTCTGCATTTTCGCTAATGTTTTGTTGCAATCACTGATTCCCCTTTTACTTGGTTAATTTGTCAAACTTTCTGGTTTGGAACATAGGAATATTTTTAAATGCACAATATTATATATTCTATTATATATAACATATTTGGAACTGTTTACACTTCTTTGTCTTTACATTGCTACACGCAAAAGTTCGACTACCGGCGTGTTGCCGATTTTGATTTATAATGATTCGCCAATCGTTTCATTGTTAGCTCTAAAGTGGGACGCTACCATGATGTCTATATTCTGATTTATGGTTTACTTGTCAAACGTATCCTATCTAGAGCAGTGCTCGTCAACCTCTCTTTTATTGCTACATCCTTTTAACCCTTTCTTAAAATCTGGTACATCCCGCACATCCTACATTTCAAATACGTAAAAAACTTGATACTCCCGTAGTATTGTACCAGGCCAATAAAAAAACAGGAGCAAAGAAGTGACTGGAAGCATCTGGCGCCCATCAACAGCCTAAACCTAAAAAAAATTTGAATTTTGGAGTTTTTTCTAGTGGGATTGTTATTAGTCATCATCAAGTTTCTTCATTAAATATTTATAATTTTTTCTGAGATTATCGGATTCATCCTGCAATTGAATATTATTTGGTCAAACTTTCTGGTTTAGATTTAAACAAACGAATAAATCCAAATGCACAATATATATACTTAAGACACAGTTTTGAGCAAGAAACAATACGTATATATGTTATATTCTCTAACTGATACACTTCCAGTTTCTTGCAGTGCCACATAAAAGAAGTTCATATGAGTATGTTCCGCTGGTGATGCAAAGTATAAAAGCTGTTTTTAACCACACTTGGTGTGAAACACAATTGTCAATTGAAATAGGTTACTATTTTGCCCCACCGTAAGCAGGCTATTCATAAACTCGAAGTTATATTTATATTGCTATTCGAAAGAAAATTATGGACTCCAAGTTCAAGGCCTAGAAAAATCTAAAATGATAATAGATATGGATGGTATAATGACAGTAATATGATAGAAAGCCGGAAGGAGACATAATTGCCTCGCCTCAGAGTGGAATTCGAATGCAGCAGCAAGATTCTCATTAATGCAGACATTGATTAAATCTAACCCATTCAGTGAATGCCAATCCCCATCCTTGTATTAAGACGTATTAACACGTTAAAAGTATTGGTTTTCTCCAACCTATATATATATTTATATATATACTGCATATGTATTTAGGCTCACTTGGAGGGTACAGATAAAAAAATTTTATTCAGTTTGGAATGTTGAAAACGAGCCTTCTACTTCTTTGCAATGGATCACTTCTATATCTGGCTGAATTAACGAATGAAACATCTATTTCTAGTGCGTTGACCAAGGTGTTGCAAGCTTTTAAACGTTAACAAATACTAAGTCTGCATTGAGACTCAAAAAAATGATCAATCTAAATATATGTTTTGAATGCATGTATTTCAAGAATACTCTGAATAAATATAAACTTTCAGCTGAAAGATTTTTTCCGTATATATTGTTCTTGAATTGAGAAACTGATTGTAGTTTGATTACTCAAGAATGAAGTCGAAATCCGCATCATCCTGAATAAAAAAATAAAATAGAAAACCGATTAAGAAAGTTTGTTTACAAATTAATATTAAACATCGTGATTATAAAATGCTCTATAGAAGGGTGTTATAATAATTATACTTTCAAACCTATGCACCAGAAATACTGAGACATATTCCTGGTTATTCTAATATTTAATCAGATATGACATGCATGAAAAATACTTTTATATGTCATATAAAATCTGGTTACTGTATTTTTTGGGGAAGATAATTCTATTTATTACTGTTGTAACAACGAAAATTACAAAAAAGCCTCCTAATTAATTGAATGTGTGTTAAATCGAATTCGGAACAATATGTAGGTCAGTTCGAATGAAATACAACCGTCCTTTTGTCGTTAACCGAATGCTTTAAAATTAAATATATTCATTTGAAACAAGTTGGTGCATAATAAAATAGTTACCAGATATTGACTGTTTTCATTTTCACCGTCGTTTTGTACTGGCGTCTGAAAAATGAACCGAACCCCATGCAACTTTTCAATCATATTTTACTATACTAGTTAATATAATAATAAATAATATTATATTAATTTTGAAAATGGTTGTATATATTATCGATATATATTCAAATAATTAGAAATTGTCAGCAACTGTATATTTATATTGAACTCAAAAATAATGATTCAATATATATATACTGTACATAAAAAATTGGTTTTATTTATTGATCTTAATTTTGGTCGCATTTGGTTATCTTTTTAGTTGACGTTTTCAAATAGTTAATATATATATATATATCTATATAGTAATACGTTACTTGTAGATACTCACAACAGTTGGAGATGGCGGTGCAATTACCTGCAAAATTATAAATATAAATGTAGCAAAGTGATAGACAGTATCGGATTGAATTAATATAAAGCGATTAGAAAATACTTACGGGATCATGGTTGTTGTTGTTTGTTGCTACCGAAGCCTGAAAAATTTATAAATTGTATTTAATAAACTAACAGATGATTTGATATCTAATTATTCCTAAAAATTAGTGATAATTAATGAAGTAAAATAGCTTACCGATTGAGAAGATATCTGTAAATATGAGGAAAAGTACAGTACATAAAGTAAAGTTGTGACAAAGAACACAATATTATAAAATTAAAAAAATTAATTTCAATCATGCGGATTTTTCATTTTTCAGACATATTCAAAAAAGTACTAGTCCTAACCAGTGATGGGATTCAGCCGGTTCGCACCGGTTGGGATCAGCAAATCGGTTAGCATTACTGGTTGCTGTCAATGTTCTGTTTGTAACAGAACCAGCTGAAAAATATGACTTTATGTGAAGGAACCGGCTGACAAAAAATTTGAATCCCACCACTGGTTCTAACGCGATCGCGTGTATCGTGCTTACTAAAAAGTTACAGCAAATTGTGAATACAAAATGAATTGTTCGCCATAAATTGTACAACTAAATTGAAGCAAAATAAGCATATTGGCTGTATTTATATTATATTTATTCATGGCAAGTAATCTTATCAAAATATCTATACCAATGTGACTTACGCTGCTGTCGTCGTTTGGTGGTGGGACCTAGCACAAAAATAAACGAGAGACAAATATAATTAAAATAAGACTGTTTAAAAGCCCCTTTTTAACAAGTCTTTGTGAACGTCTTCTTATTTTATAAGTAATCTATCAACATATTTATTTGATGATTTTTCCAGTGGGTTACTTTTTGATATTTAAATCATTCAATCACAATCTATTGTCTAATCACCCTGCAGTTAAAACTTCGGAAAAAAATAATAGCGTTGTGTTAAATGAATGCTGAAGAATATTGCAGGATGACTCCTTGAAAAACAGAACCCAGGTCATTTGAAACATCAACTAGAGATAAAATAACTTTTTCGAAGAAGGTCCCAGAATAATGAAACGTTTTGGTGCAATAGTACACACGAAAAAGTTAAAGTGTTAAATAAATTTTCTTCATTTCAAAAAAGAATTATGAAATTCTGTTTGCATGTGTTTACCTTGTAATTCAATTGATACTGAAAAGTCCATTAATTTATTCGATGAAAACCACATTTCAATTAGAATTAGATTAATGAATTTAACTTTTTGGAATCATTTTTTATATAATAACTTTACTTATTGTACTAAACCAATACTCACAATGTCATTGTTGCCGCCATTGTTATTGTTACCCTGACTATGAACTACTACAAGCGGAATCTGAAACATAAAAAAAAATTCTATTATGTTGAAACAATAAATAAGAATAAATAATGCAAACGAATCCGATAAATAATCTTGATCACTTCTAAAAACTGAAGTTGGTCGAATATCATGTGTCACTTTTTTTTATCGTTTACATAATTTCACTTGTTTCGCTGTTTTACAGAAACCTTAATATCTACTGGTTGTCGTGGACCATGTTCTTGAACACGATATGTGTGTCAATACACTCATACAAGAATAACTGCTATGTTATATGATAGGTGTTGCTGAATTTAGTAATAGACAATGAATATCATGAGATTACGATTAAAGAATTTTTTACTTTGATAATCTATAATTCCGACTTTTTTAATTTGTGTTTCTGGTGTTAATATGTTCTCATAATTACGAAGTCAAACATCTATATATTTTTAGGGTAACTTATTCTAATTTATTAATTTTACCGTTAGCACTCATTTATTCACATTACATGCGAATTCTACTCTAATACTTTACCCCGTTGTTGTTGTTGTTGTTGTTATTATTCGGTTGTTGTTGGTTCTGTTGTTGTTGCCTGTCAAAATGAAAGCATATCAAACATCCGTAATTTTCTGATGCGTAAAGGTAAGCCTATTTGATTAGCCTTGAGTCCATTACTTGCCAATCTGCCAAGGTTCTATCTTTAGACATATGATTGATTTAGCAACGTATTTTTAAAAGTACTTACGCTGCATTGTTGTTTCTTCTGCCGCATTTCCAACATCCTTCTGTGACGCCAACAAAAATAGCAACGGCCAACAACACTGTGTGAAATTTCATTGTGAAAAAATATTTCTTAAAGTTCGACAAAAACGGTTTTCTGAAATTTTGGAAACGATTAGAAAAGCATTTAAATATTATCAATGTTTTAAATATATTCAATATACGGATGCCCAAACAATCGTTTACTATTTACTCGTTTACTCAATAATTAAGTTTACTGTTTCGGAAGGTATAACACTGCCTTGAGGCCTTCGTGCTTTTGGAGTCGATATTCATCTACCTGACAAAGTGTTGCAGCCTTGGCCTTATATATACTGAATCAAACAATAACCAACAAGAATGGAACATACGTTTGGAAAATATGGTTCACTTCGTATGTCAATGTAAAATTATGAATTCACATCTGGCGCATCCGAAAAAATCCTGTTTTCAAGGAGGTATATTACCTACTGTTGACTGCGTATGGCAAGTATTTGGGTTTAATGCCTTATGCCCAGATTTGATAATTGAGGTAATTGAGACAATTGAACAAATGTCAGTTCTTTGTATTTTTAAACCGGTTTTATTCTGAAACAAGCCTTTATAATTCAAACACGACTTGAATATGAATAACAGCTCAATATTGAATGTCGAGGCCCCAGGGTTCAGTCTACTTTGCCTAATAATAATAAATGCGGATTTTTTTGTATTTCACAGGAGGCCAACGCCAAATTTAGAGGTATATCTTCATCTATTACCTAGCGGAGATGGACCTTATAGTATTAATAAAAAAATCATAGTAAGTAAATATTTTGAATTAAGAGGATAGTGTTCTTATTACAAATCATTCTCTTGTCGAATTTAGAAAATAGTGGTTTTACTGGTTATCCAATCCGCATTTAGTCTTCATGTGTAGTGTTGACTCATAGTTTCAAATGTATCACCCAACACCACCAGAACGTGCATCCTTAAAAACTGGTACCTAAACGCCGTCCCCGAACGGCTTTTCCAGTATGACTGTACACAGCCTGCTGTGATATTCAATTTGGTCGTTGCTATGCTGTTCGCTTCCCATGGTTACCCTTCCCGTATTTGACGGTGCCCGGAGTCTCTTTTCTGTAACAAATTTTGGTTTTTGGACTTTTATATTTGATATATTAATTTGCATTTATATTGTTCGTCTCATTTCTATTAAACTTGTATCAAAGTTAGACTCTTATCACAGGTGTCATTGCTCGATAACCAACTTTGGTTTTTCGCGTCACCTTTTACCATGAAATGTCATTTTCAAATTTTTTCAAGTTTATGTTCACTGTGAGTGCATTTTCATTTTGGTGAAAAATAAACTACTGACTGACTGACCGTGATTGTTATTACTTTTTTTTTAACTAAATATAATTTGATAGTATAAGATTTGGTACTCCTGTAGTATGTGCAACAAGATGGCGGACACCGGAACGTAGTATGTGTATCAGGTTAGGGTTAGGTCATAATTTCAGGTAAAAATACTACGGGAGTCACTTGGCTAGTCCCCGAATTCGTAATAGAACTAAAATAGGGAAAATTGGAATAAAATTATGGTCTAACCCTAACCTGCTACACATACTACGTTCCAGTGTCCGCCATCTTGTTGCACATACTACGGGAACGCCTAAGATTTTGGAGTTTTTCCTAGTGGAATTGTTTTTAGTTCTCATCAAGTTTCTTCACTAATATTTATATTTTCCTGAGATTATCGGATTCATCCTGCATTTGATTATTATTTAGTCAAACTGTTTTAGATTGAAACAAACGAATAATTTCAAATGCACAACATAATTAAGCCAATTTTTTGGGCAAGAAACATTATGTACGGTATGTTATATACTCTGATATACACTCTCATGTCTTGCAGTACTACATGAAAGAAGTACAAGTATATTAGATTACTTTATATGAATATGCACATGAAAGGGTCAGAAATATATAAGATCTGAAGTGCACAAACGGTGCAAGCAAAACTTTTGAGGTTAACATCGCTTTTTTATAAAAGGCTATTTTGACCCGCTGGTGATTCAAAGTATTATAACTATATATATTCTCAAGTTTTTTTAAACCACACTTGGTGTGAATCCTAATTGTCGATTGAAACGAGATACTCATTTTGCCGCCGCTATGCAGGTAATTAATACATCTATAACCTCGAGGTTATCTTTATCGTCCTATTCGAAAACAAATTATGGACTTCAAGTTTAAGGCGTAGAGAAATCACAAATAATATGAATGGTATAGTGACAATAATATGATAGAGAGCCGGCAGGAGGACATAATTGCTGACTTACTAATGCTGACATCGATTAAATCTATGACCCACTCAGAGAACAATTATCTCCATTCTTGTACAGAGTCTTCTTAACACGCTGAAATTATCAGTTTGATCGGTTTTCTCCAGCCCATATATATATGTATATAGTATCACTTAGAGGGTCCAGATACAATTTTTATCTGGTTTGAAATGCTTAAAATGAGCCTGCTACAACTTTGCAATCAATCACTTTTATCTGGCTGAATTGATGTATGAAACATCTATTTCTAGTTCGTTGATCAGGGTTTCGCAAGCTTTTGAACGTTAACAAATACTAATTCTGCATTGAGACTCAAAAAAATGATCAATCTAAATATATGTTTTTGAATGCATGTATTTGAAGAATACTCTGAATAAATATAAACTTTCAGCTGAAAGATTTTTTCCGTATATATTGTTCTTGAATTGAGAAACTGATTGTAGTTTGATTACTCAAGAATGAAGTCGAAATCCGCATCATCCTGAATAAAAAAATGAAATAAAAAACTGATTGAAAAAAGGTTTGTTTACAAACTAATATTAAACATCATGATTATAAAATGCTCTATAGATGGGTGTTATAATAAATCATACCTTCAAATCTATGCACCAGAAATACTGAGACCTATTCCTGGTTATTCTAATATTTAATCAGATATGACATGCATGATTTATTACAGTTTTATCAGGAAAAATTACAAAAATCTCTACAATGTCCAGCTTAATTGAATGTGTGTTTGAATCGATACATTCAAAACAATATGTAGGTCATTTTGAATGAAATGCAACCGTCCAACCGTTTTTGTCGATTTAAAATAATAGTAAAATAGTTACCAGATATTGACTGTTTTCCATTTCACTGTCTTTTTGTGGCGTCTAAAAATTTAACAAAACCATGCAATTTTTCAATCATATTTTAATATACTAATTAATATAATAAGATATAATATAATATTCAATTAAAAATAGTTATATATATATTATCGATATATATTGAAATAATTAGAAATTGCCAGCAACTGTATATTTAAACTCAAAAATAATGATTTAATAAATATACAAAATTGATTGACTGATCTAACTTTATCCGACCAAGTGTGAATTATTAGCATGTCATATTCTTGGTCGACGATTTCAAATGGTTAATATATATATATATATAGTAATATGTTAAGTGTAGTTACTCACAATACTTGGAGCAGGAGGCTGCAAAATTGTAAATATAAATTTAGCAAAGTGATAGACAGTATCTGATTGAATTATTACGAAGCGATTAGAAAATACTTACCAAGTGATTGTTGTTGTTGTTGTTTGTTGCCACCGAAGCCTGAAAATTTCACAATATGATATTCAATAACAGATGACTTATTGAATATAATTAGTAATTATTCCTTGTCAAAAATGTTGATAAAAATAAGTCTTAAATAATAAAGTAAAAATCTTACCGTTTGAGAAGATACCTGTAAATATGAAAAGTGCAGCTTAGCATTAAAGTAAAGTTTTGATAAAGAACACAATAATATCAAAATAAATAAATAATTTGAAGCAAACCGATTTTTTAATTCTGCAGGCATACTCAAAGAGAAACTAGTCTTAACGCGATCACGTGTATCGTTACTTATTGAAAAGTTACAGCAGTAAATCGTGAATACAAAATGAATTGTTCACTATAGATTGTACAAATATAATTGTATAAAATGAAACGTAATAAGCATATTGGCTGTATTTATACTACATTTTTTCGTGACAAGTAATCTTATCAAAATATTTATACTAATGTGACTTACGCTGCTGTCGTCGCTTGAGGGTACGATCTAGCACAAAAAAGGAACGAAATCATTAATGAAGATGATTATAATAAATAAAGACTGTTTGTTTAAAAACTATTTGTAAGAAATGGTAATTTTTTTCAACGGGATAGTTTTTGATATTCAAATAATTCAAGTACAATCTATCGTCTAGTAACGCGGCAGTTGAAATTTCGGAAAAAAATTAGCGTTATGTTAATAACTTCTGAAGAATATTACTTGGGGACTCCTTTTAAACAGTATCCATCAGCTAGGCAGACATGGGCAAACTACGGCCCGCGGGCCAAATCCGGTCCGTTGGGTGTTTCAATCTGGCCCGCCCGATGCAGCCACAATCAAACTGAACCCAAATTTCGATGTTTTAGCTTGAAATGGCTCGAGGAATTTGTTGAGATTGCGGTTAAATTTAGTCTTGGCACTAGGCCTATTGTTTTCCAATTTTGCTTTTGTAACACTGTGAATATTGTTATAAAATAGCTTTTTACGTCACACTTATGTGGCCCGCCAGTCAAAGTGGGCAAAATTTTTGGCCCCCGATCCCAAAACCTTGCTCACCCCTGAGCTAGAGAGAACATAACTTTTTTGATCAAATTCGATTTAATGAATTTAACTTTGGTGACTCCGTAAATCAATCAAATTTATATAATGACTTTACTGATTGTACTAAACATATACTCACGGGGTCATGGCCATCATCGTTGCCACCATTGTTAGCACCACCACCGCCCCCGCCACCACCACCTACTTGAAGCCCGATCTGAAACAAACAAAAAAATCCTCTATATATTGAAACGATAAATAAGAATAAATAATACGAAAGAAACATGAATATTCTGGATCACTTATAAAAACTGATCACAGTGTGTCACAGTTTCTTTAGCATTTTATATTTTTACTTCTTTCGCTATTTTATAAAAACTCAAATTTTTACTGGCTGTCGGTGGGCCATCTAGTAATACACAAAAAAGATCATGCGATTACGATTAATAACTTTTTTACTTTGATAACAATTCCGATTTGTCTTTTCCTGATGGAAATATAATGTTAAAATTTGGGAGTCATACTTATATTTATTTTATTGTACTTTATTATATAATTGTATTGGTTTTACCGCTCAATTACTCGTTTTATGTATTCACATTACATACATATTTACAGGGATATATATATATTTCAACAATACGTTACCACTCCGTTGTTGTTCGCGTTTGCGTTCGCATTCGGGTTCGCCCTGTCAAAATGAAAGCATATGAAACATCCATAATTTTTTGCAAGTGAGAATAAAAAAGACCTTTTAATTTGTTAAAAAGCTGAATTTTAAAAATATGTTTTAAGGTATCTGATTGATTCATTTATTCGAATGAAATTGCTACTTTTCTACACCAGGCTTATTTTTGTGAATGACAATTTAAGTAGCCTCGATTCCATATCTTGACAATCTGCCAAGCTAATGTAAACTTTTATCTTTAGACATATGATTGATTTAGCAACGTATTTTTAAAAGTTCTTACGCTGCTGCATTGTTGTTTCTTCTGCCGCATTTCCAACATCCATCTGTGACGCCAACAAGAATAGCAACGGCCAACAACACTGTGTGGAATTTCATTGTGAAAAAATATATCTTACAGTTCGACAAAAACGGTTTTCTAAAATTTTGGAAACGATTAAAAAAGCAATTAAATATTATCAATATTTGAAATGGGACTCAATATACGGATGCCCAAACAATCGTTTACTATTTACTCGTTTACTATTTACTGTAATAATTAAATTTACTGTTTCGGGAGGTATAACACTGCCTTGAGGCCTTCGTGCTTTTGGAGTCGATATTCATCTACCTGACCAAGTGTTGCGGCCTTAGCCTTATATATACTGAATTAAACAATACCCCACAACAATGAAACATAAGTTTGGAAAATATGGTTCAGCTTCGTATGTCAGTGATAAATATTGAATTCACATATGGCACATCAAATATGGTTTTGTTTATCTGCTGTTGACTGCATATGGCAAAATCATATTTATTCAAACAATATATTATATACAAGTATTTGAATTCAATGCTTTATGCCCAAATTTGACAATAAGTTGTTATAAACATTTTGATTCACTCGATTACCCAAATTAATGTAGACTGTTCCCGAGCACAAAATTGCGCACAACTGAAGTTTGAAGAGATAAGTAAAGTAATTTAAATGAACGCTGTTATTTTGCCTTAAAAGCACACCGTCATCTAGGCAACCTCGTAAGATTACCTTAAAATTCAGGGTTCCACAAACTTTTTAGGCCGCAAACCCTGTTTGTGAATCATATTTTTAGCGGACCGCCATCCTATGCTGTATAAATTCATGTGCCTAACCAACGAGAAAAGATATCAAACACAACAACACAAACGACATTAATGTGATGGATGAGGTTCCCTTCCCCTGGATAATATATTAATCTTAGGAGCAATTCGTGACAAGCAAACTCGTAGATCCAACTCTACTGCAAGTCTCGACCTTTATTTTGTCATCATATTAGTAAGAGCTGAAAATGCTGCCTAACACATGTAGGTCGTTGCAAAAGGCACGCGCTTTGGGTGCTGGTGGTAGGCTGGAAACCAGATCTCTATTCTTCTCGTTTTTCTCGAAAATCATTTTATAATAACCCAGAATTATGTGTTATAGTTTTTAAATTTTGATGCATGCCATCAACTTTACATCTGGCTGAATATTCGACCATTGTTGTCGAATAATTTATTGTTCGCGAGATATCAACGTATTGCTCGCGTACCTACTACCTAGTAACGATTCAATATGGCAGAGGCCGGGAGTAAAACGCACGCAATCAAGCAATTGAATTAATTGCCTATTACACCCCGTGCTAGATAGTACGTGATCAGCATTTTACATTTCAATATATTGTGAGATATCTTATTATTACTGCACAGGTTGAATCCTGAATTTACCTTAAGCTATATAATTCAGTACTGACGCTAAAAAGATCAGCGGATAAGCGTGACGTAACGGTAGGAAAGTTTTCCATTTTAATTAAAATAAGTTTGGATCACGACATCAAGATTACATTCCAACCTGATCGAGAACGCGTAAATCGTTATATTTGAGAGCATAATCATATATAGGATAAAATAATTTAAAACAAGTGGTTTTCAACCCTTTTTCCAGCAACCCGAACTGTTTAAAAAGTAAATTTTGTTAACTCACGACCCACGGATATCCTCAAATACTAAATGACATCAGAGATATAGTATCTTTATGGCAGCAAGATTAAATGATTAATATCAATAATATGTAACAATCATTTTTACATAACATTCATTTCCTCAGAAATTACATTAAAGTGAAAAAGCTGTGCTTTTATGCAATCAGCGAGTTTTTGAAATTGTTGCGTGGCTTTAAGCAAAATAGATGCGTCCGAATTTTCAAGCTCGATGCTTCCTGCATGTACAATTACTATTGTGAAACACCTCAATACTAAATATAAAATAAACAATAAATTTACTAAAAATTAAAATAAATCACTTTTAGGTTTTTGTTCAATAAACAAGGAACCCAAAAATTTTTTCCCAAGACCAAGTTTCGGGCCGCGAGGTATAGATTGAGAAAGACTTGTACAAGGCAAAGCCATAAACAATACAAATATACAGGACATCTAGGATGGGAATTATCGATCAGTAAAGAAACATTACCAGGTGATATATATATCGCTGTAATAGCGATTGGCAATTTAAACACATCCTTTGGAATATGATGAATTTCAAACTCTTAATTTGATACCATCACGTCATTTAGTGTGTAATAGATAGTCATTCCATATGATATTTGACTGAAAGTTCATAGACACGACCACTCGTTGATTCATTACAGATTCCGTCGTTAAAACAGATAACAAAAAGAAAATTCATTACTCACTTTTAATATTTATTGGACACTGGGTGGATCTATGGATCGTTTTGTTACTTATCGATCTTAAGATCGGTAAGTATGTTGATAGGTATTTGTATGTTTGTGTGTTATATGCACGCAATATCTCACGGAAGCGAGGTTGAATCTGCTCCATTTTGCATGTGCATTCATCATAGGTCGGATCAGAAGCCTATTGATTTTGGATGGATTATGTCTCATAATTAGCGAGTTATTTTTTAATTAGTGATGGGACACACGGTGTCACTATGGAGTAAGACTACTGTTTTGGGGGATCCCCTAACCTCCGATCGATAAGTCTTCGGTTTCTAACCGATATTCTAGTTTTTATGTTGTTGTTTTTCTTGTTCTTGCTATTGTTTTTTTTTCTATCTTTTTCATCCTATGGTTGCGGAAAAATTTAATATTCTATTTTCCTTTATTACTGGACCAATAGCTTTGAAATTTTCAATGGCTAAAGATTGTATTTTTTGCTAGAACGCCATTACTCTAAATTTATTTCAAATAATTCTGTGGGATTCTTTTTTGTGTGCTATGACGTCATCAAAATTTGCGCACCTTGACGCGATCCGCGAACGCATATCGGTGGTCTCGCGCCTAACAAACGTCGTTGGATCTCGTGCTTAGCGAAAGTGGGAAGTTTTTATGGGGAACGGTAGACTGTGGTACCTGATCTGGTAATACACGCGTGACTCGAATCAGTTGGTATTTCAATTCACGTTGAAACTGATTTAAGAATTGATCATCGCCACAGAACCTGGGAAAGCTATGAGAGTCCCTCCACCGTTATCCCGGGTAGTCGAGTTGTCTATAGTGAGTTGTTCACCTCCCGATGCGGCTGCTGGTAAGTTACCGCATGTGATTTTCGGGAAATTCATGACATTTATTTAAAATATTTATTCTTGCCTTCCGTGGGCTTATATTTGAGCATTGCTTTCATGTTATTATATATTATTCGTTCAATATTTTGCTAAAATGAACCAAAATAAAGCATTTAACTATAGATCATAAAACCCTAGTTTGCTTCAAGGCAAATGTTTATGTTGTTGTGGTTTATTTTCTTGTAAAGATTTTCCGTGGGCAGATTTTGCGTTTATACTTTTGGCATAGTTTCGGCCTCTTGTCTAGTACACGCATTTCTTCACATGTATGAAACAAACAGCCGTTTGGTAAGCCACCATGGCATATGTATATTTTCTCAATGGTTCATTTTCTAAGGTCCCAAGTTTGTCTGATACTGTTCTGCTCGTATACCGATATTGTTGATTTTATTTGAACTTTATATGTCATTAACAATGCGCGCTTCTTGATCGCAAAATTCATGTCAATAGTTGATGAGAAAACTTCGAATAGTAAGACACACTTGGAGTCGAATAAAATACAAATTTTTATATAATTCGAAAAAGAACATATTGCGAAGACTGCAATCTTCTTTACCACTAAAATCTATAGATCGTTTTGTCATTACGTTGTTGTTGTTAGTATTTTTTATTTTTTTTTGTTGTGAAAAAATCGAAAAATTCTCTTCAACTACTGGAATCAACTACTTTACAAATTTGCAGTGGTTGAGATTGCTGTCGCTAAAAGGCTTACTTTAATTCCTTTCAAATTTTTCCGTGTTTTTCACTTTGAAGTTTTGTGTGATGACTAGAGATGTACCGATACCACTTTTGTCGCCGATACCGGCTAAAAACGCCGATACTACAAAAAGGCCGATATTACCGATATTCCGATACCGATACTATGCAATCATTACTTAATCAGGTGTGCTGTGTAGGGCAGACGGATTTATTAAAACAATGGTCTTTGAGCGTTGTTCATAGTACACATTATTTCAGATCGAAAAAAAAATATATATCACATAATATGAAATTAATGTTTGCTATCCTGATTAATTTACATTGTACAGTAACGCTAGTAATCTCGGTGTTCAATTAGAAAACTCATAAGCTGGGATGTCCAATTTGAATTTAATGTTAATATCGCGACCTTCGAATATCGTTATTCGTGTTTAATTAAAAGAATATCGAATATCACATACACATTCTAGCGCCGCCGTCCTACGTTCAAATTAAAAGCATTTTACAAATATTTTATTTCGCGGCTAATCGTAATCGTCGATGCAATAAGTCAAAGCCAACATGAAAGAATATCAATCAGCACCGACAAAAAGAAGGCCTACCTATAACCGTCGAGGATGTTTTTTTTACTTTACTATTTTATATTATTTTACAATTGCTATAATATATTTTGAGACAGTCTAGGGCTAGGCGGTCATGTCAATATATCTATAAAGAAATTGTGTAGTTAAACAAAATTAAAACCTGAGTAGAGGGATAATTGTGTCGGAATTTAGTTTATCGATGTCGACGGATTAATAGACACTCGTACTTGACGACAAACAGTCAGAATTTATACCCGTGCCAAAAGTCCATGTGCCGTTAATAAGGACCCCAATTCCACTATATGATTTAAAACTGGGCGCCTAGTTGCTTTTTGTTATGTGCTGTGTTGATATATATTTCATAATTACTATGTAATATTAAAATTGTCAATATAAAAATTTGACAGCGAAAATAGCCAAATTAGTTGAGATAGTTTGGATGATAAATAGCTGAAAACACGTGAATCCTATTCTCTCGCGGGGGTGGGGACATGTATGGCTCATAGCTCACGAACACTCCAGACAAAATATAAATTAAAAAGTAGTATTCCAACTTATCTTCAAAACATTCTGAACCATATCAAAAAGGCAAATATATCGGAAATATCGGCCTTAATCTAACCCATACCGATACATGGCCGATACCAAAAACATTGCCGATACCGATATCCGATACATCTCTAGTGATGACGTCATAAAAATTGCGCAACGTGTGGTGGTGGTTCTGCGATCGCAATTTAGCGATCTGGTAGCCGGCGAAGTCGCTATTTTCTTGTTAACCACTAACCACGCCGCTACGTATTTTCGTATGTATGAGGTGAAATACAATGTCAAAATTTATTGAAATACATTATTTGTAAGTCATGAGGAATTGTTATACCAAACTATTCGCTGAATTCTTCACAAAGGGCAAAAGTTATTTAGCTTATTGTGATTACAGAAATGATTGATGCTCGCTAATTTGAATGGAATTACACAATAGGATAAAAATATACAGCAGCAATGAAACGACAAAAGAATCTCACAAATTAAAAGAAAATACGTCGGATAACGTAAAGTATAAATGAACAATTACATTTTGCTATGATAACATTCAATCAGTATCCTCGAAAAGCAGCCTATGGTCCAATTATCGTATGAATAATCTTCAACGATGATTCCGAAACGGTATCTTAATTATACAATAATTTGCTCTTAGTTTACCAGTTTTAACAATTCAAAACAAAGTACACTATTATGAAAACATTTATAAGTCTGAACTTCACTTAATGTGAATTGGACCATCATCAATGAGCCTTCCATCAGTTTCATTTTTACTCAAATTGGACTTTTGTAAGGTTAACTGCTCCATTAATACGAAGAGTGCGAATAAGATTCAGAGGACGTATTCTGTGAGCGTACGTACAAATTTCCATACCATTCAATTCAACATGAAATGCGGCCTGATCCACCCGAAACATGAGCTGAATAAAACATAAAAAAACAAGCACATTTAGCTTCAAAAATGAATTCCATTGCAGCAATCCACGAAGTTATTCAATATTTGTGCTTCTAATTCTAATTAAATCACCAGAAGTTATTCTGACGTTGCTTTGAACAGATAAAATCCATAGATAAATTTAATACGTTGCCTAAATATACCTACGACGAATACTGGTAATACCATTCGAATAGAATACATAGAATGACCGACAAGAAAATTTTGAATAATCGCATAAAAACGACTTTGTTTCATTTTTTATTGTCATCAAGCACATATTACAGCAACACGGTAGATTTAACTACCTCAATTCTTGCAAAAAAACATGTCGTTGTTTGAGATATTTACGATTTAATTAAATAGTAAGCCTGTTCGAGATTTTTCATAACTTGTGTATTAGGTGTTAGCAGACTCTCGTGACTTATAACCATCGCATCGTCACCACCCGGTCATTGTTTAATTCTTTTTTATACGGATATGTGTGCTTATTCTGTTTTTGGTAGAAATAAACTTTCTCCCTCTCTGAAGTTATTCAGTAAAGCGTAGGCTTTCACATACCTTAGCTGATAAAAATCAACAAACCTTATAGTAACTTAAACTCTCATTTTTTACCTGAAACGGAACTCCGTATTGAAACGGGAACGGAACACTCAGCGCTCTTTCTTCTTGGCCCCAACATTTGTTTTTCTCAGTATTTCTCACCATTGCACGCTCGGGAATTCGAGGGTTGAAGTGTAAAAAGATATCTCCAGAATCCGATACAAAATCAAACATGATTCTGAAAAAAATAGGTTTTCTGATATCATTGACAACAAGAGATTGACAATTTACCAATTCCATCGAACAAATATCAAATTATGCCAGAACTATAACTAATGCGGATGGATTGAATTACGTTAAAATGTGAGTTACTTTATTGCCATTTTTTGTATCAATCACAACCACTTAACAAGAATAACGGTTTTCAAATCACAATTTTTGGAAATATTTCTAAAATTTGAAAAAACCTTTAAATAACACGAAGTCATTTACCTATGTGGACTTCTGTTTTGTGGTATACCCGAAACAGTAACTCTTCGGCCTCTAATGTTCTTGAAAGGCACAACTGCCGTGCATGGTACAGCCTGTATCGTAAGTGTAATGAAGTATATTATATTGACACACACGTTACAGCAACGTTAATGATTAATTTGAGCCAGATAAAAGAAGACTGCTTCGTGACTGCTATATTTCCAATTAACCTTAGTAATATGAAATCTCTACGGAGACTACGGTTTATTTTTAACGTACAGTAAAAATTCTCCTATTAATATTTTGCCGTCTGATTCATGATTCAAGAGTATCGTATTATAATGAATCTTTACTTCACAAATAACATTCAAATATTTGTCCACACCCACCTGTGAATACGTGGGAGTTAGAAAAGTCCCATACTATAATGTTTCACAATTTGTGTCGACAAATATAAGTATACAATGCAATACAGATTAACTAGCCAGAGGTAGACGAGTCAAAATGAATGATTTGTAAAGATTTGCTTTTGGTTAATACTTACCGGGTTATTGATAAGGGACGGCACTCCTATCTGAAAAAAAAAATAGTTTGATCGTTTAGTTTTTCATTGACATGTAAGCACGTAATAACAGTGTACGGTTTAATTAGGGTTACCATATTTTTGTGCCCTCAAATCGGGACGCCTCCAAAGACGACAGCTGTAATTTTTTCAACTTCAAATTTTTCGATTTTACATTAGATGGTACATTTAAAACCATCCCGGCTGTCTTTATTGACCATATTACCATCGAGAATTCATGCGCTGTCTGTCTTTAAATATCGGTTACAGTTCGAAAACAGAAAGGAATTTACGTTAACGTTAAGCACCCTTTTGGCGTACGGGGCTTACACGTAACAAATTGCAGTACAATGTTAGCGGAAAACAACGAAACAAACAAAATCACTCATCCACCTTCGGTAAGTAGGTTACTGGTACGCTATACAGCAACAACAGTATCGGGAACATGCTAAGTGGTAATGTTCGTGTATTATGCTGACAGACTGAGCGCCAAAGCGGGACTTTTGGCTGACCGGTCGGGACGCCGAGACAAGACGTTGTAAAATGGGACTGTCCCGCCTAAAACGGGACGTATGGTAAGCCTAGGTGTTTAATAGCTCTCGACATTTCAGTCGTAGCCTATAACTAAGCTTAATTAAAGATGTGTTTCTTTCGCTTCGGAGTGAACACCTGCCTAGCAAATTAGTCATATTTGTTTATCAGTCATAATGAAGCAAATGTTTTTACCTTGGTAAACAAGAAACTAGCAGTCGACACAGGCATTCACAAGTACCGTACTATTCTTGCAAAAGTACATTCTCAATGGAATGAAAGGTAAAAATACAACCTAAATCACCCAACAATTTGTTTTGATCACTTCCTATGAAATTGTTTCGCGAAGATTTGAACAACAATTTCGATCATTAAATGTTCACTCGGCTGATTCGTTGGTATTTATTGAAAATAAGTGTTCACTGTGGGAATATACCTTAAGCTTGTTACTTACTGGCTGGGGTTGAGGTTGAACTTCATGGTCGAAGCGAACCATACTGATTTGAACAGCTCCTTCTATGCTGAGGAATCGTACATTTTGCATGTTAATTCTGTGACCATATTCAATGAAATGCCGACCATTCACAGCAATCTTAAAATACATAAGAAACAAGATTTCTGATACTCAGCTTCACCAAGTGTCATTTGCGATTATTTCAAAGGAAATGGACAGTGAATAGTTTTAAATTCATTGACGGAAATACATTCATTCTTCTGTATTCGTTTGTTGGATATTCAATGTGAAACGTAGTCCTTAAATAACGATGGGAGCACGTTAAAAAAAGAAACTAAATTTAAAAAATCTTCGAAAGGAGGTCATCATGAAAGCTTGAAAACCATTAGTATAAATATTATGAGGGTAAAGAGTGGCAATTCACGTTATTAAAAATTTCTTTTATCAATGTATTGGTACCTAGACAACTTATCTCAGTGTCTTTTACGAGGTGTATCAAACCAGAACGCCGTCAATAGCGAATGCGCTAATACGAAAATAACCAAATACTTAGTTTCTAGTAATATTATTATGTATAAGATTAAAAAATATTTCATACTGCTCATAAATCATAATACCTTGTATTGGTGTTGCTGACATAAAATTATGAGTTCAAACGGCTGCCCCATCATAAATGGAAATCCATTAGAAGCCCGTTCCTCAGCTTCCCACATTCCATTCCTCTTCGTGTTTCTTACAACAATATTCCCAGAGTCGAATCTTGGATTGAAGTGAAGCGCATGATCATCGGGGCGAGGGCCCTTGAAATTCACCGAAAATCTAATGAAAAAATAAATAATAGTTTATGGTAATATCATCTAACTTGCGTTTTTTAGTTCTCGAACGCCAAGTGAATAAATACTGATATACATGTTCGAACTGCTCTAAAAGCACACACCACGAACTAAAAAGTTATTTATTAATGTATCGCAGGTTTAGGTTGACTGATCCAATTACCATCCTCACTGCCTCACTCAAGATAGAATAAATTGGGAAGTCGATGTTGTGACGGAATGACTCCCTTCCTCCAAAAATAGCAACTCGCATATCAGTAGATTCTCATAAAAAGTAAAGACTCACCTTCCGCCGTTTGGAGTTCCATTGATGTAAACCATAAATCCAGGACGTAGAGACACATTTACATTCAGTGGAACTATCTGAAACATTGAATGTCATTTTATATACCAAAGAAACAAAACCGAAGGGATATGATATTTATGAATAATTCACGGTCCTAGCAGTTTGATTTATTCCAATATAAATGTCTGATTCTTCAACGGTTTCATCCATACTTCAAATTGTATTTTCACTTCATGCCAGTGGTTTTGAATTGTCAGAAACGCATCGTAATATTGGCTTAGCTACAATTACAACATTACATCAAATATCGGTCAAGCATGACAAACCGAACATAACCTGGCCAAATGAATAATAGCCGAGGCAAATTCAGCGAATGTTTGAATATAGAGCGTAAGTCGTTTACTTACCGGGTTGAACATTGGAGCACTCATGATGCACTGCTATTAAATGTATACCAATACTGTCTTGATACTTAAATACGCTAAAAAACAAATTGGCTATATGTAACATCAGTCGAAAATGTTTAAGGTATTTCGATGACGTATTATGAATGCCCATGCCTGAGGCTCGGAAACTTTGTCGAGCAATATTAAAAAAACTATCTCCATCTACCTTAAAAATATAGGTAACTCAATACTGCACTATGAAAACACTTGTAATGGAACTTAAACATTGTCGTTGTTAAGCAAAGCGAGTAGCAGTATACAGCTACACCGCAAGTAAACAATTAAATAAAAGTATGAAACAAGATGGTAAATTTACTGATATTTCTAACAGCATTGACGAGTTGTTTATACGCAGCGGATGAATTATGAGATAATGAATGTAGCATAATAAACGCATATTTTTACGTATCAAGCTCCCACGCAAAGCCGGAAGGTTTTCGTCTCACAAACGATTACACAATCAGCAAAAAGGCCTATCTATAGTAATTAGCGATACATGGCACCAAGATGAAGCCTTTTTTTAAGTATTGCTCATGGCGGGGACATTCCAATAAACAATTTAGAGCAGGGGTCGGCAAACTACGGCCCGCGGAACAATGTGAACAGCAATATGACGTATTTCAATTCAATCGTAACGGTTACACGACAGGACCACCAAAGTGACGTTCTAATAATAAGGCTTGAAGTCCAGACTCGAATCCGATTCCATTTTCCCGACAATTCAGATACGGCACAGCTTTTAGGCTAAAGACAGCTAAAATTGTGCATGCGGTTTGATACCGACGAAGGCCTTTCATACGACAAACGATTTGCAAATTGTGTCACTGGCCACAGCCTAACGTACACTCTTCCTTACCCTAGTGTTTTATCGATAGTTTTTTATGTTGCTGCCCAACAGTTAAGAATTGAAGTACATTTAAAGCTCCAATTTTCATTTAACTTGCCTCCGTAGAGAGCTATTGAACTGCAATATAATCCGAAGAAAGCCTGCTATAACCATGTCTACGTGCAATATAACTCACCGATCTGCGCCGCCAAATATTGAGAGCGCAGTATCGCTTAGTCACGTGTTTACGTGTCTCGTGATTTACGAGAGTAAGCCGTCTGTTACATCATAGAAAGCAAACATGTAACAATAACCTCAATTTTATGTTTGCAAACTTCGAAATAGTATTTCAATGTCTGTTGGACGCTTCAAAACCATAGTGGGGTATTTTGCGTTATATCTATGTGCGTAGATAGCAGTCGATCAATGGACTAATAGACTTGTAACCGTGACGCTCAGGAATGTATTCATAAACCTTTTGTTATGCTAAAAGTAATTCACGCTATTCTTCACAAATATGATTTTCACGGAGTTATTTCAGTATGTGCAAAATAATTTATTATATCATAACCAACTTCCAGTCATGAAGAACATTTTTAATGAATGAGCTTAAAAAATGGGAATAAATACAAATAGAATTCGCAACCACCAATACTCTGAATAGCTTACGTCCCAGCGACAGAGGTGTTCCCTAAAGAGTGGTTGTCCCGAAACTCGTCACATTGTCGGGGTAAACTTTAGGACTAGGTAAAAGGGAATAGCACTGAGCCAAAGTTCTTGCTAAAACATTTAGCGTATGGTTGCCTTGCCATATTCCCAAGAACTAAATCCAGGGTAATTTATATATATATAATATCTACGATGTAAGTTCGCCACTCTGAATGGGCTCTGCATAGAAATATAAAATGAAGATTGTGAGAATTACCAAACAATTCCATGGTTTTATTGGGAACGAGAGTTTCGATTATTGATTTTCCTGCGATGGTTTGAATCGCGTGTTACAAGAGATCTGTGCCAAAGTCAATACACGTGGGGTGATCAAATTTAATGATGTTTCTGTGGTTGGAAACGATAATCTGATACATCAATTCTCAATTTCAACGAATATAGAAATTATGTATTCCGAATTACGCCTCGAAAGACAACGACTCATTAGATGTGATTTTGTAACTTCACATTTTCCGATTTTACTACATAGGCCTACATTCCTATATTTAAAGCTGTCTCTGCTGTCTTTATTGACCTATTGTTATCGAGATTTCAGGCGCATATTCTCTGTCCAAATATCGGGTTCAGTTCGAAAAATAAGAAGGAATTGACGTTAACGATACCGGTACAAATAATTCGAATTAGACTAATTGGTATTGGTTTTACATGCGATACGTCTGCCATCAATGGGAATCAGTGGGAAACGAACGCATTCACCTTCAGTAAGTAGGCTAGCGCTGCGCTACACAGAAACAACAGTAACGAGAACATGGGACAAAACGCTGAAAAGCGGAACTGTCCCGCCTAAAGCGGGACGTATGGTAAGCCTAGGCTTAGGCCATAATTTGAGTACTTCTAGTTTTATTACGAGTTCGGGGACTGTCTGTGTTAGCCAAATGAATATACCACCTGCCCACAGATTTCAGTTCATTTATACAACTTGATGTAAAGTAGGTGAACAAAATTAGTTACCTGAATATTGGTACATAAACTGGAGCGCCAATTTTTCTATTTAGGACGAGATTGATGTCGCTCGCTTCCAAGCTGTCGTTGATGAATTCACACATTTTGTGTCGTCATAGTCATGTGATTGAGATGAGAGTAATAACACTGCATTAATTTGAGTTAACGACAGTGCATTTTCGATATTTCGATTAGCGTTTTAATTTTGATGAATTTGCAATAAACTGAGTTTTCCAGTGTGAAGAACAAACTGCGTTTTTCTAAATGCTTCGAATTTGATTAAGTGCGTCAACACTGATGTTACTTCATAACTCATTCGGAATATGGGTATCAGAAGATTGCTGACAATCTGACATTGACCAATCGTGATCTGTACTTATCGCCTAGTGTTGCAGTTTCTAAGCGGGGAATTTTGGATCCTAAATGTCCTCACAACGATTTATACAATTTCTGTGTGTGGTTTCAGATTTTTAAAATGGTCCGTGGCAGTGAAATAGTTCAGAACTACTGTCCTACTGGTAATGCGTTGGCTTGAGTTTCAAGTTTAATCGATCATACGTTCGATTTTCAACTTTAAATTCAAATTGCCTTGCAAAGAAAGAATAAATTATTTGTACACGCATATATACATACATACATATAAATTTTATGAAATAGGTGATTGAATTATGGGATGTTCGCTCACCCAATGAAAAGGATAAACCTATTTCAATGGACTATAACTTGAGTTTTATTGACTAATAATTTATATTTTTATGACAAACCCTGTTAACGAAAGGAAATATAATGCCCGGTTTCGAGGCAACAAATCCACTCGTACGTGCACTAAATGCACTAAAATGTAAAAAATATTCAAATTTCTTAGTATCGGAATTTGGAATCGGGTGTTAATTTGTCTTTTCTTGCTAAAGTTCGAGTCATTGCATAAGAATTTGCGACATATGCAACTTTTGTGGACATCAAAGTAGGTTTCTATGTTAGATTTATCAAACAAGATACATTGCGATCTGTATATGTGTTTTAAATCTAAGATGACGTGCTTATCTTTTACCACCATCAAGAGGTATCGGTGTTTTGTTTCAATCAAAAAAGTTTTTGTAATTTTCGGATAAATATCCTTTCGTCGAAAAAGCTTTATTTGCAAAAGAATAAAGAATGTTGAGGTGTAAGTCAAAAGGGGCTATAATGTTTTAGACAGTAGTCAATGTAATAACAGCAAACTATGGTCATTGGGAATTGATGAAACACAATTGATGTAAAATTGATGACAATTCTTGGGTTTAAGAAATATATTTTCTGTCCCGAATGTCCTAATGCGCATTCTTTTGAGATGACATATGACCTAAAATGCAAAGTTATTCAAATACCACTGACTCGATAAATTTTTGAGTAATAGAAAATTTTTTGACGTTATCGCATCGAGAAATACCGTTGAATATACATTGAGTTTTAGTTTGTATCGACGAACTAAAAAGTTCAGGCAGGCCCAAATAGAGTTGAATTGGCATAGGATTTTAATCTTTATGAACTCTGTTACACTTTCAATTTGTGACCTAAATTGGTAAGAACAGTTTATGCTATTCTTTGCTTTGTTATATTCCATTAGCGCGAAGTTTTATGACGTCGTAACTTCGTCATTTAAGTGAGCAATATCCTCTGGGTATGCATTTTCTTTATAAAAGGATACTTGCAAAGAAGTACATTTTACAGATAGGAATGGTTGTATAATGTTGAAGGACATTGTTAAAACGACTTTTGTATGATAAAATTTTCATATCAGTTCAGTTTGGATGTTATATTAGATTTACCCACGCCAATCTCTGAATAGTATATGTCAATTATAAAGAATGTGTAAAATGTAATAGGTTAATTAAAGCAGCGTTTTCCTAACTACTGCTTTTTTCTTTCTTCTGGAATTTCCATTTGAAACCAATATTTATGTGCATGCAATTGATTTTTTTGTCATATTTGTAAATTGCTTGTCTGAAGACGAAACATTACAGAAATATATCTGTGTTCGTGTGCAGCAAGACTCTTGAATTGAATATAATAGCCATTTACACTCTTGCTACAGCATCCTTGCGTAATACGCGTACGGATCCACCTGCGCAAAGGCATAGAGAGAAAGGAAAGGTAGTTTGTTTCACGCAACCTCAACTGTTAGTTACGTTAATTATATTATGTAATATTTCTTTTAACAAAATTCTTTCCCATACAAGCACTTTACAACAATGATAAACAAAATTTTTTATGGCATTAGTATTCTGTAATTTGTTCATCTCAAGACGTAAGCATAAACTGTTTTGAGAAAACAAACGATTTTTCAGTCAATCGGGTGCTATGAATTTGAAGGCTTTCTTTCTATAGAATGCATTGAACACGGATGAATTTTTTTACATTTTGTTGCCTGTAACTTCCGATCTTGTGGTGTAATCCATTTTTATATTTTGCAGCATCAACCATTTGTTTTAGAAATCATTAATATATTTTATCACATCTATCAAATATACGACTCAAAATAAAATTCATCAACCATTGACGCGAGATGAAGACTACTACTATATGTAAGTTCGATTCCAATTCGAAGTTTTGTTAATATTATATGGTATTGTACTAATTGTAACACAGCAGACTGGAAATGCTATGGCTTTGTGAACATTTTACCTAAACTTCGTTTGCTAACTACCAATGCCATTTTTTAAAGAGTGCAAATGATATTTCAATAAAATTTAATTTTTACCGATTCGAAAACCAATTCATCAAATATACCTTGACTGCAACTTTTACCCCTTTATTTTGTAATTTATATATTTTTCTGTATACCAATTTAGTGACGGCATTTTGTCTTCTTCTTGCCATCAAACGTGGATCATCTTCAGTTTGCGAAGATCTAGCAAATGGAATTGAGGGAGATTTTACAATAGAAGAAGTTAACGAGTGCCACGGTTAGATTGTTATCATGTCACATGACAAATTATTTTAGGTTTATTTTTGATACCTGCGTCGAAGTGAAGTCGTTGTTGGAAATTTGACCTATATGTGTGTGTGTCTTTCAATTCGGTCAAGTTTGTGTTTCAAGATAATTTCCAAAAATTTTCAGCTTGAGACTGTATTGTACCGTTTTATTTGTTGCCTCCTTGAGAACTCCGCATAATTCGACCACATGTAAAATTCGAATTAAAAGACGAGTTTAAAATTTGATCTAGAAATGTGTGCGTCTTTCGATTTGTTCAAATTTTCGTTTTAAAATAGTTTCCAAAAACTGTCAGCTCGAGATTATATTGTAGCATTTTTTTCGCTGCATCCTTGTGAACTGCGTACACTTTGACCACATATAAAATTTGAATTGAAAGACCAATTCAAAAATGACTCCATTTTTTTTATGTTTTTTTATATTCAGAATGTGGATGGTACAAAATTCAAGGTGACACACGCACGTCCCATTCATCTTCTATTACGCCATTCACCGGAGCGGATGTGTCAGGAATTGGAAATCCCGAATCTGCGTGGTGTGCCGATGACGAAAAAGATGACTATCTTCAGGTAATAATAAAATACAATAAAATCCTATTACCAGTTAGAGTTTAACAGGAAGATGACCTAAGAAAACCTGCCAAATTGCTTACTCTGGAATGTGAGTTTATTGTTTTTGAGTTTTTGCTGCTGTTTGATAAAATCCTCTATACATTTGAACCCCATATATTTTCAAAACAATTTCAAGCAAGTAATGTTTAAAATCCTGAATGACACCCGACACTTGTGTGTAAGAAGCTACCATGTTGTGAAAGAGTAAAATCGTGAATTGAATAACAATGTGGGCGGGGAGATTGGCGCGTAACTTGAATCCGTTATCTGTAATAGCTAAGTATAGTCGCTAATCACTTGTCCAATGCGCTTTGAGCTTGATAACCTATTTCGTTTAAAGTTTACTGAAAGATACAAAACATAAAGTAATTGTCCGGATGAATGAACCTTCCATCTTATCCAACCATATTTCCAGGCCGATTTCGGTCGCCAAATAAAGCTTGCAGGATTGGTGACAAGAGGATATGAAATTGCTGACTCGTGGGTGACGTCCTACACAGTTTCTTACAAAAACAAAAATGACGAATATCAATTCGTAAAAGACATGGAAGGAAATATCAAAGTATGTATTTTCAGATTTCAAAGAATATAGTGCTGTAAAGTATGGAATGCATAGCAATATATTTTAGTTGAACTAGTCATGTTATCAAATTGACTACTCTGCATATGTAGAAACCGTATTAATTTAAGCCAAGTACTCTTGACAGAGTCAAAGAGTAAATAACATGAATATTAAAATTAGTTTCAAATGTAACCAGTTTTATTTAATCAATATTCCATTACAGCAGGATAAACTTACGCATGGTATTTTGCTTTTTCCCAATAATTTTGAATATTTTACACAATTTTAAAATGCGATTTTTAATATTTTATTCAACAAATTCACATAGCAACACATAGAACAGCAATACTATGTAGCAAGTAAATTTTTCCCGCCCTTCTGACAAAGTATTTAACGTGTTACACAGACTTGTCTATGAGACCTATTTTTTGTCCCATTCCCATCCCAGAACAATTATGCATGTCCCATCCCATGGGATTCCCATTGGAATAACATTCAATAAAAATTGTTAAATTTAGGTTTAGCGTCTACTAAATAGGACTACATGTACGTATAGACACTCAAAACAACAAAATTAGGCGACTTTGTTAACTTTATATTCATAACTATTATGCATGCGTTTATCAGCCACTTCACGAGGTGTAATGTTAATGCTGAATATATTTTGCTCTTCATAACTATCAAGAGGGCTATGCTAGAATATATGGACACGAAATCCATAACGAAATGTTTTACCATCATTTCCCCGAAAATCATACGGTTTTCGTTTCCCACGGGAAATACAATTGTGTTCTATCCCATCTTATGGGGACCTCATTCCCCTGGACCAGCCTGGTAATACACACTTAGGACAAACAATTTTTTTTTCACCAAAAGTTTAATGTCAACGATTGGTCATTCTAATATTTCTAATTTTTTTTTTTTGAAAATAAATAGTATTTTCATCCACATGTTTCGGGGTTCAACCTATACATTAAGTCATTTGTATCTTATTACAGATATTTACCGGCAACGAAGATGGCATCACTATAGTGGACCAGAAATTCCCTGTTCCTTTGAACACATCAGTAATTCGTATTTACCCCACGGCACATCATACTGCTGCCTGCATGCAAGCTGATGTGTATGCATGTACTAAACAAGGTTAGTATGTTAATACTTGATGACTGTCACTTAGGATAGTTAACTTTACTCTTGCTACAGCATTTCTGCATTATATGCATACGGATTCTCCGGCGCAAAAGCATATAAGAAGAATAGGTAGTTATAGTCTCGCAGAAACTAAATCGTTAGCAATTGTTAACTCTCACTTTGAAAGTTCAAATAACATGTTATTTGCTCGGAGAAATCAAGAGCACGAGTTTCAAAAAATACTTAGAAATGACCGACACTTAGCAACAACAAAAACGTAACTGATAAAAGAAAAACAATTACAACACGAATGTTTCTTTATGAATTCGTATTTTTGCATTGAATCGTTGAATAAAATATTTAACTGAAGTATATAGCTGAATATATGCGGATTATAGAACAAATAAATATAAACACAAAGCGTTTTCCTCGCCTTCATTTATTGGTTGTATGAATCAAATTAGTTTTTATTTGTCTTATTCAATATTTTACAACATATTATTCATCACAGTTTCAAGTGATGTACCTTCTCCGTTATTGGATGCAAGTATGGCTGACTTTGGTAAGTTCTCGAAATATATATTTTTATACAATATACTTTGTGAGATTGTTTAAGAATACCGTAATTCAGGAATTTAATAATATTTAAAAAACTAATCAAAATCGCGACCACTACTTGATTTGTTTATGCTATAAAAATTGCACTACTTCAACGTGTAGTTCTTACATGATTTCAAGAAATGAATACCTTTGTGGAATCATTTTCCGGATAAACGATTAAATTCTAGACTGACTCTCATCATCTTTCGGATCTCATTCAATTTATATATTTTCTCTTTTTTTTTGGTAAATGGCAAATAATTTATCACTAAAACAATTTAAATATTGCATATTGATATATCGATGACTGATATAATTTTTTTCGTTTTTTAAATCATTCTTCATTGCTTCAAGAATGAATTGTATAGTCACACACAAAAACGGGGATCTAATTTAAATATTTCAAATGTTCCAGGTATTTTATCAACCTTTTGCAAGATCGACGTGTTTGTAGATTGCAAGTCTTCTTGTTTAAAGTATAAGCAAGATTGGTTTGGATGTTATACGTGCGAATGTGAGGTGATGAAGATAGGAGGTTTGTGAAACTCAAATAGACATTTGCATTTCAATAAGTTAGGTTCGGTATTATATATAAAACGAGCTCAAGGAATTTTATGAAAATAAAGAAAGAAACGATATTTCGCTTGCTTCAATGCAAAATTTTGAAAGTATTGGGATGTTACAAATAAACATTTGTTGTCAATGTGATTGTTTCGGCATTACGATCATTGAGAACCAACATGTGATTTATTTGTTTTGAAAATATACTCAGATATTCATTGATAACAAAAACCACTACTTGCTGCAATCATAAATTCTGTTAATTTAAGTTATATCTATAGGAAAGAATGCGTACCTCAATAGCCACGCTCCCTTTTAATGAAAGTAATGTTAGCTCATTAAATGCCAAAATACACTGAAAGAATTCAGATTTATAGTAAAGCATAGCTTAAGTAAATGCATATATAATCGGGAAAATATAAGTTGCCAATGATACTTTTCACATTCAATATTAACTCTGTTTGCAGATAAATTCGAGTCTGATATTCTTTTTACTGAGTTGACTATGGCTGCTGCAGAAGCAAGTCTAGGGGTATCAGGCGGAGGAGGAGAAAATGAGGGAATATACAAAGGAGCTTCAAAACTCGTACCAAAATGGGACCAGAGGTCGAATGGGAAAGTCATTGTTCCTTACAGCTATGGGGCTGGTCTCAGTAAGCGAATTTGATGTCGTAAATATTTTTAAATTAACTTGCATAAAGCGTAAAGCTATAAAATAGGAACATAGAGAAGCACTGCGGTTTCAGGAATAAATTTGACCTCCAAGTCTGTGAAATCCTCCGACGATTCCGTGCGCTGCAAATCCAGATAACTAGTTTTATAGTCTGATGACTCAAGTAAAGAACTTTTTTTAATTATCTATATGACTGTCACAACAGCCCCTATTTGGAACGAAAATATGATACATGTTATAGTTTCAAGCTGTGCTGCCGCGCTAATCAATTTCTAGTCGATCAATATGTTGAACCATGGCACGTACCGTAACTGGTACAAGAATACCAAATATTTTAGCACGAGTTTTTATTTAATGTTACACTTGTATGCGCGAACATAAAATGAATTTTGAATTCCACTGTTTTGAATATATCCATCCAGCACGCAAGCTCCATTATTACAACTCGTATTTTAATTATACACTAAATTGAATTATACAGGCTCGCGAGCACCAGCTTCTATACAAGCCGCTATCAGAGAGCTTTCCAGCAAAACATGTATTCAACTGGTACGAAGATCAAATCAGCCCCAATATATAAACTTTGTAAGCGGGGGTGGATGCTCGTCACCTGTTGGAAGACAATATCGTGGTAATCAGGTGAGAACGAGAACTGTTTGCTATTTATACGGTTTCGTCAGTCAATTATTATCTTCGTGGGCAACTAAAGAAGTCTTCATAAGCTGATTATGGATGGATTGCCTATAGATTGCCGTATCTATTGTTAGCATTTTTGTCGATTTTCTTCATAACTAACAGATTAGTTTAATATTTGAAGATTGTGGATGGCGCTAAATAGCTGTTATTATCTATATTATTATTTTTTTTTTCTCAAAGTCCTATTTTTAACTAAAGGGTATTATTATCTATAATATTTTTTTAATTTTTTACACTGAAGTCCTATATTCAACCAAGAAACAACAATACTTTTTTGAAGTTTGTAACTCCTCCACTAATATCTCGCCTTATATCCGCTCACTCCTTACTCCTTCCCTTATATCCGAGTATTACTCTCTTGTTTCTCGGTTCAGAATAATGTTTTATAACACGAATTTAGAATATTACTTTGCTTGAATAAAATTCAGTGCACAATCTCGTTTTAATTCGAATGACCTATCAGAGTGGTGATTGTTTTTACTGTTTCAATTTTTACAGCCTCATTCCATATTAGTGCATAGGCTGCCCTGATACTGGCTGTTATGGCACCACTTAATTCGAAAAGTCACTCTTAAATGCAGGAATTGGGTATTCATGATTTTCAGTTTTAAAAATTTGTGAATGAAAAACGCAATATATATTTCTAAGGTTTCTATCGGATATGGTTGTGAACATATGGGAACTGTTGTTCACGAAATTCTTCATTCCTTGGGATTCTGGCATGAACAGAGCAGACCTGACAGAGACCGTTATGTTAGAATTTTAACGCAAAACATACAATCAGGTGAGTGATGTATGCCTAATAAAGTCGAATTTTATTACTACTTCTGCTGCTGCTGCTGCGGCTACTGCTGCGGTGATTGCAACTAGCTTCCTAATAACTAGCGACTACTGGATTTACTTCTTACATTTACCCCATTTAATGGAAATTTTCTACTTCAAATTCCCACAGTTGTTATTGAACATTTTGTTGTAAGATTTACTATGTTTCAGGGATGGCGTACAACTTTCAAAAGCGAAAAAATCACGAAATTGACTCATTCGGTTCTCCATATGATCTGCAGTCTGTTATGCATTATCATGGAACCGCTTTTTCTAGAAATGGACAGCCTACTATCGTGGATATGCGCGGAAACGCTGTTAGGGGACAGGTAAAATTTGAATTCTTGAGTATACGGGCGGACAGTTGATTATGTTTTAGTACATTTCTCAAACTTCATCTCTTTTTTAAAGCGAGGTGGTTTATCAGTCGAGGATGCAAAACAAGTTAACAGAATGTACAAGTGCGGAAATACTGGAACAGGAGGAGGTTCGACAACTGTGGCTCCTGGCACCACAAAGATCACCACCGTGTCTCCCGGCTCATGTCGCGACGAACATCGACATTGCTCATTTTGGGCAGGAATCGGTGAATGCAATAAAAATCCTGGTTACATGAAACTGAAGTGTAAGAAGAGTTGCGAGGAATGCGGAGGTAAGACAAAATTTTTTTAATGTAATCAAGTTTAATTAAGAGTAATCAAAACAATCATCACATTCAACTGGAATGCTAAACGTATACTTATGGAAGGACTTGAATCAAATTTTTCGAACCCCACATTGCGATGTAAAATATATGTGCATACAATTATATAATTTCATACTCTATATAAAATTGATTATCTCATTGTACGAATATACCACTACCAATAACTGCATTAAATCGCACAAAACTTATTGAGGAACCACACCGAGCCCTTCTATTTGCTTTGATGGAAATGAAAATTGCCCCTCTTGGGCCAAAATTGGTGAGTGTGGTAGAAACCCGGCATATATGAAAGTGAATTGCAAGAAGAGTTGCGCAGTCTGCGGCGGTGAGTAGAAGAAGACAATCACAGCATGCTTGGTGTTCGGTGCTGCTTGTTCATTCACAAATATAACTCTTCCATTTGAATGTGTGTGATGTAATCTTTTCATGTTTTTACAAAAAGAATTTCTGGTATTTTGCTCAAAAGTTGGAACTGGCAAGGTCTTTGAGACCAGGACAAAATCATGAAATCTCAGAGTATTCTTTTTTTGGTTTACTTTCAGGTTATTTGAGTATTACTCCCACTTTTCTCTTTCTCTGAAGTCGAGCTCAGTCGACAAACGCACGATAGAATCATTTTACAAACCGCTATCGAATCAAAAATATATATACTTGGCTCTCACTTGGAATCATTATAAAGCAATAATTCGCATAAACTAATTCTCTCCCTATAGAGTCGCATGTGCAAGGAACGTATTCTTTCTAAAAGAATCATCCTACTGTAATCCGAGATCTGAGAAAAAATAAATATGGAATTCGACTCGCTGGCGATATTTCTTTCATATAGTTCGGTGTTCTGAATTCTCTTTTGCGGTGAATTTTATCTCGAAATTATCTAATTCGCTCACCTCTGTAGTATAGTCATGACTTCCATAGAAGTATACCTGCTGTGGTAGATTCTGTGCAGGGAGTCGGATATAGGCAGGCTTGCCATGCTTCGAACGTGGCTTTGTGAAAAGTTCCATATTGTAAAATGATATTCAAAATGCTGGGTTATTTAGTTGATTATTAGTGCGTGAAAGTCACAACCTCGTCACAGCTATAACATCAAAACACTTGCTGTTTTGCATGAGTCACCTACTCACCTATTAACCAAACATACATAATATATTTACGTCGCTTGTATTGCTTTGTGGGACACGAAATGTTTGGGTCATTTTGTTGCTATTAGTGTTCTTGGTATTTTTCCTCGTTCTGTTGTTGTGAAGCAATATGTTTTCTCTTCAATTACTGGACCCATTGGTTTAAAATTTTCAGTGGTTAGAGATTGTTGTTGTCACTATAAGGCTACTACTTGAATTTATTTTAAACATTTCTCTGGGCTTCATGGGATTTGTTTTTCAATTTGTGTGATAACGTCATTAAAATTAAAAAGCAATCTGTTGCTCAGACTGCCGATACTTGAGATTTGATACCACTTCGTTTCGGCTTTCGTGTCCATTTATTTGAGCATTGAGGTCTTGTATTATTGAAGTCATTGAATCACATGCATATGTACAATTGTGTTGTTCAATACCGATATACAGCTTTTTGTGATAAAATATTCACTCAGTAATTATGTATATATTAATAAAAAATTGCATTTTTGCAGGAGCAACTTGTTTGGACAAGAATGCCAAATGTCCGATGTGGGCTAAATATTGTTCATCGGGTACTTACAGTGATTACATGACAAAATACTGTCCGAAGACGTGTGAGAAGTGCTGAGTTTCAGACGATATGCTCGGATTCGATTTATATAAGGACTACGATATATTATTTTATGACTATTATGCTCCTAACTACCATAATAACGCATATATATATACACGAATTTTAAAGCTTAATAAAATGATTCGAAAACCCCGTTCATTGTGACAAGAATATTTAAGCAATCGATTTGGAATCGACGTATACTTATTTGTCGCAAATATATGTGAAAATTTACCCAACAATACTTGGATAGAATGACTAGTGTGAACGCTAGGGCTTCAAATATTTGTGAAATTTTGTAATTATTATTTTTTTGTAGGCTTGACAAGTTCAAGCAAGAAGCAATTACTAAAACTACTTTTTACTAAAAAAGAGACTCAGAATAAAGAATATTACCGGATTGTGCTGTCAAAATTGTCAAAACTGTTGTTTTCGTATTTGTATACGCAATATTTGTATATATAAATATTCCATCGTTGAAAATATGTATGATAATATCAAAATTATACCACTTCATGCTAAAATATTTATTGTATGTGTACAATCATTGCAACAATATGGATCAGTAAGCTATGAACAAAGCATTTACGAAAGAAGTGGAATGTTATATCTTTAAATCTCTGTCCCATTTGCAGGCTATTGTGGATTTTCTAAAAGAATGTTCTCGGCCTATCTTGTTTTGATAAATCTTCGCAAAAACATTCTCATGATTCATAAATTGACGTGATGCTGCATATATATATATATATGTATACATCTATTAGCTGAATTGTGGTTACAAGCTGTTTTTGCTGGAATCGGCTACTCGTTTTCTGTAGCATATAGTGAGGTATTCACTGCGGTACTTTAATAGGAAATGTTATAACAAAACTTCAAGCAAGTACTAATGTCCGTTTAAGATATTATAGTCGAACTGATACACAATCGTTGTCTCCCAATTCCTAGTGATAACTTTTTTAACCTATTTCGGCAAAGAAATGGGCAACAATATTGTATTTGGTCGACACCGCAAAAGATATATTTAAAGTCATTGGCTATTCAATTATCGTCCTTCATTAGAAACGTTCACTGCTACCGCTAAATACTTTGCTTGTAAGGTAATTTAAATAACGGTTACATTTTGTGCCTCGAAAGAGCTTAGAACAGCAGTTTTTGGTATGTTTTAGGCCCATTTAGGGCATGATATTTTTCTATTATGAAGTCACAGTTTATTTTATTGATCGGTAGCTCCTCAACTGGCTACGTATTTATGTATGCACAAACTATTTGATGCAATATGATATGTAACGGTTATGACAACCATATTTGTTATCTAAATAAAGAAGTTTAACCTGGGATCTGCATTTAATGCGATTTTTCACGAATTGGTGCATGCAAATTTAAATCGTTTATGCAAACCGGCACATATAAGCATTTATTGATAAATAGTATAAAATGGCACCACAGTTTTTTGATTTTCCTCAAGGTAGCTATCACAGTTTACCATAACAAAAGCTAAGAACAAGGCTCTGAATAATAGTTTAATTGCGGTGGTTGGCAAAAAATACAACTAAATTTATAACTTTGCTTGAAACAATGATCTATCTAGCAATCAGTGGTTTCCAAACTTTTTGAAAAAAATTCCATGACGGACGCTTTGTGATGATGAACGAACGCCTGTGATGATCCCCGGCCTTGTGCACTGAAACAAAACATAAACGATCACAACAAAAATCAATGAGCCGTATAGTGAAACGAACAAAAGAATATAAAGCACAACTCTAATGACATGTGTGACATCCAGTCTGTTTCGATATTTGGTAAACGTGCAAAAGGGCTTCTACAGCTCTGAAGTTACCGTGTTTCCCCGAAATTAAGACTGGGTGTTTTTTCAATTTTCTCTCGAAAAATAACACTAGAGCGTATTTTCGGGGGATGTTTTAAATTTTCATTTATTAAAAACAAAACTACAAAGTATTTTCAAATATACAAAATATGAACACCGATATTCATTTAATTATAAATAACACGTTTTAATTCAAATTACCTGCAAAACATAGATTATCAATCCTTTAAAACGTGTAGGAGAGATTTCTTGCTATCGACTAGGTCAAAAATAAAATTCGCGTTTTCGACTAGGTCTTATTTTTAAGGGGAGGGCTTATATTAAAATCATTTACAAAATTCAGGCTATAGGTCTTATTTTCAGGGTAGGTCTTTTTGGGGGGAAACACGGTAGTTAACTTGTGGTGGCATGAATTGAACCCTCTCTCTCTGACATTACAGGCCCACAGCTCTGTGACATCCCAATGGGCAGCGTGATCGGAACAGAATGTGAAGAATCAGTGTCTACAGCGGTGATTACGAAGCAGCAGAAGGCACAAATGTGTATTTGCAAATTTAAGCACTTAATTTTGGTATTATCAAGCTAGTAGCCATATTACAGATTAGTTCCGCGGACCCTCCGAAAGTGCTTCACGGACCCTGGAAGGTCCGCGTCCCCAGTGAGAACCATTGAATTCTACGTTTCACATACTACGTTCCTGTGCCCGTCATCTTGGTGCACATACTTCTGGAGTACCCCTAATACTGCTATAAGTGAAGAAGTAGAACTAATTTACATGACGTATATCGACGTTTTCGTCCAGAGCGGGACCCTGGAAAAGTAGAAACGAAATAAATTAAGTTAATATATATAGTAATAGTCGAACCATAGTGCGAGGAATGCAAATTAAATCTCACATTATTGCATTAATGGCGGGGCTTCGTATAAAAGATCCGCTAATATCCGCAACGCCTCGAAAAAAACTTCTTGAATTTTGTGACTGGACGAAGGGACACAGTAATTTATAAATTTTCAATCATGTTTTTTGAAAGCGGTTTTTCCCTTGTATTCGTTCATGCTGTGGTTTGTAATCAGCGATGTTTGCCCATTTCAAGCCACAGACTTGTTGTTTTCCTGTTACCTGGTCGATTTTGCGTTGATTGGTCGATCCGAACACTCAGAAATTGCTTCGGGTAATTATCGAGGTTATCAACGCTGAGCTGATTTGGATCAGTACCTGAGCTGTCAACAACTTTTCGGTCGCGAATTAAGCGTGCGTGTTTACTTTTGGAAATTCTAAGGCGAATGCATGGGTGTAAATAGCTCGTTTTGAATACACCCAAACGATATAAAGGAGGATCAGTCTTCTCTGTCGTAATATGTATTATAGAGTTACCTTACTTAGTTCAGTGTTAATTGAAACTTTTGCTTCTGCCATACGATCAAAGTCTCACGTGAAGGCAAACCCTGTGACAAGAGGAGGAAGCTGCGTTAGTGTCAATGTAGACTGGTTTACTTTAGTGCGGCACCAGGGCCGTATTTAGGCGATAAGAGACCCTAGTCTACTCCATTTGCGAGGCCCTCCCAAATAATACAGGGTTCTATGCTCGTGATGTCGTGTGTTATTCCGCTGGCCATTAGTTTGTGCTATCTTGACTCGGATGTGATTTTCATTCATCTAGATTCAATCTCTTATCAAGTGCTTATCCGATGGGACATTTGGATCATTCATGTGCAATGTCCGCTATCCGATTAACGGTATTTGGAACGAACCGAGGCTCAAATAAGTTTTTTGTGACTTTGGATTTGTTATTACAATAATATCATAATCCGACATGGTTAACGTTGAGCATCGGTTCCAGTTTTATTAAGAGCCTTATGTATTCCACAACCCAGAGTTTTTGGGGGAGCTTTTACGTGGACTTTGATTTGACGTCGCTTAGGCCTGCTGTAAACACGTTTTCGATTTATCAAATATTATTTAACCTACAATCACTCTCTTTGCTTCAAATTGGTTTACTCAAAGTACCTTTTTCATAAGAACAACCTTAATTGCTTATGTATGGTTTTGTAAGATATGGATTAGTTGGTTCCATTACATTTGAACCCATGACAATTGCACCTGTATGCTATTGCACCTATGGATTTTTTTTTGTTTCACGAATAGTTAAACCCATACTAACCCTAACCTATGGGTTTTAGCACCCGCATGTAGATTGAACCCGTGGATATACACATGGGTTCAAATGTACATGGGTTCAAATGTACGGTCACCAGATTAGTTTAATGTGGGCGATGTATTCCATCCGTTTATTTATGCTAATTCATAAACGCACACATAATTTCCGCAGCCCATGTGTAGGTAGTATTAATATATTATCTTCGGTCTTCATTTGGTAAGCGCCTTTCGCTGTCGCCGTTATTTTCCCGGGGTAATCAATTGGCAACTGGCGCTTGCGGTATCAGCTGGTGTGTGAGGTCACAAGGCGCCGCCCCAGACGCGAAAAGCGTCGTCAACAATTATCCACTTTTCAGTTGGTTTTAAGTTTTGTGGTTCACAACTTCACACTGGCAGCCAGCAGGCAGAAATTGAATATATATGTCGACATATATTGCGATGATTTAGTAACTTATCTTATTCATTGTTTCAGATTATAATATGTTATACAAGTTAACAGACTATCGGCACCCCAAGAGATGGTCAAACTACAAAAAAACAGACTACAAAGAAATACCATACAATAAGACTAATCTACATACATCAAAGTCTGAAGACTGCAAATATCGAATGGACGAGAATCCACCAAGCAGTAATTGGTTAGCATTACTGGCTTTATTACATACCAGGGAGTTTACATCTGTTGACTATTGGCTCAACTTGAGCGTCGGAGACTCGCATGGTATCACATGCTTAACCCTGTATCAGTCCACATGTTCGAATGCCATGGTTGGTAAAATTGATGGATTTTAGGCCTTTTCAAAATACTCCATGTAATGCTAAGCCCTTTATCAAGCTTCCTATATGATGCTATATCGAGCCCACGCATTTGTAATTCTCATACTGACCCTAGGTTGGTAACCTTCGATGGCCATTGTTGATTATGGTTAAGTTATACTATTGGTTTTCTCCGCCAAGTAAATGTAAAAAATTTCCAATACCTCTTTTGAGAACGTACATTTTTGATTAATTGAGTACTATTTTAATTCGAAAATATTCACAAATCTAGGCGGGACAATTTAGAATCCTCTCCGTTACCATAACCATTATTGTCGTTCATCATTATCCAATGAATAATGGTAAATAATACTTAAACATTTCACAGAAAACGGAAAAGATCTTGAAACGAACGAACGAAAAGCCGCTAGTTCATACATTCGTTTACTTTGTCACGATATCGTCCATTCCTGCCTTTCGATGCAAGTGGAGAGATTTTGTCCAAGAAGACCTGATTATCGACCGACTTGGAACAGGTATGTTTGGGGCCATTTCTAACTACCTAAAACTATTTCTTTCAGGTTTCCGGTATTATTGTACGACGTTTTCCCGTCTGCATTCAAAATGGCTATGTGTAAGCAGTCACTGATGTAATTCTAATGTATTAGATCGGCTAGACATGTGAATGTACAATTCTGTTGCACATTTAATCTACAATAGATTAGGGAAGACCACAGAATAGTAAAAAGTGTTTCGGTAGCTTAATACTGGGATCCGTTAGGACAATTGTCGAGCTAAATAAAGTGCGCTCTTTGCCACAATTGAAGAATTTACTTCAAATCCTACATAGTTTTTCATTTTTATTTACAGACAAAGAATCCCGTGAAATTCGAACGTACAAGAAGACGGGCGACTACGTTAGACCTAGACCAGCTAAGGTAAGAGCACAATAGTCGTCCTTTGGAAAATCGGGTTTTTACGATATAAAACAGCGTAAAACGTTCACTATATCATAGTTTGGTGTTATTTTTAGTGTTTTCGATATCGCAGAGATATGTTCCTTGTATTCTATGTAAAAAAAAATTAAAGATATCAATACAAACACATTTTGATTAACTTTTCGTGACTAAAATGACCTAAAATTTATCAAGAACGGAATTTATTTTCAGCCATAGTCCCAGTCGATTTACGGAGAAGGCTCCCATATGTAGCCACCTATCGTTCACGCATTATACTGTCATTGATAAAGACGTTTACAATCCAATTATGACGCGTTGTGTGTAAAAAGGGCAAATTTTTAATGCAACACTGATATCAATATTCGGCTGCGACCCATTGTAGGGTTCTATTTTATGAGACATATACCGTCGAAAAATTCGGTTCTTTTTGGTCCTTGTCTGAAAACAGTGGAATTCACCAGATAGTAGAGTGAGATAGTAGAGACACCCAATTTGCCTAACATTGATGTCGAAGTTACGTTTAAAATTTGCCTCTTTAACCATCGCGACATAATTGGTTAGTAAACGTCCTTTACCAATAACAGGACAATGAGTGTGAGCGATGGTTAATACATTTGGGGGCCTATTCGGAAAATAGACTTAAAAATTTGGAAAAATATCTCCTTTTTGGATCAATTTAGGTCATTTTATTCGCTAAAAAATTATTTGAAATGGGTTTGTATGAACATATCTCTGCAAAATACAAAACACTAAAAAATAGCAGCACCAGACTATGTTATAGTGAAAATGTTATGCTATTTTATATTGCAAAAACCCGATTTTGGGGAAATCCCTCCCATTTTCACTAAAGCAGCAGTTTTCAGCGAGTTCCGCCAGTACAGTACCTAGGAGGTACACAAGTTTTCATTCTAATCCGAGAAAATATCTCAGGCTTGCCATTATTGTTACTTGTTACACTTTAGAAAAAAATTAGATTTGCAAGTATTAGGTTTACTGACCTCTCAGTCATACTAAGCATAACCCAGTTTTTCTATACCCATTGGTACCTGTTTTTATCGATTCTTAAGTCAAGTCAGGCTCTGGTATGTAACCGGCAAACAAACTCGTGAGAACCTATCTCAAATTATTTCAATATATCCGGGTCATAATTTGTGTTCATGTTCATTTTAGTTCAACGGATGAAATCGTCCACGCATATCTTTATCAGAGAAGTGCAACATACGGCCCGCGGAACCTTTTTACGTGGCCCGTAAGAGACTTCGTGTCGGTCATCGGCACTTTCGACGTAGTGTTACGTGATTACGTTACAGTGGGATATGAAAACTTGTCTTACAAGAATTCAAATTAAAATGTCTACTAGCGAAAAGCAGTGAATATGAATGGGGAATGGATAAATTCCGGTTGAAAATAACCGGCGAAAAGTGGTTCTGAAGAAGAAATATTTAGTCATCATGGACAATCTCTCAAAAAACGTCGAAATAGAACAAAATTGCAAGAAATAGTTGATTCCAAACAGCCTACTAATGGAAAGACTTGCTTATTTGTACATGAGCTATAAGCTATCTATATGTGCATTACATAACTCTGAAACGCCACGAATGACATCTCCTTTGGGATCACGTACTGCTGTGAGCTGTTCTTCAAATGAGGATGACACTGTGGAGGACACAACATTTAGCCAACGGCCAACAAATGATCACTTGCAAGAGCAACTTAGAGTTGCTAAAAACTTAAAACCTAAGATTCAATCTACGGACTGCATCATCATATGCTTGCTTGACATTGGACTGGGGTTTTGAAAGTTTTTCAAATCCCTCCGAGCCCTCAAGAGTCTCCGTGATTTGCGATAAACAGTCGCACATCTCTGATCTTTATGTTCGTTGTACAAACACTTAGGTAGAGTTAGGTAGCATAAGTAGAATTAGGTAGAGCCATCGGGCGAAGAGAGAAAAGCCAAGGGCGCGAATATGGAAGATTGGACGCTTCGCTAGAGGATTCTTCACATGTGAGTTACTACAAATTCTTTCTCGTCTGTCGATCTATTAGTTAGTCAGCAAGGAATGATTAGATGGGATTTGACAGACGATTCTAGCTTGAAGAAAGCACAAATAGTTTGCTCTTTAGGGTCGTTTATAATGTGCATACGTAATTACTGATGGGCGTTTATCGCCATTTTCTTCTTGTATTGACGAATTGTCGAAATTTGTAATATGAATAATAGTTACTATAAGGAACTAACCATTTCTTTTTTTAAATAATGCCGAAACCTTTCTGTGAAAAATTACTAATTTGTATTTTGTACGAAAACTGAATTAAAAAAAAATTGCTTTTTAAATTTGACCGATTAAATTTCTAAAAGGAAGGTTTCGGTTAGGCCTAGCACTGTGAATCATGTTTTGTTTAGTTAGATAGGGATTTAGATTTTTTTTGTTATTTAGGGGAATAAGCTTTTAAGTCTCGTAAATTAAATCGGTCAATCATTTGGAGCATTTTATCATTTTTATACAAAAGCGTAGCTTCTTGTATTCACTAATATTTGGTTGAGGCGAGACTTATAGCTTTTCCCCATCTAGATTATAAAACAGGCGTCTCTCAAATTGAGGGACAGAAGAAGACGAAAGACATCGGAAGGTACGATAGCTCCTCTAGTGCAATAAATGGCAAAAAATTTGATTTTTCTGAATGAAATGGGTTTGAAAAACTATTCAAACTCATTCGTTGGGGAATATCTTGTAATTTTGGGTTAATTTGATGTCATTGACCGTTATTGCACGGAGGCGAAGTCTTGGTATATTTAATATCGACTAGGGACTCTACTTGTTGAACCCGAGGGATTCTGCTTGTTGAAGCCCGAGTTGATGTTGCCAAGCCTGGTAGCCCTAAGCTACTGGTAAGGTAGTTAGACTAGGACGAATCGTAGTTTATTACTTTAGCTTTGTAGCGCACACGAGAACTAACGACTTTAACTAAATCTTCAAACTATCTGTGATTAGACCAATTGTGCGCCAAAGCAAAAGTTATCTACTATGCCTTGTAGATGGTGCCTTAGGTTTTCGGCATCTTAGGGTTTGTGAGCCGGTCAGCATTCAGCTTCATTGAGAATTTAGTACGGCATTCTTAAACACACTCTAACTGCAATATTGAGTTGATGTTTATGTTTGCAGGGGGAGAAAACGCCCGCGCTTCGATCTAGAAAGCCTAAACCCCCCTTTAGATAGGATTCGCTGAAGAGTGAAATTTCCCGCGCGCACGATGAAATACAGATTTGGTTAGTAAAAGCTGACCTTAAGCAGGCTAGAATATTATAAGGAACGCTCCGTGTTTTGCAATAATAGACCAGGTCGGCGCGTGATAGATTTTGTAAAACTAGGACCAAAAGATTGTGTCGCTGTGAAATTCGGATTGGTGGTTGGGAAAGGACTAGTTAGTTCGTTAAGTTAGGGATAGATAGAGATAAGGGTGAAAAGTTATTATCACTCGCACTGTTGTCCTCTCTTGTGACTTCAAGTTGGGTTTGATAATTTACTTTATCACGGTGTTAGGAACACACTCTAGGCAACGAATCATGTAACAGTTCTCAGATGTCTTGTCTGGAAATTGAAACTCTTTCTCTTCTCATTGACTACTAGGCCTTAGTTTTACCTTGTTGTGCGTCTTCTTATTTGTGTACTGTGGTTTTGCTTAAACGGCAAAACCATATTTCTACTTTGTCATGTCGTGCTGTCAAATGCAAGACATTTTATTTCGTTTTTATTTGCCTTAGCGGCAAAAACCACGTTTATGCACCACAATGTCGTGCAAATCTAATGCAAGACATTCATACATCTTTTCTTTTGTATACCATTTCCAATTGCCTCAGCGGCAAAAACTATATTTACATATCATATTGTCGTGCAGTGAATGCAAGACTTCTACATGTAGCGCCGTGCAAACAACTGTGCGGCACTTTCTTTTTAGAGTTTTGTTATTTTTTAGGTACCTGGGTCTCCTCTGTTATTTTTGTGGCAAATTTACTTTGCTTTATAAAATCTTTTCATGAACTAATACTGTTTTTATATTTTCAGATATCAACCAAAGAAGATGAAATTTATTTATTTTCAAACATCTTTTTCAAAATATCAACTTAATTCGGCCAATCCATATAAGATTCAATAACCCATTGGAACACTTAATACCAATTTTTTACACCGATTTTTCCTCTGTTATTTTTGTGGCAAATTTACTTTGCTTTATAAAATCTTTTCATGAACTAATACTGTTTTTATATTTTCAGATATCAACCAAAGAAGATGAAATTTATTTATTTTCAAACATCTTTTTCAAAATATCAACTTAATTCGGCCAATCCATATAAGATTCAATAACCCATTGGAACACTTAATACCAATTTTTTACACCGATTTTTGCCAAAATACCCTCAATTCGGCTAATTTAATTCGGCTGATTCATATAAAACATGAAAATTCATTTTAAATCTCAAAATCAAATTTTTACATGTTCACTTCAAATCGTCGAATGCTTATCAAACAGAATTATGTAGTCATAAAAAATCCAATTGCAATTTTATTGAATTTGTCAATTGATTCGATACAGAATAAATCAAAGTCATTCGTTGTTCATCTCGGTATTAGTATATAATTGATTCTGAAAGCAAGTCATGGCATTAAACAAAATTCCATTACTGATTACTCTTTGAATTAAACTTTCCAATTGATTCGAGCAATAATAAGTCTCTTACTAAATTAATAATTTGATCAAATTGAATTTGACATATATTCATTCATTCATTCATTCCAGTATTTGACTGGGTGAAGATTCAACTGATGCCCTAAAAAAGTTGTGGCATTAAACAAAAAATTATATTACAAATTACACGAACGTTTTAATTGATTCCATATAAAATGAGTCAAAGTTTTAACAGAAAGGATCATTTGGATCAAATTGAATTCGACATGTATTAAGTCATCCCAGTATTTGACTCCGTAAAGTAGTAAATGCCTGAAAGCTAGCCATGGCATGAAACATAATTTATTACATTTTGAATTGAACTTCAATTGATTCGAGCAGGAATAATTCTTCTTAACTAAGTTAATAATTTGGTCAAATTGAATTAAATATACTGTATATTCATTCATCTCAGTATTTGACTGGGTAAAATTTCAACTGATGCCTGGAAAATGTTGTGGCATTAAACAAAATTACATTACTAATAATTTTAAATTGAACTTTTCCAATTGATTCGAGCAAGAATAAGTCTTTCAACTTAATTAATAATTCGGTCAAATTGAATTCGACATATATTCATTCATTCCAGTATTTGACTGGGTAAAGTTTCAACTGATGCCTGAAAAACGTCGTGGCTCTAAATAAAATTCTATTACTAATTACTTTTAAATTGAAGTTTTCAACTGATTCGAGCAAGAACAAGTCTCTTAATTTGGTCAAATTGAATTCGACTTATATTCATTCATTCAGTATTAAATTATAACCTATAAGTTAAGAATTTAACGTGTCTACACTTTAATTTAATAAATATGGTCAAACAATTTGAACAACCACTAAATAATATTTTCATCTGAAAATTAAGATAGATGAAATTCTTACGTTTTCAACAACATTTTTCGCTTGTTAGCATTTGAAATATCGATAAAAAGTTTCAAAACGAGAAATTAGAATCTTACAAATTGGCTGTAAGCATATTTTGAATCAACCAACATCAAATTGCTTTAAACCCGAATTCCTTAAATTCATATCATTTGTGGTAAACGTTACAAATTTTTCAAAGTAGGAAAATTTAAAACGTGGTCGTGAGCGCTAAACAAAAGCTCACCATACCACTAACGCTACAGAGCTACGTTTAGACAGGTATAGTGGACGATAAAAGTGAGAATTGCCTTTGAAGGGGGAAGTTTTTCGACCAGTCAGATGGTCAAGTTGCAAATTTTACGAAGTGTCTGTTTAAAATAAAAATAAAATTTGGAAGCGAGGTAATGACAGTAGTAAGCAGTTTATTTCTCTACCAAACTTAATATATAATTAGTAAAGCAAAATAGATGTAAATGAAGTGAAAGTGTCACTTAAACGGGAAGGGAGACGCGAAAATAACACCGGAGTGAATTTCAGAGTTCAGAAGATGATTTTATTTTACAAGTCAAAATGTATATCTAGGAAAAGTCTAATTATGGAACAGGAGTCAAAGTTTCGAATGTATAATGCAAAAAAGTAGTGGCTTTGACGAAATTTTGAAAGCAAGAAGTTGATTTCAAACAGTTACATTCTTACGTTATCAACAACATTTTTCGCTTGTTAGCATTTGAAATATCGATAAAAAGTTTCAAAACGAGAAATTAGAATCTTACAAATTGGCTGTAAGCATATTTTGAACCAACCAACATCAAATTGCTTTAAACCCGAATTCCTTAAATTCATATCATTTGTGGTAAACGTTACAAATTTTTCAAAGTAGGAAAATTTAAAACGTGGTCGTGAGCGCTAAACAAAAGCTCACCATACCACTAACGCTACAGAGCTACGTTTAGACAGGTATAGTGGACGATAAAAGTGAGAATTGCCTTTGAAGGGAGAAGTTTTTCGACCAGTCAGATGGTCAAGTTGCAAATTTTACGAAGTGTCTGTTTAAAATAAAAATAAAATTTGGAAGCGAGGTAATGACAGTAGTAAGCAGTTTATTTCTCTACCAAACTTAATATACGATTAGTAAAGCGAAATAGATGTAAATGAAGTGAAAGTGTCACTTAAACGGGAAGGGAGACGCGAAAATAACACCGGAGTGAATTTCAGAGTTCAGAAGATGATTTTACAAGTCAAAATGTATATCTAGGAAAAGTCTAATTATGGAACAGGCGTCAAAGTTTCGAATGTATAATGCAAAAAAGTAGTGGCTTTGACGAAATTTTGAAAGCAAGAAGTTGATTTCAAACAGTTACATTTATTATCTATACATTTGTTTTGTTACTTGACTTATTGGTCTACAGTTCCTCGATATTCCTGAGGCGAGTCAAAGACAAGATGGATTCAATTTTAGTAAATCGATAAAAGTTCTGGAGGCATGGCGACAGAATTGGAAGTGTTCGAAAATGTAAATGAACATGTCGTAATTTCCAAAGGAAATTTGCTGTATGAAGACGATAAAATGAATTGTTACATTTAATCATTTTTTAAAAACAAGATAGACGAGGAGTGAAGCCATTATTATTAAGGCAGATAGTTTAGCAGCTTAGTATCACTCCAATTTATAGGCCACCCTAGCAGATATGTTAATTAGTGAAGTTTCTTTACTTATGAAAACGAATTGAAACTGAATGACGACAAATGAAGCGACTGCATTTCAAGATCGTCTTTACGCGACAGTCGAGATATCCATTTCTTAGAACACCAGTATTTTATCAGTCATTATTCAGGCAGATAGTTTAGCAAAAACTCAGGATAGCAGCAGCTGAATATAGCAATATCACGTTTAAAACGAAATATTCATAGCGCATGGCAGATAAACCACACGTCTACGATTCAAACAACGGAAAATCGAAAAACAATGGTTCAGCAGCAGAGAAGATCTTTTCAAAAACAAATACTCAAATGGGATCGACAGATTTCGATATGGATCATGCGAAGAAAGAAGAATTCCTCTCTCCAACAAGAACACCAAATAGCAAGCGATAAAGGATTCGTGGTCTTCAATTCCAAAGACGATCCCTTGCCTCACTGCTTTCATTAGTGATCTAACTGAGGCCTAAATTTTTTGTTTTGTCGAGCATGGAGGCTGACTGCAATGAATTCGTGTAATGAACTCGTTCAAATTTGTGCTAAAATTGCAAATACATGCAATGCACAGCATAAAATTGAATATATTTCACAAAAATTAACTCAACCTGATAAGAGGTCGAACGACGCGAGAAAATAACTACAATGGTAATTTATCAAAGCTGTTGTTGTTCAGCATCAAGCCATCTGCTATGGCTATGCCCCTGGTTTTAACTAGCGAACTTTGTTCGAACTTAAATCGTATCCACTTACTCGTTTTGGCGACTCCTTCTTACCTGTGGTATTTTATTTTAGATTGAAGTCTGAACGCTTCTAAGACGAGATGCTTGCACACGAAGCCATCCCAAGAAGACTGGTATGCGATTTTCAATAACCAAGTAACGTCACATATATGTGCCTTATAGCTACTAATATTTGTCAAGAAACTACTAAAGATAGCTTTCATTTTCTGCATAGATATAGGCATACAACTAGTAAAATCAAGTTAGCTCCGTATAATTTATTACTCTTGTTACATTGTGTAATAATGCTGTGAAATATTTATAATAGAAAAAGCCATTTTGCAGTGAAATCGGAGTTATATGTTCCGACTAGGGACGTAGTCCTATTGATGCCCCCCTCCCCCAAAGGCCTCAAATAGCTACTATTATTTGTCAATGAACTGTACTAAAGATAGCTTTACTTTCTACAAAGATATAGGCATACAACGATATAACGAAATAATTCAAGTTGGCTCAGTCTTTGTTCATCTACATATATTTTTACTCTTGTTTGGGCTGGCTTCGTATTACCGCTTTGAAAATATTTGTAGAACGAGGGGCGTAGACCAATTGAGTGTCGGACCCCAATTGTTTGTAGCTTGAAGCTTGCACCTGCTCTAGCTGCCTCCCGCTAACTCCCTCCTATGAATATTCCCGGCTCCACCCCTGGTTCTAACTAATAAATTTATGTTCAAAACTCAAAACCTTACCCACCTACTAATTTTAGCTACTCTTTCTTACCTGTGCTATTTTATTTTAGATTGAAGTCTGAACAATTCTAAGATGAAATGCGTGCCCATGAACCGTTGTAAAATGATGCGTGCCCGTGAAGACATCATCCCAAGAAGACTGGCATGCGATTTCCCATAACTAGGTGATATCTCGTATGCTTTCTAGCCACAATATTTAACAATGATCTGCAACGCATAAACATGCATGAAAGATAGTATATTAAATTTTTGTCAAATCAAGTTCTCGGAACCTCTAACTGAAGTACATTTTTTACATTGTGTATAGCGGTAAATAAACTTTAATTTTAAAGAGCATATTGCTAGATTCAAAATAATTGAAAATTTCAACTCTTGAATGCTTTGTGCCTATTAATAATTCAAAAATGTTAATCCTTTTTTATTTTCGTTTGCAAGTATGATGAACTAGCAGAACATGGACTTGGAAAAGCGGAGTGATTTGGGCAAGCGTAACACTAAAATAAAATCCTACACAGCCTGCTGGCCGAGAAATGGTCAGAATGCTGTCGAAAGATGATACGAAATTATTCTTCCTGGATATAAAGAGCATGACTTTTTTTTAATTTGCTCTCATTTTGCATGTAGTTAGTTGCATGATAGTTCAAACGCCTTTGCATGTTAGATTAAAACCACGCTCTAAGAGGCGGAGTACGCGAAAGGATCTATGGAGTATGATATGCAATGTTGAAGAGGTTGTTTCGTGCTAATAACGCTGTTGAGTTGCATGGATTCCGGAGTCTAGGGCGCGGGTTTGGTTCATTCGAGGATCATCTTGCATGTTAGGTAATGCGTGTTACTTTAATTTACACTGTTTTATGTTAGATTAATGCATGTTACTTTGATACACACACGGAGAGACCTCTTAGTTGCTCTACAAGCTATGGCTTGGATGATTGCAGTAATCCACTGGAATAGGTTTCGAGGTTTTGTATGCTTTATATGCCTGTTGGCAAATGAAGATTCGAACTATGGGTGCCAAGGCTTCACCAATTACTAATCATTGTTAAAAACTCGCCAATTTTTTGTCGTTTTTTTTTTAATTGTATTTATTTTATTCATAGGATTTAATGACCTAATAATGCAATTTAAGTATGTTCAAGCCTGGCTATAAAATTAATATTGAAAATATATCGAAGATTTTGCTGCTGCTAAACGTTTATATTTAAGCAGTCTCGTTAATGCTTGCCTATGTCAGAATTCACATACGACCTTCTACATGTTGAGCATTCGGTGGGACCGTGTATTTCTAAATTCGGACGAGTAACTTCATAAGCAAAAGGCTTGTGAAGCAAACTAGATGAACGTGAATAGTAGACTTAGAGATGTCGTGTTGATGACTGATGATGCATGACTTAACTATGGAAGGATGAGAAGACCAGCTGGCGTAAGCATTCATTCATTTATAAAATAAAATGGTGGTTTACACAGGTGCGGTTTTTATTAAATGTTGTATAGGGCTTCAACCTTCAAGGCTGAAACAATATGCCAGGTGGACATAATGCAGGACTGCTCTTACAAAGTAAGTCAGTTTATTCGATCTGAGATTATTTTTAATTAGCTTGGTTTGTTTTTAATCAACTTTTTATTTTATTTGTAATTTGCGTAAGACCACATACTTTTTAATGGCCTTACGTTGTTTTGACTGTTTATTTCACGGTTTCGTTGCCATTCTGTTTTTTCTTCTGGCCATTGACTTTCAGGTTGCCATTTTATTTGGCTGTTGTCTTTCAAATTGTTTTGACTATCGTCTTTCAGGTGGCTATTCCGGTTTTTCTGACCATTGTTTTTCAGGTGGTAATTCAGGCTTTCTCACCATTGTCTTTCAGGTGGTCATTTCGGTTTTTCCGACCATTGTCTTTCAGGTGGTCATTCCGGTTTTTCCGACCATTGTCTTTCAGGTGGTCATTCCGGTTTTTCCGACCATTGTCTTTCAGGTGCTAATTCAGGTTTTTCTGACCATTGTCTTTCATGTTGCCATTCTGTTATTTAGTTGACCATTGTCTTTCAGGTGGTTATTACTGTTTTTTTGACCATTGTCTTTCAGGTGGTCATTACTGTTTTTTTGACCATTGTCTTTCAGGTTGCCATTCTGTTATTTAGTTGACCATTGTCTTTCAGGTGGGTATTACTGTTTTTTTGACCATTGTCTTTCAGGTTGCCATTCCGGTTTTTCCGACCATTGTCTTTCAGGTGGTCGTTCCGGTTTTTCTGACCATTCTTTCAGGTGGTCGTTCCGGTTTTTCCGACCATTCTTTCTTTGGCCAATCCAGTTTTTCCGGCCATTGTCTTTCAGGTGGTTATTCCTTTTTTTCTGACAATCGTCTCTCAGGTTCCCATTCTATTTTTATTTCTGGCCATTGGCTTTCAGGTTGCCATTCCGGTTTTTCTGACCATTTTCTTCCAGGTTGCCATTCTGTTATTTTTCTGACCATTGTTTTTCAGGTTGCCATACTGATCATTGTCTTTCAGGTTGCCATTCTGTTTTTTCTGGTTGTTTCAGGTTGCGTTGACCTGTTTTGACCATCCTGTTTTTTTTTTCTTGATATTATCAGGTTGGGTCGACCATTCTTCTCCTTTAATTAATCTATTTTTTTTTCAATAAAGTGTCAATGAATTTTCGATGTGTAAAGCTAGAACTACTGCCCGTATAAGTCGACAATACTTAACTGGACACATTGTGGATGATGAAACCGTGATAATTGACAATTGATGCAATATTTGAAAAAAGTAATAGGACAAGTGTTGATGATTATTTATGTGAAGCTGGGGCAAGCTTGAGTTCCAAAGATTCTGAAGTGACAGAAGACAAAAGGGTGAACAACTGGATGATAACGAAGGGTAATTTATATTTTTTACAATCAAAATGCTAAACTCGTAGTTGCCCAAGATATTATGAGATCAACAATTTGAGATTTTTATCGACAAATATCGTATAAGTAAAACGCATTGACTATATGGTTCAAATTACTTGATTAAGACTTATATTATATTTTCTTTTGTATAGATGGGGACGAAACCTTGACTTAAGAGTGATATCAATCATTTTGGGAATGTACGTTTTTCATCAGATGCCTGCCAGCCTACGGATACCATGGTGAGTAAAAATGCAATCCTCAAATTAAACAAAGTGACCAAGGGACGCACAGGTGGATAAAAATGAAAATTACTTTTTTTGGATCTTAGATTTTCATGTTCTAGAGATGCAATGCAATTTACCTATTTGATTTTCATGTTCTAGAGATGTCATGCAATTTACCGATTTGATTTTCATGTTCTAGAGATGTAATGCAATTTACCGATTTGAATACATAAAAGACAAACGAAAGTCTCGAAAAGAGATTCGTACATGTAGTTTGTTCCTAAGTAACTTTTTGTTTTTAATTTTTAGAGTATGAGAAGAACGCTATCCCATCTGAACTCTTTGAGAAACCACGCGGGCCGAATTGTTTGCAACTGAAAGTTTACATAAAGACGAATCTATTGTTTAGGTCAAGATTGTAGGATGTAAAAATTTATAACCTATGCATTTTATTAGCTTAGTAGCCTTTTGTCGCAATGATTGTTAATTTTTATATTTAATCCGTGATTGCCCGACGCAAAAAGGTTCCGACTAAACACAACTGAATTATCCTGTAGGCAATTTATTATTAATATACATAGTCTCTTTACAATTTCAATTTTGTTACGAAGTCAGTTCAACCAGGTTTGTCGTATTTCAATCAGTAATTGTTTGAGTATTCTGAATTCATTTGATACATTTGTGAGGGTCAGAACAATATATGGTAACGGTAAATTCCCTTATTAATATTATGGACACCCTGTATATTTCTTTTACAGATCGTCTCACAAGGCATCGTATGTCACCTTCAATCTCAATATAGTTCTCCTGTAATGCAACATAAAGACGTCCTGGTATCAGCTGATATCAGCTTTGAAACTGTTCTGATTAGTGCCTTATCAGACTATTGTTTCTTAGTCTTCGAATTCGCTTGTGGAATCTCCTGGCACATTTGTTGTTGACGATGCTAGATTCCAGTGCAACAGTTAACCCGTATATGTGACATACTTGATCTTGCATGTTAAACAGTGGTGAATCGACAGTATTCCCGTTGACGAATTGGCGGATCGACGATGTTTCCGTTGATTGATCGACAGTGTTCACATTGGTGGATCGACAGTGTTCCCGTTGAGTGATCGGCAGTGTTCCCATTGACGGATCGGCAGTGTTTCCCGTTGACGGATCGACAGTGCTCCCGTTGACGGATCGACAGTGTTCCCGTTGACGGATCGACAGTGTTCCCGTTGACGGGCCGACAGTGTTCCCGTTGACGGGCCGACAGTGATTGACAGTATTTCCGTTGACGGGTTTACTGAGCTTATACAGTGTCTAGTAAGTTGGGGGCGTATAATAAACGAGACACATGTCAAAGATATTTAGTGTATCTGTAGAAAGCTATTGATAATTTCGTGCAATACTTATCATGTTTTTAAACCGCTGTATTTTGGACACCCTATAATAATAATGCTGGATGGTCGTGTCTATCGCTGAAATATTCGCTTGTTATATTGGGCAATTGCTTTTATATTTTGTCATTTTTATTTTCAAAATCAATTGTCAATCCTAAATTATCGGACTCTGGAAAATCGAATTATATTAGCGCCATAGTGCGCGCTTCTGCTTCTTGTAAATGTATTGTGTGTCCTTATTTGTATGAACTTGTGCATTTGTCGGACTTGAAATTGAAATTGCTGTAGGGTTTGGGTGGGCTCTTTACGCAGAGCTGAATGTTGCAAAATTTGAGTGTTTTCACCTTTATTCGTAATGTTCAGATCCGCGTATGGTTTACAGCATTTTCATTTGCGTGTTTATTTATAATACATATATTTTTGAAGTCAAAAAGTTATGAATAGTATCAATAATATAGAAATGAGCATTTGTGTAAATTTTTTGGTATTGAGCAGATTTTACATAGGCACCCGACGAGCGCGGCCCTGCGACCAATGCGATTCAGCTAGAGAGTTCCCTACACACTCTACCCCATAGGTTTTTAGGTGTAATACCGCATTTAATACTTGAATTAGCTTACATATAATTGTACTTGAATATCCAGAAAATGGCGTATATAACAGTCAAGTTCATAACAAAGTGCTTATCACCCCCTAAATGTTGACCCCTCCCTCTCCCTTAAATGAAAGCTGGGGGACCGTACTGCATCAGATTGCAGTGGGCTCAGTCTAGGTAGAGATAAGATTATCAACTTGAATTTCGTCTTCAAGTTTCTGCCTGCCCCAGGATTGAAATATATCGGTGTGTATAGTATAAAGACACTAATCGGTGCTACTTAAGCGTGAGGTCTACAGCTGTATTTTCCTCCCTATGCATTCATTTTAGTAATAAACACTTCACTAAACACTTTTTTTGCACCTGAGTAGATTACATATTGCGGTAGACCAAACGCTAAAGTCAACCCGATGCCTATGGAAGTGTGGGCCCACTATGGCCGCATAAGTCGCAGCCTGTTCTGACTCCCGAACATGTAATCAGCCCAATTACCGGGATAAAGTGGGGCCCTCAGTAGTTTTGTTAACAGTCAAGGGTTCCAGATTGGTTGTTTATTGTACGGCAACTCCACAATTCACCACGTAACACAGAAAAAAATGAGAACACAACAAACGCGACCGACCCAGCGGCCGGAAAAAATGGACAAGAGAAATAGTTTTTCTCGTGTGTCATGTGTGGCCGGAGTCCAGATCCAGTCAAAACTGCCTAAACCAAGGGTGTGGGAAATAGTATACAGAGAACTATAAAATATATTAACAAAACAAAAACACGGACATTATGGTCCGCGACAAACCTCCCCCTTATTTAGAATAAAAATCCACAAGTTTCAAATGCCAGCAGGTGCAAAAGTATGCAGGTGAAATTGGCTTGAGTGCAGTTTACGGGTCCAAATGTACGTGGGTGCAAATGTGCGGTCACCATATAAACTGGTACTAATTCGTGCGTTTTCACGAGTATCTGTTGTAAGTTGTACCTTGTTATTTAGGAATGCTGTCGTAATACGATCATATGAGCTTCCAAATAAGCCGCAGTGCATTAAAATAGATTTCACAGCTAGGTAGCTCAGTGTAGTCTGAGTTTTAACTGTGCAGGATTCGATTTTCATGTAAGATAATATCAAAATGTAATGCGTCCACACGATCACATATTGTCAGTTCCAATTTGCCTTTTTGATATTCGAAAATTAGTGACGCCATATGATGTGATTAATATTTTATATTTCGAACAATGTGAAAATATACGGAGAATCCGAATGTTAACCGTGCAAGTATGCCAGATAATAACTAAAATATAAAAACAATTTCAGAAGTTCAAAACAAATAAAACACCGAGGCACCAGTAAACTTGGCGTCATAATAGCTATTTCTATTTGTGAGAAAGGAGCAGGGACTTGGCCCAAAGCTTACCCTACCACTTCGGTACGCTGTTGCTACTAAATTTCTTCAAAATTCTTATAGTTCACGCCTTACAATTCATTGTCGCGAAAATGGGTACTTTAAATGCAAATAAATTTTTCGGCGAAGTATTGCTATTGTATTTGAAGTTCTTTAAATGGACCGTCAACTTGTCGCACTTTAGTGAGAACTTGCCAAATCAGAAATCGTTGAGCAATGATCGGTAAATATCAATCTTCGTCAATTCTATGGCGTGATCTGTGTTTCCCAGAAAACTGGCCGCCGATCCGGACAAAAATTGGCATGAAGGTCGTGGTTTAGAGTTAGACCAAACTATCCCAGAAAATCAATCGGACCATAGGGTCAAAACTAGAAAAAAACAATCTAAATGCAGTCCAATATTTGTTATGTTTTATTCACACTGAAGATGAGTTTATGACAGTTGAATCTCATTAATCATAATATGACATTCAATATGCCCTTATTGATATATTACAAAGTATCGCTTTGTTTGACGTTGAATTGAGATGAAAATCTTAAATTTGGATAATTTTGAATATAGCAATGTTATTAAATATACGGCGATAAAATTAAACTCGATAATCCTCCTATATTGAATATATATAGGGTCAGAATAGAACAAACCATCATCTACTCTTAATGAGTTTATGATTGGAAATATTTTACAGAAGCAAAAATAATAAAATTACTTCATAAGATAGAAAATTTCGTTATCGTTATCCAGTCCATCCGTCATTGTTGGTGATTATATAACATCAAGCAATCGTTTTGGTTATGGTGTGGATCAACCCGATTAAAACTTATACTTCGTAGGTTTCATTTCTATACATGTAATAAAAGTTTTATAATAGACTAAAGAACAAAATAATATTAATATTTAACTAAATTTTTAAAAAGTTGGTTACAGGACGATAGATTTATAAACCAAAAAGTCATCCGTAAATAATCGCTTGATGTGATAATGTCACTCTTTTAGCAAATTTCGCATGTTTTACGGCAGTACCTCTTCACCATAGCATAACTGCAGTAATTCGTAAGTTCACTGCAATTGCTAGCTCTATCTTTACAAGATGAAACTGAAAAAAAATTAAAAATATTTATTTCAGAGTGTATGCGGATTATTTCGTTTTGATTAGATTTGAACTACCATATTGCAATAAGACAATATCTCAAATTTAGACCAGTAATCTATGCAGTATAAAGCTGAAATTCTTTGCCTTCAAAGTTATATATATATGCGGAATATTTACATGGGAAGGTCTGGGAAATACACCGTTTTTAAAAGCAATATTTAATCGTCAATACCAAATAAATTTAATCAATTTTATTGTTGTTGTGTTTCTCGTATATAATTGAGTGATAAAAAAATTGCATTGTTTTATGATATTACGAAATAAATAAAAATTACCCGGTTTCGGCTTTGGTTTCGGTTTTGGTTTCGGTTTTGTTGGTTCTGCATTACATGGGTACAAACTGTTGATTTGCTTAGCATCTTCCACCGACATGGCCTCTCTCTAAAAAATTGTCGTTAACATTAAAATTTTATTTATTAAATATGATTTATATCAATAATACCTTAAAAATAAATAAATGAACTTCATTTTTGAGAAAGCTTTGTCAACTTCAGCTTAAACTCTTTGGATCTCAACTCGGGTCTATATGAATTTATTTTAAGATTTCAGATGACCTTCTAGTGGTGGATCTGAACAGATTTTGTGTCAAATTCACCCATTGTTGATTCAGACATGGGTGAGTTTAAGTAAGTCAAACAACCTTTTGTTTCTTTATTTGTTTCATTAAAAACATAACGATAAAACGATCTCAATAATTTTAATTGGCCGTTTAAATTAGACACCAATTCTGCAGTTGAAGCCACTTTATTTCTTAACGTAATCCTTGCAATTACCTGTGCTCTCACTGCTTGGCCAGTAGACAAGTCTAATATGGTTGGTTTCCTTCTGTTTATTGCAAAAGCATATCCTCCGTAATGCATAATGGATTTTTTGTCGTAAGGCGATCCCATAGAGTTGATCTTGTTAGCTGCCTGCTTATTGAAGTTGTATTTCAGTCCTAAATAATTCAAAGAAACAGAATGTGAATACAATTACTTTGGGTTACTTTTGTTTTGTGCAAAGAAAGATATTTCAAGTTTTCAGCATATCTCACATCACCTTCGCTTATATTATCCCAAACAATTTTAACAAATTTATCTCTATCATTTCGACTCTGCTCATGCCAGAAACCGATCGAATGCATAATCTCATGAACGACAGTTCCTTTGTATTCACATCCAGGTCCTATCGACACCTGTTTTATTAAAATAGATTGCATTGCAGCCTTGTAGACTCAAAAAATAATAACAAGAAATTATATCTAATAAATAGTTTTCGAAATAATAAAGTATACCTATGTTATAACATTTTCAAATGGAGTACTTCTATAATTATTTGCCCTTAGATGTCATTGGATATACTAATGACAATTTTACAAATTATTTTTTCAAGTAGAACAAACCTTCAAATCTATTTACTGGTGGATATGTAAAATTCTCATTTATTGCCAAAAGAATATTGAGATAAAAATATCAAAAGTATATTTGATTTTAGTTATGCTTGTATATACATATTATACTGATAGTGTTTCGCGTTATAAAGTCTCAAACTACAAATGATGGCTGATGAAAATCAGTCATTTCTGTTTTTGTATAATTAGATGCGTTTACCGTATTTTGTCTCGAACTTTTACCAACTGGAGACCAACATCCTTTTCTTCCGACAAAAACTATTTTCTCCCGGTTGGGGTCTGTTTCTGGTACGAGATCAATACAAGTTTTTTCTTGAAATTCTTTGATTGCAGCCGCAATGGCATTCCTTGCTTTGCTACCTAGTTTAATATAAAAATGATAAGATATAGAGAGACGGAAAACATATACTTTATGCCGAATGCCCATAATGATCGTCTTATATATATACTAAAAGTTTTTAAAATTTTCACATCAAGTCTTTGATCTTGAAAACCAGCTTATAAAACCAGAAATATAAAATATTTTTTTGTCCCATCATAACAAAATATGTTTGGATCTGATTTTAGAAAAACAGCAGGAAATATGGATATATGAAATAAAAAAAAGCACTGTATTATACAATTTTTTTAAAAAATGGACGGAAAAAACTGTATAAAAAACAACGTGGACTGACTTACCCAAGGTTGTTTCAATTTTATATGGTATTTTGTATCTATTTCCTTGTTTGAAGTTTTTCCAATCTCTCATTCCTCTCGCAGCTCCTCTTTGTCTTTGTGAATTACCAATTCCCAATGCATAATTTAGACTTTCTGCTGTTTCCCGAGTTCTCTTTATATCCCCTTCATAGAGATCTAATGTAATATATACAAATTTCGTTACATTCATTGCTTTCTTGTGGAATTTTTTTCTACATTTTTTCAAGGTATTTCAAGCGTTGGGAGATTCTGATAGATGCAAGATACAATTTTAGAATTTAAAAATGTTTCTGTCAATTTTTAAGTCAATTTTGATACATGTGTAAGTATAATTACTATTGGTGTCCCCGAAGTATGTGCACCAAAATGCGCACAACCTGAACATAGTATGTGTACCCGGTTATGTTTATCAGGTTGTGCGCCATCTTGGTGCACACATTTCTTGAGCGCCAATTTAAAATATATCCAATATTCATTTAGAAGTAGAAAATAAACACATTTACCCCCATACTGGTTTTCTTTTTCTAGATCGCATTCACAGGAATGTGGCTTGAAATATGTGCATTTTTCTTCACATTCGGTGACAGGTTTAGTAGACCAGAAAATTTGTCTAATTAATTCTGTATTGAAAATATAATAGAATTATTATTTTAAAAATTGATAAGTTTTCATGTAAATTTTTATTTCAAATTTGCAGCTTCATTTAGAAATAACACAACCAGAAATAAAAATCTTTAAATTACATTAAGTTGATTGCATGTTTGACGTGATGAGAAAATTATTTTACAAATTTACAAAGATATTTTAAATGAGTAAAGTTCAATTTTAGAAGTAAGCTATTACCAAAATTTAGTAGTGAAAGAAAAGGTAGACTATAGCGCAGAAGTAAAAAGTAATTGCGTATAGTCATCTATGCCAATGTTAGTTAAATAACGGGTTGCTAGATAAAAAAAAAACTCCGAAAACAATTTGTAGAGCAATGAATTTAATCTATCACTGATAAAAAAATTCACCATAAATTACACAAATTTATCATTGATTGAAATTTTTATTACTAACCAAAAATCTCAAATATTGAATCATCATGAGCTCCTGCAGTTGAATCGTCATCATTTGTAATTTCTGGGGAAATAGAAATTGTGTAGGCCTACTTATTGAATGAGAAAATTGGCACCGAAACAATAGGTCAATAAAGTAGCTTATCACTAAACGATTAAAAACATGGTGCACATTGAAATGTAGAGTCATTTATTTTTTATGTTGAATATATTTATATTTTTGAATACATTTTTGAATAAATAAATATTTTTTATATATATTCATAGCGACATAGATTGTAAAACTAAATCAAAAATAGTCTATCCCAAAATGAGTGATGCAATTAAGTTTCGGAGATTTGCTTTCACTTCTTTTCAATTCTAACATAACTTTCGATACGATCAACATAGAAGAAGAAAATCATAATTTCAAAATTTATAATATCTAACTCAAATGGAACTTGAATATCACACAGAATTTTTCAAAGATAGCAAACCTTCGTCTCCACAACCATAAACTTGAATATCATTAATAGGGAGGCCATTGCTATCTAATACTTTCACTTGAATTGCTGTTGTTTCGACGTAGATCGGGAGTTCAATTTTTTGCATGCCATACGTGTCGCTGATGCCGTCAAATACCTTAAAAATAAATGTTTATTTTATGTATCGATAGGATGTTTTAAAATCTGTTTCTCAAGTAACTTAATTTATCATTTTTAAAGTTCTTCATTAGAGAAGATACTACTAATTGACTTATTAAATGATTATAGTAATAAACTGAATTGTAAAGAAAAAATATATTACCATAGGGTTTCCGTCCCCATCATTGAAGGGCACAAATGATCCAGAAAGCAATTTGAAAAGAATTTCAAATTCAGAAGAACAATCTCTTTGAATCTTTATACTTGATACAACCTCAAGATTTGTCAAATCAAACTGAAATGTTCAGATAACAAAATAACTAACATTTTATTTCAGCTCAAAATTTATGCGTGCGTCTCGGATAAAATGGCCATATTAAAGTAATTCAATATATACTCAGACTCCATATTATTAATCGCTTATCATTACAGCGGAAGCATTAGTCATCTCGAACTAATGCGATGTATTTCAAAAGAATACTCAAAGGGAGTCTATACGTTATAATTATTGCATTTTATTGATTAGAATAACCAACATATAATGCTCAAAAGTTCATGCAATCTTTTTTATATTTGATCTCACACATCTATCGAACTGGTTATTTCTGCTCGGGTAAATGAGCTTTTCCATAATCATCAAAGTTGGTCTTGAACGGACTAAGAGTTTTATGTACTCCGATAACTAAATATTAGGTACAGTTAGTTGAATAACAGAAAATAATTATCGAAAAATTTCGCGAAAAACCTGAGAATATTTCACGTCACACTACTAGAGCGTCGCGGTGCACAGTTATTTATTTACACAGGTTTATACTTGCACAACTCAAATCATAATTATGATTTTAATTCAATAAAAATGACAATAAAAAATAAAACCGTTATCTGATTTCCCAATTGATTTTCATCGTCAAGTTCCGGTGGACCGTATGGTGTTGCAGTTTGACCCTCCAGGCGAACGTATTTGTCACAAGCTAAGGTTTGTAAGATTGAAATTAGATTTTATAATTTATGTGATTTTTACTAATTGACTTTGTAGCAATCAGGTATTCAGAAGATGTTTGACTTCATTATTATTCAAAAATTGTTGAGGGAACTTTTGAGACGTTCAAACCAGGTCAATACTTTTCAGTTATGTTAATAAATTTTCATACGTAACCATAATATGCGCAATCTATTCAAATATTTCGAAATGAATTATCAACCACTCCTGCAATTTTAGGAGTTAAATATATAGAAGGATGAGAGTATGTACACACTTGTGCATTCATTAACATCCAAAGGATCGACATCTTCTCTCTCGGTTCCTCTGGCAATATCATGGCAATAATCAGATGGAGGTCTAGCCTTGGATGCCGAAATCATAAATAAAACTAAAAATATATCAAAACGAGTATTATTCAAATATAACTATAGTGAAATATTGGTATTATTTTAAGATTGGACTCTAAATAATAGCTTATATATATATATACAGTATGGTCTGTTAACGCATTTTAAAACTGGCGAATAATAATTTATTAATTTCATTATCATATGATATGATCATTATTAAGCACTTACTCAAGATTGCGAGCTTCATTGCTGCGTCTGATCTTGAAAAACCTGAATCATAAAAATTATATATGGAAGATAAGGATAAATAGGGTTTTATATATAGGCGCAGGCAACGCTTATCTGGCATATATTCACAACACATTTTATACTAAAAAAATTTTGAAAAGTAATTGTTCTTCATTTTAAATTAGTAAACTACTGACGATATTTAATCTAGAAATTTGCAAAATATTATATATAAATTTGTATTTATATATTTCATACCTTTAGTTTTCAACACCAGTAAAACTTTTGTAGAATGTAACATTCGTTTATCTTGTGTCTTATATGCATTTGAAACAGGAAGGATGATATTTCATATGAATCAAGCTAATCGTTACGCTCATCTTGGAAAAGATACATTGAATCATACCCGCTCATATTGCGTGATGTATTGCAATGTTGATAATATGAAGTTATGTGCTGTTAAGAACGTTGTGAAGTTTATTATTTTTGGGTTTCACTTGAAACATTATTTTTACTGCTTGCTAAAATATGTACGTACTATTATTGTACATTATTTAAAAAATTAAACAATTGAAGATAACTGCAGTAATTAGCTTACAGGGTTGGGCAAGGTTTTCAGACCAGGGGCCAAAACTTTGGCCCACCTTAAGTGGCGGGCCATCTAAGGGTGACATTACATTTTATGAACATAATTTTATTTACAGTGTTGCAAAAGCAAAAGTGGGAAACAATCCAATTCCTGTTTCAAATATTTAACAATCCATTTCTTTTTAAAGGTTCTTTTCTCGCTACCGATTTTTCTCTACCTCGGTACATACTCATGTGGACAAAAATTAGTCTTTGATAATTTAGCTATTAATCTTCATGATGTAGGGTGCCCAAAATAGATGTTGCAACAGATTATTAGAAACCATCATGGAACGCTAGACTAGCAAGTATGCGTAAGATACGAACTATGGGGACGTTAGAAAAACGTTGGCACTAAACTGAAACTCGACTTTTGACACGATAATCGCACAACGCAAAAAAAGTGTGAAAAGCACACAGTCAAACCGAGTGAGCGAGAAAACCTAACGATTTGTCAACGTCCCCTCAACATAAAAGTCTGTGGCAACCTAAAATACAACTTGGACAGAATACAACCATATTGCAGCGTACAGATTGCAATATCAACAACTATCAGATTGAATTACCCAGCGGGCCGAGTTTGGCCCGCGGGCCGTAGTTTGCTCATATCATGATTAGCAGATGAGTTGGATGAGTGCGAAATGATCATTTTAATTATTTTTTTAGACAATTTTTTATTTGGCAGATTTAATTTAATCATGAGTTTATGTAACTATTCTTGAGCGAGAGATCCAAATAAAGAAATATTCTAATTTGCGTAAAATGATTTCATTTCTGTTTATTGCAACATTGTAAGAGTGAAAATATTCGAGTTTGCGTAAAATGTCAGGATGACGTAACACTTTGTGATTCACAATATTTTAGTATTTATTTTGATACGCTGTCGACGCCATCCCATTTGACTTGCTCGCTTACATAGTGAATAATAATCCATCTGTGATTAATTGAAATGTATCATTCCAATTTATTAATAAACAGAAAACTTTATTTTTATATAATAAATGTTTTAATTATTGTTATGTGTCATCTAACTCATAACACAGTCAAAAAAATATTCCATAAGAAATTTGAGTTTATTTTATATATCTAACAACTGGTTATTACTCCGAAATACATAATATTTCTTACGTGTTAGCTTAATGTAATGACTTAAATTTGTCACTACAAAAATATTTATTGTCGTTCCTCGTGAATTGGCAGCTCTCGTCAAAAATACTGATAAATACAATAAAAATAAACGTATAGAAATTACAATATATTGCCAACTAAGATAATAAAAATAAATCATCAGGCACTATAGTCCGGCAGATAAGGGAACCTTTTTGGCCCAAGTTTGATTTCAGACATTAAGTTTTTTTTAATTGTGATTATTCATCTTGGGGTCATTGCCCATCATTTCTACATGGGTGTGGAGTTTGTAGCCTTGAGCAATTTTTTTTACGGCTTGATATTTGTATTAGTGTTTTTCGTCAAACCTGTGCGTCATAATGACGCACATCCTGAACCATAACCTGTCACAATACTATGTTCATGTGCACAAACCACGCAAGCATCAAATTTAGTAGGAAATAAAATCAATAACTTTTAGGTATTTATTGAGATATTTGTATTAGTGTTTTTCGTCAAACATGTATCATAATGACGCACAACCTGAACCATAACCTGTTACAATACTATGTTCAGGTTGTGCGCAATCTTGGTGCACAAACTACGCAAGCACCAAATTTACTAGGGAATAAAATCAATAACATTTAGGTATTTGTTGAGCCCAGCTTTGGGTCGCGACCCATATACAGTATATGGAAATACTGTCGAAACATACGCGTAAAATAAAGAGTACTATTTCAAAATACCCGTTTTTGTTGCAATTAACAATACAAGCCTGCTAATGCAGTCGCCAGTGGTTCAAGTGGATATACACCCGGTGGAGAACAGTCAATTATTTGTTAGCGAGAATTGTTATGCAGCGGGATGATCACGACGACGCAGTGAAAGATAATGATACCACGAGAACAAGAATGAGAAAATTGCTACATTATATAGTATATCCCTGGGAAAGAATGTAGTTCATTCTTATGTTCCATGTCAATGCTTTTCAAACTACCAAAGACTCTCAACACTTTTGCTTCTTCTCTTCTATAAAAATTACATTGTTATTATATATTTGCCTTTCCATCTGGTTTTTCGTGCTCCCAGATAACCGATCAGCGGCCTCCAAAGAGGACGTGGTCCCCTTTTAAGAAACCCTGTCATAAACTAAAAGAGGCGACCGTGCTTCTCTTGCCTGTTATCATGCTGTCCCTGGAATTCAACTACAACAAAAATTTCACGAAAACGGTTTTTTAAATTTTATGATTTTATTAATATTCTCAACAATGAATGATATACGCCAATGCGATAAAATGCCAAGTTATTCCAACAACATGATCATGTTTTGCAATTTACAACCAATATTTTGTATGTAACTTTGTTTGACAGAGCCCCAAGAGCTCTAACTACAAATATCAAAATGTGAGGCCAAAATAGTCACACTACAACATTGTCAAATGTGCTGTATTTACGATAGATAACAGGTTTACCAAAAAGAATTACATGAAAAATGGTAAAATAAAGATCAATTCAGCAATATCTTTTTGGTGATATGCATCTGTTGATGATTTTATGTGTTTGTTTCGAAAGTTTATTAACAGAATTAATTGTGGTTGTTGGGGATGTTTTAAAAAAAGGTTGCATGGAAAAAAGTTTTCACAAAATGTCAAGGTTTGATAGTAGTAGAGAAGTAGAAAAAATACTCTCATTTTTTTTTCATTTGATAACCACGCCACAGAACTTCCCCGATAAGTATACGCAGCAATTGCGAGAGGCAGAAATGCCAAGATGGGATTTCATCGCTTTGCAAACCTATATTAGCAATTCTTATATATATTCGCGCATTCCCATCTGAACAACGTGGAAAAGATTATACCCATCTACACACTTTAAGAACTATGTCAGATGAGCGTCATATTATCGAATATCAGTAAAGGAATAGTGCAATGGGAAAAGACATATAAGGCGGAACTTTCAGTAGTATGCAATCAAATAATCTTATTGTAGAATATATATTTAAAAACATTTTGTCACGCCAACTGCAGTCCGAAACTGTTTGTCTCTGGCTGAGCTTAGATACTAATTGGCACTCATGTAAACTGGTAAGACTGTAAGAGGCACGCGATGGAGCAGATACTAAGAGTATCCATCCCCCAGCTGTCATTTGAGTGGGTACTGCTGTTTTTATTGCAGATGTTACTGATCTTTTTGTATTAAAGATTTACTGGCATCACCGATTTAAGGATGTTGGAAACTAACACGCAATATTACAAAACTTACTTCCAACACGCGGTTTGAATGAATGAAAAAGCTGAAACTAGTATTCTTTAGAAGAACAGCAAACAAATTCTATGGAATGAAATCATACACAAAAGCTCGTCAAAAACCTATAGCTCAATAATCAAGTGGAATTTAATGCATGTGCGCAAAAATGTGCGCGTTACTAAGTACAACCGAAGCACGCAGGAAAATGTGTGTGATGTACTAGTATTCAAAACGTTTGACTCAACCATGTTGGCATAACAGGTGCACATCTCGGTTTCGCATACGCATACCTTCTATCTCCACAAGGATATATTAATTTTGCCAAAGTCAATGCAGCACTGAAAGGTTGCGGTTCTTCCAAAAGAAAACACGTTACACATCTTTAGATACCAGTGGATGGTTTTACATGGCCTTGTTCGGAGTGAAAGACGAGGTCAAATATTCCAATCCAATTCAACTAATAAAATATTTCCCAAGTTTCTAAGCTTAAATTAGGAAAACGAAATGCGCGCGGCAACGCAATTGTAGTTTGAAGAGCGCAATAGAAAGTGGCTAGATGCTGTCGATGGATCTTGGCTTGTATTAGTGAAATAAACTACCATTTATTCTACTAAAATTGAATTTCTGACATTGTAAGGAGATTCAATGTTACTATGTATGCAAAACTGAACCATGTAGTTATGAAATAAATATTTTTAACAAAAAGGCGCTCCTGAAGTATTCGCACCAAGGTGGCGCACAACCTGAACATTGTATGTTCACCAGGTTAGAGTTCAGGATGTGCGTCATCTTGGACCGAATACTTTAAATCCACTTAAAAAAAATTGCTCAACATTATATATTCCACACCCACCTGGGTAGCATTATATATGTCATATACATTATATCTAAACAATAATAAAAAAAAAACTTTATGTCCCAAAACAATGTTGAGGCCCGATTCTGCCGGACTACTAATAGACATTCACTTTTGACACGTCAATACAACAAAAAAATGCTGAAAGAAAGGTAACTTGCCATAAGATACATTAATAAGATCAATATTATAACGATTTTATTGAAATAATAAGTTTGTTGACACCAACAACACGTTCTGCTTTTTCGCACATTTTCTTACTGGTCCTATTTCTTCTGAACAGAAACGGGCCAAGCCTTTACAATCTGCGGTCGTTTTATTATTAATAATAACAGGATAGCTGTGCTCAAATATATGAACACGAAGGCTAAAACGATGTTGATGACGTCATCACACAACACTTTAAAGTTGCGAACGAATCCAATAGAGCCTACAGAAATTTTTCAAATAAATAAACGTAATAGACTTCTAGCGACAACAACAATCTTTAACCACCAAAATTTCAAAGCAATTGGTCCAGTAAGTAAAAAAAGTAGTTTTTTTCACAACAATAAATAATAGCAACAAATAGAAGCAAAATACCAAGAATACTAAGAACAACAAAACTTTAACAAAACGATCCATAGGTGCACTCCGCCTGAATCGGGATTAGGTGAATGCGAGATGAGTACTGACGGAAGCAGCCATTGTTAGTAAGTCAGTTACGTGAGTAACAAGGTATGTATATGCGTGAAAAAACGAACGTAAAGAAATGAAAATTAGTGATACATATTTTCCAATTTGAATATTCTCTCGTCATGAAGTCGAACTAAAAATGGTTCCAACTTTTACAGTTCTAATGTTTTCTATACAAATATATTAAAAAGCTATAATTTAAACATACTTGCGTAGGAATGACTATTTATATCAGCTCCACAATCAAATATTGTTACATGCTACAATACAGATATAACAATCTACTACTTTTATCGTTTGTTTTTATCGTGATATGTTGTTGCGATTGTGTGAATTATCCTATTTTTATGAAGCAACAGGACAACGAGAATATGGGTCAGAGACCGAAGACTTATCGATCGAAAGTTAGGGGAACCCCCAAAACAGCGCTCCTACTCCATAGTGACACCTTGTGTTCCATCACTAATTAATTAATAACTCGCTAATTATACGGCCTAATTCATCCAAAATCAATAGGCTTCTCGTACGACATATGATGAATGCACATTAAAATCGATAAGTAATAAAGTTGATGTTCCTGTTATGACAATAAGTTATGACATAGTTTGTTCATATTTGCATGAATATATTATCAGGTAAGTTTCATGTCGATACATTTCCAAAATATAGATCTAATATCTGTTCCCCATATAAAACTTTATTCATTGCTCCAGAAAGACATCCCAACCTCGTCAGGATTTCATGAATAGATCCAATTTTTTCATTTTAATTCTTTCTTCTAGTGAGAAACCGACATGAATAAGTATTTATGATTTTTGCAAATGCTTTTCCTAACAGCTTTGATATTTGTTCCTTAATTGATTTTTTACCCCTTCGTCTGTCAGACATTGATTTCATTATCTGCAAGTCTGTTAGCGTTTCTACATTTGATGGTAATGTAAAACAAAACCAAGTTTCGCCGAGGAAGACTAATATGAGAAAACGCAGATTTTTTCGTACATTGTCACTCACGTTTCCAATCGTATAGTTGCAATCAACATGAAACTATAACCTTTTAATCGTTTGCTATTGTTATTCAATGAAGTCGAACTAAATCACAAATACTTGGAACGAGATTTTGATATGCTTTATTACATTAATATGAAATTTTGGCAATCCGAAAATTTTCTGTTCTGACCTATAGAACTACTGCATGAACCATCGAGAATTTATAATGCATTACTATCTTTGCAGATATTTAATGAAAATGTGCACCAAATGATAGAAATACTTATGTTTCTGTGTTAGTATTCAACAAAATTAACATATCTGTGGCTCAAAAATTTCCAGGAGCAAATTGTAATACACTATTGAATTTTTTCGGTGATCTACCATACAGAAAAGAAATTTTTGAAAAATTAAAAATAAAATTACAGCAAGAAAATAACAATCAAATTTTGTATTTGTTACGGTGAATTCTCCTAGTCTGAATCAGAATAATGTTGATTATAGGTTTTTTTGACTCCTTTCGCAAATTCAAAACTCTTTTGCTTCAACTTTTCTCCATACGAAAGAACGGTTCTGCCAGCTGCTTTGATACTTTTCCTATAATTAAACGAAAGAGAGATTTGAAAATATTTGAGCGTTTTTTATTTAATATATACAAATATAAATATTAAAACGTCCTAATTCAAATTACCCGAAACTTTCTAACCAGCCTGAAGCGGTACTTGCTATTTCCTCCGAATCTGCAAAAAAAAAATAAAAAAAATAATGTCGATGAAATGGATATTGTTAGAAATTGTATCAACCTCAACTAGAATTCTACCAAACGATTTTCGATATTTTTACGTGCGGCCATCTAGTGGTAGACAAATAAGGGGTCAGCTCAATTACTGTGACCGTTTAAATTCTCATACCATAATATTCGACTTATAAGATATTATTGTAATTAGTTCATTGTTCACCAGAAGTGAAATAAAAAAATTTTGAATGCTCTTTCAATAAACTCGTTAATCATTCCAAGGATTTTTCTAAAAAAAAATCATTTTACCTGGAATTGCAGAACCTTCAGCAATCACTGCCAAAAATGCAACAAGGCCAAGAAGAACAACGAACTTCATTTTGACTTTTGGTTGTTTGAAGTGAAACAAATTATTAAAATTTTTTTATTTTTTATTTTATTTTTTCTAAGATAAAAGACAAAGTATTAGGTTGAAGGAATGGTGATACGTTCATATTAAATTTCTGTGGCGAGTCCACCGTTTTGTAATTAGTGTATGAAGCATTAGTATTGTCGAAATTTAAAAAAAACGTTATTTCACACCATACTGCCATAAAACTACCTCTGAAAACGTTTTTTTCTCAATTTTCACCAGTTTATCATTTTGTATTTCTAACATATATTCTTAAACGTATTAACTAATGAAAAGAATCAGTGAAATTAACGTATCTTCAGCTAAATCTTTTCCTCTTTTTATTACATGTATTCCCGTCATTTCATTATGATCTTTGCCAATCTCAAAAATCACAATATAAATACGTCAAGAAAACTTGGTAATTAACTACACTTCCAATCTTCGACAAAACAGTCGTGAGCGTAGAATATACTCACATAAATATTACTATTTAGGTGATAACATTGTTCTAATTCATACATATATCATATAATTCTATATAATATGTAAGATATTGCATTTCAAATAAAACATCATATGAACAGTAACAACCCTTGAATTCTCCTGTTTCCTTCTCGAGCTAGAATTCTGATCTACATTTTCAAAATGCACACAGATTTATTTGTATTAAAGTCGGACCATATTGCTTAGACCAATGAAAAGAGAGAAGGAATTGCATAACCTATGTTGTTCTTTGTTAATGAAGGGTCCAAAGGTTCGGATGACGCATAATCTGTTGTTGTCTTCAATTCGATCAAAGAACAAATAAATTTTTGTTCGTCTTCCATTCTCAGAAAGATTATCATCGAACATGATAGAACGCGTTTGATACAATGATATGTTTGTTTGTGAAAGTTATAAATCGCTGACGCAAATATTTGTTTGCAACATAAAACTGTCTGACTGACACTAATCTCTGTACCCTGGTTAGCAATCGTCAGCAAACAAATTCATTACTTAGTCTTATCCACCGGTTCTTAACCAGTGGGCCATGGCCCACTGCTGTGCCACGAAAACATTTAAAATAGGCCACAGTTCTATTCAAAATTGCTAGTTTTACTTTTATCACTGTTTTTAATCGTAATTGTAGTAGCAATGAATTAGGATGCTGTTTTCTGCTACTGAGTGGTAATTCTAAAAGCAAAAATGTCCATTTTTTGCGAAAAGATTTTATTTTTTTTTGTAGTTTTCCCATTGCATTAAAAAAGTTGGTGGACCACAGAATTTTTGTTCAGCGAAAATACGCCACAAAAAATATGAGGACCATTGGCCTGACCGATCGATATATATTCGATACATTTTTAATTCACCTATACCATTCAAACCCAGAATAGTTTTTGAAATGCCGTAACATCCTATATGTAAATTTGTGGAAACGCAAACTGTACTGTTGAAGAAATTTACATTGCAAAAGCGTAGTATCTGATACCTCATACTTAACTAGTAAATGTTGCGTTTACAGTGATTACCGAAGCCTTGCAGCGGATTTTTAAATGTTGCATCAATTTATAGGTTACACTACAATTACATGATTATGCAATCGATTGCTAATAGTTCATCCAATGGAGCAACTGCTTGCGAGAGGCCGAAGAACAATAACACTCAATTGTACTCCATAGCAAAATAAAAATTACAGAAAAAGTTTATAAAATATTCTGGTCGTGGTGGAGTTAAATTTGTCTGCAAAAGTCTTGACTTGAAATCGTTTCTCTCATCCGTGCAAGGAGTTGATATTTTTGTTTGAGTATTAGTCATTGATGACGTGTATGCTTCGAACAAACTTTAAACATGAAACTTTGAACACGCTATCGTCTTTCGATAGTGTTCATTTCAATTGACGAATGCATTTTGCAAACGTTATTAATTTCACACTGCATACGATCTTGTCAGCAATATCCGCAGGTCCTACGACATTCCTTTTTCAGTGCAATTCTAAGAGTCGGTAAATTACACATAAGTTTTATATTTTTGCAGTCCAGACGACTATCGATGCATGTAGTCTCTCGTTTACCTGTTGAATGAACAAATATAGACTAAATTCCGATAAATTTGTTCGTTATTTGTATAAATGTTGCACAATTTAAGATAATTTATGTTTATTAAACTAGCTTCAACGATGTGCAATGAAGTACGGATAAATTTTCTCGTAAACACACATGAACAGAAGCCACTGCTACGTATAAAGCAGTAACTGTATTTTGAAAGCTTCCTGCTCGGCGTTGACACACATGCAGAATTCATTACATCATGTGTATAGGTTGCGATAGGTTGAATCCAATATAATTAATCTTTAATCTGAGTAAATCACCTTCAGATTTCAATCAGATATGACATTTTGGTGTTTACGTACAAAATAAACGCCAGTTATGGTATTTTCGTGTAGGAGTTTGAATTTTAAAATGACGAATGCGTACAAAGTTAAGTATACCAGGTGTTTTTGAATTGCTAATTCTTTCAGTTTAGCCTTTTATTGACGCTTTATGAATGATTGATGAAAGCCACAAACAAATTCATTAATAATCTAGATTAAACCATTACTATTACCTCTAAAATATGATGAAAAGTAGTTGGAACTTGAATGGCAGGGGTACATTTTATTGATTTGTTCAATATCGGAATACGATAGTCCCTTGCTCTGAAAATAAAGAAAAATTTATTCAATACAAATTATTCGATAAAGAAGTAAATGGTATATTTTACTCCGCAATTTAGCGTTGGATAGCGAATTGAACCTGACTATGTTATAGTTGCAGATCAACTGTTATTTCTTGCGACCGATCTCTCACTAATTGTGTGATAAATTAAATAGATCGAATACAATTTGGAAGGTATCAGAATCGACGGAAAAAAATCACTGTATATTTAGCACGTTGTATATATTGACGATAGGTAATACAACCGAAAAGAAACATTGTTGAACAATTGTTTGTTGTGTTCAACTAAGATAAAAATATACGATTTATTCCTTACTATACCACATTGAAAAAATAAGTTGGTAGCCTTCATTTTCTGAACTCACTGAAGTGCAATAATTCTAACTTCGTCAACTTTTACTTTTTAATGTTTGACCTTTTTACACAAATCAAGTCACAAACTAATTGCTTCATGGTATGTCTATATACTCAGTCTGGACTTATTTTATGTTTTCCAGAAGATTTTTCAATTTATAAATTCATTTTACTTTGTTAATGTATTATACCTGAGTTTGTAATTCTTGTCCAGTTGCATCTAACAAAGTAGGGAAGCCATTTTTAGAAAATGCTGTGCTACTGTAGTGCATAACTGATCCTATGTCATATTTGGATCCATATGATACAACTTCGGAACTGGAGAATTTTTGAAAATTCTCCAAATCGTCTGTAAAACATGAAGTGCAATTTTGGACAGTTAGTGTGGAATATTTTCAAATACGTTATTTTTTTCACTTTAACTGCAAAAGTAATGAAAGAAACATAACGTATATTCCATATATCTGCAAAATCTCAACTAAATCGAATCCGAGACTACCAAATTACATAACAAAAACTAAAGAAACTAAAATAATAGACTGCGTTTAGTCTTTGCAATATACATTCTCGTTTGCTGTAATTTAGATAGATAAATATCATCAGATAAAAGATAGCATGAAGGATATGAGCCAGCAATTTGAAATAGTTTCACATAACATATATATATACTCGGAATAGTAAATATCATTTTGAAACGTGGTTATTCTACGATTACATGAAAAAAGTTCGATATTAAACATAATTTATTCTAGATCCTTCTAATGAGGAAACAAAATTTAATATTCCTCGGGATAGGTACCATGTATTACGTCCAATACCACATGCACGCATGATGCGAATATATAGCTACTGACCTGTATCAATGTTCTCATAAACAATTTTGATATAGTTATCTCTGTCAGGTCTGCTATGCTCGTGCCAAAATCCAATGGAATGCATGATTTCGTGAACAACTATACCTTTATTACTACAGCCTCGTCCTATAGAAATCTGAAAGTTATATTTCAAAATAAAAATTATAAATCAATCATCATAATTTCAACGATTTCAACGAGTTTAGAATATTGCAAAATAAATAATTTTTCCATCCTCGATTCCAGAATGTTTAAAACAATCTTGAATTTTAGGTGTCACATCATACAGTTCAATAAGTTGCGATGATCGTTTCGCTATTGCAGCGTACCTGGTTAGCGCCTTGGTGCATTCCAACATCGGACCAACATCCTCGGCCAACTTTAAATTCAATATAATTCTCTTCGTTGTTTTTCTTTTTCAATCGAATGCAAGTTTTACTTTCGATTTCTTCAATTGCCTCATTAATTGCCGACTTAGCCGCTGTGCCTAAATATTATTTGATAAAATTATATTTTAATATTTTTTGTAATTTTTTCCCCACTCAACTCTGCGAGAAAACTGGGGATTGAGCTCAAGAATTTTAATTCCTGGCAATATTATAAACTAAAACTGTCAAAAATGACATAATTGCATCAATTTCAATGTCAAAAACAAATTGCTCACGACTGCTAACGGTTAACAAAATCAGACTAAACATGAAATCAGTTCAACCTTTTTATTATAAAAAACGAATTGGTATTAGGTCTCACCTAGGTACGGCGTCAAAACATAAGGTATGATGTAATGTCCACTGGTTCTATCCAACGGCCATCGATTGTGAGTTCCGGATCCGGCCCGACTCCAACCACCTCGCAACATGTTCATCAGTTGTACAATCGATGTTTTTCTCAGTCGAATATCAGACTCGAACAAACCTGATCGAAACAGTTTTCATTTTATTTTTTGAATACGTGAATATATGTGTGAAAGTGAAGTATTTTGGATCGTTTTAAAGCGATTAAAGCGTTGTCATCACAGTTTACGCTCAGATTCAAATCCCATGCTCACAATATCACTTTAGAAGTAATAAATTGAGTGGACTAAGCCGAGGGTTTCTGTTCTACCAGAAATAGCATATTCGTGCAAATAGTATTATATCAGAAGTTGCTAGCGAAAGGCGTAAATGTTTCTAATGTTTTTGGACATGAAGGCATTGGGCTGGATCCCAGATGTGCCGTCCTGATCCATAAAACAAATACATGAAGTCTATAGTTTTTCGTAACTTTTTAATTCTTAACCCGGCAGCCAAATAGTTGACTGTTTGAGGTTTAATCTATCCTCCCGAAAGGCAGGTTTAAAGTACATCATATTTCAGAAATTACCATTATTTCCTCTGTAATCGCATTTGCATGTTGCGCAACCATTTGATCCTCGTTTATACCAGATGCATGTACTAGGGCAGTCACGTAGTATGTTTGTGGAGCATTGTCGTCCAGCTTGAGTACAAATATATTTTAATAATTTAGTTATCCTTAGCAATGCCATTAACAATAACCTTTGACCTTACTCGGAAGAGACTTTTGTGTATGTTTTCATGAATATAATTATTCGGAATTACGACAAATTTTTTTTTTTCTTCCAGACTATAGCCTAATAAGTCTATTCCATATTATACCTTGTTTGAGAAACACAGAAATATTTGGTTCTATCAGGCCATTCTTGAATTCTTCTTGCTTCCCTGAAACCAAAAGCATTTATTATTATGTACAATATTGAATTCCTAAACTATTCACAAAATCTACTCACTGTAACACGCATTTACTTCCCAAACTGTAGCATTCGTTTTAAATCCATTCAAAATTTCTTCGCAGCTGTATGCTCCCACACACATGGTGAAGGATGAACAAAGAACAAATAATAGAACACAAATATCTTCTAAAACAAAAAGGGGGAAAAATATAATTATGTCTTTAATTCAAGGTAAATAACTTTTGAAACAAACTTTAAAAGTCAAGATATAAATTGAGTTCTTCAAAATCAGAATTATATAGTCTATTCGTTCATTCTTACATTACCAGCAAGCTATAAAAACGACTGCTAAAAACCGAGTCAAATCCCTTAAATTACGTTTAAAATCTGGTAGCCAATACCATTTCAAAGAGCTCAATTACAATATACACTTTATATGTTACATTCACAATAATTATAAATTCGTTTTATTTCTAGTGAAAAACGTTCCAGTTAGACAAACGATCACAACTGTAATATCTTCTGCAGTAGATACGTAAATTCATTACATACCTGATATCATTTCGCCTATCCTTTCTTATACTAGAACAAGATCAAATGAACATTTTCCATTATCCCGGGCTGATTTTAATACGAACGAATGAATAATAAACATTTTAATACTGACGATAATTTCACGAAGTATATTAAATCAAATCGAAATTAGACGAATTCTATCATGTGAATTAGAAATTATATAATGCCTTATATACATATCAACTCGTCAAATTAAAGTTGGCGTAAGTTGCCTTCAATTAGCCACTACCAATTTTATGGCATAATCATTGTATTTAAATTTAGAGGACGAGTGTCATATAAAAATGATGCAACAAAGTAGGAGACATATATTATGTTCCATACTTTACCGGAATAGTTTATGACCCATATTGCATAACCGCGGTATGTTATTTGTGAGCTAATTATGGAAGGTCAACCAACTTTGACAATCGTCTGTTGCGTAACGTTTATTCTGCTCCGATGAAAACAATAAACTTGTAAGTCGTAAACGACACAAAGTAACACTGAAGTATAGCTTCTAAGAATTGATTCATAACGTTTCTCATGGTACGTTCATCCAAACAACTTCTTACGTAAAGTATAATTTATAGGCATTGAATATAAAAGGATGAACACCGAGCTAACATCTATAAGAATGAAACTGACTAAAATCCAAAAATACAATATTGAATTTAAATTTTTTAGTACCAAAGAGTATACCAAAATGAAATAAATTAACAGAAATCCCCTATATGACGAATGACAATACACAGTAATTAAACAGTTAGTTTAAAAATAACCTATTTAATAAACATTAGAAACAATATATTTGATTGCAAAGTAAAACACAATGATCCCCAATCGTCGGTCAGCTAGGCATTTTGTTATTTTTTGTTACCATAACCATTTGCTTATATTTAAAAGTAACATATCACAGTGTAAAATGCTGACTGAAGAAAAAAAGAAGAAACGGAAGCTTATGGTTTTCCATGTTTGTAACGTTACATTCGAAATACAAGCAGTAGGTCCAGGAATCTCCTCATCTGCTAAACATGGCACGTCGTCCTGTCGATGAAGTCAACAACCATCTGTCGCGATCGCAGACAAGATAACGTTAACAAAATTTCACCAAATTGAGGTCCTATAAAGATTACAACTAGTAATGTACAACTTTTTTTTACATCAGTGGTAAACTTAGGCATAACTTAAAATACACTCATATATATATGATTTATCGGGAATGGGAGATGTTATATCTTAATGGTAATTTGCAAATACCTGACGTGAGAGGAGTTGTCAATATTCTCTTTAGGTTAATTCCATATAATTTATATTTGGTGTCCTGAGGTTTGATGCTGTGATCCATACTCAGTCAGAAAGTGTTTGCATTATCTAAAATTTGTAAACTAATGTGGTAAAAAAAATTGTAGCTGCATCGTGCTCTATATATTAATTACATTCAAGAAGCAACAACACAAAAAGGGTCAGTGTATTATTGCATTTATTTATATTTGGACGCTCACCACTGTCTGAATATATATATTGCCTAATACGATTTTACGCTTTCGTGAATCTGGTAATGTTTACTTGGGCCTCTGACGCAAACTGTTTCTATCAAAACTGATTCCATTCATTTCAATATTTGCTATTAGTGCCTGAGTGCATTTATTTAATTTCATTGGCCCACCAGAGTAGAAAGGTTGGAAATCACTGATCTAAAATACTGGATAATGAGGTGCATTTAACAGCATATCGGCGAGTTATTCTCATGACCAATTTCCCCATAGCTAGGTTCTGTCATATTGTCCCGACTGCTTCAAGCTTGAGGCAATCGATATTTTCAAAATTCTATGCTAATATTCATTTTAATCTCAGCTAACTATTAGATCTCATTGATCGTTCCTGCGCTCTGAGATCAGTCGCCTTTATTCCGAGTGAGTGCAATGACCTGCTTTGGGCAAAGAGTCACCACCCTCGTGTTCCATTATTCACCCTCGTGTTCCATTATTATTTCTGATTTCTGTCTCAATTAGGCATTGTATGTGGGGAAGGAATAAACTGTAAAATACCATTTATTTGTCGCATACCATTTATAACATTTTGTTCTTCATTCGGTCCATGCATCACCGAAAGAAAACAGCCAAGTCGCGATAAATAAACAGATTAATTGTATTGATGTGTCAATTTTTACCACAGAAAAATTTTTGCCTTGCTTTTTGCATTATTTGCGACTTGTGGCAGGTTACCAAACAATTGTGGCGGGTTACTTTGTCACCTGCGCGTCAGTGGTTCACCCTCTCTGTTCTAGACTGTGATCTCATTCTCAAATCCTGATCTTTCTCATTTTACAGGTACCAAACCGCAACACTTAAACAAGATAACGTATTGACGAATATCTTCCCTTCTCCAAGCAGGTCTTAGTTTAATACTTCGTATCACGTCTCCTTTATTTGAATGAACCGTTCATGGCGTATTTCACTACTGATAGATATTCCCCAACTCAAGGTATATGCAATGAAAGAGATCACAAAGTTGTGTATTGTCAAATTACAACATTTATTACAGTATGAAACAAGTAGTTCTGATATTGATAACATGTTAATTCTACGATTTTCACAATTACAAAAACAAATATGGTAAAATTGTGTCTGTACCGAAGACTTTCAAATTTTTTAAATGTTTTAAAAAGCTAGTGGTTAGGTAAATTCTTGCTATTTTTGCCTGGCTACCGGTCGTAATTTTTTGAATGCGCAATAGCAAAGTCTAACTTCACGCTTCGATTATGTTACTGGATATTTAGATATAGCTGTAAATTGATTTCAAGTGTTCACGTTAACTTTATGTATTGTTTGATTTAACCCCGGCGTGGGGCCCCACCAGCACCTGGTCTTCTTGCTCCTGGTCTCCTTGCGCCTCCTGCGCCGGGTCTTCTACCGCCTCGAGCGGGAGGAAGGAGCTGGGGTAGTCGGAGCTTCGGTTGTTGTTGTTACTGGTTGTGGTCGTCCTACTCTCACTCCTCCGCTAATCACCCTTCCTGTCCCTCTAGTTCCAGCTCTGTCTCTCACGGACTGTTTGAAGAACTCACTACATGCCATTCCGTCTATAAGTTCTCCAACGTCTTCGTTGTTTTCACCTTTCCAGTAGGCCTTTCCTTCACAGCACCAGTAATCTCTTCCATCAATGCAACTATTTCCACAACAAACTGCTTTCTCTTTAGGAATTCCTCCTAACTCGCGAGGTGTACCATCGCAACACTTGAATGCGTCGGCATCCATTGAGGAATCACCTGACGGGATTTTAAAATAAGAACAATTAGAACAATATATAGTTGTAAATATTATTTAAAATATGTGACCATTACTAGTAAAAATGTCGTTAAATAAATAATCTAAAAACATACCACAGCATTTTGTATCAGGAAATTCAGCTCCATTGAAAACATTGGGACCGCAACATATTCCATCTGCACCAAATGGGTTGTCCAATCTCACATCGTCGCAGTATATTACTATTCTTATGTCGTACGTAGTATTTCCGACACAACGCCCAAACTCTTTGTAAAGATTCCGGTTGACAACATCATCACAACAAAGATGTGACAAACGATTCATTGCCATTTCTCCGCAACATTCCAAATCATTCAAACCAATTTTTTTACCATCTTCACCAGCTAAACAGAAAGTATGAATTAAAAACGTTTGTATTAATTTTGAAACGAAAAATGCAATCTACGAAAGATAATTGAAACTTACTCAGTGATGCATTGACACCCCCACAGCATGTTTGTGAATCGTAATCATAAGGAACAAGCGTTGATGGATCACCGAAATCTCCACAGCATCGAGTATGGTGACTGGTCTAAAGTAAATGTTAGGGATTTATAGAAAAGCACTGGAAATGTTAATTCGTTTTAACAGCGAATGAAGACGACAAAAAATACTCTGACCAGAAGTAAAAAAGTAAACTAGGAGTGGTTTGTGGAAAAAAATGTTTCATCGCTAACTTAGTCTGAAAATAATTCATCAGTTCTTATTTTTCTTCGCACAATTTTAATTTCGCAATTTGATTCATATTTTTCTAATCTCTACACATTTTTATTAATTCAAATTATATATATATATATATATATATATGTATATAACGACTAAAAAAGCTTTTTTGTCAATAGAAAATATTATATGAACGCCAATAAATACAATATCAAACTGTAATAATCAAATACGGCCCAATAGATTTTTATTTGACAGACATAAGCCGCCAGGTTCTGAGGCTTATAGATTGATAAAAAGAAATCATGACAGTTTTCACAAGCCTTATATGTGAATAAATTAGTATTATTAATGAAAGTGAGTTAAATATATATACCACGCTTACCCCAATCAATTCAACATGGCGGTCTATTAAAATATATAAGCAGATTTGGCTTTAGGCCCATATGAAGAAATGGGATTTGTGAAATGTGAAAAAAAGCTCACCTCTCCTCTTGAATCTGGCGGATTGTCGAATACGGTTGTACCGCAGCATGTCTGTTCATACGCGTCAAAACTGTCGGTTCCACAACAGGCCGGCCACACCATGTCAGACTGAAATTTAACAGAATAAAATGTTGTTATCAAGCCATCGCAAAGATGTAATCGTAATTTAGCGAGTATCATGCTCAGGTTTTTAATTACAAATCATTATTGGAAAAATAAACGATAAGCTTTAACATGACTCCAGTTTTTACTTGTAAACTATAGTTATCGCATAAATATACCAGAATCGATAATAAAATCCTCTTTAGCCGATGCGCAATAGTTTCTGCGATTGCAGGCGTTATTAAATCACAATCGCGGTCTAATCAAAAGTTATAATCCAAAACTACAAGTCCGTAAATCCAATGAAGTAATTGGCTTGGGTGATTACATTTTTTAAAGTACGCCTTTAACTTGTTTAATTCGATTTTAGACTCGAACGTGAAGCTGCCATCTTCGGATATAATGTTAAATACCCACGAAAAATTAAACATCCATAATTCATTTATGACATCATAAACCTTTCTGCATGACAATAGTACATTCAGTATTCTTTGTTTAAAGTTCTGACTAGAGTTATGTTTTTGTATAATTTTGATTGGAACTAATTTTGAGTAACACGTAATAATGTAATTAAATGCTCATAAATTAGATTAATTATAGTGGCGAACAATCTGCTACACTTCTAATGCTCAATAGAATCTTACTCCAACTATTCCTCCGCCGCAGCACACTCCAGTAAGTTCATCATACGGCGTTCCAGCGCAACAACCTGCTCCCTCTGTTTCCAGGTCGTATACCGTGTTGTTACAGCAATTACCAGCTTCTGAAAAGTAGGCTCTTCCAGCGCAACATTCATCACCCTAAATCGTTGAAATATGTTAGTAGAAATTGGCACACATGTTCAATATATAGGCAAATCAATAGAGATTTTTAAAATTAAAATCCAAGCATGTACAGCTCAGCTTGCGCTATTACAGCGAGCTATACTTTGTTGGTGTCGTAGTCGGTCAGTCAATAAACTAGTAATATATATACAGGTTTAGAAGATGTTGTAAATTATTTTTTCTACGTGCGTTTTCCTCTTGTATATATTGGTATGTCAAACTACATTGATAAAACCCTACTAATGTTATCAGATGGACAAAACATGATAAAACATACAATAGGTTGTCTTTCAAAATACTAGATGCACGATTGAAAAATTCTTTTATTGAATAAGTAACTAAACTTTGCTTCATGATTGATTTTATGCATACATAATTGATCCTCGTTTTTTTTATTAAAATAATAAACCCTTGTTTTATTTTCTTTACCTCGTTTTTCTCTGTCCGACCACTCATCTCCACAACATGTTTGTGTAGTTTGCATCAAACGCTTGTTCTATTCCTCCGACAGTGCAGCATCCTATATTCACGTTTCCTTCGTTCCAGCTTGCTGATCGTTAGAAGTCCATTGCAGCAGTACTAATTGAATAATGGGATTAAAAGCAAATTTAATGTTCAAGTTTTCATTGGTAAATAATGCAAACACACGGTACACGTCGATGGGGTGCAAATAGATCACACAGTACCAATTTTCCGATTTTTTTTGTTTGCATTATGGCAGAGTCTGTGTTGTTTTCTATTCTAACTCAAAACAATCATTAAAATTGTTCTGTTAAAATATATTGAATATAATAAGAAAAGGAGAGTTTTACGCAACCATGTAAAGTATTTGTAATTGTTATTGAACGTGTTTCAATTTAAGTTACAAGTCAAACCTGTGATGATGCATTTGCGATTAGACCATTGCAACATATTTGTAATCCTAGATCATAAATTTCGCCGTCACAACATCCTGCGTCTCAACAAGGTATGGATTCGCAGTTGCTGCGCTCTGCTGTCAAATCTACAACAAAGCTGTATCTTTTTTTTTGTGCGTTTAAAAGTTTTCCGTTTCCACAAGGACAAGATGCAACTCGTCTATCGTAAGCAACATCATAACAGCAATCAGCATACGCTGTAGTTGCTAAACACAAAATTAAACCATCGTGATATAGTGATCTAATTTTGTATAACTTGATAAATATACGGAGGGTAAATGTTTGATATAAATAGCACAAGAATATTTCGGAATAACAATCAAAATCTTATTAAATGCAATCTTATAAAATTAAATTTGTGCTAGAAGCTTGTGCATGGACCAGGGCTCTTCAAACTGAAAGTCCCGGAACCCCGATGGGACGCGAAAGGGCTTAATGGACGTCGCGGTAAAATCTTTGTCGACACTAACTCATGTCAAAACAAAATATCGATCAAATTGAAAAGATTTGTAACCAGTACTGAGACCCATCGTCACCGAAATAGAGTCAAGATTCGACCTTTAGTGCGAAAATATGCAAGCACATCGGTCTTATTAAAGGTCTTCTCAGTTTTATTATTATTTTTTCAATATTTTCTGTATTACAAATTTTACTTCATGTTTATTTTATTTCTTGAGGGTCGCGAAAAAATTGAACCGTGCCGTGAACCGTGAATTGGGGCGTGATGAACACTGGCATATACAATTCGCAATTATAAAAAATGCAAGTTGCGTTTTTGAAGCAGTGTCAATGTCAAGTCGCAAAGGCAGTGGAAAAACCTATTATAGAAGGGAAATTCGAACAAGATTATTTATGTTATTAAACACGTCAGGTCTCGGATCAAGTCTTGTTAAATTGATCAAATTTAATTATTGTATGTCAAAGTTGTTATAACTTTTATCTGATGATGTGTCATACAGTGATGGGTGATGAGTCATACAGCCTTATTGTTACCAACGATATCGATATTGACTGACAGATCGAAATATTCTTACATAAATTTAGTAAGCTTACTTATGAATCCTACTCTTCCCTCACAACACATGCTTGTCAAAGTGTTGAAAGCTTCTGGCTTATTTTGCCAACTTCTACAACATTGCATGTGCGGATTCTCTTCATTGTCGTAAAGATCTGCTCCGCAACATTCTGGTTCGGTTGGACTGTTCTAAAATGGTTACCACATTCAATGTTTCAATAACATGACATAGAAAAATAAATCTGATTTTTCAGAATTCACAGTTTATAGTGATTTTTCAATTTATTGGAGTTCCTTAGACCTTCTTTTGTTGGAATGATCTTTTGGCCACTAATTTCATGAAAGTGTAATGTCAATTTTCAGTACATACCTATAACTGTAAATCAACAATATAGTAAACATATATTTGAAATCTAGCTTTTACTAGCACAAAATTAATATTTTCCTCTTGGACATGGCACCACACCAAGCTCAAAGCGTATTTTATATTCAATACTCTGTTCTGTTGTGTATTTCAAAGTCCAGAGTCGGTGCCCATGCACAGCAAATTTCTGTCTCGGGATTGTGCATTCTTCCAAAACTTTTATCTCCGCAACATTGTGAAAATGAGTCAAGTTTATCGTATACTTCTTTGCCTAAATAGAAAAAAGATTATTCAATATATCTTCCAATTTCCATTACAATAACATCTGACATCAAACAGATAATACAACGCGAATCCGTGCTATTATCAGTGCCTTCTCGTAATAAGATGAGCAAGTTTGTTGAACTTTGGCTGTAATCGATCTGGTTTTAATAGGAAAATTGTTGTTTGCTTTTATTCTGAACCAAGTCATTTTAACTGGTGGTTAACGAACGGCGTGAAGGTGCCAGTAAAAGTACTTCTCTCCGTGTCCATATAGTTGTGCCTTTGCATTCATGCTTTTTTGTTTATCATTTAACACGATTCGTTAAGTTACTGTGAGTGAGACGGAATTTACTTTTGTAAAATATTTTAGGCCTGAGCCGACTTTCAATTTGAACGCTAGTTTTACCAAGCTATATTGATCATCATCAACCCACTCACTATCATCGATCGAGCACATACAACACCTTGAACAGGGGAGGGTATGCACGGCAAATTTGGATAAGTTTTCAACAATAGTATTATTATAAATTATCTACAAAATTTTTTTAACATCATAGAATTACTACTCGACCTTTTCAGTAACTTACCACAACAAACTTGCGTGCACGTGTCGTACTTTACAACTGTTCCGTTAGCGTTTCTACATAGTCCTACGGCCCTTGTACATCTTCTCACATACCCAAACTCATTCTTCCCAATACCGACAGCTTCATGAGTTGACACAGCAATCACCACTAGAAGAGTTATTAGTTTATACATGATCTAAAGACCTATGGAACATATAAAGCGTAAGTATTGAAAGCAAGTCCATTTAGTGAATGGTCATGTTTTTTATATTGCTCACTCGAGTAAATACTTACACGTATTTTCAGATGTAAAAAAAAAACGTTACGGATTCATACGTAATAACCTTTATGATATATGACACATCCTAGATTATTTTGTTTACTGTAGTAAGAAACATGCGGGAAGGTTAAATTTATTTATCAGTGTTCAATGTGGTCATTGTTCATATGTATGAAGAATATCAAAACACTCACTGTAAAAACTTTTCGGTTGGTTCCGAATGCAAAACCATTTAGATTAATATGCTTGATATATCATTAGTTGACAAGCATGTGACGTGACTCATGTTTGTTATCCTAAGGTTGTGGCGTAAATGACGATATTTGAGACATTAGGCGTAAAAGTTGACATTTAAATACCAAATATGAATGAACTTCTTTAACGCTGTCACCAACGAGATGTTTTCACAAGAAGGCTGTAAGCTTGCTTTCGCCTACAGATAAACTTACTATATATTGATAGAATCAGTTTCTTATAGGTTCGGCGTTACGTATCCAATGTTTGGGCAAAGGGGTGGTCATTAAAATGTATATAATAAATAAAAAAGAACAAGTCGTCAAACGTTTAATAACTTCATTAAACTGTGAGCAATTGATTGTCAAACAGTATTTTAATTGCCGGTTATGACCTTGTCTAGTCCTATAATTTTTTTCAATTACTTCTCTATATAATCGGATATGCCAATCATCCACCGGAAATGCGCAGTCGTTAGTGATTTTTGAACAACTGATCATTATTATACTTTCAGTGGTATACAACAAATACACGTTTCTCAATACAAACAGTTATTATATTTGTATAATATTCAACCCATTTAGATACTTAAATAGTATTTTGCACAATAGTTTTAATTAATAGTTCGATGAGAAAAAGCAAAAATTTAACCCCATGTAGTTACATTTATATATTGGTTGAAATAATGAAACTGCCTTAAATTATTATTTAAGAAAAACGTGATAGATTTGTTTCGAGTCCTTTGAATCACCTTTCCTTTAATTCCTTTAACCGGGCATAAGTTTGAGTCTGGATGGAAAGGTCCCACCTTTCTACCCTGGCGGACCAATATATTAAATAAAATGTACTCGCGGACCGGCAAAAAATTAAAATGAGTGGAACGGAAAATATTAACAAAGTCGTCGGTAACTTGGCACCAAGCCTATTATCCTGCTGTGCATCACCTGGAAAAGATCTCTGCGGCCCATGCTTTTGTTGGGCGTCTCGTGACCACCTGCAGGGTCGCAACCAGTTGATATATATGTCACTGGATGTCAAGGCGAATCCCTGGAATATTATACTGTTCTTGACTGTTTTCTGGTTTAAACAAAAAAATATTCATAACCTTTTATTTGGATGGTCATATTAAGCAGGAAAATCCTGCAGAACATAAAAAAAACACACGATCTTAAGGTTTCTGAATCTTGCGAGATTTGACGGAGCGCTTTCGCGAAAAATTGGAACCAAAAAAGCGAAAAGTGTGATTACCCGGCTCCAAGACGTGGCCGGGCCATTAATACCGTACTTATCAAACAGCAATATGACGGCGGACGAGAAATTGCGTGATAAACCAACGCAACTTCGGCTTCAGTAAAGCGATTGAGACGGAAGAAAAACATAAAAATAGCAAAATTTCTCGCGGACAAAACAAAGAAAACTTCGATTGGGAACTACTGAGCTAGACGGCCACAATAATAACCAGAAGTAATTAGACTCTTCTTGAAATCTTCTCTTCTTACTAGAATAGTTATTATTATATCATATCTCATGTTATACAGTTATAATTTTATATGAAACGCTCTTACTTTTATTTTTTGAAGTTGTGCATTATTTTGCTAATATCTATTACTTTTTATTTATTTTTATACATCTTTTGCTTGAGGTAAAAATCTCGACCATTGCAAAACTATGGGATCATTGCTTACATTGCTACATATAATAAAAAAAAGAAAATAAATAATATTCATATTCATTTTCAGAAATTTCATTGCTAAACTTCGCTTTCTAGACATTAATCGTCCCATTATTTCGAAATCGTAGCATTTGTCGATTGGTATATTGCGAGCAAAAATGCTTCAAAGCCACTCTATTAATGTTTCCTGAATGCGTTGATCCTCAAATATGATCTATCAAATCATCCTGTGAGAATTAGTTACATTTTAGCACTCTTACACTGCGCACATGCGTGCAAAACTCGTGAAAACTTACTGGTAAAACGTGTTTTTATAAGGTGTCAAAATTTACTCACCAAACTTGCTAGGTAAGATTTCATTGGCTATAAACTTTTCTAAAGTATTGTTTACCACACGCGGGGAAAACATAAATTATACTGTTTTGAAAGGCCGAACATGGTCAATTTATTTACTTGAACTCTTTATGATAACATCAAACTATGTATGCGTTGTTTTATTATATTTCATTAGCCCAAGGCAATTTGTGGTACCAAAGTAGTTTTTCTTTTAGCAAACGCGATTAGTGTGAGTAATCCGAGCTTAAAGGTTATTAAAATTACGTTAAATAAAAGTATCAATTCGTTTTTATATTTCATCCATGTTTCCACATAACGAAATCAGAGAACATTTTCGTGTATTTGAAACAAAAGTTAAAAATCTTACAGTTCGACTCTGAATAGAAAGCAATATGATATAACCATGCATAGGAAAAATAAAAAAAATTCTGTGGACATGAACTTCATACCCAAAATAGCATGAAATTACAGTGCCCTCTATATTAGGCCAATACCCTATTGAACATTTTAGTCATACAAGAATAAGCAATATATGCCATATATCAATCAGCGCTTTGTTGCTTCTACAACCTTGAAAATAATATTATGTTGAACGACATTTTCTATTTGTTACTGTAAATTCAATTGGTTTTCGACAACCACGTTTGTGAAGGTCACATGAGGGCACATGGGACAGTTCGCGAAGATTGAAAATAGTGTTTTATTTTACGCGAACAAACAAGAAATGAAGGCGACTGATTACTAGGGTATCATGTCAGGCAATATACGGATATACTTATTAAGTTCGGAGCGATATTCTGTTTCGGAACACACAAACACCAGAATGAATGTTTGAAGTCAAATGTATATATATAGTTCAGGCCATTTGATCAAAATGGCTGCAGTTGATATAAAACAATTCAAATTGAGAAATTATTCTGGCAATGTTGATTGATGTTTAGGAAGAAGTCGCCAACTTTTTTTCCAAATATTTACAATAACTTTAATACCATTGAAATAATACTATGTGAATTATCTAAATTAAAGCACAATTTTTTGACACAATATTTAAACCCTACTAAATAAATAACACGTAGGGTTTAAATAACCGAATATATAAATAATTACTATTAATCTGGCGATGGCATTTTTTATTGTAACATGGTTACTATTTCTAAAAATTGAATGCTATTAGCATCTTCCGTAATGTGTAACTGACTGTAACGCAATGTTCTATAGATGAGGCAATTGTTAGAAGAATGAATAATTCATTCGACTGACTTTACGTTTAGATTCTACAAATACTGCTAAAAATTCCGCAAAATATTTGGATCTTAGAAACATCCTTACGCTTGGGATAAAAATATGATACGAACATGTCATAAGCTCGTTCAAGTGTGAATCTGTTCCTGGCCGTGTTAGGGCAGTGAATCAATGCCGTGTTGTATCATTTGAACAGCAATGAAAGTGCTTTCACGTGCTATTTATCAGCATCCTTTAGCTATGAATTTTTCATCATAATTCTGTCGTTTTATTTAGTCACCTGATACATACACTTTGAATAATTGTCATAAATTTACTTGCATACAACGGTATTTATGATGTATGTTGTATTGACAGTTTAGTATAATGAACAAGATTTTCGAAATGTTGATTTCTGATGGAGCGAAAATCACTAAATTTTAACTTGACTGTATAGCCTTTGTTTTATCTCATAACTCAACTTGTAATATTAAAGTACTAGGAATTGCCACAAGACAGGTGAAATTTTATTCTCAGTAAAATGACCATATAGTGGGGTTTGAATGATGGTGTGAATTGAATTATTCATATTTTGACAATGTTGAGCAGGTTGGATTTTAAAGCTGAGAATTATTCAGCAGACAACAGTTAAGAATAACTTCTCCCTGATACAGTCTACAGTCGATCAACAGTATTATTGAATTGAAGTTTTCTCTTTCTGGTGGTGTCGAAATTTATTTAAATAAAGTATGCTGGTTTTGATTAAATTTCAGAATAAAATCTTTGAGACGAATCTAATGATTTTATGATTTTAAATGTTTTCTAAGTAAACGATTGTCTAGTTGAGTTAAAAGCTGCTGAGAATTGCACGAATAATAGAGTAAAGTCAGATTTGACAATTATGATAACATGTTATGTCACGTGTGTGCATGGTTTGAGAGATTTTATATGCTTTACAGACAAATAGGACCTAAATTTGAAAACAAAATTAAGCAGTTTATTTCACACAACCCGCAGTGGTACGTTTGTATAACTGTTCATATTCAGCAATCTTGTTTTCATAAAAATGTTTATACTGATTCGTTATATGATGAGATGAGATTAAGATGATTCTGAGCTCAATGGATGCTTTTTATTGATGGATAAACATATAAAATCTAAAAATTGATTCTGATAAGCTAGGATTATGAAAAAATGGCAATGTTGCCTATATGAAGTACCCATTCCTTCAGGTTAAAATAAATCTGAAATCGATTAATTGATGGAATCGAGATACCATATTCATTTTTTTTCTTTTACTCTAAATCCTATTGATGTTTCTGCTATCCGTTTGATATTGAGCAGAAATTGATTTTAAATAATGGAAATCGGATACAATATGTATAAATGAAATCCAGTGCCCAGACAGTATCGGGAGATGCTACTGACTGTATTCTGTTACTATGGTATAATGATGCTGAGAAATGAATACATATAAATTTGCATTCAAAACTTTGTGATAGTCAATTTTGTGTACTGTTGCAAATATTTTTTGTTTTGTTGTTTGTTGTAGGATTTTTGATGGAATTCTATACAATAGAATCACGAGATATAGATCAGCTTCAAATACTACTGCAGTGAAGGCTCACTTGCAAAACTGTTGCACTCACATCAAGGATGTGTTAATTTAATTAGTTAAATAATGTACTTCATTTTTTATAAAAAAAATCTTCATTCAAAGGTTACATTCATTGGTCTCTAATTTGTTATAAAATGAAAAATCTAGCCACAGCAACGAAAAAAAGCATGGCTGCCGAACGCACAAGAAAAACGGCAATTGATTCTAATAAAAGAATTCATCTTCAAACAGAAAGAGAAACAACATATATTGTTGAAAGAAGAAAACATAAAAACAAGGATAACTCGACTAATATAATTTCGGAAGGCAATGAAAAAATAAATGCGAAAGACGAGTCATCAAAAATGTGAGTTTTATGAAACAGCAAATGACGAAATTGTTTATTCAAAATGTAATTTCTATTAAGTATGTTTGATGCGCTTGGACAATTCATTTCGAACGCGAAATAGGAACATCTTTCAATTGCTTCTTTGCATTGCAATAAGTTATTTGAAAAATTACTTCTCTTGGTGAAAATATTGCACTGGTGCAATATCATTATAGGTATTAGTATTTATTCTGTATTGCACAGAAAAAAACAAATAAAAATATCAAAGTTGTCTGTTTATTGAATTTTGTCATCTTTCATGTCTTTATGTTTTAGATTGTCTCAATCAACTTTTTCGCTGAAATCTAACGACATCGATATTCACGAACAGCGTAAAAAATTATCTCAACGACATACAATGGTTCGAAATGATATCAAAAGAGTGGATAGTAAGTTATAATGAATAAATATAATTAGAAATGGCAGAATCTCTTTCGATGTTTTAATACAATATTGTTCGATCATCTGCGCAGCAACTGCTGTCAGATACAGATCAGAAGTAGTAAGTAGGCAACAAGGTTTTGGTCACTTTTCCATGCAGATCCTCATATTTGACCATATTTTACATTATTATGAAGTGAGATATCGATTTCAAACACGAAAGAGAAAATTGACTTAATATTCAAGACTATTTCGTGCTTTGAAGAGCAGGTTACAATATTCTCAAAGTTTTTTATGTTATTGTTTTCTAAATTCCGAACGTTTTCATACAGAGCTTCAAAATCATGAAGAATCAGTTTTAGAAACATTAGATGACTTGAATTCAAGAAAATTTACAAAAGAAAAAGATGAAGAACGCAATCATAATCTGACTGCAAATGAAACGGTACGAATTCTGTGTTTTTGTTGTTTTTGTATATTGAAAAGTAAAAATGAATGTAACATTTCATTTATCTTTGCAATTGGAAATCCTATTTTATCAGTAGTAACTTTGTTTAGTTTTGAGATAAATGTAGTGCGTTTGGCTTTGTCGGTCACTTCAGAACGGTTTGATTGTCATTTTGAATAAAATGCTTTTATGGCTGGTGTTAAGAACATTAGTGTATGCCAGTGAAGATCGTTACATAGATGCTGCATTGAATTAATAGGATATGTAGATGGATTAATTATAATGTATTACATGATACCCACGACGTTCTTTATATATCCAATTATAGGTAAAGTAATGTAATTATCGGTGAAGTTTTGTGTAATTCGTATTTTATCGCTATTGATAATTGTGTAAGCGCCACAAGTTTCAGCATAGTATTTGTTCAACTATACATACTTTCAATTTAATGAGTATATATTTGTCTTTGTAAATTACCTTATGTTGTCTATTGCCTCACTTGGAACTTTACCTGAAGATGTTATCATAATGCGCTGTTAATTAAACGAATAATTACATGATATTTACTGCCAGGGCTATATATATGCAAACACGCTGCTTCCGCGGATATCCGGTCGTTTGCATATACGTTGGGTTCTCAAATCCTTGGCTTTTTGTGTTTTTGATCTTGATTCCTAGTTCATATACTGAACCTGCCGTCTTAATTTTTTGTATATCCTGAAAGGCCAATGTTAATTTGATATATTTTATTTATATATTGTTAAAAAAGAAATCGAAAACAGACAAGCGATCTTCAATATCTAACATGGCAAAGAATGAAGACCTTCCAAGGAAAAGGTATAGATAACGTATCTTTTATTGTTATGACTGCTTTAAATAAACTTTTATTAACAGACGATAACGAGTCCGCCCCGGAAATTTGAGCCGATAAAAGTTTAACTCAGTGAAACTGCAGTCAAATGGTGATGAATTGAAATTTACAATTGTAATGATGCGCAGACTATGCTTAAATTGGCCAATTCACTTTGCAGTATCAATAAACTATAGCAACTAACTTCCAACGTTTCTTGGTAATCACATTTATAAGAGAGTGTTTATTTCTATGCATATGTGACTTTTTCAACTTGACCTTCATTGTAACACAGTAACCTGACAAGTTTTTGTTTCAGTATTCTTGACACTAAGCTCCCGCCTTTAGAAGACAACTCCAGAAATCGAATGTCAAGAAGGGTTGGGGTCAAAGGGCAGGTAAAACTGATTCCGTCTCCATTCAGAAATGACGAAACAGACAAAACTGTAAAAACACAAAATGCGACCAATTCGTCACAGCATTCAAATACACGGAACACACCACAGCCTTTACCGCGAGTAAGCAGACGAACCAAAACAGCATCGGACCTAAACAACAACAACGAAATTGACTTTGGAATGCAAGATGTAATAAATTCATACCCCAAGCCAATTCCACGTATCAAACTACAAAAGACAGATTCCAGCATAAGCGTACAAACCAAAAACGAACAGAAAATATCTAGAGTCAAAAAACATTATTCAAACCTGATGCTAGCGGGGATTAAAGACTTTGACAAAGAACCAGAACTATCGGCATTTCCACCTCCGAAACCAGTACCGAGAACTTTCCCACCGACGGGAAGGAAACTCAAAAGCTTGACGACAAGAGATTCTATATCTAATGAACATGATACAACCGATATTAAAATTCGAGCCAAATTTGAACTGGGGAAGATAATTCCGCGGGAAGCATTACCCGAATCCGTACCTAGCCGTACCCCCTCCCCACCAAAAACTAATCACAGTGAAATAAGACAAGCCGAGGACATTTCACAAAGAAATTTTGGCAAACCTCTCGATATTTTCGAAGATTTTAGTATGAATTCGGACGATAGCCTATTTAAAATGGACGTGATAAGGCAACAAACTGCTTTAGTTCGAGAAAAGAGAAATCAATTGAACATGGCCCGAAAACTCGCTCCTCTCAAAAAGTAAAAGTCCGTGCCAGCGTATATGTTTTTTGAAGGCTATAAGAAAAGACTCATTAAAATAACACGATTGACTTTAAATACTAGAATAAATACTATTGAGTACTATTTTTGGTACTCCTGTAGTATGCGAACCAATATGGCGGACACCTGAACGAAGTATGTGTACCAGGTTTGGGTTAGGCCATAATTTTATTAAAATTTACCTTATTTTAGTTCTATTACGAGTTCGGGGACTAGTCAAGTGACTCCCGTAGTATTTGTACCTGAATTTATGGCCTAACTCTAACCTGGTACACTTACTACGTTTCGGTGTCCGCCATCTTGGTTCACATACTACGGGAGTACCCTATTTCTATCCTTTTGTGTGTTGTTATAAACGTAAATACAAGATTTATTTGAATTTTAATATTGGGTAGTATATATTTTATTGTAATACTGATTTATTGTTGTCTCTGTTCTCTATCTTAAATTGCAGTGTTTATATCTTGTCTTTTTGTGCGGATCAATTTATATGTTGTACGGAGAAATTTAAAAAAAATAAAAAAAATTACCAGAATTAATTGCACTCGTAATGTAAATGTAAAAAGTTTAATTTAATTGACAAATTTGTAGCATTCTGTTAATTAACTACGATGATGCAACATAATTCCCGGGCCGTCGTCATTCTATCTATTTCAAACTTTAATTTATTACCAAATTAGACTATATGACAACATTAGGTTGCAATTGCAAATCACGTTTCAATTCTAATTGGAATTTATTCAGCAACAAAAATCTATTTAGATACAATATAACAAGTTGAATAAAACATATGTTTATGCTTTTAGCCCTGGTACATGAATCCATAAAAAATGCATGGAAATCTTCATGGAATAAAACAAACCAAAAATTAAACAAACAGGAATCGATTAATCTCTGTTTTATCATGAAATTATATATATCAGTTAACAAATATGAAAGACATGCTAAACTAAAATCTTGATTACGTATAAATGCGTCGATGACTTTTTTTCTTAACAATGACAAGGAATCATTCAAAAGTAAGATTCCAAGGTTCCTCTTCTTCTGACATCTGTTGTCCAACAATGAAAACCACCGCCGAGAGAATTTGCATATCGGAGATTGACTGTTATGGGCTTTATGCCTGTTTATAAATTTTATATTTTCAATTTTTTCATGTCCATACAGTAACACAACATAGAAAAATTATAACTTGTTGAAATTGAACATCAGTGAAAGCAAAACTGTTATTAGATCATATTATTATTACAATTCAAAAAAAAAGTTGAGAAAAAAAAACTAGAACACCAAACAAACATGCAAACCTCATATAGTAACCATTCATATCCAACGATTAATTATTAATATTATGACGTATAATTTCTTACCTAGACTCTCAAACATTTTAATGGTCGGAATTTCATTGGTATCACATAAAACACGCTTTTCATCTAACATGAGAACATTCATGCTAAGCCATTTTGATGACATCCAGAGTGGGTGAGCTATAAGATGTGAGATATAACACGAATGACTTAATTATCTGTATTTTCTGTATTACGTGCCCCGTATGTGCGTTTTAACTTTTTACTTATTGATAGGTATTTGTCTGTATGTATGTATGTCTGTCTGTCTGTCTGTGTGTGTGTCTGTTAGATGAACGCGATATCTCACGAACGCGTGGTTGAATCTGCTCCAAATTTTGCATGTGCATGCATCTTACCTCGGACCAGAAGCCTTTTGGGTTAATTATGTCGTATAATTAGCGAGTTATTAACTAATTTCCGATCTAAGATCGATAAGTCTTCGGTCTCCGACCGATATTCTCGTTTTTTCATTGGTGTGAAAATCATATTGCGTTACTTGTAAACTAATGGAATTCTTCAATTTTTATAAGGAAACACTCTGTATAAAATTGAAGATAATTCATTTGGATTTTTTATTATCATAAATAAACAGCTACTGAACGCTTTAAGTGGATCGATAATTACCTAACAGGGTGGTAGGTGGGAGACAATTCAGTCAGATGGATGGTATATAAACGCTTTACTCACAATCTGGAATAACCGGATCCGCTGCTGTAACAACTTTCCATCCGGCCTTTTTAAACATATCAATCTAAAATACACAAAAACGTTTCAAAATATATAATGAGCATCAGTTGTTGATCACTAGTCGGGCATATCATCGCCATCAATTGAAAAATTATGTTCCCGTTTTTTTTATATGCAAAGTTGTCATTTGCTGCATATTAAAAGCATAACGGATCTGTTAATTGCTTTGCTAGTTGTTTCCGTTGTGAAAACAATAACTTTATTGTATTTTTGTATAGCAATACCCAGTTTTAAATCGATGAAGATAAGAAGTTTACCAGAAAGCTATCATTTATTGTTTTTTGTTAAATATGAGCTTTCATCCCATATTTTGATGATTTCGAAACGCACCACCACGTCTTTAATACGCTTTTTCGCTAACCATTTTGACCAAATTAGTTTGAATCACATTATCTACAAATTATGATATCTTGAGTAACCTAATCTGTATCAATCTCCTCGAAACAACAGCAGCTGACAACGTGTTGGATTCAATATTAAAATAATTTCGATTTCACCCATAATTAACCAAATTTATTGTACTCCATTTCGGAATATTAGATCCAAAATAAGCTCCATTGAAATATTTTATTTCATCCAACATAATATCCAATTTACTTACCTGGTGACAAGGTCTATCTGGATTAGAGATCACTAACCCAGGCCCGATTATATTAAACGTGCCATCTATGTGCATGGGGTTCGGATCATTGAAAGATAGTTCATGAATTTTATATTCTGACCCCAAGTGTCGACGCATCCATTCAATTCCCATCCGATTCGTTACCTTTGAAAGATCAAACAAAAACGAAACTTCTAAATATATATTTTTTTCTGCAAAATCATGTTTGATCATTTAAGTTTTTCATTCTTAGTTATAAAAGTTAAGCAAAGTTAGTATGAAGAAGAAGTGTTCAAATTTTATGAAATGATGGATAAAATATTTCACTGCTCTCAATTCTTTCAGATTTGAAGAAATGAAAAACATTTTTTTATCAGCAAATAATAAACTAAATGCATGTCCCTTTCCACAATAAAAAATAAATAAAATAAAAGGGGATTGAATTTAGAAGCAACAAATTATTCATGAAACTTTTTGAATATACAAAAAGCCCAATTTATATAATCTGGTGGTAGATCGAAACCGGATGAACTAATCGACCCAATTGAACCAAACCTGCCAACAATTAAACTGTCATCTAATGACTAACACCGCGAGTTTTTACTTGAAAAGTTATTTAAAAGAAAGAATAGAAGAGCAGGAAAATGGAATTTTTCTATGAGATTCAATAACAACATTGACTTTTCTATATACCTTTTACATTGATTCGACATGATGTGCATTAGTTATATCTTGCCATTTTACTGTTCGAATCTCGTGGAGAATAGATATGGGCAAGGGATTTGATAAACTGGTGGAACCTATTAACATTAACCTAATTCACCATTCCAGTACACGATTTGAACTGGTAGCCCACAATGTTTCGCAATATGATCATACTCTTTTTCTTCCACAAGTGTGCCTACAAACTCACTGCAACATAAGGCTTACAAACAACAATTGTATCTAAACGTAAAACCCCGAATCTATTTTATAATATTGCAGAGTTTATCACTAAACCACATGTCATCCGTAATGTCGTTGTTCTTTGCTTTTAGTTTACATATATACAACAGCCACACTGAGATTCTCTGATTCTGAGATTATGTTTTTATTGTTTGGTTCATATATATTGATATAAATAAATCTTTTTCTCAATTCTTCAAAACATACTTGGTATTGTATAGTTTTTAGCTACGCACATGCATGGGCGCATGTACATATAGCCCCAGCAGGACTAAGGCTATTTCTGGCCCTCTATTTTCGGAAATTCATATGCAAGAACGCGTATTTGCAAGCGTATAAATAACCGAAATTGTTCAAATACTGCGCTAATTTTTTTTATATTTTCAAGGGTTTCATATTGGTGAAAACTTTTATGTGTTCGAATATCATTGCTTCCAAAAGTCCACTGGTGCAAAATCTAATGGTTGAAATGCTCGACGATGCAAACGTTTGTGGAAGAAAACTTACCGTGCAGATGATGACTACAAATGTACGCTTGCAATAAACGTGACTGCAAATGTGCTGTCATCGATAGATCTTAGCTGTAGCCATATTTTTAGACACCTTTTTACACGTAGCTATGTATCAGTGTGTCATTTTATTTAAACATTTCCAATCAGTTTTATAATCGATTCCAAACATTGTATTTGGCCAACTTGCATATAATAAATAGATGAAAATTGAGTCTAGTAATATAAGATGGTTCAATTAAATAGTTACAAATGATCGGATTCATGAACTGCCAATAACAATATCTGTAGGCTACATACTTGACTTCTTTGAACAAATATATCTTTCCCTGCTCGCATAAAGTCAGCGGCATCAAAACAAGGTTCAAATTCTGTCGTTACAAATTTCCCTTGTTCTGCCAGCACACGTCGATCTTCAACGCTCTTAATTGGGTAACTCTGAAAAGAATTTCGTTGCTATTGGTATTGATTTCATATCAGAATGTTATCATTGATTTAAATATAATAACATTACACTTCCATACATGACAAGCAATATGTTACTTCATTCTGAAAAACCTATAAAAATCTGCAAACATGAAAATTTTCGTCACAAAAATGAGATTGTGATTATTTCTGGAGTATAATATAGAAATATGAAAATTAAACAAATTTTATTAAATAATCTCACTTACCTTGTCGTATAATTCATCTTTCATTTCGGGTTTAGGCGCAGTTGTCCATTTCGCTCCTTTTCTGAAATAATCTTTGATTATTGAACGATATGCCCGGTACTCAAAAAATCTAGATCGCCAAGCCATCGGAGCTTCGATAATTTCATTTCCGACAACAATTAGAATATCTCGAGGCATTGCCGCGTAAAGTCCTGTATAGAAAAAGTGTATTTTTATGTTTTATTCGTATGTAAAGTCAATAAATCAAGCAGATGAACCTAGTTTGTTATTTGAATACAAATCTCAGGAACGAAAGTCGATTTGGGTTCAATGACTCGAAGTCGCGTGATGAGGAGCGAAAAATAAGTAGATAAAACTTCTGCTCGAGCACGCCAGAGGTTCCCAACATGTAAAATAAATCACGTGATTACGTGGAGCAACATCAAATCATTTGTTATAAAATTACATATCGTGTGCTCGCATCTAGCTCTTAATAAATATCTTATAGCGTTTGTCTTCATCTACTTCTCAATAGTCTGCCCTTGTTGCGTTACAATATCTATACTCAATTACACAAATAACCGGTGCATTTGAACATTCTATAATCTCGGTTTCAAAAGTACTTTTATAGCGACCTTTAATGATTTGCATTCATCAATAAAAATTCTTCGTCTATAATGAACAGCACACAGAAAGAAAATTTTTCATTCAGTTTTGTTTAACAATTATTTTTAATGTAGCATGAAGGTTTAGTTTGAAGACATGTTTCCAACATTTCGAGTCCATGTTTGATTATATATACCCGATTAATATAAATTAAGAATTAGAACACAAACTCACCATTTGCTTTAAAATCAGGTGTTTCATATTCTTCAGACCAATCCAAAATATCTGGTCTTCGTACTACGACTCCTTCATGTCGTAAAATGTTACAAAATTCTTCAACTTCTGCAATAGCTTGTTTAACATGTTCTTGCGGGAAAGGTTCACCTCCGTTCGTTTCGTAAAATCCCCAATATTTCTGGTTAGTATTTGCCTAGTAATGAATGACATATTTGAAATTATGTCTATTTATAAATCATTTCAATTTTCCAAGATAGCATCATTTTTGTCTACACATCGATTTGTCCCAACCTCATTATGAGGTTATGCGAACTTATGAAGGCTTATCCAGAATTAAAATATCCACAATTATTGTTGTGTCCCCAAAGTAAGCCAACAAAACGCTTCGGTTTAAGATTCCTTAATACGCCTCTTATACATGAGAAACCAAAATTGCTACGACAACAAAGTCGATTATATTTAATTTTGTCTCGCAGAAATGCATATGTGCTCTATATGAAAATTACATTTTGAACGTCTTACCTTTACTTCGATTGAAAATGTTGGCACGCAGGCTCCTTCTGGTCTCCCAACAATCACTTCCTCAAGCGGATCCCATTCATTGTGAGACGATACCGGACAAGAATCTTTTGCTTCCTGCATTCAATTTATAAAATAACATCTATCATTTGTGTCTTCGAAAACATATATTCAAAGCGTCTTGTTATTATCTTCCATATCCGTATAAAAAACTTAATTGGAGAGGACTTTATCAACTTTCATCAAAAATGCTCAATTACATTTATCTATAAACTCTATCTACTGTATCACATACCATTCTCACGAATCATAATATATTTTACTGATTACGCAAATTTTGGATATTTATACCCACTTTAACTTCGATTGGTTCATGATTTTGGTGTACGAGACGAATACATCTTCGGTTAAAAATCTTCTGCTGTGCAAAAAAAGTTATCTTGGATTAGATTCGAAAAATTGTAATCAATCGCCTAGCCCTGACATGGGAAAACTACGATCCGCGGGCCCAATCCGACCCGATGGGTAATTCAATCGGGCCCGCCTGATGCTGCCACAACCAAACTAAAACCAAACTTTGTGGAAACAGCTCAAGGAATTTGTTGAGATTAAATTTAGTTTTTGTACGAGGCTAAGTGTTTTCCACTTTTACTTTTTGCAACACTGTAAATTTTCTTCACAAATTGTAACCTTTTATGTCACACATGTCCCGCCAGTCTGGATGGGCAAAATTTCTGTCTCCCTTGTCAAAAGCCCTTGCCCACCTCTGGCCTAGCCGGTTCCAATCACACATACAAGACGGGTAGACGAAGGTAAAAATAGATGGGCATTATTCGCTCTATCAGATTGCTTGAGTAGCTGCATAAAATACCTCGAGGTAACAACACCATGACAAAATGCAACAAAAATAAATATTTTCATGTTATAATAAGTAGATGTAAAATTTCAAAACTACTTGATCAAACAGTGCAAAAAAGTATCAACAAAGTAACATATCCAAGCAGAGATTAAAATATCGCAAACATAAAAATATTACCAATGAATTTCTTAGAATTACAGAGATCATTTCCGCGTTGATTTGAAATCTTTTTTGATGGCTTGAATATTACTTTTTATACAAATCAATTTGTTATTCTGAATAGACTATATAAATTGAATTAAAATCCCACCACAAAATTCTCATGTGATGTTGACCCAGTTCAGATTTACCAATACCATTTTAAAGCTGTTCCCAGGGTAACACCGTAGAAAGAGCAAGAAATGGCAAGAAATCAAACCATATCCGTCCACCGTTGTTTTCAAATTTTTCCTGCTATTTCTTTTCTGCACTCGGTATTAAACTACGTTCAATATCAGACTTTGCATCTGTCAAACCAAAAACCTGACAACTGTCCGTCTGAACCAGTGTCTCTTAACCTGGGTTCAATCGAACCTCTGGGTTTCGGTGGAGCTGTTCCATGGGTCTGACAGAGGTCCGCTGAAATATTGGTATATCAGCTTTCAAACTCCCACGTATAAACAACTCATAAAATAGCTTAACTACGTGTTATTTCGCCCATATATAACCATTGACTGTTATAGTCTACTACGTGTATAGTCCAACAGTCATTAGGAACTCGTATCGTCATTCGTCACAGATGTTGCACAGACGTTTTGGTGTAATACTCGTACGCTAGCGTTTTAGCTGTTGTCTTCTAGAAGTGAGTATACCGATATGAATATGACATCAGCGCTTGTTTAAATTTTACTGAATTCCCAATAACGAATATTACAGTGCGTTGCTTCAAATTATCATCTCACATTCTGGACAACTTTAATATGGGTATTTATAATTTGTTTATTTTTATAAAAAGATGGGCAAATACTTTTATCCACATCTCGCAGTTTGAAGGTTGATAAATAAATGGATTGAGCCAATAACGTTTTCAATCAATCGAAGACTTTTTGTTAACGCCATTGTGGCGTAACGATGGTTTTTCGGACACAGTGTAAGGGTATCTAAGGTTACGCCACAATGATTAATTTTAATCTTCTAGACAAAAAATTTTCGAAGTTTTTGCTGTAGAAGTTGTACGGGTCGAAAAAAACTTCGAAAAAAACGGGTCGAAAAATAAAATCGCAATTCCCGAAGCTAAAAGTATATGAACTCAACTTCCGATATCATACTACAAACGAAGTAAATTTGTCTATAATATAGTACAAAATATTGTTGCAAATTGAATGCCGAGAATTACAAAGAGTAATTTGGAGTTTTGTTTTGTATTCTATCTGCAAATTTATCTTGTAAGGAAACAAATGCAATTTCAAAAAAAAATATTCAAACTATCATCTTTATTAAAACTAGTGTCGGAAATATTCTACGCTTGCAAATATACAAAACATATGCTTCAAAAATATGCTTCAAAAAACGTTTACAGTTATATAAAGCGCAATTTTTCATATATACTCATGTGAACTCAACATGTGAACAGTATATGAACTCAACTTCCGATTTCATACTACAAGCGAAGTAGATTTGTCTATAATATAGTACAAAATATTGTTGCAAATTGAATGCCGAGAATACTCATATTCTCAAATATATGTGATACTATTCAATTGTTCCTGGTAATGCACAGGAAATGCTTAATATTTGGAGCCGAAAGACCGCTACATGCCCTTACATACCCGCCATCGTTGGCAGTGAAAATGATATTTCTTCGTAGTTTAGCGTCTGATATTGTACTAATTCTGAACTATTATTTTTTTTAGTATACAGATTCAATGTTACTCGATCTACGCGGAAATATTTTTACTATTTGAAAAATATGTTAAATTTACACCTGAGAGACTGATTTTCCACCTTATAATGAAAGTGGTGAAGTGACACTATGATGGCGCGGCCAATAAATTATTATTATTATTACGTTGCTGTGTAAAGGCAGATGGGAGTGGTCCAGTCCTCAGCTCGATCTCTATCACATCCTCTTTATGAGATGACCTGATCTTCACTCGCAGTAACGAATACAAATATATCTGACTTCACCGGCACACAATTGATATATTATTGCAACTTGATCGTCAAAATTAGTACAGTATCTTACAGATATATACTGTTACTTTCAGTCTTACGTAACCTCCCTTTCTTTTTAATACAAAACCGTGACGTACATATATATAAGAAAGTGGGTATCTGAGTTAATGTACTATCAAGCACGGCAGAAGATCTATGATTGTCCTATCACAACAATATGTTTTGTCCCCGGGCTACGACCAGTTACGTGTATAACGCACAGCCGCTAAGAATTGTTACGACCAAGTCGTTTTGTCATAAATCAAAGAAACTGACCTAAACCCGATTTCAGCTAATAATAATTATTTTATCCGAATTACCTACATTGAATCAACTTGATATATCATTATCCCTACAACACTTTAAATGATTTTACACAATTTACACAATCGATTGGTTGCAACAGAGTTACTGATTTGCCAAATAACCTAACCTGAAGCACGCGAACAAAAAGAGAAGACAAATTCGCTTTAAGTTAGCAGTACATACAATTGCATGTGTGTAATATCAAATAAATGCCATTGTATGCATTTTATTATATGGACTTCGTAAAGTTATGGTGTAATTTAAATAATTTTTAGAAATTAATGGAAACGTTTAAAACTTTCAAACGATATCATTTTTACCTTCCTATGTTGATCTTATCCATGCCTGCAACTCTTTCTGCTAATAGCTGAGAAAATTTATACAGTATAAACAAACATTCCTTTTTAGAACCTAATCATCGAAACGGGATAATTTTCTGAAGCATAAGTATATATTTATATATACAGTTTATATTTAGCGAGAGTGTTATTGCAAGGTTAGAAGAGTATCGGCCGAGTTTTATTAGAATGCATATCCATTCCATCTTGCTCGGATTTTCAATATCGAGGTATATTATATACGTCTTTTCCACTCTGAGTTAGAATACTTACCACAATGCAATCATCACAATCAATTTTTATCTAAGACTACCTCCTTGCTTAAAATAGAAATAACTTGAAGATATACAGGACACCTTTTATATACAAATCAGTATATTTCAAAATTGATAAGCTGTATCCCTGAGATGGCGAACTATTTTACCCATTGAGTCGCAATATATATTTATCACAAAAAAAAAAGAATGTTCAAAGAAAGAGATTTAAGTAATGTTTCCATCTATGAGAAACCTGATATGTAATCTATTTTGCAAGTTTTATAATCATTGTCTGGCATTGTGTATTTCGAAGTTTATGTATCAGTGTGCATATAATCAAACCAATGTCAGAAATATTTCATGCTGCATGCGCGGTTTCTAGTACTCGATTTTGTGAAATTTATATATGTTTAGGTTCCATTACATTTGAACCCGTAATTTGAACCCACGACAAATGCACCTGCATACTATTGCACCTATGAAAATTTTATTTTTACGGATATTTGAACCCATACCAACCCTAACCCATGGATTTTAGCATCCGCATATAGATTGAACAAATGCACGTGGGTTCAAATGTGCTGTCAGCGCGTGGATAGGAAAAATTAAAAAGCTTCAACAGCGTTACATGATTTTTGAAAAATATTTAGAGCACATTTGAATTTCAATATGAGAGAGTTTATCACCGTAATGCGAAGTGCCGATGCGTTTGTTTGCAATAACGCGTGACTTGACGAGTCACTGAATGAAAAGCATGACGGGACACTTTGTGACCAGAGAGTCTTTGGTTTGACATCTCAACTATATATATAAAAATAAAATAAGCTTGAATGAGATAAATATTCCCCAAATAGACGTAGGGACAAAAAAACGATTATATTCACTCAATGCAATGCACTACATGTGCAGCACTTTATCATAAAAACTCAAATCTTATATTTTCATTCATATAGCTTTCTTTTGACAGTAGTTTCAGTTCGAATGATTGAAAAAGACTGTAAACTGATTTTTTTTTCACTAAACGTTAAATATTTGTTTTGTTTTACGTTCGATACTATCTCGGATGTTCAAAATCGTTGAATACAACAATCGATAAAATTGGGACTGTTAAGGAGAGCTTTACAGAATAATATTTGCATATTTTTTTGCAAAAATTCTTTTGGTTTGAGACCGCACTTTTTAAACATGCCAAAATTAAATAAAAATGGTTTCAATCAACCGAATTTATTTATGTGGAAATTAGGGATCTGGATTGATAAAAGGACATTCGAAACCAGCTCGACATATTTGCATTTCGATTCTGGTATAGTTGGCAAATTTGCTTGATTCACCAAACCAGGTAACTCCGTGGCCTTTGTGATAAGGCCCATTCAAACTGCAATCATCAGCTTTATTTAACCACCACCAAAACGACCATCCACTGCTGCAATTTCTAGATCCTGTGGAATTGGTGAACTGCTTGGACTGCATGACATCTTTTTTACCTGTAAAATTGCTATTGAGGTTGTCGTATTCTCCAATTTCAATGGCGTTTTCATCATCTGTGCTCGATTGAGCTTTTATAAAGAATTTTCTGAAAATAAAAATTCAGTAAACTGTTCATTTTCAAATTTTGTGCAATGTATACTGTTTTGATTTAAAAGTAATAATATATATATACAACAACCCTAAAATCGTCCTATAGCAATTTATTCTATTCGAGCCACCGTGCAGATGACATGACATTCAAATTCATAAATTTAGCCATACATTTCGCATTAACCAATTTCGATTGAAAGGGGGTAACTTACTTTTGCAAAATATCATATATTTTTGTCATATTTTGCAAATGAGCTCTAAAATAATCTTTGGTGTATAGGTAAACATTGTGATTTTATCATTGATGGCATTCGTTTATTTTATATTAATTAAAGTTGTCAGTAATAGAAAATTTTTTTATGGTTCATTCGATAGCTTTTGAAAGATAATAAAAATAAAAATAAAATATTCGCACTCACTTATAAACCAGAATGTATTGTTTCCCGTATTTTGTCGTCATTTTTATCAACAGTTTGCCGTCTCCCTGAGATGTATGGATTAATCTCTTCATTTTTTGTAAACCTATAGTTATTGAAAGTAGCAAACAGTTATTGAAAGGTTGCATTGTGAAATCGTTCTGAGTTCTTCACCTCACGCCAACAGAATATTACAATATTGCATAACCTCTTTCGCATCACAACGATTAGGGCTAATATTGAACTGCTAAACTTTCTATTCCATGCGTGTTGTAAGTGAAAAAGGTAAATTTATTCCTAGATCAGAAGACATAAATTGAAGTGTGGTGCAACTTCAGCGTACGTTCTTGAAAGCTCACTCACCAAGCCAAAAGCTTCCGTTTTTCAAGTCACCGAATCCTGTTTTATAATCAGATAAGGGCCGACTGAAGTTGGCTCCGGTGTCCGCTGCTACACGTCGTTGGAATACCTGTTATTAATCATATTATTAACCTTTCCTCTCGATGTAAGTATTTAAGACCATGTCTTGTCTAATGCACGTAATATTACCTAACCATACTTTATCTTGTTCTTTGCAGATATCGATATGCAAGTTAAACTTTTTTGGTACTCCCGAAGTAAGTTAAACAAGATGGCGGACACCGGAACGTAGTATGTGTACCAGGTTAGGATTAGACCATAATTTCATGTACAAATACTACGGGAGTCATTCAGCTAGTCCCCGAACTCGTAATAGAACTAAAATAGGAAACATTGGAACAAAATTATAGCCTAACCCTAACCTGGTACACATACTACGTTCTGATGTCCGCCATCTAGGTTCACATACTTTTGGAGCACCCTTTTTCATAAATTTCATTTTAGATAATCAGTTTACAGACTCATATTATAATGAATTCATTAATAGGTTGTATCTGGCGTATCCATTCGATATTTCACTTCGTTGTCAGTAAGATATTCAAAATCTTTACAGGAAAATGGGAAATAAGTTTTCAGAATATTTTTTTTTATGATATTTCGACTTACTATCCAGTTATCAGTGCAGTCAACAACATTGTAACAACTGCAAATCACTCCAAAGCCCGGACTATTCTCGTCTGGCTGAAGATGTGCCAATATGTCAATGCCGCTATTGTAACCAGTACATGCTTCTTTGCAGGTTTTAACTGAAACAAAAGCACATTTATATATATTGGACAAATATCACCTTAAAATTAGTGACAATTATTCTGAATTAATAAACCAATAAAAGAGATCAACAATGACCCGAGTATTATATTCAATGTCATATATGTGAAGATCATGGACAATTCTCATTCGTGAGTAACATCATCATGTTAACAATCATGTTAAAAGAATATTTGCTGAAATGTTCCATTTAGCAAATCGACTTTGAATCTACAACAATAATTATTTTATTATAAAGCATAAATACCCTCCACAGACGCCGGAAATAACTTCATTTCAACCACACTTAAGTCAGTTTCATTTCCCCAGGAGATACCATGCGGTCCTTCCACAAAAAAAAAGTTTTTTAATTCAATTCACAAAAGTACTTTTTATGATGTAAAATTTCGTATTCAAAATAAAAATAAATGAATCGTATTAGTTTTTATTCACTCATATTAAACGTAGCTATAAGTGTTAAATTATTTCCTACTTAGACTGGACGATTGCGATAACACAATGCTCCCTTCTTTCGTTAAAATATACTTCTAGTTTTGTGGTCACATTGGTAGTATCTAGATTTTAGATTAGTGGTTCCCAAACGATTGTATCATTTTGTAATTGTTTTATCTAAATGTAATATATTTTTCGAACCTTTTAAAGTGAAAGTGAATATTCACGTAGAAAACGACGATTTACTGAGTGGTTTTGGTAAATTATTTTTTTTGTTTTCAATTTGACCCAATTATGGATACACCTCAAGCTAGCAAAAAAATAATTGAAAAAAAAAAACTTCAGGAATTAAATGTAATGCAAAGTACATGAAGAAGGTGGCAGTTTTGATGAAAAATGGGAGTTGCAATATTTCTGCATTTCTCAAAATTCTAAAGCACATTCCATCAGTGCACTGAAAGAATACAATACAAGTCGACATTATCAGAATGAGCCAAGCAGTCATTATGACAAATTTAAAGATCAAGTTCGAACAGAAAATTTTATGTGTTTGTATATTATTATTATTATATTTATACAACTACCTAGTTACTAAAAATTAATATATATCAATCATAACTCAAGCGGTCCTATACCACGTAATGGTAAGAAATGTCAAGAAACGCGGCGAGAAATGTCTGGTCCGAAAAGTCAGTCATTTGTTTGTTTACTGATCTATACATGAAATGATGAACGTAATATTTTTGCATTACTGAAATTATTCAAACATTCTCAACGATCCAGATTAACCGATGATCATGTGACCTCGTTAATTAGAGTTGGTACTATAAAATCATTTCAACTTGATATTGATAAGCTGGAGACACAAAAGAGTTGCCAAACGCCAGGACATATGTGATAGGAAAAAAATATTGAGTTTATTTTGTAGTATTTTTATAAATTTTCAGTTTTACATATTTAGCTTAGGTCATTTTTAGTGTATGTATTATTCTTTCCTTATCAAAACTTTGTTCAAAAATGTTTCGGAAAGTTGACAAAAAAATTGTGATTTTTTGTAATAAATACAGTAAATTGCAATAATAGTGAAATGTAAAAATTAGTATGTAAATGGCATTTGAAATTTAAGAACAGAACAAAACTTTATTCGGCTGTTTAATTGCATCACAGTATATGTCACAAACCACATCTATCTGAAATACGCTTCAAGTAAACATTAATAATATATATCAAAAACTGTTTGCGGCCCTTTGCACTTACCAAAATGCAATGCGGCCCTCAAAAACCCACGAGTTAGGTCCCCCCTGTTCTAGATAGCACATGTAACTTACTATACCTTGGTCGTCGTAAACACCGTTCAAGTTTGACAATGAACTTGAATCAGTACTGTCAGTAGGAACAAACCACCAACCAGATGAATAGTTTTTGTTAGAATTGATTTTAAACACTGGGTTCCTATTTGTCTGAGATGTTAAGTAGTTTCTCATAGAAGAGTTTTCATCTTTTTGTCCGACAACAAGGCGGTATTCATTGGTTGCATTGTATACTCTCACATAACTGAAATACAACAAAGGTGTGATGATTCTACCAAACAAGTATGCAAAGCTTAAATAAATGGAAATTATAAACCACAGTACCGGTAGCGTACGCAACTCACGCGAAAATGTGTCTGATCGCGGAGTTCGCAAATTCAAAACGGAGGACAGCCTTAACGCTGGCTGTCCTGCTTGGCGGAATTAAAACGGTGTTGCCATGAATAGAAATAAAATAGCCAGATTTTGAGGGAATTATTAGATCACACGGGATTCATTGAAAAGTTGGGAACAAATTAAAATCATAGTCTTCTAGCGACAACAACAATCTTTAAATCCTTAAAATTTTCAAAGCAATTGATTTAGTAGTTGGAAAGGAAAGCGATTTTTCACAGCAACAACAATAACAACAAGAAGAAAAAGAAAAGAATGCTAACAACAACAACATAATAATAAAAAACGATCCATGGGTCTACTTCGTTTCCAATGACCACTTTAAAACTGGCACAAAGTCATACACTAACAACAAAGCACATCAACAACTCACTTGAACCGGATGTACCGATGATGAACATCTGTAGAACTTCTCTTGAATTCAATTTGCAGTTTAGCAGGTGAACCATGAGGTAAATAGTTGGTTAATTGGTGAATCTTTTTGAGGCCTAACAAAGGTAAAATAATGTATCATAAAAAATAAATAATATATTTTCATGTCATTCGATTTGAATTCAAAAAACAATTGCAATGTTGCAATTGAAATTTATTTTTATAAGAGTTCGTACTTGATGCACCGATAAAACAAAGCGAAATTAATATGTTCACCGAGTTGCAAAACAAGGGGCAAAAATTAATCATGCATCTATTAAAACTAATTTATTCATTGCTACGTAAATTCAACTTGAATAATGCGTTTTGCAAAATTTCGCAAAATTTTACTTCATGCTTTTCCTTTTTTACCTCATTTTATTTTATAAACTTACCAAGCCAATAACTCATTGAGTTTACACCAGATGTGAACCCACGCTCATATTCTCTGAAGGTTTTATTGAAGTCGTCACTGTCATTGACTCTACGTTGTATTATCTGTTAATAATGAATAATTTTGAAATTGAAATTAGGTAAGGAGATGGAGTTCAATATAAATAATATAACAACAGTAGTGCTGTACTTGATACTTACCACCCAACCGTATGTACTCTGTAAATTAGGCGATGCCTGCGTACAGTCACAGTGAAGTTTTTGGTACTCGCCTGAAAAATATGTATCCGTAAATTTTATACTGTTTGCCTCCGCATACTTTTATTTATTGTTTTAGGATTTCGCTCGGTCTTACGGGACCTACTTACGGCCTTCACGTCAATATATTTACATCGAATACTGTTGCTTAGAAAACACCAAGAACTACTTCTATAGGATACTCCAGTATATATAGATTACAAATTTTGCTACTCATGTAGTATGTGAACCAAGGTGGCTGACACTGGAACGTAGTATGTGTACCAGATTAGAGTTAAGCCATAATTTCAGGTACAAATAACACGGGAGTCAATTGGCTAGTCCCCGAACTCTTGATAGAACTAACTATAGATAATATTGAGGAAAATTGGAACGAAATTATGTCCTAACCCGAACCTGGTACACATACTACGTTCCGATGTCCGCCATCTTGGCTCACATGCTACGGGAGCGCTCACATTTTTGAAAAATAATGACACTACGATAACGCAACAAACCTTCAATGAGGATTTTGGCAATAATTCCATCTTGTGGAAAGCCATCGGACATGTAAGGCACAGACCAACCGCAAGCATCGATACAATTGGCCGCAAGGGGACCTGAATTTAAATAAATATTTTGTTTTGAAATGTTGTCAAATTTTTAAGCATGTTATTTGCTATATACAATTATTAATGATCATGTGTGATACAGATGAAGCAGATTGTCAAAAATGTAAATTCTGGATAATTTATTTTTACCAAAATGACTTCGATGATTTCAGACATATGCCACAAAGATTTTTTTACTCAGAGCTCGAGGAGCTCGAGATTTCTCATAAAACAAGGCGTTAAACCCAACATTCAAACTTACGAAAACACTTCTTGTAGGAAAGGCATGTAGGCCGACGTTTCGACTGAACGAGGAGCCGATTATTTCTGCATCCACATGAAGATATCAAACACCATCGCTGGTGATAATGAACAGATTGATTTGCTTTGGTGCATTGTGGTGGACAGTTGGTGATGTTGTAGTGAGATACATCGTAACAAGATTCTGTAGAAATTATCTTTTAACCCGTTTTAAATTACCGCGTGCTATTTATTATAATTTGTAAATGGTTATAATTTGTGATCTAAATTCAGACTTAGATAACCCAAAAAAATTTAATAATCGAAAAATTTGTGAAAGTCCATAAAGAATAAGCTTCATTCTTAATTTTTGATTTGTGTCAAAATTTTTAAACGTAAAAATATGAATTTTAGTTTTTTAAATTTAGATAGATGTTCAATTTATCGATTACTTTAATTACTATTCCAAAAGTACACAAGAAAAGTGTAGTGCAAAAAGGCAAAAACTAACCTTCGGGTCGTATTTTCATTTCTACCATTGTGTAGTAAACATCGTCTGACTGATTTGCAAATATCCCTCCTCTTCCTCGTCCGTCATAATTTCCGTTTAGATTTGATTTCATTGTGTCACCAAACCACCAGCCAGAATTGTAAATCTAAAAGCAAATATTATGTTTCAGGCACATTTTATGAGTAACCAAGACAAACTATTAAGAACCGTCATCATTTATACGTAAAATAGGAATATTGTACTGTTTTTGTTACTTATACCCTTGAAAGACTGCTGTCGGGGTCTCGGAAGTTGTCACGATCAAACGCAGAGAATATCGAGCCATTTTTCATCCAAGGTATGTTGGTCGCGTGATATGTCAGAGGATAATTGTCTGTGATGCTACCGACACTAAAACCGCTGGAACAAAATAAATGCAATCATAGAATGAATAAATAAATAAATTACAACAAAACCTAAATGCTTTTAAATAAATCATTATATTTTTCAATTACCAATTTTGTTCTGAAGAATTGAATATAGTGTTCACATTGATTTAGAAATGTTCGACGACTTTGTTAGGTTTAGATATTGTGGCAATCAGCGAACACTTCCTCTATTTAGTAAGGTTATGCAGTAAGTATCGCAATCAACTCAGCGTTAAATGGAAATTCAAAATAAAATCTTATTTTTGTGTTTCTAATATTTGAAGATATAAATTTGAACTCACGTAAACCATGCTTCTTCTATATTCCCGGAATTATCTCGAAGCTTAATTACCAGAAGCGTGTTTGTTTTCGAGAGAACGTGAATGTTTTTCAGACCTAGGAATTTGAAGAACAATTTTTTATTTTTGAATTCTATTTTATGGAATTGAAATTCTGAAACAATAATTGATCACTGGAGTAAAATTTAATTTAAATACAGTTGATTGAAATATATTGAATATATTTTAAAAGTTTTGAATTTGAAGTTGGCTGCAAGGATGAACCAACAGTAAGTTCTGCAATAAAGACAATTTTACCTAACCAGAAATTACGTTCAACGTCGCCGAATCCATTTTCGTACTCGGCATATGTTCGATTAAAATTGCTTGTGTTGTCTATGCGCCGCTGGATAACCTAAAAATATAGTGAGAAATTTAAATTGCAAAATTTACAATTTGGCTTTCGTATGTAATTCAACTCAACGAAATCACTGATTGCGAATTATCGTTGGATAGACCGCGCCTTCACGACATACCGGTACGTCAAATTGAAAGGTGAATATTTAAACTTAAAGCAACCTACAACATTATTTCAACACCATATTAGTCATAAAATAAACTAAGTTACATTGTCGGGATTGCATTGGAACGAGTTCATGTATTTTAATTGACTCGGTCGAAACAAGAGGAAATGGAATGCGTAGCTGATGCGATTCGATATTCAAAATTTTTCTAAAAATAAAAATATTAGTTTGCACCAAACAATTCAGTTTTTGGTATTAAATATCTATTATTACTAAATACCTGCAACATTTTTGTAACATGCGACAGTTGAGCAAAAAAAATAAACGTCAAAATTACAGATTCAAAATTAGGTCAATAGTGCATCATAAATTTTATATTTTCAATATATTCTTAAATACATTGTATAAAGAGCTTTGGTCAAAGCATTTTTCTAACAAAAAGATTTTTTGTAGCACAATACATAATGAAGTATACTTCGGCAACGCTTCAAAACGTGGTATTTGTGTTGAATAGTTCTCGCTCTTTAGTGGTATTGTCTGTTAACGTTAATTCGTTTATGACCAATACAAGGTTTTTATAGAAACTAAAACGAGTGCACAATTTCATTTTTGTACAAGAAATTGTTGACTATGCAAAACAGTGGGAATAAAAATTTTACTTTTTTTACCAAGGTATGTCATTTTTTATTTGTGACGAGAGAGCCTAAACCTGTTCATGTTCAATTTCTCAGGTCAGAGTTCACGCAACAAGATTTTTCTAAAGATATTGCGGAGGAAAATATTGCATGATCCATCAAATAATTAAGCTGCACTTGGATATATTTTGGTCTTACAATTTACTGAGAAGATCCAAATCAAGTCGAGTTGTTTTGAAAATGATGAAGATTAACGCGAGGTTGTTCAAATTCAGGCTCATGAAATATGCTAAACTAAACTTCGTTTGCAACGAGGTCGCAACAGTATGCGCTTAACGTGTAGGCGGAACAAGGAAGTATTTAACTTGGATCACCGATTCGCACTATTCGAATGAGTAATTTTGCAAACATTATTCCATTATTACTATGAAACAAAAACTGAAAACGATTAAGAAACTCACTGTAAAACTGTATTGATCAATTTCGTGGCAATCGCAGAAGACAGAAACAATTTTTGAATTATGAGTTTCATCAATACTTGGAATGTTGATTAAAAACGTTCCATCAATTGTTGGGAATTTTACGCCGTTGTGGTACCCTGCTTCGTTCAAGATCATGCAGCCATCGGTGCAATTTTTTGCTGCAATATTTAACAAGATGCAACATTTGAATTAACACTTTATGAAAAAGAATTCTTTATACATCTACAAGTATTGTTTTCGTGAATCTACTGCATATTTATCGCCAATCTATCAATTGTTTATTTATGAGATGAATAAGATTTGAGTAAGAGTTGTTGTAATGATTATTTCTGGACAACAATTAGATATATGAAAAATGCTGGCGTGTTGCAGCACATGAATTATGCACAAACGATTGCTTTGCCAAATGAAAAATAAATGAATATTGTTACGTCGAATTGGATTGAAAGATTTTTGCGTTGTGGCAAGGGCGTTTGCGGTTGAAGGTGTTTTCTTCGTGGTCGTCGTATCCAGTTACGCTTTTTAAAAATTGCAATGTTATATTGCCGTAGTATATAAGAAATGCTGGCGCTTCCCAGCACCTGGATTATGCACAAACGAATGCTTTGCCAAATGGCAAATGAATGAAAAATGTTGCCTGTAATCGGATTAGAAGATTCCTTCGTTGTGGCAGGGACGTTTGGAGTTGAAGATGTTTGCTTCGTGGTTGTCGTATCCACTTTCGCTTCTTAAAAAATTCCAACGTTATATCACCGAAAATTGATGACCGAAAATTGATGTCGATTTTAGCTCAATATGAAAAATTTAGACAAATTAAAACGTCATTTTGGTCAGTGAATACATATATTGGGAACGATGTCGGCTGACACAAAATAAAAGCTTTGTTAGAGAAAGGTTGACTGCTAGCTTATAGGTATCAACGTTTATTGGTAACCGTTTTACGAGAATATTAATTCAAATTGTCAGAAAATCAATGATTATTACACTAATAAATACCTGAGTTTGTGACAGTAGGCGCATGAGTCGTAAATTTGTAAGTTGTACTTTCAACCGGATGATCATTGGGTCGCATTGGTCCAAATACAGATGTTTCTATTTTTATATTCGGGTTCAGGACTTTGCCGTCAGAATTACTATTTACTAGTTGTCTTTCTACCTGTTCTCTGATGAATTTAAGGATTTCAGGATTGTTTTCAATATCTAGAGGGGAAAAATAGATCAGAAAACAATGTTCAAGTCGAGTTTTTTTTTTTATCATTAAATCATTGAAAGAAAATAGGAACTGTTTAGCAATAGCCAGTGAAAAATATTTGCGAATACCGTTTTAAATGTTCGATTCTTAGTTTCATCACATACTTTCGCGACGGAAATTGTCATCAAATGCTTATGTGACTGTTTAAATATAGGTTACTAACGCAACATAAAATCGGATTCACTTTTATAAAAATAAAAACATAATTTCAACATACCCCGCATTTGCTCCTGTAAAAAAATAATAAAATCATTTTATAATTCAAAAAGATTACCTAACCAGAACTATAAATGAATTGACAATAATAAATTAGTTTTAGGTAATCAATGATAATTTAAATCATTTACAAACTTTTTGCACAATAACATATAAAAATATTTAGTTAAAATAGTTATTAGAATCATAATTATATGTAGAACTATATAAAATTTTAAGTCGGCTCAACATATATGAATTGAAAGAAAAGGAAGGAAAGGTAAAAAATATTAGTATCTTTGAATATCTGATGGAACTTACCGCAGTCAAGGTGAATTCTTTACAAATGCCACCATTGCAGGGAAAATCTCCTATGGCTCCCAGACTCTGTATTACTATTGCTACAGAGAAAAATATAAAGTATTACAGTTGAGCTTGCACTTGCGCTAGGTTTATATCACGATACAATGCAATACAACTTCTAACAAATGTGAACAATGTGTACTAAATGAAGTAAAAATGGAAATAATTGCAATTAGTTTGTTTTTCACGTAATTGATATTTATCTAAATATTGTACATTATGAAAGCTTTTTTTTTTCGTCCTGATTTTTGTCATGGCATCAATAAGAAAAATTCCCTCTATCTAATCAATGTTTATCAATGCAGTTTTAAACAAAATGAGCATTTAAAAATCTGCATATTGCAGATATACATATATAAAACGTCTCACCTCCTCCAAATAGAAGCCAAAACTTCAGTATCATCTTCATTTACTACTATTTGTTTTCGAATCTTTAACTGATTACGACAAAGCAACAAAAAATATTTGCTAAGTCAACGTGCACAGACAAGTAAACAGGACAGTCAAATGAAAACTATATTTGTTGCATTTTGAATACGATTTTTATTTCTGTTACACATGATGGTACTCGGAGTGGGTATTCGTTTCTCTTTAGATAGGGCATCTTCTAGGTATCCAGGTCGCCTCGACTTACTTTGTCCTTTTAATATTCAATATTTGTTTTACCTATTACTGTTAGACTTAAATCACGAGTGTTTCTGCTCGATAACCAGTAATGGTGCCTCCCTGAGGTACCTTTTTACTTCTTTTTTAAATTGTTTTTTCATAATGTGTATTTTAGTATGGTGGGAAAATCAATTACTGATTATATTACTCCTTTCATATTTATTAATAATAAACTTTTTTTTCAAATTTATACGAAAAGGCGAAATTCAGATTTATGGTGCCTTCTATAAATTCGAAGTTGCTAGTATTCATCACCGGGGCTGTATAAGTTAGTTTAAAAACTAGAATGCAAACCAGTAACTACGCCGCAATACAAGAATTAAATGAAACATACTAAATTACATAAATTTGTGAAGATTCTATCCTACTGTTTTGAAGAGTTTAAAATGCAATGAATTATTTTTTTGAAGTGATTTTACAGTATTTTTGGGCCTGTGAAAGTGCTCCACCCACGGAAGAAATTTACCAACTTTCAGTAATCTGACAAACCAAGTATCTAATATTTAACTATCCTATCCTTCAACCAAATCACTGTCAAAGATTCAATTACACCAAGCGATGTCTCTGCAAGAAACTTGAAACAAGACAACTTTTTCTAACATGCTTACGTGGATGATAATGCTGCTTGCTCAGGTTTTGTAAAAAGACTGTGCGATTTATGTGGTCGCTGAACGGTTTGTTTCACCTTTCGCACTCCACAAATAATGACGTTTCAGAAAAGATGCGTCATTCTACAATTTTTTACTTCCGTAATGCTCATGATTACCGCCTACATGGAATGATATTTAGGTACTATTAAAATATGACTCTAGCTTGCTGTGCTCGCAATTCATTTACAACACCTGGAAAAAATTAATATCTGAGTAGAATAAATATATTTTCGTGAAAAAAATACGATCAATTGGGCATTAAATAGTAATGAAGGTGATAAACAAATAAATGAAACAAACAAAATGTACAACATTATTTGATGCAACCAAAAATATCAAGAGTAAATGAAACTAAAAGTATTAAAATTCTATGCTATAGAAGAATAAATCAGTTTCTTCAACACTGTATTCAACACATTCATTTGCTTTAACATCAGCCAACTGCGTGAAAAATAAAAGCAATGATATGAGTCATTGTATGTGTATATTTACAACAATGCTTTCAAATGACTAACTTTGGTTAAATATATGTCAAAATTCGAATCTTAATAGGTGTAAACCTGGCAATACCAAACTATAATACGCACACATAAATAACTGCAAATGCTTTTTTGGACAATTTCAGAATAATCCACTTTTATATAGATGTTCAAGCTAAAGTTCAATTTTAGTCAAATTAACTATTGCATGGATTCAAAATGATGGATGGATTTCTCTTGTCAATACCGTTTGATTGAAGATAAATAGAAATTACTGCACATGGTACATGCAATAATATACATCCTGAAATTGAGCTTGGTGCATTTGTTTAATTGATTGACTACTACTTGTTACTTTCTTGAGGCAATAAAACCAAAAATACATACGGAAGTTTGCATTCAAAAGGTTATCCTCGTTTACAACATCGGCAATACTTCCATGACAGGATAATTCATCATCCATTCCTGGAGTACATTTTTCTCCCACCGCACAATCACTGTCATGTTTGCATTTATGAGATGTGATTGATCTAAATAATTAATTACAATATATATAATTCTCTTTTTTAATTGAATGTTAATAAAATATATTTACATGGCAAAGTACGAAATATCACTTACCCAACGATTCCAAAAATGAGAAGGATGATTACGAATAGTTTCATATTTTTGTATATATGATGGAAGTGAAGGAAAGCTGTAAAATAGTTTACTTAATTGCATACTCTACCATACTGTATTTTTCAATCCGCATCAATTGAATAGGTAACCATAGATTTTTAAAATATTATAACAGTATAATTATGTAAACATAAATATAAATAAATATTTTGATTACAGCCTGAAAGTACAGCATGAAACACCAACCTGACTAGGCAATTTTGACGCTTAATACCTGATTTAAAGCATCATGATCGATTACTCAGAGTTCACACTTTCAAGCATAAACATCCTGTTCGTGTCACATACCTATAATCACCTCGATTGCCTTGAGTATAAAAGAATTAATTGAGGGTGTATTTCTGAACGGCACCAACCACAACAAACTTGCCGAACTTTCATTATCTTCGTCGACCGATTAAACCGATAAAAAAGTAATTCAGCTAATAAAAATATTCCTAGATTATATGATTCCTCGTCATTATATGGTCTATGAAACAAGACGTTTGCAAAACTTGCTGCATCATTTTCTTCATCAAGTTTTTCATCTAAAGTAATATTGAATAAATGAGAGAGCTTGCTACAAAATCAATAATGATAGCCTATACCAGTCGATTTTGCCTGAGATTGTAATTAGACGGAGAAACAGTTTGATGAAATGTTGATAAAGCTATTGCTTGCTATGTCTGGCCCTCAATTTTGCGCAATTTTCTTGGTTTGATTTGAATTTGTGATCATATGTGGTTTAAAAGCTGTTTTTGCTCATATTACCCAATATGATTTTTAAATGATTGTTGGTTTGTTTAAACTGTATTTTAAAATCACATTTTACAGAACTGTGGACGACTTCTGGACGAATACTAATGTTTCATATTTTTAAAAACTCTGTAAATCAATTGCATTATATTGAGTATTGTTGAAATAGTTATTGTATCACGGAAAAACCAATAAAGCACTTATTCACACAAAAAATAGTTCCGTAAATTGCGGTCTCGATTTGCTATCTGTGATTAAACGAACAGGTAAAATGTTTGACGAAAGTTGTTCTGAGAGTAATTTCATAGTTTATTCGTCTGATTTTTGTAATGAACATTTTTGCCATTTTGTTTTGTATTGATTATGTTATTTCGAGACAGACAAAGTTTTCTTCTGTCATTATACGACAGCGGTTAACTGATGCTTTATCTCTGTTCCTAGGCAACTTGTATACTCATCTTTAATTCGGGCCGGTTTGTTTTTAGATTCATATTTGACCTGGGAGAATATGATTATAATCGCAGTAAATATAAATTTGTAATCGCTGGTTGTATGTGGAAAATTTTGTATACTCAACACACAAGATTATTGAATTTTATTTGAAGTTTTCCTCGGATTAGTACACGTGACGTAACTGACTCACATACACCGTGATCACAGACTTATTTGAGATTTTCTATGAGATAATAATACTATGTCGTCTCTTTACTTTCTTGCCATACATTTACAATCAAAATTGCATTGCATATCGATACTTACTGCGTGCTGTGCTCCTTCCGCAATGTTTTCGAAGCAAGGACTATTTATTGATTGTGTATTGCATATTGCGTTTTAAGTGATCATTAGCCTCAATGAAAATGATAAAATGCTTGATGACCGATTTTCCGACGAAAATAGGGGATATTTTAAGGCAGAATTTTTATTTTATTTACCCGGATATATTTCACGATTTGCACTAAATCACATGATATTATAAAACTATAATAAATAATTTACAGGTTGAACATCGTTAATCTTCTTTAACCTTCATTCTGCTGAAATGAGAAAAATGAGAATACTTTTAGTCATCCTATTAATACAGTGTGGTCAAATCCGCAATCAATTATCGCCAATTATCTACTGGAAAATTGAAGTGTCCAGAATTCATAAAATTGTTCGGTATGAGAGACGACAAAAAAAAAAATAACTTTTACCGAAATGTGCATATGAACAATATATTCAAACGCTAAAATGTTGTTCATTGAACAAAAAAACGCAATTGGCAAAATGCATACTCACAGAAAGTTACTTTTTTCGTCCCACACGAGCAGGAAAAATAATGTAATGGCACGTAACATATAAGTTTAAGCTCTTCCGTGTTATCTTCATCATTGTCATTCCAAAGATAAGATATATAAGTCATTAATCTAAATAGGCGTTAATTGGGGTAAATAGTTTACTTGATTTTTTTATCCCACGTGAAATTCCCAGAAGGACATTGTCATTATAGTGAGTTACTTCTAATTTATGAAATTTTGATTTTTTGGAATAATAGGGTGACATCATTTTGTTTCGCCGACTTAATATTAATAAAATGTCTACAATCTACATTAATTATGTTTATATTACCCGGTGTCTCCAAAGCATCACTTGTATTTATTTCATTTATGGTAGGTCATGCACTGTTATTAAATCTTAATCGAATTTTTAATATTATGTATATTTATTCTCACCTGATACATCCTAGAATAGTAATCTTTACAATGTTTTCCATACTCTGACAAATAGAGTATATAGTCACGAAAATATAGTTTTTACAGGCAACCCAATGAAATCGCTATTGCTAAACTTTTTAAGTATAGTCTACTACGCAGTTTTCAAACGCGCTACTGGAAGGACTAAACTTTCCGATAGAGGTTTGCTCTTTTCACTGCGTTTGCGGAATTTTTATGCCAGTATTATTTCCAAAAATGTCTGCGATTTGGGAAGTGCTTCCTCTTGGTTGTTTCCTTATGCGTGCGTTGATTTGAATTGCTTTTACGTCTCGTGCTCATCAGACGACATTTCATCGTTGTATCGTGGAAAATTTGCTTCAACCGAACATCCATGAACTTGCCTCGTGTTTCCTTGTCGAAGACCCAATATTTGAAATAATTTTAGGTAGGCTACTCCCAAAGTATGTGAACCAGGTTTGAGTTAGGCTATAATTTCAGGTAATAGAACTAAAATAAAAATGGAATAAAATTATGGCCTAACCCTGACCTCGTTGGTAAACATACTACGTTCCGGTGCCCACCATCTTGGTTCACATACTTCGGGAGTACCCAATTATACCATTGAATTTCACATTTGATACAGTGATAAAATAGGCATAGGTGCAGGTTTTTATAAAATGTTCAGGCAGCAATTTGCTTGAAGTGTTCGTTGAAGTAATAATGGTATGAGCGTGCTGACATACATTGATGAATATGTAATGCGACGCAATCCGCGTTTCTGTATCTTTACCACAGATTTACACCAGGGGTGACCAAACTGCTTTCGACCGGGATCGACTAAAATCTTTAAAATAGCTCGCAATCAACTGATCGTTAATCATGATCGACTGATTCCTGCCTAATTTTTAGTCGTAAGTTTTGAAAAACTCTCCCCCAACTTTGCCTGGTATCTATGTGAATAATATATTTGTGTTAGTGTGCAGCAAGACTCTTGAATTCCTTCGAACTGTAGGTGTACATCGTATTTTGCACATGTACAGTACTGTGTCCATCCTTCCGCCTTGAAGCACACAACAGGCGCTGGTATGAAATTCACCAACATCAGACGAGATCGACGTGTTGGCCACTCCTGCTTTACACCAATAAGTGCTTTGCATATTGATATTTACTAGACGCTATGCTACTTCCGAAACGAGAAGCTGCTTATTGATGGTATGTTGCTTTTTGTCTGTTTTAGCGTTCAGCTTCAATGTTGAGAAATAACGAAAGGATTCAAAGATATATGTATTGACTTTCATTTCGATATTCGACACCGACGAATCGAGCATTCATTTATTAGATTAGATGAGATACGTATCAAAAAAATTAGATTAGATGAGATACGTATCAAAAAAATATAAAAAACACTATTGAAATAATTATGATTAACAGTGTTCCTAATCGAAAAATAACTTGTTTCTCTATTTTTCTCTGTAGTCCGCAGTCGTATTTCCACGTTTTATTCATATATTTACGAATTATTTCACTTCTGACATTTTCAATTGGGAAAGGTTTATGGGGAATTTCAACGTTAAGAAATTCACACAGTGGTTTCCAGCCATCTTTCACGTTGTAGACTAAAAGTTTTTGACTTGGGCATATCGATTTAACGTACAAATTATGCTGACGATATCTTGACCTAAAACGAATAATATTATAACAATATTAAAGTCAGGTATTTCAATTTAATTGGGGTTTTATAAATAACAGTATGAGCAAACTTAGTTTTGGGGTCTATTGTTGTTAAACATATAAGTGTAAAATTAGTATAGTATTTATAACCTGCTTGAAACCAATCAATTTATATCGGTATGTTGGAAATTATCTGTCGTAAATCATAAAACTTGACGATAGTAATAACTAATAATCACCTTAAAAACGTTTCCCGAGGCTTGCCAAACATTCGAGGAACACCAAGATAAGGTGGAATGAAAGCATTCTCCAATTGATGGAACTCGCGACGTAGAGGACCGGCAAATAATAGATGAAAAAGGTACAACACCATTTCATTCGTTCTTAAACAAGAGAATAAAGTTCAGAAGGACACGAAAGCCAATGCAAAATATTTTACCTACAATCTCGTCAAAATCCTATCCTGAACAAAGCTGGAACTATAAAACGGCTACCGTATATGTGGACTTTTTCAGAACAACAACAAGTTGAAGAAGAAGAGTTTGAAGAAGATGAGTTTGATCGTGAATAGCATGTAGCGATAAACCAAGAGTAAAAGTAAATTGCACATCACTCACGGAGCAAACTTGTTGGTAACTTCAAAATGGTTTTTCATGCTTTCATACCATTCGTCTTCGCTTGATCTCACAGTTAGGATAACCTGCAGAATTTTTAAATATTTTAGCTGTCGACGCTTATATGTCAAAGTCCGTTTCTAGGCCATTGATTTATTTACCTTTGCGTCTGGAAACGCTTCCATTATATTCTCCCAAACCGCTGCTGCAGGCCAATCCATCACTGCATCGACATTCCCTAGAATCCGTTGGTAATCTTGTATTGTAGCGGTATTGTCTAAAATCTATAATGTACGTTTTAATGTAGTCTTCCGAGTTCACGAATAAAAACTATAGAGTCCAATTCCCACCTATACTTATTGTAGTAGTTATAATAGAATAAGATTTTTTTATTATTATTCAAATCTTCTCATTACTTTAGCTTTAATTTTAAACGTTTCATTTCCTTTTTATCCACGCACTCGTCAACGCACATAAATCCCAAAACTTGATTGTTGATAAAAATGAAAATATATACCTTGTCCCATAATTCTTTGTCATAATGAAATTGTTCGAATACATCGTGAACATTGTAGCCAATAATTCTCAGTGCTTCGGCAATGGTTTTCGTACCGGTTTTACCTAAGCCAGCGCATATTATCTTCATTATGCAATAAATATAAAAACTTTGAAAAGTATGAAGGAGATAACGTATATTCAATGCTTGACGAAAGATATAATTAATTTGCAAAATGAGCCTAGAAAATGATCACTTTATTTTACAAAAACGTAGCATAATTATTCAATATTCTCAAAATGTTAATTAATAAAACCATGGTAAACCATTTCATATCAAGGTGACTGAGCAGTCTCGGTATATTTCGTCGTATTTTCATGCTTGGTTTGATCATTTCCCTACCATTTCAATTGAACAATACACAAGTCATTATTTTGCGCTCATGAACTCGTACGACTCGTAGCGACAACAGTGGACTCAAAGTGCATTATTGCAGTGACTTGAAAACGAACGAACAAACTAGTTGGCAGACTTCCGTCATTATCGAAGGCGTAACGACTAACGAGCAAGCTCTGAGTCAGCACCCATTGGTTCAAAAAACATCACCTTTGCTGTTCTCCGCTACTAGACAACAATAAAATTAGGTCACCTGGCGAACTATCTTATGCAACAAAATTACGGGTATGTCTGATTTAGTGATCTATATAGTTAAATTACAAGTTAGGCAGATTAACAATGACACATATAACCAATTGAACAACACCGTGTTTGGCAGCGCTAACTATCGTAATATAACTTTGAATATCTTTCTGTCATTGGAATTCAATAGACTATATTGCTAGCCGTTCTATCACAGATTTGTATATTTGCGTTGCCCAAGTATCTGTGGCATAATCCAACATATCTGTCGCTCCGTCAGCCCGATAGTTAACAGTAGATCAATAAATACTTTATCTCAATTCCATTCTACACTATATGCGAGTAATTCTTCTTGGCTTGGAGCAATGACATTAAACAACATGATAGGCAACTCTGACGTCACTCCATAAGACTACATGCGAAAGATTGTATTTCATGATACGCTCTAATGCACATATTTCTCGTCGCCTTTCGCGACGGTTTCCCGCTTGCTTTTGCTACTCGGCGTCTTCTTTAGGTGTAGTACCCGCCTTTTTGCGCCTGTAACGAAAGAAAATAATCTCTATATCTGAGAAGTTTTGCTCATTTGGAAAGCAAGAATGGCAGACAAGCTGTAAAGAGTAATTCTGAACATCATAGACGTTTTTTTTATCAGAGAATTACAAACGCGATAGCGTAAAGATTTGTTTTTGCAGATAATGACAAAGTTCAAAGTTAGTAATTTTAATGTTTGCGCTTAAACATTGAAATTTCATTTAAAGAGGGTGTCATACAAAACAGCAAAACTGTTTTTACTTCTCTTAAAGGTGCTGTGATACAATTCCATAACACAAAGTTTGCACCTATCGAACTTGCTTTAGTAGGTGAATTTATTAGACATATTACATATTCAGTTAATCGTAGGTAACATTGCTGGTACATAATGCCTCGTAGATAGGTTTGTGTCTAAATTTAGGAATTTAGCTCATAGCCCGCTAATTAATATTATCTTCTATGCAGGAGATTGCAGGGCTGATTCAACTTGCAGCCTTACCGATCACCTGACGATGCTCATTTAGTTTGTCTCGAGCAAGTCTTCTTGAAAGACTTGTGTGAATGGAAACTACCTATATGTTTTGCCTTCCTCCGATTTTAGAAGACAAATTTATTTTGAAGGATTTGGCATATAATTCTCATTGATTGTTGGCTGTTTATAATTCCTATTAAATGTGAATTCTGATTATAACAAAGAGTTAAACATTTTTTTACGTAACCTACGGGCACTTTTTTCTTGTCAATACTCCAAGCTGAGGTAATAAGCAAGACAATACATTTATGTCATCTGGAAGCAAAATATACACACTAATTAAAAGTTTGACACATTGAGATAATACATCATGACAGAAAATACAAAGATACAGTATGTATGACCATCACATGGTAATTAAAATTAAAAAAAATTAATAGAGGCTGTGAAGTATGAAAAGTTCAAGACAAAGAAAAGAACAAAAGTTCATAGCTCATGAACTCTCAATTCTGCCTCCATTGCTTTGTGAAGGCCAATATATTCCGAATGGCTGAATTGGTTTACCTTTATGATAGCAATGGTTTTGTATTTAATATAGCGAGATTTTTTTTCAATTTAATTGAAGTGATATCATTTCCCAAAGCAATGCTTGAATCGTCTAGAATAGATCAGTGGTGTCAAACTCATGGGTTTCGAGAGCCGCATTGCATGTTAGAAATTGTAAAAAGGGCCGCAAACAGTTTTTGATAATGTATACTTGAAAGATATTTTTCAGATAGTTTTAGTTTGTGACATATATTGTGATGCAACTAATCAGTTGGATTAAGTATTATTATTTTCTTTAATTTCAAATGCAATTACATATTAATATTTGCATTCCACTATTATTGCAAGTTACTGTATTTATTACAAAAAATTCCATGTACAACCATCAAAATCATTTTTGAACAAGCGTTGGTTAAGGAAAGAATAATAAATACACTAAAAAATGACTTAATCTATGAACCTAAAATTAACAAAAATACTACAGTATAAACTCAATGTTTTTTTTAATTACATTTGTCCTGACGTTTGGCATCTTCTTTGTGTCACCAGCATACTAAGGCCAGGCTGAAATGATTTTATAGTACCAACTCTAACTAACGAGGTCACATGATCATGGGTTATTCTGTATCTTTGCAAAAGTTTAATTAATTCCAGTAATGCAAAAAAGTTACTTTTATCATTTCATGTATAGATCAGTAAAAAAACAAATGGCAGATTTTTTCGACAAGACATTTCGGGCTACATTGCATGGCGTAGGATTGCTTGAATTATTATTGATATTGATTTTTAGTAACTAAGTCGTTGTATATTTATATTAATATACAAACACATGTAATTTTCTGTTCGGAGTTGGTCTTCGAATTTGTCATATTGACTGCTGAGCTTATTGTGTTTTTTCATTGTACTGATGGAAATATGACAAATTTAACAATGTGCTTCAGAATTTTGTGAAATGCAGAAATATTGCAACTCCCATTTTCTTCGAAAATGCCACCTTCTTCATGTACTTTAATTTAATCACTCAAGTGTTTTATTCAGTATTCTTTTGCTAGCTTGATGTGTATTCTTAATTGAGTCAAAATGTGAACAAAAAAAAATTAACTTTCTAAAACTACTTTCAGTAAATTGTTTTCTGTGTGAATATTCAATTTCACTTTAAAAGGTTTGAAAAATCTTTTACATTTGAATAAAAAAAAATTCAAAAATACTATTACAATTATTGTTAAGCGTTCGAGGGCCGCACTGGAAGTTTTCTGGGGCCGCAAGTTTGACATCCCTGGTCTAGATTGAAGTTGTCCCAAATATATAACATTATTTTATCATGAATCATGATTATACCCTTTCCTGAATTTCTTCTATAGTACTACCAAAATTTAATGAACCAAATATAACACAGGTGTAGTCAGTGACCCGTAATCCTCATTTTTCAAAGCTGTTTTAAGTATGTCTGGCATGTTTTGTGCCTTTTTACAAAAAAGACCGCTTATGCAATCTTACGCTTTAGAATTTTTAGTTATTTCCCTCAAGCCCTGCAGGATGTAAGGGCCATACACAACTTTACCGGAGGGTCAAATGTCTTTGCATTCCTCTATAGGTTGTTTTTTCTATTGCAAACATTTATGGAGTATTCTAATCATATTTCTTGGAATCAAACTGTCACTGATATGTCACCAGACTTCTGATATCTCCCCTTCTGCTACAGTTTGTCCTGTGAATAAATAATAGGAAATTCAGGTTAGACGAATAGTTGAAAGTTTTGTTTTATGTCGGCCTAATTTCTTGATTGATATACTTACTATTATTGCTATTGCCTCTTGTGCTGCAGGAGTCTCACAATGCTTAGACAGGTCTGTCCACAACTTTCACATCTGTAGGAGAGGAGATGTATTAACTTTCGTTAAGAATAAATAAAGCAGTCTATATGATTCAGAATGGAAAAGGCTAATAAATCCAATATCTTATGTTTTTTGTAAAAAATGTTTTACTGAATTTGGTATATAAACCAACTAATAAAGGGGTTTGGTCAGAAAATTATGAGCATTCGTGGCTCCAAATACTTGAGAGATCAGACTATACAATATAGACCGGTATGAGTGAAATTTTAGGTGAACTTGTTAACCCTTTGATTCAATAAGCAAATAAAAGTGAATGAGCAATAGTATGTTACAGCAATAACTATATATCCTCTCTGATTAACTATTTGAAACCATAAGGGGTAAGTAAATATGAAATTTCGGCAGATGGCCAACTACGTACCGTACTGAATTATAAACTTCGTAGTATTTGACAAAAGCTGTCTTTCCCGCATGTACTTAACAGTGCGATGCCCGGGTGTGATATACAACAATAGTATTTACCTTACTTTTTTCCGATTTCTTTCTACTTTCAATTTTCCAAATATCAATAAAAACCACAACAACTGTCGAAGCAGGCTCGAACACCATTCGTGCTATGCCTTGAAAGCAACACACATCCGCTCGTTTTCGTCTCGTCAAGTATGTGCATTGGAGCGTGCTATCGAATACGATCTTCGGCCAAAAATGCCGGAGTTGCGCATCATGTTGTTTAATGTCATTGCTTGGAGTAAGTAATACGAAGAAGTGCACTGGAGTGTAACAATTCATTCACTGCCCTGTCCTATTGTAAATAAAAGGACGTGCGTAGCGTGTGTAAAGGGAACTTATACATGAACAGCCTAAACAATAAACCAGGCGGCAGAAAATTGTCAAAAGGCAAGTATGTGGAGGAAAATAACCATATACTGTATTTAACTTTACCATGTTAGACGCATATTCTCATCAAAATTGCCTAGAATAAAAACGAAATGCAGATATGTTCAAACAAAATCTGACAACATAGTACAAAATTGATTTGCCAGATTTGTCCGGTATTACTTTAAGCACTGTAAAACATCATTGCCTGCGGTATACAATACCTTGCACATACACATGTGACCATCTATACCTTCATTCGCCAACCTCCTAAGGCTAGTAAAATGTGCGAGCTGTGCACAAGCGACCGCGTGTGTTGGTGGCAATCAACTTGGTCGAGGGAAATTATATAACACCCGTGCGCTGCGAGTCCCAAAAAAACTGTTTCGAGATTCAAAAATTTTTCCCCTGAAGATGATGAACTATTTCGTTGCCTTTTTTCGAAAATTAGTGCCTCATTTTAGAAGCCGATATTTGCTGAATCCACATTCTTTACAGCTTCCTGTAGGATTACTTCAGTTTCCTCTACATTGTGAAAATTATTATGAAGAAGCAAAGAAATTGATATTACCTTCTAACTGACGTCTTCGTCGCCAATTGCAGTCGAAAGTCTTTGTAATAGTAAAGACCCACCTCCATAATCACACATTTCGGAAAAATTAGGGTCAGTCTTTTAAAGAAAACGATGCGATGGCGACCCCAATATACAAATAAACACGCAATGAAGACTAAAATCGAGAAGATAGCCTTCCGCGTCTAGAATCAAAATCCTTCAACACGGTCAGGTACAGAGGAGCGAACAATCGCTCCAGTTGCCTGGACTTGCATTGGAAACAATGTCCAGGAGCGCATCAGTCGCTTCAAATATTACCCAACATGACAACCATTCCAGTAAGGCCATAATTTTATTCCTATTTTACTTATATTACGAGATCTGGGACTGTTTGTGCTAGCCTGGTGACTATACGTCCATAGGCTTCCGTCCCTTTACACAACTCGATGTAAAGTAGGCAAACAAAATTAGTTACCTCCATATTGGTATACACACTTCTGGAGCGCCTTGTAGTAATGCATTTATATACCTTGTAAGAAACAAACGTTCAGGCAAGGCCAGAATGGCTAACGGCATGTAGACAAACGATGCATAAAAATAGCTAGACAATATAGTCTTTGGTAAATTTCCGCAGCAGCATAAACACGAATTTATGCACAAAAGCAATTATAGCAAATATGACGATGACGAGTCACCCATGCGCCAATACAACAATTCAAGTCTACAAACCTAGACTAGTCCGTAGATCCAGTCTAAAGACTACATGGAAACATTGAATTCTCTTTATTTTTCTAATAATAAAATGACATTGGTTAAAATCAACACAAGAAGCAGCAAAAATAAAAGTGTACAATTGGTTACTTGTCACTGGATAGCAAGAAGAATTATATTTGGCACAAATATATGTACCAAGACTGGATAGAACAAGTCTTCAAGTCACCTGACAAATTTAGTTTGGAACATTGATTATCATTAACTTCATTAATACCACTACATTACAGAACTTCATGCAATAATGGTGTTGGTTCATCGCAGAATGAATATTTGAATATTATTAACCACACTTGCAGCATAATATATGATTCAACATAATAACCTGATCTAGAATTGGTAGACACGAGACACGGAGGAAATTATTTTTTTTTATGCAATTTTGCTTCCATACTTTTCCCATCAAAGAGAAATTGCCTGGTTTCTGTTTTACTACCTGAAAACCTTATTTTCAGTCACAGACAAGGATTTTTACCTTCTTGTGCATGTATATGAATCAAAATAAAAGTACTTTTGTGCTCTAATAAGTACTTGTGAATTCTAACTTGTGTATTGGTTGTATACTAAATACATTCAACTATAAAGCCTTTGGTTTGTTTTTGCCATAAAAAGTGGAATACCATTAAATTGGTAAAATACACATTAGACTCGGATATGTGTAGTTTGAATGATGAACAGGGGGGCACGAGTTAAATAAAATAATACATGGTATCCTGTAAAACTGAAGATGGGCAAAAGTATATAGTAGAAAAGTATATAAGATAGATACAATTAGAAAAAAACAATGGTCTATAAAACTGCTATAAGTGTGTACCCAATGCTTGCAGGTGCTGTGAGGAGGCAGTAATAAAAATGGCTTCTACTATTTAGAACCAAACATCCAGTTGACACAGTCCGGCAGTCGTTATTACATTCACAAAACTTGACAGATCTACTAGGAATACTTTAGTTATGGAGCATGGGCAATGGTCAAAAAAGATTGGCAAAAAATTTCACTACTAAATTCATGTTCTAGATCTTTGGTTTTCAACAACTATTCCTCTCAACCCAAGGGTTCCACCAGTACTGTCCATGGTATCTGCAAGTTTCTATTCAAATCACGGTGTCTCCAGAATGTTGTGTCCCACTTCTCCCATGTGTCCCACTAGTCGCTAATACCGCCGATTGTTTCGCACATATTATGGTTGGTGGGGCACGTTGAACAAGTGGGACACGACATTTTAGAAACACCCTTCAAATCAGAGTCTATTTTAATATGTGTATATTGTTTAACTATAATCATATACCTATTAAGTACGCCACTTGGAACACTTTGCAGATCATTTCGTTTTGTCGGTATTAGATTTGCTATTGTATATATTTATAGCTTAGGCAATTTATACAATAAAAAACAATTAAACTATTGCGCAAGGGTACCTCGAGCCTCTGGAATGTTATTTGGGGGTCTGCTTCACCAAAAATGTTGAAAACCACAATTTTAGGTACTAGATAAAACAATTTAATAACTTAATACATTAACATGTGGATTTAGTGATTTCAACTTTTCATAATGAAAAAAAACTCCATTTACATCAATATATCATTAAAAAATCTGAATGAAACAAATTAAAAAATTTAACTGACGATTCGAACTTCCTTTACTTTAGTAACCATGATCACATAACAGAACTTTATTAAAAAATGACATACCCTAAATGATTTCTCTTGCCATAAACAGTACAATGTTCACAATTTAGGTATAATACGCTCATCATTGAACATGGTTGATATATAAAGACAACAGATTTACTTTCCTCAAGGAAATTTTATTTCAATGCTTTCGGACTAATATCAAAAATAGAAAGTTCCATGACCAAATGTAGCCATTGTGCGCAGTCTTTTTCAAGTCAATAATGCATTGAAATAACGTTTCATTATTTTAAATAGACACCGCACAACCTAAGACTATAAGTTTTCATTTATGTTCCCAATGAAATTTGCTAATGGTCTGTAATAATTGTGCACAACCGGTTGCTTTTGCAGTATATATTAGGACTGAAATGTAACTTTAATCTTACGGACTAAATAAAAATTCCAATGGCAGTGATCTTACTGTTAAAAAGTAAAACTAAAAGGAAGGAAAACTAAGGAGAGCTTTAAGACTGTATATGATGGTGTCGCTCGCTTAGCAGTGTTAGCACTGTACGCTGTGGCAGGGAATTGAGCGACACAGCTCAGCCCCTTTCGTTCCAGTTATTAAAAGTCTGGAAAATAGTTTCCAGAGAGAGCCTGTACTATTTCAAATGACAATTATCTGTTAAATTGAGCATACCAGCCATAGAAGATACATGTAATGAATAGATTTAGTTTGAACTTCAACTAATCGGAGCGTGAACTGGTTCGGTCGCAAAATTTACCATCACATGAGGAATTCATGTTAAATATGCACTCCTAGCATGATTCTCCTTGATTTGTGTTAACAATCATCATTCTTTCCATTCAAATACTTTTTCATCGACTCTAAATCTCTGGCAGTATAGCCTTCCCATTCAATAAGGTATTCAAACCGCTCTTTCCCATCATTGTCAAACCTTATGCGTTTCCCAAGCACCCTGAATCTCTCTCCACATTTGACTCTATCTTCTGCACCAAAGTATTGAGCCATCGCATCTCTGAGCGATTTGACATCATCTGTGCTTCCAGAAGAACTGAATAACAACATAGATTTAGCGTAATTTACAACAATATGTTGGTTAATTTTCGTTTATGAGTGAATATAAATTTCTAATGCTAGATAATAATAATTATAACTTTTTCTGCTGCACAATACAATGACAAGAAGACACTGTTACAAAAATACATACAAGATACAACTGCTGTACTAGATATGCGCAAGCAGCGCAAAGCATAACACATTAGGCAAGATATTATCCATTTGCATCATAGCATAACATTTCAAAACATCTAGGTGAAAGATGAATTTTAGTGCACCGAGATGCTGCATAGCCTGAACCCAAACCTGGTACACATACTATGTTCAGGATGTGCGCCATCTTGGTGCACATACTTCTGGAGTTCTCTAGTCTAGTGATCAGAAAAACCATACCAAGATGAAGCAGCATCATTCAAGAAAGATGAGTTAGATCCCCATAATTTGGAAAATAGAAGATCCACCCTTCTGATTTTTACCAGAAACTTGTTGAAACATCAGAATTCTAGAAAAGACAAATAAAAATTCAGACAATCTTAAATGAGTACATAGTGCGGCCCCCAGTATCTTCAAGGAATTTACCCAATCATGTTTGAATCGCAGATCTACAAATATTTCCATATATTCCATATACAGATCTAAAGAATTATTCTCTTATTAATCGATGGGAACTTATGTTATAATGGGGTTTTCATATAAAAGGCATCGTACTTCGAATACAAAAAAATGATTTTTAAAATTTGTATATAATTGGGATAAGATATTTATTAAACGCATAGAACCTTGCGTTTTCTTCGCTTGGATGGAGGACCAGGCCATGAAGCTTTGGACGAGTTAAGTGAAGAATTTGACAAGCTTCTTTTAAGACCCTCTGATTTAGAACGCCGGCCTGGTCTACCTTTCTTGGGTGGTGGAGGCATACTACCATCACTAGAACATAAAAAAAATCATTCATATGATTAGATACTCTGAAAAGATGTATACTGGATATAAGGGCAATGAAAAAATTTGCAAGATAGCAGTAGTTCATTGTTTATTAAGGCTATGAAAAGTGTAAAAGTGATTCAAGAAGTCTTATATTTCTGTCGAATTATGAATGTCTGACGAAGTATGAACTTGATCACACGAAAAGTTACAGTTTATGTGCAGAAAGACTTTTGAATCACTCAAAATAGTTACTGTTGTTACAGCATCCTTGCATTATATGCATCAGATCCACCGATGGAAAGGCACAAAAGAAGAATAGGTAGTTAGTCCCACAGCTATGCTGATATAATAGTCGATATAGTGAATTCTATACATCTTTTCAAGAACTTGAACAAAAATGTCAGGAATGAACTAGTAAGTTTGCCTCGAAAAATGAGAAAAATTAAAAAAAAAACTGAATTTTCCCCAACGAATAAAATAAAACGAAGTTTCAATAGTTTATTCGATATTGTCCACATACAATGTGTATCTCTTAATACACTAGGTATCAGTTTCGGTTGAGTTTAGCTGATGAATCTAAAAAACCCTATACATACAATGAGTATGATTGCATTCAATACCTTTCAAATCTTTCAAACAAATTATCTCTGGCAGAATCTACTGGTGATGCTACGTTGAATAAACCGCTTTTCACAAGATCTTTAACTGGACTTCTGACAGATGCCTGAAAAAGATTTGCTTTTGAATAAAGAAATATCATCCAAAGCATAAAGCACTACCCGATACAACAATAGGTGCACTCGCATGATCATTTTTTGACAAGAAAAAGGATTCAAAGAGTGCCTTATGTTTTTACTGGAGGTCAATGACAATGTGATGGATTGTGTATGATTTCGGCAATGACTACAAAATTGTCACATCTGTCATCTGTATTTGTCACATTATAACATTGGTCTCACTATTGAATTTATATTAGTGTCATCTTACTTAGAAATTGCATAGCCATAGAAATTTCAAACATGAAAAAAAAAGTAGATATTTAGACGCTGAATACACAAAAATTTCTGATAGCTTTGGCTACGTGGGTACTTCCATAACTCATATCATAACCATCCTTCTACCTGTGCATTAGAACGAGGAGAAACTGGAACACCTGGTTGACAAGGTCCATTCTTTTTCAGCGGAGTCGGTGAGTCACTAATCACAAATAGTAAAGATAGAAAATACCATTATTAAATTCTAAGTGAAATATAACCAAACGAACAAATTATTTCCATATTCATCATCAATCAAAAACAAAAATAAATTCTACTGAGGAACATTCATGAATTACATAAAGAAGAAAAGAAAGAATGAAGGCTAACTGTTTCTTATATGACCTACTCATATGCGTTTTGCTCTGAACAAGGCCTGGGCAAGTACCATACTGGATAAGAAGCTACTACAGGTTGAAATAACTTCATATTCAGCGTTGCTCCCTTAATTTATTTACCCTCAGTGAGCCATTGGATCTGAGATTTGCAATACAAGTCTAATGCTTTAATAATATTAGACCGCAATATCATCAGCTACATCATACATTTCATTAAAAGACATATCAGAATTACAAAAAAATTAGATGAATTTTCTATTTGGATCAAACATATGAGGTTGCAAAACTTACAACCAGCGCTCACAGAGCTTGAAACAATATTTTTACCTCAGTGCACCGGAGCCATGTTTCAGGTCTAATGTTTCAAAAGTGTCATCATTAATTTCCAAACCGGCTGGTAAAGATATTGAAGGAGGAAGAGGTGGAGAACGATTCCTGAGACCCCAAAGTACTTTGGTTTTCTTGCATTCGGTACTGCTCTGAAATCTGTGTAATAGAAATCAGTGGTGAAAAACTACTATTACAACCTTGATTCTAATAGCAAGATGACCAACGAAGTCTTAATCTTCAGAAGGGATGAACAAATCGTATATGAAATATCGAATACATTCTAAATTGGGAGCAAATTTATGTTAAAATTACATAGTGACAATCACATCTAAAACAGCATAAATATAAAGATAATTGTTTTCTCTGTGTTGTTTGTTACCAGTTGAGATATCTTTTGTTAGTTCTGACAGCTCAAAATCTCGAATTTTTGTTATAAGAACGTTCCAAATTATTCTTAAACTCAAAAATTTACTATGGAATAACGAATATAATGACTGTCGACTGAATTCGAATATTCGATTCATTTTGGACATTCCTGATCTCGACATATCGAAGATTTTATTATTTTTTTTAAATAAATACCTTGTTTTATAATGTTGAAGAGTGTCGTTAACTTTTTGTCTTAAATGAGATCTGGTAGCTACATCTTTTGCCATCTGTAAATACAACATACCTTTTTATTTATGATAAGAAGATGTTGAATTGATTGATTTAACAAAATACATAACCCTCAGTGAAATATTCTAGAATAGCTCCCATTTCCTACAGTTTGTTAATCTAGAGAGGTATTCTGGTAAATTTTATTTACTAACATTTTTTCTGAAATATCATGTAAAAATAGTGAACAAAAATGCTCTGACCTAAATAGTTTTTAAGCTGCAGGTGGAAATTAAAAAGTTGAGTAAAATTCAGCATTTATCAAACTCAAATTAAGATAGACAAACAAATTCAAGAATACTGAATTATTTGAATAGTCCAAGATGATTAATTCCTATATTTTGTATACAAAAAAAATCACATACACTGCCCAATCTCAGTGATTCCATATGTTTATTGAAGAATGTAATCATACTGTCGACATCGTAATATTTAACCTTCTTAGCGATTGTTATGTTGTACAGAACCAAATGAATAACATCAACCCTGCGAAAAAAACAACATTAAATAACTCATTAAATTCAATAAATAACAATATAATACACAAGTTATAATACAGAAAAATGATTCAACCTATCCAACTTAACAATAAACTACAACCTTTATTAAAATCTCTTCTGAAAAATAAATTAGCTATTAGGCCATTAAATAGCCTAACTAATAAGACCAAAAAGTCTTTATTTAAATATTCTTACCATTTCATAGGTAGACGCTTTATATACTCATTGCCATTGTTGCATACTGCACACACGAACAAGTAATATCTATCACCATATAAGATTGGAGACTCAAGACATTGAAGACAAGCTGTTCAACAAGACAGGAAGGAAACAAATAACAGATAATACAAATTAATTCTATTAAGAGTCATGTTTCAAATTTAGGATATCGTCATGCAAACCATTTTCATTATTTCTTATTTAGATTTGATAAACTTATTCAAATCTTACAGTATAAAAAATCAAGCTTGCAAGTAAAGTGGGTTACTTACTACAGACATAGGAAAATTGCATCTATCTTAGAATTAGAAATAATATCATTTAATATATCATTTTTATCTTACAATTGATTCTCGATCTCCACATTAAAAAAAAATAGATGACATCAAAATTTTGAATAATTCAAGGTATTTTCATAGCTACTCTGTTCAAAATGCTGAAAAATATTGCCATAAGATTCAAACTTATATTTCGAACAGAATTACAACAAAAACAATATAAATTTCAGAAAAGGATTGTTTTCTACTTTTATATTCAATTCACTATTTGACATAAGCAACGTAAAATAATACCTTCATGAAACCATTGATCACACCTCGCACACTGAAGCATTTTTAAATACCAATCTCCTGGGCCACCACAGTAACAATATTTCTGAAAAAAAATAAACCGAACATTTTAACTATAAAATATTGAATATATTCTGAATATAGTAAAGCCTAAATCTATTTGCCTAAATCATATTCATATATTTATAGATATTAACCGTTTATAACTCTTAAAACCGAAAGTTTACATAGTTTTGATTGGTATCCCCCCAACTATCACCTAGATAGAAACCTGTTTGGTATGGGCAGAAATGTGATTCCAAACTATTTTTGAAGTCGAGAATGTGGCTTAATATAACTGCTGTACTTCCAAATATATTTATTCATTTTGGACACCTTGGGCTTATAAAACAAAAATTCATTGTATATTTATATTACTATTTTCGGTGCTCCCGAAGTATGCGAACCAAGATGGCGGACATCGGAACGTAACATGGGTAACAGGTTAGGGTTAGGCGATAATTTTTTTCCAATTTTCCTTATTTTAATCCTATTATCAGTTCGAAGACTAGCCAAGAGTCTCCCGTAGTATTTATACCTAAAATTATGGCCTAACCCTAACCTAGTACACATATTACATTCTGATGTCCGCCATCTTGGTTCGCATACTTCGGGAGCCCCCTATTTTCAATAGTAAAGGCATGTCACTTGAGCGGGCAATTATATAAAATAAGAAGAGAAAATAAAGAATTAGCAGTCACCTCTTCTTCATTAATTTTATGATTCTTATTCCAAGTGAGGGAGTTTATGTCATATGGAAAAACACACTTCATCTGCTTCATCATTTCTGAAACAATAAAAAAATGCTTTGGAAAATGTCTGTCATGAAGGATATGCATACAATCAGCACAAAAGAAGTACAGTCAGGAATTTAAATTTTTAAAACAGTATTGAAAATGAATGGCAAAAGAAATCATACCTCCAGCTCCATGCTTTATAGCTCCCCCATTTCTTACGCAAGCTGAAAATACGCAATTTCTACATTGCCATGGAACTTCTTCATCTTTCAATACAGTAGAATCAATATGAGGCAAATGGCATTCCTGATGATAACCTGAAATTTTTTTAATATAATCCTACTGTACTATAGTGAGTAGTGACAATACAATTGATAGCGATGCAACATAATTAGATATAAAAAATGGATGTTGGATTCAGTTGCTAGCTCTTTCAAAGCAACTTCAATTAATACGCCGAAGTGCTGTGTGGTTCAAGCATGTAACGATGTAAGTCATACATTATGTGCTTTACATGCAGAATTCATTCATACAGATTGCAGTTGGAAGTATATTTAGGATGGATAAAATTTCTGAAATGTCAAAATCCCTCATATTTAGATTATTTTTTGCATAATTTTTATAAACATTGTTTTACATCAGAGACGGAGACGTTCAACAAACAGCTTTCGGGCCACAGTATGTTTCATGTAACATATTCACATGGCTTATAACATAGTATTCCACTAATTTAATAATGCATTTACCGTAATAATGCTTTTACATATATGTGACATCCAAATTTTGTTTGTTAACAATAAGGCGAGTGTTGCAAGTTTGTAAAGTTAGAATGTAAGAAAAGAAGCAACAGAAAGAAATTTGATTACAAAAAGCAGAAGTGTAATACAATACTCAATGAAATAGTTCATTGTTCAATACAACCAAGATGTGATGCAATGCAACACTATTGTATAAAAAACTTTGCTTTTTACCTAGCTAATGGACTGTTAGAAGATTTGGTTCCCCATGAAGGCAACAAGATTTTGATAAATATTGACAAGAATCATTTGATTGGCTGAAAATGTCTGGTATATTAGTCAATATAAGCAAACACAGATTGGTTACAAATAAAATAACTCTAACCTTGTCCGCATTTATCACATAAAACAATTTCATTCGGTGGATCAGAAGCTCCATCTCTACATAAAACACAAGTAACATCTGACAATTCGTCTTCATCTTCCTCTTTAACAATTTTACCATCTTTTGCATCAGAATCTTCAGATAAATTAATATGATGCAAGTCTTTGAAATAAACCCAGAATTTGGAATCATCCTCAAATTTCATTTCACATTGCAGACCATGATCATATACCTATAAGAAATGTGAATAATCGAAGAATAAAGCATACCATAGGACCAGTATACCATATAGTAAAATACAATTACCCTTTATCTAAACAGTTTAACCTGAACTGTGTAATATCTATGGACTAATTTTCATAAAAAATAGACCTAAAAAAATTATTAGGTATAAATAAAAAAAAATTAATTTATAGTCAAATCATATACGATGAGTTTAAATTTCATTTAAATTATAATTTTTCCAGAATTGTTCACCCCTGTAAAGTAAAGAATTTCAATTGAATAAGTTTCAAGTCAAAAGAATATGAAATTAAGTAATAAAAACTTTCTTACATCACATATTGTGCCGAGATAATAAAGTCCATCTGACCACCTCGCTAAAACTTCCTGACCAGTTTTGTATTGCCCAAACATTTTACGATAAACATTATGTGCGGAATTTGCATGCATACGAGAGCTATATCCTTCAATTTCTCTTTTATTTTGCAATTTTTGGTCAGATTTCTGATCAGGATGTTTAATTTTTTCTTCGATAGCTTTGAGATTTCCCTTGAAGTTAGTTTTTTTAGGAGATGGTTCATTTTTATGAAATCCGTTTAAAACCATATGAGGTGATGATGAGCATTGAGCAAGTTGCCCAGATGAACCAAATGATTTTATCTTCGAATATGCTTCAGTGACAGTTTTATCTGTTTGGTTTACAGTCTCTGACAATCCATTCATAACTGGTAACATAATTTTTGCTTTGCATGGGCTGAGCGATCCTAATTTTCTTTTTGAAATTTTCGTTGGTGATGCAGGTTCTTCCATACCGTCATTTACTTTATGCAAAGACGCCAATGCATGCCCATGCTTCGAAATAGAAGCCGTTGCAGTCAAAGGCTGAGATGCAGTACTATGAGAGGTATTTTTATTACGTACCATACTGCAAACAATTATTTGTTATATTCTGTATGAAAGAAAGAAAATTAGGATTCGCAACAAATGGCCTAGTGGAAAACAAGAGAGCAATACTTAAATGGACATAAAGGTACAATTATGAATTACATTGAGCAAATCTGAACAATAAAGTGCTGGGTGCAAAACATATTAGTACAGGCATTTCAGTATGAGTACACTAGAGCCCCCTGAAATGGCACACGCGCGAAATCCATTTTGCACTCCGAAAAATATGTGATTACCCAACATTATAGCTGACAGTCTGAAAGGTAGTGAAATGAAACAGCCACCAAGAAATAGTGCTGACTAGTTCTAACTTCTCATACGACAAACTGATCTTTCTTTCGGCTTCATGAACACACCAAAACCATGCCGATTAACAACTAAATGGGTATCTCATGAAACGCGGGGCTTTTTGTTTCATGTGCGAAACTGTTTATAGTGTTCTATTTGTGCCTATTAATTGACCTTTGACCCATGCCAATGCGTCGCTGCTGTTGTTTTTAGACAAGGCAAACCACTAGTCGGAATTTTCCTTTCTAAACAATTTTACACCTCTTTATTCAAGTTTTTTTTCAAATAGGGCAATTCAAACTCGCATTAAAGCACTGCTAAAAAACCATACTAAAATATCATCACATAAGTGGTATGTCGTATACATATGATGCTACCTGGAAATTAACAGCAAAATTAACCAAACCAAAATATCACACACAATAAGTCTGAAGGGTTTTATACATTCTCTTAATTTGGAGATGCTTGAAATCATGGTGACTACAGGCACATCATATTCAGATATTCCAGTACGGCACAGTTCAGCAGTTCTTTGAATCAAGAATTGACACCACAATGAAGGACATCTATTATAACAGTGCGTGCAAACCCCCTCCTATACAGAAAAAACTGAGCCTCAATATTGGCGCAAATCGATTAACCAAAGGCGCAATAACGCAATCTAAGAACTTCACCCTCGGTTTCTTTGGAAATAAATAATCCGATTTACAGAAGGAACAAAAAATTTTAGCATTCGAGAATTTTAAAACAAGATTTTGATCACATGAAATCATATAAAGTAACAGTATAAGTTTATTTTGACGCCATATTCCAGTATTCTGCATAAAAGACCATAAAACAATTGCTGAATTCAGGAATTGATAAAAACAAATAAATAAAAATGATTACAGAATCCTGGAATCAGGCAAACAAAACTTTAAGAAGGTTCAAAATGCCTGATTCTCAAGGTGAGGGCAGCCACATGTCACAGTCAATTTAAATTATTATCAAGACAAGAATTTCGAATCATACGCATCTGAAGTCAGGAAATTGTTTGATTCTGCTATAGTCTACTACCACAATCAGACGTTTCAGAGACAGAGCATGTTCATTGAACCAAATGTTGGGACAGCTGGACAGCTTGGAATTGGAAAACTGAGGACTGATAACTTTGGTGTGAGGGATTTATATTTGAGAATCAAACTTTAAGGCCTACAGTATGATAAGTATAAGTATATTTTGATTTTCCCGCAAAAAAAAAATTATACACAAAACACAAACAATGAACACACAGAAAATTGGAAAAATCAGGTAAACTGGCAAAACATTTATAACTGTATAAAGATTTAGGCTAATACATGTGAATACTGAAATGTAGGCTACATGCACCAGTTTACCAACATTCAACACACAAATATCAGAACATATATTCAAAATAAAAAAGAAAAAGTTTATTTCGACTCCATAATAATCTAACCCATTACTGCATTATAATAAAATGAGGTTATTATTATCATCAGTTACCCTATATTATTATCATATTTTATACCGTCGATATCTGCAGACATACCAGCATGAGAATGTACGGTAGGTACGGTACCGTGTGGTACCACTGTATCCTGGTATCGGTTTCTCATTTGCTCCGACTGCTCGATGCTTCGGATTTACCTGTATATACAATTTAATCAGTGTAAAATCTGGGAAAACATGTAAATCCCAAAAGCTAAAACTGACAAAACCTTCCAAAGCAAAACAATGCTCTGCTCGCCACCTCCCGCGCGTGGTAGTCTCGAAGACAGCCTGACAATACATGTAAATTCAAGAGAAAGTTGCAGGGATTTGATAGGATTCTCCACATTATGCCTTTACGGTCTAAAATACGAAATCTAGAAAGAAAAAATATTATACCAGTTTATTTTACCAGTCTACTTCATCTGTCCGAGAATGTAATAAAATCATTTGCAAATTGACATCCGCTACAATCATTGTTTAGGCCTTTGCAAATTTATAAAGCCTGCTGAATTGGCACTCTTCGATCAAAATATTACTCATTATTCTAAAAAAAAATTTTCACAGTTCATTTATTTTTTTTCAAATTATCTTTGTTTGGTATATATCACGATAATACGGACACTTTGGTTATTCTGAGAAGGCTGTTATCGGCCATGATGTACCGCATGTGTATAAGTATAAGTATAAGTATAAGTTTATTTCGACTCCATAATCAGCAAAACAATAAAATGAATGCTAAAAATAAATAAATAAAAACTGATTATGAAATCAGGAGAGCGAACAAAACCTTAGATAAGGTTTAAAACGTACAGAATGTATATAAGATGGAAGGTTTTGCCAAGAAGATGTGGTACGTGTTCACTCACCTAAAATAATTGAAATATTTCACACACGCTTACACGCACCCACACACACAACCATATAGAAGTTATTAAGTAAAGGGAACATGAAAAATTACATACTGGTAGTTAATAAAAAAATAAATAAAAATTACTTGCCACACCATATTAATAAATTTATCATGATTGCCACTGCCAAATTGATCAATTTTATAAATGGGAGTGAACAGTAAAGATAAACTTTTATAAAAAAATATATTGTCAAGCTGATTATAGATGGAGTCAAATGCCAAAATGCCCAACCAAAGTTGCCAGAATTGGGTGCATGAAGAGGTGGGCTAGACCACTTCATTGCCCAAACTAGAGCCTATTATTGCCAAATTGTAGTCCAGATTGCAATAAGTATTTAAATCTATCAGTAACTTTATAAGTATGAGTAATTATAATTAATTAAGGTAGAAAGACAGGGTATAGGAATATGTTGGTTGCTAAGGTTATAAGGTTTTTTTTTCATTCTTAGATATTGACTTCTGCAAGGATAAAGGAATTAGGAATAAAAGAATTAGTATTGTTATTTCACAGAATCATTTCTTCATTTAATTATTATGGCGTAATAGGTTCAAGTTTATCGTGGATGAGACATCAGCCTGCGAATTTTGTTGTTGTAGACACCATTTATATTCAATAAACTAGCCATTGTATTGATCATCACAGAACGACCTGAAAAACAGAAAACAAATCTGCGAGTAGGATATTCAAGGGTTACATATTTGGAAACAGCACTACCCTACACTTTTGTTTAGAATTAATTATTATTTCGAGTAGATATTGATTATTAGTTATCTATCTATAAAACGCTAGTTCAAAGACCAGAGTTGAAATATGGTTGGGACACAGGGTGAATTCCTCGCAAACCATGCAGAAACTCTCAAACCACACTGACCATTCGTATGTTGGCCTTCACATCAACTTCACAGCAGAACCTCAACCTAGGATAAAATTTTGTATACACACAAAACAAATCATAGAATACCACAACAAATTAAAATGAAGGGGAGAATCCAATATATCTCCACTGGTCGCCTAATTACAATAATAGGTACAGGAGCTAAACTATACGGTCTACAACCCTCATAAGGTATCACACCACCCATATAGAAACAAAGATCATGCATGTGTAATGTCAAAAATCCAACGTTAAGCAAAAAGGGAACATGCGCATGCAGATGTCAGAGTGTAAACAGCCATTTGAAAAATAAATAAATAAAATAATTTGCTGTGCATGCTACAGAACCCGACACACCAACAATAGATGTAGAACAGGTGGAGAGAGATTAACTGCCGGCTTAACAACAATCAGCAGCTGCAGGAGCAATAGCAATATTGTAGCTGTTTAATATTTTCATGAAAATAAGTATGTGCAAGTGAAGAGTGTCCCAACTTTCTATCATGGTCATTCATGAAGGTTCAATATTTTTTGTGTCCGAGCTATCAAAACGTTGTAGCTAATTTCATACGAAAGAGTATACGTATATATCAGTGTGGTTATGGGAAAATAACTTTTAATATTTGGATACCAAGTACGACTTAACTTGTTTCTGAAATGATTTTTTGGATTTTAATGACTTCAAATTCAAGGGGAGAGAGTTCCATAGCTTAGGTCCATTATAGCATAGGGCATGCTGACTCACAGATTTACTCATAAACGGTATAAATAAATTGGAATTACTTCTTCGATTGGAGGTGGTTTTGGTTAGTATGTCGTCAAAGCAGTTTGACAATGAGTTGTCATGAAAATCATAAACTAATGATAATACTTCAAATTTCATTATGTCTTCAACCTTGAGTATATTTAGCGATTTATAGAAATGATTTACGCTTTCACGTTTACTTTTCCTAAAGACAATTCTTAAAAAATTATTACAAATGCTTTGCAATTTCGAGACAAGTGTTTTATTACCATGGAGCCAGACTGAGCTACAATATCGGATATGACTTAGTAGTAGAGATTGAAACATTGCTAGTAAAGCTGATTGATTAACGCACTGGGATACTTTAGCAGCAACTGCCAAGTTCCTTTTTGTTTTACCAATAACATGCAACATTTGTGATTTCCATGATAGATTTTCATCAAAGATAACTCCTAGAAATTTTATTTCTTTCACTCTTTCAATTTCATTGTCATTGAGCAGTAGTGGTTTTGAACAACTCACACTTTTATGCTTGCTTGGGTGGAATAATACAAATTTAGTTTTGTTAGCATTAAGAGATAATTTGTTAACCAACATCCAGCTATGAATGTTGGTTAGTTCTTGGTTTGCAACTGTGAGTAGATCTTCAAGGTTTTTCCCATGAAGAATCAAGTCAGTGTCATCAGCAAACATGATCGACTCAGAGGATTTCAGACACCTGGACATGTCATTAATGTAAGCTAGAAAAAATAATGGGCCAAGTAAAGATCCTTGTGGAACTCCGTGCTTCATGACACAAATATTTGTAGAGAATGAGTTGTCATATTGCACAATTTGTTTCCTGTCTTGCAGGTAGCTCCTGATCCAATTGAATGGGACGCCTCTAATTCCATAGTGATAGAGCTTGCTTAAAAGGATGGAATGGTCAATGGTGTCAAAAGCTTTTGAAATATCAAGAAATATTCCAATTGCATGTTGTTTGCTTTCAAAGGCCTTGGTCAGTTTGTGTACCAAAACATTAGCAGCCATAGCAGTGGAGTGATGCTTGCGGAAACCAAATTGATGAGAGTGGAAAACATTGTTAGTTTCAAAGAAGTTTGACATTCTACTATACATTATTTTCTCAAGAATCTTAGAAAATGATGGTAAAAGACTAATAGGTCTATAATTTCCAAGATCTGAAACACTACCCTTTTTAAATAGAGGAAGAACTTTAGATGTCTTGAAGCTTTCAATGAATAACCCACTAGATAGTGAAAGATTAAATATATATGTCAGGATGTCAATGATATGTTCTGGAACGTGTTTCAATACTTTGAATGGAATACCATCAATTCCAAAACTTGACTTGGGCTTCATTTCGCGTATAATATTTTTTATTTCTAATGATGTAGTTGGCCTTAAAAACATGGATGAGGATTCTTGCTTTCCAAGATATGAAATGTAATTTTTGTCACAGCCAGCTGGTTGTGGCATACAGTCGAGCAGGGTTTGTGCCACTTGGGAAAAGTGTTCATTAAATTTATTTGCAATTTGTGTATTACTGCAATCGAGTCCAATCAAAGGACAAGAACCTGTTTTATTTTTACCAATAAGTTCATTAATTGTTTTCCATACTGCCTTGATGTTACCTTTGTGAGAGGCAAATTTAGATTTGTAATAATTTGATTTCTTTTTGTAGAGCAATCGAGTATAAAGGTTCCTGCATTCATTGAACTGTAATTTGTGCTTGTCATTTATGTTTTTATTGTTTATTAATTTCTTATAAAGTTTTTGTTTGACTTTGTTTAGTTTACGTAACTCAGTATCATACCAAGGTTTGTTTGATCTGTTTGTTTGTTTTTTGTAAGGAAAAGATTGAGAGTAAGCAGTAGAGAATTTTTCAAAAAATTTTTCAAAGCAAGTGTTGGGATCCTGGATGCTGCTGAAGTCATCAATATCAATAGAATTCAGTTCGTTCATAAAAGTATTCAAGTTGGACGAAGTAAACTGGCGGTAAAGCGTTTCAATTCTGTTCTGAATTTGCTTTTCTAGAAGAGAGCATTGTACAATTGGCAGATGATCAGAAACACATTCTGCTAAAACAGCACTATTAACTTTTTTATCATATACGTTTGTCCAAATGTGGTCTATACAGGTAGCAGAACTTGAAGTTATCCTGGTGGGGCAGTTTATCAGAGAATAATAGGCCAGGTTGTGCATAATATCAACAAATAGGCTGGTATTCATATTGGACTCATCAATAAGATTATAGTTGAAGTCACCCATTATATAATTATAATTCAACTTGTTCATCTTTGAGAGAACTTGGGACAAGAGATTCCGAAAGTTAGCATTGTTCAATTCATCAGTTAGTGGTGATCTATAAATAGTACCGCAGGTTATTGTTTTATTTTCCAATAATATGTCAATAAATATAGATTCGAAAACCTTTTCACACATTATAGTAATATCCTTGCGGACAATGTATTTCAAATCATTTCGAATGTAGAGACCAACACCACCACCTCGGTGATGAAATCTACTGTTAGTGATAAAAACATAGCCATCCAATGTATTGAAATGGCCATTTGTACCAGATACAATCCATGTTTCATTTACAGCAATTACATGAGGCTTACAATTCAGTGAATTCACTAGTGCTTCAAATTTTGTGTAGTTTTTGAAAGAGGCTAAAGATCTGATATTGAGTGAAAGAGTCATGAAACCACTTAGTTTAAAACTATCATTGAATTTGAGATCATTGACATCACTAGAGCAAATATACTGATTTGAGCTGTTGTACATGAAAACACTGTTTATGTTGTTGAATTCATCATTGTCAGTATTGGCTGACTCAAGAAACATTTGGTTTAGGTATTCAGGATCAAGAATTTTAGTAAGTGCCTGGGCTTCAGCTTTTTCTGAATGAAGGGAAGTACATGATTCGAATAATTCAGAATCAGAGAGAGAAGAGAATGGTATGCAATCTTTTTCACAAAAGAAACAGCACCAAGGCATATCATCAGCTTCAGATTGCAGGTTTTCATACTGCTGGTTAGAGATATTGGTGCATTTTAAATGTATCCAATGTGAGCAAATGTTGCAAAAAATAGCTTTCTGATTAGTTCGGACTGATTTGTGGCAATTTCTACAGGGATATTTTAAATTATGTTTCATGGTGGTGGCAAAGTAATGAAATAAAAAAATAAAAAAAGTATAGTGAAGTAAGACAAAATCTAAAATACAAAGCTTAAATACAAAGTTTCCAGGTGCAGAACTTATGGTTAAATAAGTACTAGCCTAATTAGCATAAGGAAAATAAGGGTGAAAATAAATTGAGTTAAATTATATTATCAACCCTGTGCTAAAGGCCACCACTATACCAATGAGACCAAGTTGCAAACAGTGTGCCTATTTGCTAGGTCCCATTGGGCGAGCAGCAGCCCTGGAGTACAGGGGACGAGAGAGAGTAGTGATATCATTTAAACAAGATATAACTCGCCTTCTGTCCAAGTAAGCGTATATAGTCCCATTCATTGTCGACACCTTATGCTTCCCGAATGCTTCCTTGGCAGCGGCGAGGAGCTTGAGCCTATTCCGGGTCAAGGACTCCGTGATGGACAAACCGCTGCCTTTTAGATCTTTCTTCCTACCATATATTAAATTTTTTGTCGATCTTCGGACAAATTTAATAATGATGGGGTTCTTCGGGGACTTGGATCGCAATTTATGGGTTATATCAATATCCGTGTTAACAATAGGCTGGTCAAGATTGAAGTTATTGTTCAGGGTGTTAACAACAAAGTCTTCAAACTTGTAGTACTCAGATTCTGGAACAGATTTGCAGCCATGAAGAACAACACAGTTCCTCCGGCTGTACTGTTCCTGATCATCTTGCTGTTTTTCACATAACTCCAGTCTTTTTATAATCTCCTCGATCTTAAGAGAGATTTGAGCCACATCATGCTGGAACTTCTTAACAGCTTCAGACTTGCTGCCATGGTCTTCAGTGGCAGACAGTTCATCTGAGCGTTGCATGAGCGCTTTTTGGTTGGCCTGGAGGGATGTAACAGCAGCCAGAATCTGGTTATGAACTTCGGTATTCATATTGATTTCCGTGGAGTTTCGAGTTGAACAGGTAATTATTTCAGCAGAATCCAATGTAGTATTATGATCAGAAAGGTATATTCCGTTTGTTGATATAATCGAAGGTAGCAGGCTTTAGTACTTAAGTTAACCAAAGATTAAACTATCATCTGCAAACTTAATCAAATAGCGAATAAGCCCCAAGCCGGTCCCCAATGTCGGTAAATTACCGACAGGAGATTGTTATTTATTTCAAGTATTTTCGAAGAAGCAATAAAAAGACAAAATCGAAATATTGTGCGTCCCACTTTAAATCACCTCAAGTTTTTGCACACTGTAGGCCCACAACCAGCTAAATAATCCCATCCTATATATTAGGAAACAGCTGATTTGGAAACGACTGTTGCAAATCATACAGATCGAACAACTCGGAAATAATTTCAAAATAATGATCCTTATCTTTCGATGTGAGTCAATGGCGCATAACCTGCGTTCAAGATTGTTTTATCTTAGTAAATATCGTTGCAAGATGCAATGAATTCAATTTGCAACGCTAGTTTTAGGTGCCACATGAGTTTTAAGGAAGCAAGCTCGTGGGCAATGGTACGATGCGCACCTTCGTTATTTAAACTTTCCAGGAACAAGGCTCCTATTAAGTAGATGTGTATGGAAATACAGCTATTAACGAACGAGCAATGTCTATATACCCCATTTATTACACTCGAGGTGATGGTGTTACCGGTGTAGCATTTTAAAATGCAACGTGGATTTCTGCTGGAAATTGTTATGTACCTAGATGCCGGTACTCTTTTTCTTCAATAAAATTTATTGAGAAAAAAAATTATATTACTGTTATAAATATGTCATTCTTTGAATAAATTCACGATCGCGATTAGACTAATCCAAAATTTATCTTCCTTCTAATCAGATTACGGCACGTTTTGTACATAGTGTAAATAGTATTTTATAAACCGAGAGTTCAATAAAAAAAAATAACCTGTGACAATTTATGTATTTATTCATGTGTTGGATTGGGTGACTCAGATGGCCGTATTGTTACCTCCCAGTCATACCAAAAACTTTTGTTCCAGTTATATTTTATATTATGTGTATTTTGGTTGACGAAATAATAAATTATTTCGCTCTCTCTACTTACTCGGTGCTGCCTTTCTTTAGAATGCCGTTCCCATGGCTACCTCACTTGACGGGGCCGGAGTCTTATTATTGCATGTAATGAGTCTTGTTGTTGCTGTAAATTTTTCGATGTTTGACTTTTATTTTCTCCCGATTACGTTAAATTTAATCACAGGTGTCACTGCTTGATAACCAGTGTTGGTTTTTCGCGCCCCCTTCACCCTGTAATACCATTTTACGTACGTTTGCGCAAAGTTTATTTACATGATGGTGAAAAAAAAAATAGGATACGTATTGTTGCGTGCACAGGTAGACACCTCACCATTTGCTGCGGTAAGATGGTCCACCAGAATGCAGACCCATGGAACTATAAACTGGTACTGTTTAACTATCGTAGTACTGCCTTTGGACTGCTAACTGCACTAGAGTCTGTGGTTTGCCGAATGAATAACTTCTTTATTATTACGTGAAATAAATTGCCTGATGGATCTGCATATATATAAACAACCAAATGTAAACTTAATTGATATATTCATAAAAATTATGGAGTGAACGACTGGGGTTGAATAGCAACTATTCCACGAGAGCTTCCACAACCCCCCATCATGAACTTTCAACTCTTGCTGACATGCCCAAATAAGTTTTGAGGGCATCAAGCCAATCATATTCAGCTGACAGTGACATTGTGGTGAACTTTGTCAGCAGTATGAATGATGTATCCCACATGCCATACACATTTTGGTCACGTTCCAGGTTCGGATTCTTTCTTATATCTTTTCCAATATTTTTTGACTTGATCGTGAGCAAATCTGTTGACCACCATGTATCGCTTTCCTTCATTCTGCCACACTAAAGCCTGTAATTCCTGATTATTGAAAAAATTTGCATTCATCATTATCATTGGTCTGGTCAAACCCCATAGAAAAAGTACCTTGGTACAATACAAATTTGCTATGAATCGATCTGCAACTTACAATTACAACAAAACATACTTACTTGTGCATAGTCTCGTAGAACTTCAAAATCATGTTGAGTTAAAAATTGATTATATAAAACACCTTCCTGATATATCAATCTGTCTCTTTCCATTTCCCATAACCTGATTTGATCTTCTAAGGTTGGCGCAAGAATTGGTGTCTGAAGATTTATACTAGATTAATTGGTTGTACTTCGAAAATAAAAATAACAATTTGAGAGTGAATTAATATGATAGTAATATCTCATGCATCAATCAGTGGAGAGAAAGAGTTGCAAAAAAATTGCTGACAAAAAAGTTTAGTTGCATTTGTTCAGGTCCACAACCATGTTTATTTATTGAAATATTTCATATGAATGTGTTTTTTTGCTGTTTGAATATCGGAATAAATTTAGAGTACAGAGTAGCTTATTTAATACAGTATGATGTAAATCAATAAAACTTACATTTTTCAACATGTCAGGATGAGCATTAGCTCTAATATAATGAAGAATCTGTTCTGCACTTATGCCATTTGCTATCGCAATCTGAACACTTTCCCTTGTTAATTGACCAACACATACATTTGGAAATCTAAAAAACCGACAATACTATTAAATGTTGATAAGTGGATAATGTTAACAAATTTTAGAAGCTAAAATCCTACCTGTACAACAAGTCACAAAATAAAGATAATATTGCGTATTGTAAATCTGAACCTAAAAACAAAGATATAGGATAATAACAATCAAAATCAGTTGCACAGAGAAAAAGCATGGGATCCATCTTTCCTTAAAAAGCTGGCAATCATAGATTAAAATAAACTTCAATCATTGCTTTGGTATGTCAAATGTTTAATTCCTGATTTATAAGATTGAATGTTAGTTTATGAGAACAATATAAGTGTACATTATTAAAAGAGTATTTTAGATTCTTTAATGCCAGCCTACCTGTATAGGCATATACTCTATAATTGGTTTCTGCAACAATGAAGCCTTTTTGGTTTGAACTGACTGACGTTTGAGAAAGTCCATTAGCAAGATTTACTGCAAGGCGCGTTGGGTAAAATCTTCTTGATGTTCTCTAAACAACAAGTTTTTGTATAGTGGTACCAAAAAATTGAAATTAAAAAGATTTCATCTATAAAATTAATCTTACTTTTCTCTGAAATACAAGCCCCATTTCTCGTAAATGTTGTAGACATTGAAGTACATGATCATCTCTGCCATCTGTCGGTAAATCCTGCAAATATGTAAGATGAACATCAATGTCTGCTTGAAAGACCCTATTTTAAATTCAACTTTGTGGCTACTTGTTGAAGGTACTATTAAAGGGTATTGCTTTATGCATGGTTGGCGTGTAAGATCTGGTCGTGGTCGTGGCAGAATAATTTATAGCACACAGTTCAATTTAATGCCTAAAACAGTAAATTATAGTTTGTTACAAACCATTTCTAGTGTAGTGAAACTCAATTCAAATAGAAATCGTAGGATAGGAACAAGATTCATCCCCCTCTCTCTGATCCATTTCAAATATTCAAGGATAAAGAACCACACCTAAATGCAAATTCAATAAATTATAAGAACGAAAATAACACTTTTATAGATTTAACTTAGAATAAGTTAAATATACTATTCAATTTATCACCTGAGATGGTGTGTCCATTAATAAAAATTGAAATCCTTTGGCAGTTATGAATGGAGCTTCCTTGCCATCATCATCACACATTCTATAACCAAAACAAACAAACAATTGACACACAATATTATCAAGTTTTTGAATCTTAAACAACCTTCTTCAATTGACAAGTACGAGTTCCAACAGGTTTCTCAATTTTATAGCACTGCGCTAGATCGGCAAGAGCTATGCTGGACTTGGTAATCAAAAGTCTACTTGATGTAGGCAGAGGAAATAGTTTATGAAGTCAACTGGGCACTCGTCAGTTTATGAATAGATAATAGGTTGTATGATCCAAAGAAGTCTTCTTGCTATAAAAGATCAAACTCCAATTTAGCCATTTAGGATACAAGCAACAATGATTTACCTCATCAAACCAGATTGTAGCATTAATTCTTTTATGTCGCCGCTAACTGCTGCAGATTGTGATCCAACGAGGTAATGTAAAATAACTTCCCATCTTTCAGAAGCATATTTATCCAAGGCTTCAGCGTCTTTTCTATGTTTATCAGGGCCAAGATTTGTTGTTGTTGACCAGACCTGACCACTGAAAAATTCATCACATACGACATAAGAATGAGTTGCTATCAGCATATACCAGTACTTTCAAAAAATTAGATATAAGAATAAATACATCTAAAAATATCAGCAATTTAACAGATTCTAATATTTAACTGAAAATATTGCAACTGGGTGCAACTTTGTACATATTATATAAGTATTGGGGACGGGTGGGTTTCATATCAAACATCCTGGCTGCATCGAAATACCTATTGCAAACGCTACTGTGTATTTTACATTTTAATTCGATGATCTTGAATCAAATGATCAAGTAACATGAAAGAAAAAAATCATAAATGACTGAGTAAATAGCCTATATATTATATAAACGTTAGTTACACTTACCCTCCAATCAATGCCTTTTTCAAATTATTTCGAAAAGTTGAACTCAAATTATAAGCCGGCAATCCACCTTGTAATGATATTTGCACCCAAACTCTTAAATCACATAGCACCGTAACTGCCTCTTTGTGGTCACTGGAAATGAGAAATATTTAATTGACCAAACACATGGCAGCTGGCACACTCGATGAGCTCATTCATCGGCGATTTCTCAAATCCGCGAAAAGCTTAAAAAACACTCGAAATGTTGTTATATTGAAAGTAAAATGAATAATGTTTATAGAGCTACAACACATATCATTAAAATGAATTAGGCCCCAATATTAATTTTTAAAACTTTTTTTTGGATATATCCAACAAAACATTTATAACATTTTAAAAAAATTGGTGCTTTTTAATTGAATATAAATAAATATATTGCCTAAAACTTGATAAACTGAAAATATAAATAGCTTTAAAACTTACTCCATTGCATCTTTTGTAACCCAGGATGACGCAGCTTGCATTGAGATTGGTTGTTCAACAAAGAGGATCCTCATAACATAATGTTTCGCCAAGTCTGGAAGTTCTCTGGCAAAATTTTCGTAGTATAGAATTCAAACTGAGCAGAATTGTTAACAAAACACAGTCATGCTACTGATATTCATGTTAAATAAACATATTAGCATCATACATTAAAGATCCTGGGGTCAAAACCCATGCCCACCACCTCAGTCAACAAGCTGACAAACCTAAAATTCCAGTATTTTCAGAAATAGTAGCTCTGTACACACAAGTGGCTGCTCAACAACAGCCTTGTTCACATCCAGACAATGGAAGTGAGAAAACTACTCATAAAAAATATAATTCCTATTATTATACGGTATATTCACTACTGTCTGAAGGCAACATTCCCTGATTCCAGAGGATTAAATTTGCATTATAGTCTACGTTTGTTTCTAATTTCAACAATAAAAATACCGTACAATTTTACAATCCAGATACTGTAATAATAATTTGGTCAGCGGAACCTACCTGAAAACTGCCATACAAGTCGCCGGGTGTTCATACAAGGAATCCAGAATTGCCGGAGGTAATCCAGACAAATATTGGTGTAGATTTTTACATTCCAACTTTGACCTAAGCGATGACATTGTGATTAAAACTAAACTCTATTAGTTTATTGGTTTAAATAAAAACAAAAGATAGGTAGAAGTAGTTCGGCTAGCCTACTTAGTCTTAGCGACACAGGGTTATAATTGCACTTATTCAGTTATTGGGCCCAATAAATGACATTTCGGTATTAGAAAAGCTATTAACCGGTTTCTTAAACCTCTTCCTGTCTTCTGTGATACAAGAAAGTAGCAACGCCAAAACACATGCCTGCATGACGGCAATTCACGAAAGTCGCTTTTGCTGTTCTGAACATATTTCCGTAGTGATTCCAGTATCAGATTATAACTTCCCTAATTGGTAGATATACCAATTATTATACAGCGAATTTGGCATATCAGTGCACGAGTAAAAGGAATAGGCTAGTATGCGCAGAAGATGTATAATTTAAATTGCTAAAGCTGTTTCACGCGAATGTTCAAGTGCAGTTTTAAGTATTCTATGGCGTCTGCAGCTGCCGCAAAACCATGGCGGTATTTCCATACCATGGCCGCTACGGCCAAACCTATGGCGACTAACTTTTTAGCTGCCACAAACCAATGTCGAGCTGCCGTTACCGCGGCAGCAAATTGAAAACCAATGGCCGGTAAAATTTTGCTGCCGTAACCGCGGCAGGTGGGCCGTAAGGACAGGGCTGTCCCTTATTGTGACAAATATTGGGTAAGTTGGAACGTTTTTCTTATGGATACTGTGTTGATGGATTTGGGGTTAGGGTTAGGGTTTAAGTAGATATATTTCCGCATGATCAATTAGAATTTGGTACATTAGTTTGTGAATATACCGTTAATACTGATTATTGAATACAGAATAGCGCTATAAAACCATGACAAGAGCTGCCGCGGTTCGTTCGTGGCAGGAGCTGCCATGAAGTGGTAAGAACTGCGCCTCCGAATGTTAGTCAAGATGCAGTTTTAAGTATTTTGCGGCGTCTGGAGCTGCCGCAAAACCATGCCGGTATTCCCAAACCATGGCGCTATGGCCATACTCAATCATGGTTAACTGACTCAATACTCATGGCGAGCACGAGTGGCGACTGACTTTTTAGCTGCCACATACCAATGGCGAGCTGCCGTTACCGCGGCAGCAAATTTGAAACCAATGACGGGTGAAGTTTTGCTGCCGTAACCACAGTAGGGTTGGGACCCCGGGAAATCCCGATCCCGTAATCCCGGGAATTGGACTGTTTTTTTCAATCCCGATCCCGCAATTTTTGTCTAAAAATCCCTGGATTTTAAGGCATTGTTATCTACATATAAATATTCTCACAAATGGTAGGTGATACCATTTTATTTAATACTTATTTTGAAAAAAAGTCATTCGTGCTTACAGTTTGAGTAGAAGTGGAATTATTGTGTTAAATAAAATTGCACTACTTCACGGAAGCGTGGTGGAAATACAGTTATTTGCCACTTTCATTTCTATCTCAACTGCGACAATAACACTATTGAATGATTTCGGCAATGGGAGAAACATATTGATCAGCGGAGCGTCTGAAGACCCCGTATTACTCGTGCGGCCTCACAATGTGAGGTGCCCCGATAACGCTCTCGTTTACAATGTGAGAAAACAATTCTAATATGGGTAACTATTAACCATTTGTTCGCGTTTGACTATCGCACTCTTTATGATAAATATGTAAATCCTATCCTATCCTAAGCATTAATGCCAAGATGGCGGCGATCAAATTTTCCGCGCTGCGACAACGCGAAACGAAGGAAAAGATCGATACATGTTTTCCCAGTTCAGTGAAAAACATCCATATTACATATACATAGGGTTATCATATTTTTTTGACTTCAAAGCAGGACGCCTCCAAAGACACGACTCCTTAGCTGTGATCCTGTAACTTTACAGTTTCCGATATTACCACATAGGCCTACATTTAAAGCCGGCTGTCCCATTGACCATATTGTCACCGAGAGTTCATGAGCATATTCTCTGTCTAAATATCGGGTTCAGTTGAAAAATACAAAGGAATAGACGCTAACGAAACGAATTATCCGAATTTAGAATTTTTTATGTACAGAAAAAGTAATAGAGAATATGGGTGACCGTACATTTGCACCATGTTAGTCGTTGATTTGCACTCGTATGTCCGCGGGTTCAATCTATATGAGGGTGCTGGTTTGGGTCAGTATGGGTTCAAATAATAAATGACAAATATCCGTGAAAAAAAAATTCCATAGGTTCAATAGTATACGGGTGCAATTGTCGTGGGTTCAAATGTAATGGTGCCGAATAATGAAATAGTCTGCCGTTTTCAAGCATTGAGATTTACTTATTCGCCCAAGCATGCTTTTCGGTAGAGACGTTGCTCAATGTTACATTCACGTGAACGTCCGGACAGGACCAACGAATTGGATGACGACTGATAATATGGATTAACCTATATTCAATGGATATAAATTGGACTATATATGATACAAAACTCCGGTAATGGTATGGTTTTATATTTTAATTGTTACATATATTATTGAACTTGTGGGCAATGTGTTTTGAAATTATGAAATTGTTTTAATTGGGTGCAAATTATACTAATTCGACAATAAAATTAATATACGAAAATTCCGTTTGGCATTGGAATTTATTTGGCAAAAAAAAAAAAAAAAAAAAAGGACCAATGAGATTGGATTTTACTTGTGATAAGTTCGCCAACAATGTTAGCGGGAAACAACGAAACAAACGAAATAACGTATTCAATCAATCAATCATCATTTATTCGTCAACACAATTTAAACATGGTATGATATATAAAAAAATAATTACAAATATAAGTGGAAACTAACTTAAATTGTGTGACAGGAGTCGCGAGGGACCTCAAGAGGTCTTCAGGCAGCGACACCTAAAACGCTTGTTGATTCAGGTTAATAGCTTAAAAAGTTAATGAAACACCAAAACATTTCAAAATAAATATTTTGAAGAAAAAAAGAACATTTTCAAAAAACAAAAAATACCAAATATCCATCATAAGTATTTAAAATAAAAAAAAACATAACATCCTGGTTACGAGCATGTTTTTTTATTATTTAAATCAGTGACCAAATTCAGTAGGTAAGCTAGCGTTGCGCTAAACAGCAATAATAGTAACGAGGGCATGTTCGTGTATTATGCTGGTTAGCTGAACGCCAGAGCGGGACTTTTGGCTGACTTGTCGGGACGGCGGGACAAGATGCTAAAAAGAGGGGCTGTCGCGCCTGAAGCGGGACGTATGGTGAGCCTACATATACAGTACTGTACTGTATGGACCTTTCCCCGAGCATCGACTTCCTTGTTTACTTCGTGACATTGGCCAATCAGCAAGATGCAAAAAGTGACGTCACAATGCCCCCTTTTTGCATCCGCTCAGACACTTTTCTCACTCAGACAGATTTTCGAGCGTGATTGTAAACATTACCTCGTTTTCGCATTTTTGAACTCTATTCGTTAGTTTTCAGTTGTGTTTTGAGAACTTGAACAAAAATCAGATAATTCAATGATCACTCTGTCTTTCTAGGAGTTTTAATTTAATTGCAGTAATAAAAGTTAGTGTAGAAATAGCTGTGATAGACTAGCCTGAAATTCTTTACCGGTACTTTAAAAAACAGATTGTTGTATGCGATGAATTATAATGATGGTTTGAAACACATATCCCATTTTACAGGCGCCAACTCGCAAAAGCATTCTTAAAATAGCCCTGACAATTTTGCAATGGTTAAGTATAGGGAGAATTTTCCGAGGGTCAAAGTTCGGGGAAAGGTCCATAGAAACTTCTGGTAAAATCAAGGATGACCTTTGACTCTAACTTACAGTAGCAATGATTGCTTCCGAGTCGGCCTGTTGCACGGTTTGCGCGAAACTATAGCTGTCTTGTGTCTGCTGGTCTGAGGGTTGCATCAGCATTCCATTTTGCAGAAAGATCTGGTTGCCGAAGGCTTACAGTGCATTTCTTTCGTAATGTCAATCACCAGGCATGAAATATGGCTCGAAAAAAAGAATCTTGTTCACAAAACCTCATGCCAAATGTAGTCTAAACACTGAAACAGAGTTGTTATAAGTGAAGACAAGAAAATGTCAATTGCTAGATAGACAATGGGACCCCGAAGATATAGCCTAACTCTTCAAGTACAAAATGTTATAATAGTACGACTGTACGGACGTACGGTAATATTACTAACCTATAACTGCAAAAACTGTATAACATTAAATTTGATAAATATCTGAATATATCATGTTACCGTACCGGTACAGCGGTATGGAGTTCTGAAAATAAACTAACTAGGCTATATGATTACAGGATTTAGGCTAAATTGTCGAATGTATGAACTAGACCAGTCTGCCAGTGGTTCTCAAACTTTTTAAGCCTTTGTCGATTCTCGCTCCCCACTTTAAAAATAACCAGCTAGCAATAAGCTACAAATAACAGATACGGTATTAAGGCAAAAAGATGTTTTATTCAAAAAACAACTCGGTAATACGTCTGTAGGTTGTTGGAACGTGAATAGTGAAATAAATGAAAAGTTTTGACATGTAAATATCCAAAATAAAGCAGGCAAGATCAAATCTAACAAATATTTTCTTTTTTAATTATTCCACCCCCTCAAAAACTTATCACGTCCCCATTGTGGGGCGCGCCCCACTGTTTGAGAACCACTGAACCAGTCAATTCATGAATTTGTAAATGATTTATGTTTTAAATTAACAATACCTGAATATTGGTATTTATTGTGCATATAGTTTTCCGATTCCTAGATCTCCCAATATTAGGTTCATTAGAACAAAATTCCGAAATCTATTTGTATCTGAAACGAGGGCCTCTTGCACAATGGCAGATGCGTCAGATTGTGTCACATAATATAAAACAATCTTGATGTGCATTGGGTGTCATATGAACAAAATTGCTTCTTTTGCTTAAAACTACAGAATGCTTCAAACAGGAAATTTTTTTCTTTTGGTAAATTGGATTATTTTTTTTAAAGGAATCCAATGGTTACGTTTCTAGATTGTGATTTCTTTCAGTTTATTGCTCAGTGCCAGTTTGCCAATTTGTGTCGATATGGAAGCCTAAACTGTCTCGTTAAGGAGGGGTTCGCAATTCGCACTGTATAATTGATGTCTTTTAATAATGAGGTGGCTATTCTCAAAATAGGAGAACTGTGTCAGACTGTTCTAATGTGAAATTAATTTTATTTATTTAAACCAGGGATGTGCAATCTTTATTACAGGAGGGCCAGATACAAGTAACTATGTGAAGCCGTGGGTCGCACCTTCATTTAGGATGGTCTTTCTATTAGTTTCAGGCACAAAAAATTATACTTCCATTATTATATAAAAATTATAACAATATGTATTATGCAACAGGATTTTACTAGCTAGTTTTGCTAATATGACAATGCCACTCAGGTACTGGTATAGGCTTTGCGACGCCAATGGATTGAAATTGCTCGCACGTATTAGATTAACTAAACTAAAAACTCATTTTGCGGGCACACTATTCAAAATTGGTACTTCTCCACGGGCCGCACAATTTTTTCTTGCGGGTCGCAGTTTGCACACGCCTGATTTAATAAACTAAGAAAAAAACGATCAGCTTTTTCTGATGTACCAATCCTTACTGAAGTGATCAGTTGATTGGTATCCTAGTTGGTAAGAGTATATTTCGGTATTTCTCAATGTAATGATGTAGCATAGGATCTACACGGAAATAATAGAATAAAACTGTTTTATTACTAATCATTAACATTTTGCATTATATTTAAAGCAACACCAATGATAACATCTAAACCTCAATCTATTCCCAAATCTACTTTAAATTCAACCAATCGTCCAAATTTGCAAACGAACCAGAGCAAAGAGAAGCAGTCCGTAGAAACGTTCGACAATAACTTTGAGAATGGCGACATTCTCTTGTGTCTAAATCCCGTTGAGGACTTGAGCAATCAAAATTTCTTGTCCCAATCAAGGGAAAAGAAAAAGGTGATTTTCAAGAACCCAATCATCCAAAATGATTCCATTAAGTCAGAAAATCCAAAGAAGCGTTCAAAATCTAAGAAACAGCCACAGGTGACAACAGAGGTTATAAACAGAAATGAAAAAAGCTTGCTGAAAGTTTCCGTGCCCTATCATTTTGACAATGGCTTGAATGTCACATGGAGGTATACATCTACAAGATGGGCTGAAAGACTGGAACATCTCTCTCAGTTGGCGCCAGGTGCAATCAAAGTTGTGCAGTCTAAACCTTCGAACGATGCTTCTGCTTTTTACTGTGAGAATCAAAGCCATTTTATTCTCGGTAATGGGCCAGATTTTAGCACCTCCATGTTGGGAATTCTGAATAAAACCACAGAAGTTCTGATAAAGAAAATCAATGTGAAACGTGTTCCATTGCTGCTAAATGAGGTACATGTTAAATCTCTTGTTTCCTTGCCAAAATCGCCTCACATTGCTCATATTCATTTTATCGTGAAGGATAAAACGCATTTCTATATAGTGAGAGAGTTGGGAGAGAATTCATTGAGGTATGTGATGAGAATGAGGCAGTATCTTTTCGACTCAACCAAACAACCATTGGAGTACAAACAACTTTGTCACTCTATTGCAAAATCACTTGCAGTGCTACATGGTAGTGACGTTGTTCATATGGCAATTAAACCTGAAAATGTTTTTGTTACCAACTCAGGAAATGCTATATTATCTGACTATGGCATGCATTCCAGATCTGAAACGAAGAAGCAACAATTGTCTAACGGTAGTGGATCCCTTTGCTGGCTTCCTAGTGAGGCATTAGGAAAGGTAGACAAACCACAGTATAACAAGGCATCTGATATTGCTCCGCTTGGCATGTTGTTTTACTATATAATTACTGAAGGTAAGCATCCATTTGGTGATCCAGAAAGTGCTGCAGATACCTGTATGAACAACATTCTACATGGGCAGTACAATTTGAAACTGATTACGGATCCACTTGCTCATCACTTGATACAAAATATGATTTACAAAGAGCCAGAAAAAAGGTTTTCGATAGATAAGATTCTCAGTCATCCATATTTTTGGTCCGATTCAGAGAAAAATGTTTTTGTTAAATACCTGGTTAAGATTGTTGCTTTTGCATTGAATGATGATATTTGCGACACAAAAGCTAATGGTGTTCTACAAAAAATTAGGCTTGAAGGATCGCATGTGATACAGAATTATGTTGAAATTGGAAGTTGTTTGGAAATTCCTTCAAAATTGAAAAATAATTTGACTGCAATATTACAATATGTCTTCGAATTTTCTAAGAGCAATCCCCATGAAGTCAAAGAGAATGATATTTTCAGAGATTTTTGCAACATGTATCCAGGATTGTTGCTTGATTACTATTCAGAAATTACCATTGAAGATATGACAAATATGGTTGACAGTGTCAGAAGAACTGCTGTGGAAAAGGTCAATCAATATCCAGATTTTATAGATTTGCGTACTTTGAAATCGACTTTGTCAGCTGACAGTGGTGTTGTATCTCCAAGTATGGATGTCCCAGTTGCAAAAGGAAATGGAAAAGAAAGAAATATTGGAGAATACTATGATATTGACACATTTTCATTTGATAGCAAACGCACTAGGAATCGCAACTATTCTGATTGTTGGACATCAACTACTACTGATGATGGAATTGATCTTCTTTCTCCAATGTCTGGAAGTTTTACAGACGAAAACATGTTTTCATCTCCGGTTAAAATATTTCCAAATAATTCTCATGAATACAGCGACAAATGGAAATCATCAAATCATAGCAATATTAGCCCAGGAAGTTCTATAGACAACCATTACGAATTCGATGGATTGGGATATTCAAATAGTGTGCCAGATTGTCGTGAGGAAACAAGTATGAAGAGTAAACGATTTTTAGCATCATTTATGCCTTTATGGACAGATATGGATGAATTAGACTGAACCAGTCATTCATGTTATTGAAAATGATTCATTTACTAAACTAATTTGAATATGTTCTATGTTTTGATAAGGGGAAGACTGGGAAACATGACAAGCTGTAGTTCAATACTTTCACTTCTAAAATACAGTTTATTCATTCTTTTGTTCCATATGCACTACATTTCATGCCATGCTGCTTTATACTAGAAGCAGAAAAAATGTATTGAATTGTTTTTCAAAAAAATATACAATCACAATTGAAACTTACAACTTGGAAATCCAACTTGATTGTTGAGAATATTAAAAATTAGCAAATACGAGTTATGTGTTCCATAATATCATCACACGATACATTTATGATTTTATGTTATTATTCAGTTTTCTAATGCCAAATTTTCACTAAAAGTAATTCCTTATAGTTCATTGATATTACAATTGAGGAAATATTGTAAATCGTTAAAATCGGTGTTCATGTATTGTGGTGTGGATAAGATGTAACACTTCGTTTTTCGCCATCCTAATCTATTATGCCATATTTTTCCATGGAATGTTATGATTTACCCATGATCAGGCCATAATTATGCTCCCGAATTTTGGATCTTGTTTGCTATTGAATATGGAGTTGTAATACTCATATAATATTATAGTCATTTTGGAAACCCACATTAATGCTATAAGCTATGTGATACTAACCAAATTATTGTGCTATATCGTTCAATTTGCTACTATCAAATTTTTTAGCAGTTTTGATTACATTTCATATGTTTTGGTATTGGTGTGTGCTAGCTATACTATGGTGTTTTGACAAAATATAGCAACTTGTGCATGACCATCATCTTTGTCTAAATATTTTAGATATTCAAACAATTGTTAGGCATGTAGTTTTACTTATTTATAGCTAAAAACATGGGGATTTATATCAACAAAGTTGGCCTTCTGTCTCAAAGATGGAATATAGCTAATAAACGGATGCTGTTACTGCATTTGCTTCAGAATAGATGGTCATATACATCTTTGCACTTAAGAAGTTCTTGCCTCTCGGCAGCACCGGCATTAACTTCATGTGAGAAGGTCTTGTATCTTCCAGATAATGATACAAATATACCTAGGGAAAAGACAAGGAAAATATTGCCAGCTGAGCAATATTCTTCAGAATTGCAAAAATCAGATAAAGTAATATATATCGGGAATTATAAATTAATAACTCTACCCTGTGATATGGGAACAAGAGTTAAGGACCTGTTGCCTTTGACAAAACCCCATCTAGACAATAAACTTTCCACCTCTACCAATGAAGAAGTGCTTATTAGCTTTGCCAAAATTGCTTATCAAATACTCAATGATGAGAATAGAAAAGATGAACATATTCAATGGATATCTGTGAAATCGAAGCGACTAATAAGCAGATCAGATAAAAATAAAAGTAAGAATTTCATAATACATTATTAATTGATTTTACCAACATTACTGGTGTATATTGATTAGATAAATACAATCGTAATACTATAATGCCGTGTCACCTATAGATTGTTTTTATATTATTGATTACCTATCATAAAAAGATATACAATTTTGGTGCCTTTGGGCTATTTATCCTATAGACTTTTGTGAATATAAACAGGTAATGATAATAAAGTTGTTGAACCGGCAGATGACCCCAAGCAGAAGATAAGAAATTTGCACACAAAATTACGCGAACAGGTATCGTAATGCTATTTCATTTGATTTTCAAAATTCAAAACACTGCTGGGTAATGAATGATATGTGGAAGATTAATTTTCAATACTATTATAATCATGGAATGGTATAATTTCATGGAAAAATAATAATGTAATTTTAAAATTTATACAATAGCATGCATCTGAAAAAAAAAAAAACTTTTCCTATACTCGTCATAGAATGGGAACAGAATGACATAACTTTCGAATAATCTGCCTTTCTATTCCCTGGATAAAAATTTATGAATCTTATCTAATAGTACCTCCGATAGTTGAACTTCCATTCATAAAATTGTGTGTTATATTGTTCAATTCAATTCAGCTACCAATGTCGTTAACAAGAGGAAGTTCTTGGCATGACTTTAGTATTTACACACCTTCTATTGAGCTGTTAATCACAACACCGAGAAGACAAAATAACCAGTTTGTACTTCGGTAAGTCGCAGGTGATAATGACACAAAATATTTCTCATTTGAGTGTACAATCAGCTTATTTCTGGTACATCTAAATTTTGCTCTGTTTTGCAGTGGTCTTTCTTCATATAAAAGAATAGCTCGGTGCTTCAGATTTATATGTCGGTTTTGCCTTCGAAGTCCCAGATTAGAAGTTTTACACATGTCCAGTTATGAAGAAAGGAAAACAATTGAAGTCCGATGGAGAGTAGTTGGACTGCCATTTTATTTTCAATTATTTTATTTTTTCTTACCATCGGGTATCGCCACTAATCTTGTAAGGTAGGTCTTGTTTATTCTATTGTGCTAACATGATTATTCATATTTATTATCCCAGTTAAGAGGAAAGTCTATCGAACTTTCGACCTCTTGTCTAGTCGATCATTCCAAATGTGTGAACTGCGAATGGTGGAGAGAGTCTCAACCAATCAATAGTCCAGCAATGACAAGCATTTTCCTAATGCGTTTCATTACAAATTTAGATAATGTTAAAACTGTTTTAACTGAATCGTGTTACTTTATAATTTGGAAGTCTGTAAATATTATTTGATTGTGTGCGTTTCTAGACATTTGATTCAAATATATTGTCAAATCCAGAACAAATTTCCAAATCAACCTTCCTATAAATTAACTCCCATGCAAATAAAAATATTTTCCCCGAGAACAGAATCAAAATTTTTCATTCATATAACATCATTTTATTTCTGCATCAGATATTATGATTATATGTCAGTTCTATATGTCAATGACTCAGGAAAAGTTTGGAGACATGATGTTAGCAAGGTAAGAATGACTTAACAGGTGTATTTTATGTATTGGAATTAGAACATTAGTGATATAGATCAAAATTAAAGTAAACATGTTTTATCCTATCATAAAATGACCACGCCTTGTGCTTTGAATAAGATTGGGTACTCCCGTAGCATGTGTCCACTTTTCCTTATTTTAGTTCTATTGTGAGTTCAGGGAATGTCTGTGTTAGCCAAGTGAATAACCCCCTGCCGATATGTTCTCACACAACTTGATGTAAAGTAGGCGAACAAAATTAGTTACCTCCATATTGCTACATACACTTCTGGTGCATAAGGAGCAATTTGGCGTTGCCTGCCTAAATAGATAGTGGGGCTAGAGATTTCAACCCGGCCGGCGATCATAGTGAAGCCCAACGCGTTAACCAATAATTTGTCATTTTTATACCCGTAGATGAGAAGATCGTCAACTGAATCGCTGGCGTCATGGCTCCCCGCACTTCGAAAAAGACTCCAAGCAGCTTCACCAGTTATGACAACTATTGCGAGAAAAAAGTTTCCTGATTAACTCCGAAAATAGCGATACTGATCATTTTTGTTCTCTACGAACTCAATAGCACTTTCATTCAACATGACATGCCCCTATAAATTACCTTCACAAGTTCCTGCTGTTCTAATTTTTATTGAATATTTATCAACTTCAATCAAGATTGAAAATGCAAAAATAAAATTTAAAGAATTGCATCATTTACTATAGTATTGTGAAGTGCACTGCCAGCGTTGAAGAACAGTTACATGAGCATCGATATGGCAGCTCAGTAAACTAAATCAAAGTAAGCTTGCAGCAGCTTTGTCCATCACCCATCTTAGAATTCCATCTGTAGGTTTCACAAGACTTGCCGGCAACTTAGATGATTTGTCAAACACTTTCTGTAATAAAAAAGGATCTTAATTTATGTACCGTAATTTTTAGGGCTGAAATGGCTTTCTTGGCCACTTACTTTAATTGTTTCCGCTTTACTTGCCCCAGCAGATATAAATATAACATTTCTTGCATTGTTTAAAACTGGTAAGGTCATGGTAACTCGTTTTGGTGGTGGCTTTGGCGAGTCCGATATAGGTGCAATGATAAGATCTTTCTCCTGTTACACAAATATAACTTGTAATTACTCGCCAAGGAGATCTGTCTACTTCGCTTAAGCATAATGTATTGAGCTTTATATCTAAATATCAAGAGTAAGAATGGTCCAGGAGTCTGTTAATTATAGATACTCTTAGTAGGTAAAAATGCACAGTTCACTTTAATTACCTCCAGTAACTTATGTTCAGGAAACAAAGAGCAAGTGTGACCATCAGGTCCCATTCCCAGAAGCAGCATATCAAACTTTGGAAATTCAGTTTCACATTTGAATACATTTTGTATTTTCGTTTGATAATCGGCTGCACATTTTTCCACTGTTAGATTGGGGTCAATGACAATCCACGATGATTCATAGCCAACAACATCAATAACTTTGTTCTAGAAAATAAGCCTTTTTTCACCTGACATACGGTAATTACCAAATGAACAAATTCGATTTTTAAATAGGTGAGCGCTTAGTATTTTTCAAGGGGGCCATAAACAAAATATATAATATGGTGACATAATAACAAGAAGACTGTACCTCATAAATTTTTTTTAATTATAAGTGAATCTTGAGTGGTAATGTGTACAAGTGAATGAAATACCACCATTCAAAGGAAAAAATTGATATGTAACACATATACTCACTTTGTATTGTGTGAAAGTGCTTTCTGGGTCGGTGAATGGTACATGTCTTTCGTCACAAAAAAATATTCTCCACTTCCCCCAATCTACATTGTTTTTTTTCGCTAATGTTTCAGACAATATGTTAACGATACTTCCACCGGAAACACCTTTGATATGAAATGGAGGTTGATCAATATCTTCAAAACCTTGTAGACTGCACCACCATGTTTTGTGTAAAATCAAAATATAGACTACGCTATTTCATGCAGATTGCATCACATTACAGCAACAATATTTGGAAACTACAGATAATCATAAGAATTTATAAACACACATGCAATGTAGATTTTCTCTTAGGATAGGATTTACATATTTATCCCGGGGGAAAGGAAAGTCGATAAGACGGCTTATCCATATGGCGAACCACGGCCTCTCGTCCGGTTACCCTTCCAAGTCGGGTATGGGATTAGTTATATTGTTTGTTTTCGGAAGCATGGACTTGGTGTCGGAGGAAGCCGGTCGTGAACCACCCAACGACGGCGAGGAGTCCAGCAATCCTCTCGCACATAACCATCCCTGTATGGGATTCGAACCTGCGAACCCACGCAGAGTAATTATAGGTGCGGTGGCGAGCGTATTCCTAACGCTTAGCCCGTTGAGCCACACCGCCGCACCAATTTCTCAAATGATTTTTATGTTAAATTTAGAAAACAATAGCAGGACAAGTCACAAACTCTATCACAGCATACCTAAAGTGAAAATCCCTCTTTCTGATATACTTTTCTGAGCTTCCTTAACAATGCATTCAGAAACGAATGGTCCGATTTCATTGGGCTCAAGAATGTGTGTGTTTGCTTCAGGTTCTCCCGCCTAAAATATATCAAAATTAACAACCAACTGAAGTAATATTGGTACTAGTAAGTGAAATACATATGAAGAAAACTTAAACTCACCATTTTGCAACACGAAAGGTACAAAAAAAGATGAACAAGACGAGTAAAATCCACTTTCAGACTTTTGCTAAAGAAATTTTGCAAGTCACAAATGGTCAGCAATCGACTCTGGGGATTCCCCTTTGCACGGTTGATCGCAGATGTCGTTGGCCGCTAGGTGGCAACATTGAGTCGCAAAATAGTGACGGGGTCCGGTAACAACAACTCACTGCTTTGTTTTCTCTGACGACTAGGCTGGAGGAAGATGGAAAAAAAAAAAAAAAAAAAAAAAAAAAAAAAAAGATGGAATGGGTTTGTTTAAAATTTATCATTATTTATCTATGTAATGTATACTTATATGCTAAATTACCTGGAAAATTGGGATTCATGCAACTAAATTTAAATAATATATTTGGATAAACCAGAACTATCAATATCATAAATCCGAATTGGCAATGGATTTAAATTTGGCAAAAAAAAAGATGGAATGGGAAAGGCTAGTAAGTAATAATATTTATTCATCACCATAATGTGAATTAAACATACGTTTAGATTTAGACTACAACAAGAAGAAAAATTATGTGGAAAATAATAAAGACTGATTTTGTATAAGTTACATTATCCAGGGGTTCCCAAAACTGCAAAGTGACGAGTTGCTAGGTGCGCCACGAAAATTAACAGAATTCAGAATTGTGATAAACATAACTAAAATATGATTGAATATTCTACAGATTGTATATATTTTCAATGTTTAATTGTTTTTTCTTCCAAAATGATGTGTATATGAATCAATAAATTTATTTCATTTTTCTATATCGTTTACTTATTGTAACAATATACTGATATCTGGATATAGGTACCGACGTACAGTACCGTAACCACTATTTGCTAGAATTTTATGATCTGCTGTCCATTTATCTGCTGAATCGAGTTTAGCGAACATGAGTGATTTTTTTAGCATTTCAAATGATATTGCATAGACCTACATGTTTCAGTGTTTACAAACTTTAAAAGGAATGAAGTACCGTACATAACGATCACAAAATTGAGTTTTGTTTGAAAGCAGCATATGACAGTATGATGGATTATTAAACCATCGTACTGCCGTAGTCTACTTGAAGGCGAACGGAAAGCTTGCAATGAACTGCCAAAAAGGCCTATTCTGTATTAGGCCATATATCAGTGTATAAATAATCATTGTTCTTTCATTCAAATTTCTGCATTTGATGGCATATAACGTCTGAACGTAGATGTTAAAAACACAAGAAATAGTCTCATTCCAAAATTTTATTTAAACTTACCGGTAGTTATCGTAATGCATATAAAAATCAAATAACTTCTTCCATGTCGTCAACCAAATTAACAAGCAGAGGTTAAATCAGAAAACCTGTGGTTCAATCTGTTTTTGTATTTAGAAAACAAACTGCCAAATTGAATAAGCAAAAAGCTTTGAACTGCGCAGTAAATGCAATCTAAACACGCCACCATTGTATTTCCCAGAAAATAGTTATTCAATATATAAGATAGGGTAGGATTAACAAATTCATCCCGGGGGAGGGGACAGCCCATATGGCGAATTACAGCCTCTTGTTAGGTTAACAATCCAGGTTGGGTATGGGATTAGTTGGCTAATTATTTCAGTATTTGTGTTTGGAAGCATGGACTTGATATTAGCAAAATCTAAAAAAGGGCGGCCATTGAGAATTTTGGCGCGGCGCTTGACACACGGTAAACTAAAATTGAGACAAGCATGGCAGCATGGAATTGTTCCCTACTGTTATTATATTTAATGAGTTTTCATGTAGTTGTCCAACTTAGACACTTGGTTTTAGTTTTCTGATGTTTATGTTCACTTCATTTCAGTATTTACAACACATTTATTTAAATAATTTATGTGCTACTAACCAGTTGTTAACAAAAATTTGAAATGTCATTCAAGACTTTGGCGGTTGTTCAATCAACATCTACTGTTACGAAAATCAAAAATAAATCAATTGTGGTTCAAACTGGTTCAAGAGGAGAGAAATCATTCAATTTCGATGGAGCTTTTGCCAGTACAGAATTACCTGGAATCTATTCATCACAATTGTCAAAACTTGTTCATGAAGCATTATCTGGATCCAATGTTTCCGTCACCTGCTGTGGGTTGAATGAAATCGGAAGTGGCAATATATTACACGGAACAGGATATAATGCTAATAATGGAATTATTCCCTTAATTATTCATGATTTGTTTGATCAAGTTGCTGGTGGTCAATACCTAGTCAGTGTCAGTATGTTGCAGATCAATAACAAAGGGGAATTAATTGATGTGCTGAATCCACATACAAGAAGCATGAATATCAAGCACAATGATAAGATTGGAGTTTATGTGGAAAATTTATCAGGCATTGTATGCTCAAATGCAGATGAAGCTTGTGGCTTGTACACAGAAGGGTTTAAAGCAGAAAACGCCTTAAAAATGGGACAAAGAGATTTCATAGTTACATTGTATGTGTCAAAAAAACAGCAAGCAGGCTCATCTTTGAGCGGCATTCTGTCAAAAATTACCATCGTTGACTTGATTGGACATGAATCAGAACAAGAAAATGTCGGAATCAAGGCGCTGTTCAAAGCTATGGGCAAAGGAAAGGCAAAAAAGGAATCGGCTCTATCAAACACAAACAAACTTCTTCATGATATAATATTAAACAGCTCATTTGCTGCAGTGATGGCTTGCGTCAGTGGTGAAGAGAAGGACATTGATACAATGATGTCATTGTTTGATATGGTAAAATCAACATCAGGGCTTCGCTTGAGCCCGCAAAAGTCGTCTGGAGATCTTGACAAATTGCTGACGGAGTTGAGACAGGATATAAAAGTTGTACGAGATAGAATGATGGTGCAGAACATTCCACAAAAGAAAGATGTAACTTTGCTCGAAAACCTTTTAAGTGATTTGAATGCAGTGAAAAAAACAAGCTGGGATCAAAGAATAATGCTTTCCAATCTATACGTGGAAGAAAGAAAAAGACATCTTGCTGACAGAGGCTTGCTTTGGGTGTTGGAAGTGAAAAAGGGTTCGAATAGTGAAGAAATCAAAAAGTTGCAAAACCGTGTTGAGAAGTTATCAGCTGAATATAAAGACCAAAAGAATTCTTCTGAAAAATTGAAGAATGATTTGAGGTCCGAGATTGATCAGTATACCAAGCTTGTTGAATCTGGAAATTCTGATGAAAAAGATACTAAAGCAAGAGTTACAAGAATACAACAGAAAAAAGAAGCATATAAAACCGAAAGCGAGAAAACTAGCAAAATTCGAGATGACCTAAAACTTGTTAAAAATCAACTCAGAAAAGAAAAAGAGGCTGGATTGGACGTTTCATCGTTCAATTTTGAAATGATGTCTCGAAAATTGGAGGAAGACAGACAACGAATGAAAACAGAAAATCAACAATTGGTTGATGATGAGGTTGAAAAATTGAAAGTCGAATCTGCTCATGAAAAAGCAGAGCTTGAAATGAGATCATCGTCAGGGGGATTGCAGCTTGATGCAAATGAGCAACTGAGAAATGCTGTTCAATTAGCAACACTAAAATTGGAGAAATCTGCTATCACCACTCAATTGGATGTTCTAAAGAAGGAGAACATGCAGATGGAAGAACACATACGAGTTTTCGTTGAAAAACATGGAAAGGAAGTTGAAATTCAGCAGCTTCAGAATTTACAAACGTTCAGAGCTTATAGAGAGGTCTTTGAAGAGTTCAAAGTTGATCTTGAAAACCGCTGGAGGGGACTATTAGATGATGCCATACAGGATGCTGTCTTTCTCAATTCAAGGAATAACGAATTATCACAGGAAAACGAGATGTTGAAAATGAATGTAAATGAACTCAAAGATGCACTGAGTCTTACTGGTACTCCACCTGGAAAAATTTCAACTATAATTGACAAATAGAAATCGTATGTTTCTCCGCAGTTAATTCAACATATTCAATTATTAAGAAACATCGTTTTCTTCATTTGCACTTTATAAATAATGCCGCATAGTTTTGTTTACAATACATACTCGTATGGCCTAACTAAATCAATTCATATAATATTAATTTTTTTTTTTTATGTAATAAAGATATGTGGTACATTGCTTGAATTTATGGTCCTTTTCATAATGCTTGTTCACAAATCCAGTCTTTTATATGACATTTTTGTATAAATCATCTAAAAATAAAGTATCCACATGTTAGTATTCTTCAATGACTATCTGCAATTTTCTAACCAATCAAAATTAGGTTATCATCAAATTTCCATGATTACCCTTTATGCCTAAGTTGAGTTTGTTAATTTTGTAAAACCAAATTGACTTATTGTTACGAATAGATAAATAATTTTCCATACCTTTTTTTATTAATTCGTAATTTGGTTCATCTTGTGTCCTGAAATGTTTGACGTGTTTTTTTTGTGCTCACTGTTTTTTTCATTAGTTCCTGCAATCAAGATTCTCTTTATTATCAAGTTTTCATGCAGTAATTTTTGAGCTGCGTTTTCTCCATGACCTATTAATGTACCAGATTTATACTACATGTTCTATTTTTTTTTATTAACATCATTCCACTGTTTCCTGCGTTTGCAAATATTACTGGAAGATTAATAAACTACTTGAAACAATTTTGGAAATTCCTATTTTTCCGACACTTTCCTTTGAAATATTTTTAAATATCAAATTTTATTACAGTGCCTGATTATCGTTTTGTTATCAGATTTTTTTTTCATCTCGATATATGTATAACCCATAGCAATATTTCTTGGAAATGTAGCACCACTCTTGATCAATTTATTTTTTCTTTTGTTAAAGTCCACTGTAAATATCTATTTACTATAAAGCAGTACTGTTTATTCTATGGTTAGTCCACTGTAATGATAATTGTACTTTACGTTTAATTATATTTTAGATGAATACCTAATATTGCATTTAAATATTGGTTTAGTTTACTGAAATTTTTACAATGGATGTGGAGATTAACAGTGATGAAGATGAAGTTGTAATTCCAAAGTCTATGTCATCTCAAAAGATGATTGTACGGAATGGGATTGAACGTTGTGCCAAAAATAATGATGTTGAAGTGTCAAATAACCATAGAAATAAAGAATCCATAATTGAAGATAAAGAAAGAAATAACGCGGTTGAAAATTTGGAAGATGTCTACATTATACCACCACCATCTGGAAATAATGTTGAACTTGAGTTATACAATTTAGATTCTAAAAAACTGAAGATCAGTAATTCAATGTTGGATCAAAATAATGACTTTCGTATCAATAAGTTTACTGCTTTTAGAAAAAACAATTCTTTCCCTCTTTCTGCCGATTCAAACGGACCTTTTGGACAGCTTAGTAAATCGGAAAATTTTCAAATTCCATTACAAAATGGTGTAGTAAAAAGACTCTTACCCCCGATTAAAGCCAAAGTAGCCAATAAAAAGCACAGAACACTTTCAGACACTGATATTATTTCTTATGATTTCGAAAGTATGCCGAATAAATCACTATCTACCATCGACGGATCACCTGCGAAAAGTTTATCAATAGAACAAACAGGTAATCACTCAATTCATTTATATTACGTTTACTGTATAATCAATTTCTGAAAATAAATTTGTGTTTTCTTTGTTCACATCACATTTGCTTTGATTTTACGAGGTTATGAATTACGATGTCTATGAATCTGGGCCTTCAGGGGGCATAATCAAGGGCCCTCACTAGGTGCCATTCGTAATGGTTGCACTTATTTAACGTAAACTGACTTTTTTGGTTTAATAATTCGTTGACTCTAATACATAATGCTTTCCTTTAATAATTGATGGAAATATGTTAAAAGCAGGGGCAGTATTGAGAATCTTTGAAAAGGCAGTCAAAAATGATCAATTTTCAGAACGACTGTATGTTTTCCATCGTTCAAAGACTGATGTATTTTATTGTATAGCCTATTCCAAAAATGCCCATGTATATTTTGAAATTTCCTATTACAATTTTTAGCAGATGAAATGGCTGTGAAGTTTCAAGTAGGAGGATATGATGATGATGATGATGAGTTATCTGATCAAGAAACATTTGATACAAGTACATCTTCTGACCATGAATCTGAGCAACAATCTTCAACATCTTCCTGTTCCGAAGATGAAGAAGTAGAAATGGTAGGTGTATAATTATTGAATTGAGAAAATAGAAACTGATAACCAATATATTCAATTGTTAATTAAATAGTGATTTTGAACTTGAAGATTATTGCATTTTGTTTGATATATTTTTCAAATTTCTAGTTCATAACGTTTTTGTATTGTAAATTAATACAGAAATGCTTTGGTCTCATAAACTAATCAATTTTCAAATCCTAATTCCTTATATCATCAATATTTTATTTGTACTTCATTGTGTCGAAATGATAGGCCTATACAAAGACAAATCAGAATAAAATTTTTTATTAGTTGTCTCATATAACGATAGTTCTGATTGGTGTGTCACAGAATATCAATCCATTCCCTACAAATTATTCAGTACCGTATCCGCCGGCACTCAAAATTCTCGTTAAATGTTCATATTTATTAAAATTAAATTAGCGTATCCGAGTACCAGTATCTTATTTAAATAAAACTATTTCTTGTCGAAATTTAATATCAAAATATTTAAACTTTTTTACCAATGCATTGACGACGTCTCCAAATGCTTTGAAGTTCGTGAGTGAGTCAAATGTCAGTTTGAAAGTTTGGAACGTCTGCTGTATATAATTCCCTTTTCGAAAATTTGTTATGAATTTTACTGCAACTTTGTACTTTATCAATCTGCATAATATATATAAATATCTCTTTGACAAGTGGTTTTTTCATTTCCTGCCCAACAAAATATAACAACGAGTTCACTCATTCTTATATTATTAAACAATATTCATCAGTCATGATCATGACCATAATGCATTATTCATTCGGCTGTTTAATATAGAATTAAATTGCATATGCATTCGGTATAATCTTCATACACTAATGAAATTAATTCCTGATGTTATAATACAAGGAATTGGTTCTCCTGTTCAATTCATGTTTTATTATTACCTGTATTCTGTGACTAGCATATACTGATGTATATGGCAAATGAATGATTTGTTTTCTATATTGACATGTACCGTAGTTATAGATTTGGGGGAAATTATACAGACAGTTGCGTGATTTCAAGGCTTGCATACCCCGCATTGATACCCTAGCCAGCTCGTGACCTCACCCATAGTAGCGAAAGATTAATTAAGATAGGATTACATTAGGATAGGATAGGATTTACATCAGCGTTTTTCAACCAGTAGTCCTCGGCCCACTAGTGGGCCGATGAGCATTTCGTTGCGGGCCGCGAATTCGTTGCCAAATTATTCGTAATTTTCTATATTTTGTGGTAAAATTGGAATTATTTGGACTTTTAATAGGATAGCAATACATTTCTAAAGAGGATCTCAATCGATTCCAGAATAATACTGCTTTTATTTTTCCATATGTATGAAAATACGAATCAATTACGAATTTAATTATGATCGGGCAGTTTACCACAAGTTTTATGTCCGCAGATTGCAGCGATATTTTAGAATAATATTGCTTTCATTTTTTCGAAAGTCATGAGTTAAGTTGAACAAAATTTAATTACCGTAATAACCGGTACAGCATTTTAAATGCTGGTATCGGTCATGGATTCGAATATTTTTTATCTACAGAAAATCATCCTAATAAAATTTGATACTTTTAACTATCATTATCAAATATATATCTGTAAAAAAGCAGGAAAAAGTATAAATTATTTTTGGGTATCATAACAATTACGGCTTCACATAATTTTCACCGTTCAGACGTAACGGAAATTAATGGGTAAATAGGAAGCCTTGCAGGGGCTTGGCGTCAATTCCCAATACGAAACTGTGCAAAATTGTCGCAACCATACGCGACACACGCTCGCACAGCAGATAACAATCAAGGTATCGATTTTATTTCCTCACCATTACAATGGATGTTTCCCTGACCTTTGACCCCAGAAAAATTCTTCCCATACTTTACTATGGCAAAATTTTATATGCTGTTTTGAGAGTATTTTGGATAGTTCTTCGGTTTCTAACCGATATTCTATCAAATGTTAATTTGCTATTTTCTCAATTATTGTTATAACTTGTCGATTTTAATCGGTAAGTATGTTGATAGGTATTTGTCTGTATGTATGTTAGATGCACGCGATATCTCACGAAAGCGAGATTGAATCTGCTCCAGATTTTGCATGTGCATTCATCTTATCTCGGACCAGCAGCCTATTGATTTTGGGCAAATTATGTCACATAATTAGCGAGTTATTAATTAATTAGTGATGGGACACAAGGTGTCATTATGGAGTAAGAGCGCTGTTTTGGGGGATCCCTAACTTTCGATCGATAAGTCTTCGGTCTCTGACCGATATTCTCGTTTTATATATTGATAAACCGTATAACTCGCCTTACACATTTTTGAACCATGTAGGCCTACCAATTGCTTTTTTAGATAATTTATTTCATAAGACTAAGAGTCTTCATGAGAACATATAGACGGAGCTATAAACTCATAAAGCTCAAAATCCATTTATTACTGCTGTTGATTAATATATTTAAATTGTCTTCTATTTGATTGATCAAATATTATTCTTTTAAAACCGGTTTGGCTATGTATTGCATACGCTAGGTAGGTTGGTGAGCTATCTTAATAATAACTCTTATCCGGCCCGGAGTAGTTTTGTGCATTTTTTTTCTCTGTAATATTTTCTTACCTGTTATTCATGTTATCTTGCTTTTTAACTTATTGGATTGCTTTTGCATTTAATTCTCAATTCTTCTTGGGCCCTGTAATGACTCCAGCACCAGAAAACCTTGCCCCTATATTACCTCATTCTCTATTTGAAGGTGAACTTAATAATGTCCTTGGTTACTGACACCGTACTCTGTGCGGCCATATCTTTGAAATGTCGTTCCCATGGTTACATAACTGACAGTGCTCAGAGTCTAGTGTTGTACATATTTAGTTTGACTTTTGCTGTCTTTTTTTCTTCATGATATAATGTTTGACTTCTTTCTCTCTTCTGTTTATATTTCTGTTAGACTAATTCGCGGGTGTCGCTGTTCGTTAACCAGTTTTGGTTTCTCGCGATTCCTTTCGCCCTGAGATGCTGTATTTAAATGCCTTTATTTTTTTTATTTGTTATTATATTTTATTTATTTATTATTTTTATTTTATTATTATTATTATTTTTTTTATTATTATATTTATTTGCATGAAGTGTTTTTTTTTTCGGTTTGGTGAAAATATTAATTTCTGATTACTGATGTTTACAACCATGCTTGAATTCCAATTGGTACGTCATTATTGACTTACTGCTGATTAGCCATTGTTACGGAAATAAACATGGTTATCGATGGTTGGGGGAATATCTATATCGGGAGGAATTTTTTAAAAGCTTTCCCTCAAAGTGGCTATTATTTGAAAATTTGCCGAAGAAGTATTCGAATATCTTGATATTTGATTCCTTTTGAACAACCCTGCCCCGACCTCTGAAAAAAAAACCCCGACCTCTGAAAAAAAAACGTTAATAAAGGTTCTCCACAAAGTAAAACTCTCAATGAAAGTAGGCTGCAATATAAAAAAGATTGAGAAGCACTGATTTACATATTTATCAGCCTCCTGTTCAGATGGAATTAGTTATTTGTTTCAGATGCATGAACTTGATGGTGGAGAATGCTTTACCGACCAGCGGTGGTTACCGGAACCATCCTACGACAGCGAGGACACCTTGCAAATAATTCCTCCACAGAATTCGAACTTACGAATCTACTTAGGGTAATCGGCGATGCGGTGGCCAGTGTAATTCTAATGTTCTAATGTTTAGCATGATGCATCTCATCGTCGATTAGTAGGAACATTGATAAACTTTAAAACTTGAAGTGTATAATATAGCCTGTTTGGAGATGAGTATGATGTGTATTACTGTATTTAAAAATAAAGGATGATGTATTTTTTATGAACTCATGATTGTGATTTTTCAGTAAAGAAAGTCGTTTCTGTTCAAGTGTTAAAATGTCACCTTCAGTCTCATTCTGGAAAATGCTACTTCATTGATTATTTGAGATAAATCCTTTGTTTAATACCCTCTTGCCTTCATTAATGCAAATCATTAACGCAATACTCGCTATGCAATAATCCTTTCAATCATTAATGCAAGATATTGGGTGTCTACTGCATGCATGTGGCTTTGACAGCATTGTTATATTTGGTTTTATTATGAATTGCATAATGTTTGAATTTGATATAGACTTATCTTATGTTGAGGTTTGAATATTATATCATTCAGTCAGTTTACAGTCTTACAGAGTTCGTATGCGAGAACTAAATATTCATGTGAAGTGCCAGTTGAACTCTTAGATCACAAACTGCTTTTGACAAGATTAACAAAAGCAAAAAAAATAGGTTTATATTTAGGTGAATCTTTTCAATATAAACAAGGAATCATATTAGTAATGTTATTTGACATGATGATGCTAGCGGAAAAATGGCGAATATATATTCTTTATGTGTAATACAAAATTTTCCAAATGCCGATTCAGGGATGTCCAAAACGAATAAAATATTCAAATACATTAGAAATTCATCATATGCGATGTAGTAAATTTTTGAATTTAGTAATAATTTAAAACATATTTATTTAAAAATTAGAGATTTTGAGTTGTCAGACAAGTAGAACAAAACACACGATATCTTAATTGGTAAGAAACAACACAGAAAAAACAATGATCTTTTAGATTTGATTAACATGAAGATATAGTTTTTATGTAATTTTCCACATCAAATTTAGCCAATGTAGAATGTATGCCAATTTAGAATGTATTCAACCTTTCATATTCAAAAATATTTTCTTGGAATGTATTTGAAATATTCATTTTTGGCCATTTCTGACCGATATACTTCATTGCTCAAAAAAATATTGTTTATTCATTCCTTCAGTCATTATTAATGTTTTTTCATTATTTAATAATGATACTATGTCTAGTAATCAGAAATAAGTAAAGCTAGGACTAGATTACAATTTATTGATAGTTTGGTAGCTACTGGTCTGAATTCAGGCAGGTTCAGGAATCTAAATTAATGCCAGTTTAAAATTTGTTTTTATAATAGCCTTCCTTATTAAATAATTGGTGTTTTTTGACAGTTCGATTGATTGATAAGTTTTAACCTTTTTCTCAGGCAGGTTCAGAAATCTAAATTAATGCCGTTTAAAATTTATTTTGATAATAGCCTACCTTAAATAATTGGTGTTTATTGACAGTTTGATTGATTGATAAGGTTTATCCTTTTTCTCGTTTTCTGTTAAAATTTAAAGATTTTATAAAAAACACAAATGCATCTTTCATTCAGTTTCTGTCCAAGTAAAACAATTTTGAAATGATAAGAGAAGTTCTAATCTCCAAAATTCCCATCAAATATTACCAGATCTCATAAAACAATTTTTTTAAATTTTTACAGAACAACTTGAATATTTCTGAAAATCTCCAAACAAAACTTCTCAAAGTTTTAAAATTGGAAGAAATAAGAAGCAAGAGCCCGACGGCATCAGTTGCTTCAGCTCCAGTGTTCCCAAATGAAAAACGACTTTCATTAAGCGATGACGAAGATAACATAAGTGTAGTGTCAGATTCTAAGGTCAGTCAATGATTCAAAATATTATTGTTTGAAGGACTCAGTTGGGCATTTCTAAGCTGAATTTCTTTGATACTGTTTTAATAACTTGATATTTTTGATTAAATTTACTTTATTTTCGTATCAGGTTATCAGGATACGCTCTGGATCAAGTAAAAATCGAGGAGGAGTGTCACGTAATTTATTGACCCCTGAGGATCGAAAGTCGCGCAAAAAATCAGCTTCTAGCGATATAGAATTCATGGCAAAACAAAAGGATGCTGATCTCTCACCACGCAGTGCTCTTGGTGATGAAATATTGGATTATGATGATGAAATATCAGAAACACCCTCAACTAGATCAACCGGAATTTTACCTGCTTTATCTTCACATGGTGTGAGAGAAAGGTAGTGATTTTTTGGATTTTTTAAACAGCATCCTTTACTGTGAAAAATCAATGCCCCATAAAGGCAATCCCAACCACTGATATGTAATGAGCTAGTATTATTTTGAAGAGCCGGAATCTTCCCACATTGCGTTATCATTTATTACATCCTTTTTCTGTTAGTGAGTATAGGATTTGAGCCATGTTTTTAGATGTGTAACCTGCGTCAACAAATTGGTTAAGTTCAACACTCCCACCCGGGCATCCAGGCCATACATTGCCTCCAAAATATTATGGTAATATGAATTGAAAAGTCAAAAACAGGTCTCAGTTTGTTATCTCCAGACAATTTACTTTCACTAGTCTTGTCAAGTTCATTGCCCAATCATTTGTTAAAAATTTCAATTGACCTTTGGGTTTTCAATTCAATTTGGCTCAAAAGCCTTTCACAATATTTGTGGTAGGACAACATACTTGGCATGGGTCTACCATAACAGTCCGCCTATCATCAATGTATTAAGCTAGAACTTTAGTTGATAAAACTATGCACCAAAATGTAATTTTCCTCTTAAATAGAGAAGAGCGTCACTCTTAATAATTAATGCTGTCTGATTGCATATCCGGAATAAATTATTCAACTAATCCAGTTTTGTTCCAACTTTGTAACGTCACACCCTTTATAAAAGCATAGAATTATTTAGTGTTTTGTTAATTGGTATTGGGAAAGTACTTTCTCTCATGTGGTCCATTTTCATTTTCAATATGGGGATTTCATTCATCTGTAATTTTGTTGGGGTCATAAATTTACTTCCCATTTCGGCCAATTTTAGTTCGTTCGCCCATTCTTAATCGGCCCGAAAATTGACTGTACCATATATAATGGGTGGCTCAGTGATTAGATTGTTTATTACCATTATCATGTCTATGCCAGACATGGCCAAAACTGAATATTTCACTATTACGAATACATTGTCAGAAAATATTTTCGAATATTGAATACATTTCAATTTGTGGGGAAAATTACATAAATATGTACACAATCTAATCTTTTTTTACATCTTGTTTTTTTTGTGCCACAACTAGCTGTATAGCAGAGGGCGTTGATAAGTAAAATATGCCATTTTATATTTATTTTTATGGTATTAATAAATCAGCATTGTCAATATGGGTCCAAAAAACATATTTGTGAAAATTTTTCAATGGTTTATGTTTATTAATAAAGCTAGTAGGTGATGGTAAATGCAATATTATACACCCCAGCCTTGTTAGGAGTAAACTTTTTGAACTACAATAAAATATACTAGGCCTATAATGTATATAAATATTGCAATTCGAATACTATTTATTATATAATGCGACAATTATCTATTGAAATACTGTATATCAGAAAACTACTGGTATTCCTCAGTCCTCAGAATTTTGTTATTACAATTTATTTCATAATTATGCTGTAGAATTCTGTAGAAAAACAATTTAAAACAGTGTATGTTTGTATTGGTGCGATGGGAATCTCCACTATTAACCAAAACCAAATATTCAATGTTATTCTTGAAGCTTTCATAACAAAGAAATCGGATTTAATGAAAGACGCAACAATGAGATGGAAATTCATTTAGGTCATGTCTCGTAAAATGGCGTTTTTTTGATCAGTTCTATTCAGTCTGTTTCTCCCATTTTAACAATGGACATTGAAAGTTGTGTTCAGTTGGCCTGTGCTTTATTCAATGTTTCGTACTTATTATGTTGACGAAAAAAATAAATTGGTTGACGCACACAACAATGATCAATCCATTATCAATTGGCTAAATTAGATAAAACGTATCAAGTGACCATACGGTTTAGAACAGTAGTTCTCATACTTTCAAGATCTATGGCTCCCTTCCAAACACTCTCATCCTTTGTAAACACCTGAACTTCTATGAAAATACTAAGTTTATAGCTTATTGCTTTTCCATTAGTTATTTTATGTGGCGTGCCACATATTAATATAAATCCAAGAAATGAAAGCAAAATAATAAATGTATTACAGTCAAAGAATTTAACCAATATTTTATAAAAATATTCATAAAAGTAGACATAAAATATTGCATTATATTCTTAATTTGGTCATGTCGTTTTGGAAATCCTTCTCAACAATACATATACAATATATATATATCCAAATCCAATCAATTACTATACATATTTTTTTTTAAATGAAGTAGCCTACATTTACTTATATATTTCTATGTTGAAAATGGCATAATAATTAAAATCTTTTTATATCATAGCTTAGAAGATATTTTTTGCCTAGGAAGTATTACTCTATGGGTGTGATGCAGACAAACCAATCCAATGAATTGGAAAATTTTCAAATTTATTGGTAAATATGATTCCAATACCCCGCAGACACAGTTTACAAAATCAGTATATAAAAACTTGCATGATTTATCAGCTCAACCAACGAGTATTGTCATTAGTCTGCAAACACTCCACACCCTAGGATCAAACATTTTTTTTCATTATTTATTGCCTTCTAAGATTTGTTTGGTAACTGTTTTCATAGTTCCTATGTATTAAGGTATTGTTTAAATGTTTGTTAGATACACAAATGAAAGCTTGTCTGTGACGTTGGTACAGCTTGTAGAGGGGAAAAGTGCTTGGTTATAACGGGTTATATCATAGTTGATAAATTTGTATAATATACATCAAAAGATGGCCTATTTTTATAAGAAATTGATGTTTTTCATTGATTTTGTGAGGTCTTATTCGATTTATTTTGGGAAATGATTATTTATTTAAATAGTTCGTGGACAAAAAATTATGCCTATTTCGGTGTTATAAATAAAAAAGGTGAAATAAAATTTCCCTTTTTCAATTTGATAAATATAATAGCCTACTAAGTGAAACCGAGAGTTATAGTACAATCATGCTTGGCAAAAGACATTCCATGACATAGATATATAGCATCCATTGTCATCTCTGTGTGACCGGCGAAACATAACACTTTCCATAAAATCATTTATATTCAACTGTGTCATCATCATAATGTTTTGTTGGTTGCCAGACAATAGACAAATTGTATTGTTCTTGGTCTTATCTACACAAGTAACCTCCGACCGGTTTCATTCTTCTATTATTGCGTCCATCCCATCTACATAATTATGGAATCTCAGCTGATCTGATATGAAGAAATAAGTGTTTTTCTGATGTTGATGAACATTAATAATAGCTGTTTATGTGTGAGGAGAAATGGTCATGGGTTCCATTGAATACCTAATCATCAATAAAATTCTTCATGATCATTGGTTTATGTACACTAAGTGCACATGCTAAATTGTTTTTATGGTGCGAAAATTGCCTTTCTCTGCAACTGACTCATATTATTTCAATTGAAGCGGGATCATTTTTTTTATCCCAATATGTTTGACTGACGGCTTTCGTCACTGTATTATAAAACAGGCACACGGCCTCCATGCCCATATATTGTGAGCAATGCTCTTTTTTTTCAATTACTGTTTTTTTTTTATTCTTTGGTGTTTGGTGTCATCATCATATCATAATGTTTCATTTCAGTACTTATCAATGATAGGTATTACTGTCATCAAGTAGTGAATCTATGCTTTACTTTATATTTCAGGAATTTTCTTGTGGGAAATTTAACGAAACATGGATCGCTACTTGGAGCTGACGAATTGAACAGATATTTTCCTGATCGTATGCTGAGGTTGTTTGTTGGTAAGAAGGTCGATCATTTCATTCATAGTCAAACAATGTTCCTGAAAGTTTATCATTGATATCATGCTATTCCGGTTCTCTTACCTTGTTCTATACAATTAAGTAATTGTGGCATTCAATTGCGCAACACTCAGTATAGTCTTAAGTGTCCAAATAAGGTTTCAGTATACTTAAAAATCTGTTATCTTCTCTGAGAAAAATGCATCTTACAAGTTTTACTGTAATATATCCTAATTAATAACTATTTATGTGAATTAACATAAAAGTGATGTTTCTAGTTCTGCCATATTATGTATGCAATTATGCAATATTATATCAGATTTGCAATCTTCTTTCAAACAAGGATGTTGCTTTCAAATTACATGTGTGCGTACACTCTTAGTCATATCCAAAAAATGTCTTAATAATGGAACAAATTTCTTAAACAAAATTTGAGTATCTGCATGCTACATTCTCCCAGGAACATGGAATATGCAAAGAAAAGGCGTTCCAAGAAATTTGAATGATTTTTTATTACCTCAGCATGAAGAATATTTACAAGATATGTATGTTATTGGAGTGCAGGAAGCCACACAAGATTTGTGAGTCCTAAGATTGTAACGCTTTTTTTTGATTATATGAATGTAAAAATGTTTTGATTAAAGAATGTAATGACAACCAACTATAACATTTCAGTAAAAAAATTGTATATTATTCTCACTAAAATATTATTTATTAATGTAAATATTTAAATTAATCGGAGTAGGTCTGTTGAGTTTGTTAAATTCTTTGAACTGATGGCATTCGTATTCAGTGTGATACTGAGCAAGCATAAGTTCAATACAGGAGACTACGCCACGCCTATTGTGTCAATTCCTATACAAATATCTCTTAACAATATATTATTACGATTCATAGCTTGTGGTCGAGCTGAAGTTTTTCTTAGAATTGTAGACCAAATACATTCTTGATGACATCACATCAAGTTCACTTGGTATTGAATAGTATTTTGAAAACCTGTGTGATTTTAACCTTCAGTATGTTTGTCGTTACCTCACTGTTGTCACAGTAATTTGCTACTTGCACTTTTGTCAAGTTTTTTTTAAGTACCTGCTCGAGAGTTCTCATTTAAAAGCGCTGTTGCTTTGTTGTCAGATATAATTAACAATTACGAAGCATTCCTGTTCGATCACAATGGTTTTTTATTAGCATGAGGGTTAAATGAGAATTTGCTTTAAATATAGTTTTAACTCGACATCGTCGAGTAATTTGTCAACATGGCATTAACAAGAAAATTTCTGAGATATAAATCATCATAAAATAGCACATATGCAAGCTAAAACATATAATATTTCATATATTATTTTCGGATTTTAAAATATATTTAAATTTTATGTATAGGCATTCACTTACCACTTACAGTGTTTCCCAACCTGGGCATACTTTTTATACATACCCTAAATTGTTTATGTATCTAATTTCAGAAAAAAGTGGGAAATAAAATTGCAAGAAACACTTGGTCCAAATCATGTGTTGGCACATGCAGTATCACACGGTGTTTTACATATGTCTATATTTATAAGACGAGATCTAATATGGTTTTGTTCACGTAAGTGTCATGGCTCTTGTCACAGATGTGGCTTTATATTCAAAATAAATATAACACATATTGCAAAATGATTAAATCATCGTTACTGGAATTTTGATATTGTAGCAAAATATTTTACTGTCATAGAAACACAAGTTCAGTGATATATTTGCAATTCAGTATACAAATATAAAAAATATGCTGTGACCAAATATGGCTTGTGATGGTCTCTTTTTTTCATTGCATTATCCCAGCCCAGTTGGATAGACTGTGGAATCATGGATGTTTGCTGGTTTGTGTAACCTAACCCACTATATTACCTGGGAGAATTAGAAATTGTTTTGGTATGCTAGTCCATATTTCTGCATCAATGTGGCTTCTGTACTTTTTGCTGTGATTAAATACAGAAGTATTGAATTTGGAAAAATTCTTAGATAATGGATCTTTTCTTTTTTCATTTGTCTAGTCATTTCATTACGCTTTGTTCCAAGCCTCAAGTTTTATTTTACAACAGCATTCGAAGAAGATCGTGTGACAACAAGAATGGTTTCACAAATCAAAACGAAAGGAGCGGTTGCAATATCCTTTCAATTTTTCGGTACATCAATGATATTTATAACATCACACTTTCATTGTAAGTTTTCATTTTGAATACCAGTAAGAATAATGTTGCTTCTCATCAATAGCTTATTTTTAGGTATCACACTTATACAAGCAGGATGAAGCATATTTCAATGAGTGCTCAAACCAATATTCTCATTACATCAGGAGCTGTGGCGTTTGATTCTAAGTAAATCACGAATTACCATAGTAGTATTTAGGGTTATCCTCTAGTGTGTAGTCCATAATTTTATTCCGATTTTCCTTATTTAGTTCTATTACGAGTGTGGGGACTGTCTGTGTTAGCCAAAATTAGTTCGCTCCATATTGGTACACACACTTCTGAAGCACCGTATATAGTGTATTATATACATGAAAACCGTTATTTTGAGAAATATTAATGGAAGATTATAGAACAGTCATGATATGTTGTAAATTATGTTTTCACTACACTTTGAAAATATCCTATTATTTTAGATTTACTGTTAAAACATCATTTGGCCTGAAATTCAACTTTGTTTAATATATTTATTTAGCTTGCCAGATTTCCAAATTCAGATTCGAAAATATGAAATTGAAATATAAAATTGATCTCAATATATCGACGCATGAAATCCAAATTGGGCTAAGTCCATTTTTCTAGTTTTGAGAAAAACGCAAAAACGTTTTTTTTTTGTTTCTTTTTTTATTTCTCTAATACCTTACATCGAGGATGTCTAGTTTTTATGGTCCACCAAAGTTACAATGAAGGCCATATTTAGATGGTATAAAAAAATTTGTGCTCCGGCCCAATTTTTTTTGGGTTTTTTTTTTTTTTGGACTTAACCCTTTTTGGCTCTCAATTTTCTGGACCAGAAACACTTTTATTGGACTTGGGGCCCCTTTATTATGTTATTATAGAGGCTGGTATGGACTTAGCGCTTTGTATTATATTTTTTGAGAAGAGCTATGTCCAAAAAACGGACTTAGCCCCAACTTACAATGCAGTTATCCAGAGCTAAGTCCACTATAGTAGACACAGCTCTGTTTAGTTCTCAAATGCCCTAAAAAAAGCAGGGTTATGTCCATAGCTGCCTTGAGATCTAGAGCACCTAGAGATAAGGCAAATAGACCAAAATGTCCAGGAAAATCAGCAATTGAAAAATGTCATTTTTTGGAAAAGTGGACTTAGCACTGTTTGGTTTTGAGGTGTCGATATACTCTGTTGAGTATGATCTGTTGTGGTATAAATTCAATATTCCATATTTAAAAGTGGTATTATAAAATGTATTCAAATTAGTGCATTATTCAGTATTGACCATTTGTATAATGATGCTCGATTATGGATTTGGGATTATTATATATACATGTTTATTACAGCTGGTGAAACGAGGGTAAAAGAACGCATCGAAGATTATAATAGAATAAAAGAAAGAATTAAATTACCTAGAAAATTAAAATGGGATACTTATAAAAGTTCACAAGATGACGTTACAACAAGGTAAATCTAAGTAGAATAGTTCAAAATTTAAAACTCTTTATATAGAATGCTTTTGAAAAAAAGAATTCCCAATTATTCTGTGGAAAAAGGCATTTTTGTCACTTGTTTTTGAACAAGTTATGGTTGCTCTTTCTTTATGAAATCTTGTTTAATATGACCAAGCATAGCATAGAATATATATGGCCTGCACTGCACAAGACTTGTTCTTGATTAGTTAGTCCTTGAATTATCTTCAATTTCGTTTTTACTTTCAAGATTTGATTGTACGTTTTGGTTTGGAGATTTGAATTTTCGAGTCAGTCAACCTCATGAAATAATGCACCAAGAAGTTAACAATCCAGATAATTATAATTTCAAAGAAGTTCTAAAAGGAGATCAACTCATTGCAACAAAGAAGAGAGGTGGGTACATTGTTATTTTTTCATTATGCTCCACTGTTATGGGAGGGATTCTTTACTCTTTATGCTCTCTAATTTTAAATTGAACAAAATCATTATTTCTACTCCACAAATCTTGAACATTCAGAACTGTTAATGTTTATTGTAATCACCTTATCAACCGCTTAACTGAGGATAATATATTACCATTTGAGTGATTGAGTCTTCCATGTTTTAGTGCAGTTTAAAATGAACAGTTTATCTTTTTCATAATTTTCAGGTAAAATATTTCATGAATTCACTGAAGCAAAGATAACATTTCTTCCAACGTATAAATTTAATCCTGGAACTGATAAATATGACACATCACCCAAGTTACGAGTTCCTTCATATACTGTAAGTAGGTTTTCTATATTGAATATATAACATTCATCTGAAAAAGAGGATAACAATAAAATGACTTGATTATATGGCGATTGTCTTGATTGTATACAGTATACTATTCAATATTTCTAATATTTTAATCAAATAAATTCTTATAGATTCTCGTTGCTCGATATTATTTTGGAAAGAGTTATGCTATAATCTGTCCCATAAAAGATTGTTGGACTACTCCCTGTTGCAGTGTGGTTTGCGAAACTACCTGTAGATTATGGCTTCCTCCGTAATCAAGGTTGTGCACTTGAAACTGGACAATTGCCATATGCACCATCTACATTATCGTCTTTCCTCTCCTCTACGATAAATATAAAACTACCAGCCAAAATATCGGTATTTTTCTGCATTTCTTTGGAAGATAATAGTATATATGGCCTGATTTCTTTCGGGAAGTCTATTAAATTTGCATTCATTGATTTCTAGGATCGTATTTTATTCAAGTGTAAAGAACATACAGTTGTTAACTGTGGAAAATATGACAGTGTTACTACGTTGAGGAAATCTGACCATCGACCAGTTTATGGACTGTTTGAAGTTTGTTTAAAACCAGGAAGAGACAGGTTTGTGCTTAGTTTGATGATCGTAAGTTGAGTTTCAGTAACCTATGGCAGTTACTTACGAGTAAATAATAGATAATGATTCTCCAAGTTTTTGTGTGGTAAATCATAAGATACCTTACCTGAAGTAATGCTGTCACTACGGCTAGTAACTGGTTGTTCGCAACAATTACAATTAATAGTTTGTTCACAATATTACCGCCACCAAGTGAATGGATCAAATTTCTCCAACTGGTGATGGTATTGTGGTAATACAAAATTGAGGGTTTGCATTGATCATGTTTCAACCATTACTGCTTCACAGTAATTTTCAAATGTATATTTTAATTTTATCACATAAATAAAAGCATATATATGTTCAGGAAGTACTACTAAACGCTCAAATTTACAAAGTTTGTGACAAGCGATTTTTGAATATTTGATTCAAAGTTTAAGTATATTGCATCTCTTATAAAAGAGTGACTAAGCATAAGAATCAGACCATATAGGCCATGTATAATTTTGAGTAGCTTCAGGGCATGTTTATGCTGAAACACTTCAGATGTAGTAGGCCTGTTTTCTTTTGTTACAAGAAAATCGAGGCAATGTTTTATTGTATGGCTACAAAACCAAGAGCAGTTATCGGGTCAATTTGTTAACGGCCTGAAATTCCCATCTGTAGTTATTACACTGCATGTTTTGCAGATTGATTCTAAACAAATATTTTAAATTTTTATCTTTGGTTTATTTAACATAGTATTCCATTTGGAGGAGGAAAATTCAGAAATGATGTTTATGAAAAAGCTGCAAGACTACGAGCAAAACAAGGAAATTATCAAAATAGCAGTGCTGTGTGTTCGATACTTTAATAACACTTTTTATCAGATTTGGTTTAGTTAACTAAGTTAGCAATAATGCTGCATATCAAAAGTTGTGTAATCAACAGAAGCCAAATTTTGGAAAGTACTACTTTGGTTATGTTATGAAAATTATCTGTTTGTTTTTCTGTTGCGCACAAGATGTGTGATAGCGCGCTGAAATCCTAGTTTTATTTATATACATTAAAAAAATGAATTGAAATCAAGGATTATTATTTATCTAGCCTGTAGAACTAAGATCAATTCAGATTCTCTATCTCGTTCAATCTATTTGAGTAATAAGTTTTTTGATATTAATGATTCCTGTGATTTTTTACTCTGCTTCAAGACTCTTCATTTGATTATTTTTTTCCTATTACATTCCAAATAATTGACACCAAATCAAAAGTTTCGATTTAGACTCTGGTTATCGCTTAAATTGACAAATCATACATGGCCTAAAGAAGCAAACTAATGATGATTCATATCTAATCGATGTTCTGCCAAAGAATTCAAGTTGAATAGTAGCATAGGATAGAGCAATGTGATTAACAAATAAGCTTAAGTGAAATAATTTGCATAATAAATATATTTGGTATCCTTTGCTTATTTTATTTAGTGGAATAACGACAAAACGGGTAGAGACTGATCAAGTAATTGGACGAGACAATGATAATGTCAAGTCAATCTAAGGGGTAGAATTTTTTTTGATAACACCTCAACCAAGGATTTTTGCTTAGATATACCAACTTACTGTATTTTTAAGTTCAAAAACTCTTCATCTATGGGTATTTTCTGTTTGGGTAGTAGTTTTATACAATATGCCCCTATTTTGTACTCGTTGTCATATTTTTTTTTGGTATGATATTTTAATTATCGATTTGTTCATCTTCAAATACTGTTTTTGTTTAGTTTGGTGTATCGAAATTATAAGACAAGATGACTGCATATGGGTCGCGCTATTTCAAGTGGTGTAATATAATTAAACTAATTAACCAAATTCATCTTTTGGATAGGAAATTCATCTCGATTGATTGTTCAAAATCATGGAATTGAAATCAATTTAATTTGACCATGGATCCCTAATCTGGCTCTCTTTGTTATGGAACCGTTTTTATGTGCAATACAGGTGCCAATGTTGATCATCAATTAGTTCTGTATTAATATTACCACTGTTACTTGTGATATATTTTTGCTTTTCAGTATTGTTTCGAAGATTTAGCACTACTTTTATCCTGATTTCTTTTTTGGTGCTACCTGCATTTTCTGTCCTTGTTGTCATATTTTTTATGCATTTATTGATGGTTGCGTAATAAACATCGTTATTTTTGCTACCTGTCTGTAATTTGATGAATTAATGACATAATTGTGATCCTATTTACTCAGTAGGCTATTGGTCAAATGTGGAGTCTAAAATATTTTCATTAGACTAGGGGTTAATGAACCTGCAGGGGTTAACGGAAAGATTTCCAGAAGTACACAATTAAGTTTTCACGTGTTGCTATATCCTTCACTTTCAGAAGAAAATGTGTGCGTAGATTTTCCATGATCCCACAACAATGTGTAACCCACAGCTTTGCAGCCAAACTATGAAATCTTAAAAGATAATGTGCTGCATGCATTGCAGAAAGTGAGATGCTAATTGAAACTGAGAGATTTCAAGAATTCATTAGTTCGGCGGAGGACAAGGTCAATAACATCAACATGATGATTTAATTTAGTTATAGCAGACAGTTAGGGTAGCAAAAAAACGCTCCTCGAATTGAGAAACTCATTAGCAATAAACAGGAACAGTCTTCACACTAATGCTCTGTATAAATGAAATATATACCTTTGTTAATATCTTTCAAATAATATTTTAAAATTGTTAATCAATATATCAACTTTGTTTGGTGTCTGATTACTGGGGGGTTCGGGTTGACTGAAGTATTTCAGTCCAAGCTGTCGAACCCGATTTAAACAGGCCCATGTAATTCAAAAATATGAGAAACATTACTTCTGTCAGAAATAAGATATATCTTTCTGAGATATAATCTAGTTTCCATAACAGCTAGATATTTCATAGCAATATGTCCAAGTAACTTTGAGTACTGTACTATTCAACCTGCTTGCTGAACTCTCCTAACAAATTCAACTATCTGGTGGCGGCGAAAAATATTTGAGAAAGCAGATGATTGCAATATCTGATGCAGTTACAACTTCTCATACATAATGAGCATCATAATTTGTGGAAACCCGTTTCAAAAACAAGGCATATTGACTTGCTGAATACCTCTAATTTCTGTCAGTTTGGAGAACAAACACTAGTTCTTCACGCATGCAAAAATTCAAAAGAACAATTGTAAAATATTCATTGTTGTAATACAGTAATAAAATGATTGTAAATCCCAATGAAACATGGTTGAAATGAATTGCAAAAGAACAATTTTTCTTTTAAGATTAAGACTGCAGGATAAAATTTTTGCGTACCGCAAATTTCTTGTCTAGCATTAGATAACCAGACAACCAGGGTTGAAAAGGATTTCCTTTAGCCCTGATTTATAATGGTTTATCAGCAAGTACAGTCAAATTACGATAAACAAACAGAGTGCCAATATGATTATTTTGAGCTGCATGAAGTCGAAATGAAATTTCATTGCTCATAAAATTGTTTAATAATAATCCCAAATAACTTGATATTCAAATCCAGCATTTTTATTTTAATATCTCCTTGGCGGGCCACCTCTTCCACGACCACGCATTCCTCTTCCGCGACCACGGCCTCTACCACCGCGTCCTCCTCTGCCACCACGACTGTCTCTGAAGGTTCTTGGTCTAGGTCCTTCATCTACGAGCAAGGTATCCAATGGAAGAGAATCCGGCAATATATAATAACGAATATTATTGCCACGAATGCTTAGTGTCTCCAAAGTGACTGGCTCCCTGTTCTTAACAGTCATTTTAACTGATTTCAAATGCGTATTCATACAAATATCTACGCCAGTAATGGTGCCATGCACCTGGGTACCATTTTTCAGTTCAATAGTAACTGTCTCATGGCTGAGTTTCATCAAAAATCTTGCGAGCTTCATAGCTGAAGTCTGCGAAAAACAGAAACGCAACAAACACGCAGGTCAGCGAAGCGGGAATGATGTTTTGCAACAGTGCCAAAAGTGGCCGGGGATAACCTTTGACCGCATATTCCTCTAAAAACGTATTAACAGAGAGAGAGAGTTTCTCCATTCAGACAGGTATTTCACAGATAACTACACTAAACGAATTCAAGTACTTTATTCCCAAGGTCTCCATATTTTTGTGACCTTAAAGCGGGAAGCCTCTAAAAGCCATAGCTGTGATTTTTTTAACTTTAAATTCACCAATTTCACATTAGGAGCCTACATTTAAAGCCATCCCGACTGTCTTCATTGACTATATTGTCATCGAGAGTTCATGCGCTGTCTGTCTAAATATCGGTTTCAGTTTGAAAAATAGGAAGAAATTTACGTTTAACGTTAAGCATCCTTTTGGCGTACGGGTCTTACACGTAACAAATTGTAGCAAACGGAACAAACAAAACCACGCATCCACCTTCAGTAAGTAGGCTACCGGTACGCTACCTAGCAACAACAGTATCGAGAACATGCTAATTGGCAATGTTCGTGTATTATGCTGACTGGCTGAACAGTAAAGCGGGACTTTTGGCTGACCGGTCGGGACGCCGGGACAAGGCGTTAAAAAGAGGGACTGTCCCGTCTGAAACGAGACGTATGGTAAGCCTATTTTTATGTGATCCTATGTGATTAATTAGCAGAAATATTTTATTTCATGGCATAGGTACACATTGCAGATATAAATAACTTAAATTTACTTTAATTTGCCAAGCTAAGGAAAACAATAAGTCAGTCGGGTAATTTCATTGAATTTCTCAAGGCCTCACAAACATGCTTTTTAGCATAATAATATAATTTTGATGATAAAATTTGTTTGCAGAAGAATGTCAAAGTAAGATATAAGACAAGTAAATGACAAATAAAAAAGGTAAACAAATATTATACAGTAGTATGAATTGTTGTGACAGCAAAAATACAATGCAAAGATGAAATTTGACAGTCTAGCAATTTCATTATCATAAAATATGAATATAAAGAGCCCCATTGGCGAGATGAGTTGTACATAAATATACGTGCAAGAGAAAGATTTCTAGGGAATCACGAATACGAGTGCTGGTATGATATATCAAGTCAAAGGTTAGTATAATTTATTAAAGTATAATTTAGTGCTGGGTTAACCATGGTAGCGTACAACTTCAAATATGTTTCAGGTTTGAGTGAATAATTGACTTAGAATGGACACTATGATTAACGTACCCCAGTCTACAAATGTAAAAGAAAAAAATTTTCTGGTTTTTTAACAAGATGAACTGTAGAGTTGGTATTACTCTAGTCTAGAGGACTATAATGATGAATTATCAGACTTGGAGGAAATATTCAATGATTCATAAAACCGCGGTAAGCCACAACGAGTCGTATAAGATACACCTAATATAATTTAAAGGAAGTACTCAAGACATGTATAGTCAAATTGTAAACAAAGAAACATTCCACAACAAGTCGAATAATATATAAATAAAAATAATATAATTCATGGGAAATACTCAAGACATGTGAACTCAGATAAAAGGTTTCATGTGCAATATACTATACATTAATATATCAAGAAGCAGTCATATCTACAGTAAATCAAAATGCAAAAAGAAAAAATGTAATCACAGGTCGTTATACATATTTGACTCCATACTCGGCATGAAAGACTATAAAAAATTGATAAAATCACAATAAATAAAACTAATTTCAGAATCGGGAACCTTTAAGTAAGGTTCAAAACGTACAGGTTTTAGATAGAAAGGTGTTGTCAAAAGACGCCGTACGTGTTCGCTCATTAAAAATGATTAAGTTAATTAAAACACACACACACACATACCCACAATCACGCATTAAAAATAAAATGAAGAAAAAACAATTTCGACTGGTATGTTGTCAAAGCAGATTGACAATGACTTGTTATGAAAATAACTAATGATGATTATATCTTCAACTTATAGTATATTTAGCATTTTAAGGTAATGGTTTACACTTTCACATTTACTTTTCCCAAAAACAATTTCTAAAAAATTATTACAAATACTCCAAAATTTTGAGACAAATGATTTATTCTCTTGAAGCCAGACTTAGCAACGATCGGATGTGGCTGAGCAGTAATGATTGAAACATTGCTATAGTATCCCTGATCGATTAACACGATGGGATAGTTCGGCAGCAACTGCCAAGTTTCTTTTTGTTTTACCAATAACATGCGCTATTCGTAATTTCCATGACAGATTTTCATCAAAGATAACTCCTAAGAATTCTATTTCTCGCACTCCTTCAATTTCATTGCCATTGAGGATCAAAGGTTTTGTATAAGTCACACTTTTATGCTTGCTTGGATGGAACAATACACATTCAATCTTGTTAGCACAACATCCAGCTATGAACATTGGCTAGTTATTGTGAGTAAATCTCCCATTTTTTTCCCAGAGAGAATCAAGTCAATGTCATCAGCAAACATGATTGACTCAGAGGATTTCAAAGTTCAAACAGCTAGACATGTCATTGAAGTAAGCTAGAAATATTAATGGGCCGAGTAAATATCCTTGAGGAACTCCGTGCTTCATGACACAAATTTTAGTAGTATTAATGTTGAGCGATCGCTTCAATCCAATATATGTATATATTCATATATATATATATATATATAGGTTGTGAGTCGTGTTAGATATTTGAAATTGTGGATATTACAATCAATCGTAATTTATTCGACACCACATAAACGTATCATAAGAAAGAACATGAGAAAGATGTCCTGAGCACTGACTGACATGGTCATTTGAGCAATCCTGACCAAACTAATACATTTATTTAAGGAAATAGCTGAGTACCATGTCGTCACGAAAACCGAATACTAAATTTATACAAATTCGTATAAAATAAAATTAATTCCCAGCTTACACAAATATTTTCGAACGTTCTTACTTCGGTAGATTTGTATGTAGTTGCTAATTGGGGAAAATACCAAAAACCACTTATAGCAAATAAAAAGTTTAGTTGGAAGCAGGAATTAGTTGGAACTTTTACGAACTCGAGAGCAAAAATTTGAATTTACCTTTGAATAGAGGACTAATATAAAAATTGTGATACCATCTTGTCATTTTTTAATTTTTTGTGGTTCAAAAATGGTCAATTCCGTAAAAAATGACCTTGTTTGAAAGATAATCGGATTATTTCGAACTTTTCCGATTAGATTCATATATTTATCCCCATTATGCTAGAAACGATGTACGAATTGATTTAAAAGCAAATGAAGACATGGAAATAATAGTATACTAGTATTGTAGTATACTACAATATAGGGAAAAACGAAGCCAACATGTGTTTCAGAGCAATTGATGAGAGGTCGCGAAGGACTATAAGAGTCATCGAGTCAGCCACACCAAATGGCTGTTATGTTAGGGGGAGAAAGGGAATTTTTTTTTTATCTAACTAGTCTAAAAATAACAGAAAATAAACACATGAAAGAAGGGCGAAATAACAACATGTCATATGGCTTATCGCGAATAACGAACTGCCATGACATTCTGCGATTATTCCAAGTTTCGAATATTTTGTAAAATTTGTGGTTAGACAATCTAATTAACTTTTCTGTTCCTGAGGCAAAAAATTTGAATTTACTTTTGAATAGAGGATTATTATTGGACCTTACTGCAATTAGAAAATTGTGGTGACATCCTGCAATTATGGGGACTTTTTAGGGTTCGAATATTGTCGAAAATTGCTGCTTCTTGTCACAGGACCTGGAAAAGCTATGACAGTCCGCGTACCAGTAATGGCTAGTTACGATAGCTGTTCCACATTTCAGCATGTGTTTTTATTGAGATTTCTGGTAAAATATTTAGTTTTGGCCTCCGTGTCAGTATATTTGAGCATTGATATCTTGTATTTCAAACGGTTCCACAACGACAGCACCAGCCAACGACATTTCGTGTTAAAATCAAGGTTTGCAGGTGACGATTTGCTATATTCAAAAGGGTACACACATTTTTCAGGAAAATCAGGGTCTACAGTACTGAATATCCTAGTTTGAAAATCATATTCAAAGCAACGCGAAGCGGCAATTTTTCTCCCCAGTAGATTATAATTCTATAATCCCTATGTCCACCACATCACATATGGAATCAATTTATTATATATTCAAGTTTGCCCAAAGCAAGATCCCGAGCTCCCAAATAGCCTGAGTGGAAATATGAGATTACCAATAGGAGAATTGAAGACGAACAGTGACCCGCCAAGGGCAATATCTTACCTATCCAATCATGCGTTTGGTGGAATGTTTGTTCAATTGTTCTTTCTTGATGTGTCATAAAAAGTAGTATATAAATGACAAATATCGAAAAAATCACATAAAAGTTAGACGCTCGGTCCCTTCAATCGCGCCTTATAGAGACGGCTCATTTTTTATAATTCGTCAGCGTTTACAAACAACACCATTCGAATTAGATGTCGGCGGTGCGTTGTACATGCCTTCACCCCACCAAGCAAAAGTTGTAAGCCGAGCTTGTAGAAATACGTTTGTGTACATGGTGAATTCATTTCCAATCCTGGGTTGATATATAGCCCATTTCGTGTAGTTTGTAGATGTTCCGATAATGGCACCATTCTGAAAAATAGATCAACGATTAAACTGAAAACAAAACATTCATAGGAAATAGATTTACCCATGGTAAAATGGAAATGGACTAATAGAAAACGGGTTTCAAGAATTTTGATGACTTGTCCGAATAGTCCATACTGCTCACAAACAATGTTTTTCATCAAATCTGCCTGACATTCGGATGATGATACAAGATATGATCTATCGTGAACTTTTAAAGGATAGCCTACAATCTCACATTACCCAAGAACAAAAGATGTCAAACGTTCCATCAAATTTAAGCAGATGAGACCTTATTTTGCTTTGAATGAAGATATAAAACAATTTCTTTTTATATGACCAGGAAAATGTGATATACTGTAGCCTGGTTTACGAGTTGACTTTGACATTTCGCCTTGTGCGAGCGCGACTAATCCGAGTACGGTATTTTGATATCATCCTATGCATGTGAAGCACATGATGGAACCTATAAAATTCCTTTGTGTAATGCCTTCGGACACGGTTGACCCCACTAAAAACCACTGTAATAGAGAATTGATCAAATATCAATAACTGGTAATGTACTTACTGTTGTATTGACATTCAAATTTATCCACATTGAAATAACAAACATGTCGAACGGGAATTTAGATCTCATATTTACTAAAATTTTGTTGTATATATTCTCGTTCGCAATTGGTGCAATCGTGGAGTTCGCATTTGCACATATTGCTTCAGCTTGACTGTAATTTACGCTTTGCTCATCATCAAAATAAGTCCAAAAACATAGATTGCGTGAACCAATCCATATTTCACATTGATTACCTTAAGTAAACAACAAAAAATGATTATGTTTGTTACCAACATGATAATAATTTGAAACTGAAGCTAGATTTATCATGCTATTGTATGGAAAGTAGAAATAACTTTTTTGTGAGACTTGCTCCAGACTAAACCATTTCCATTTAGAAAATATTTTAAATTTAAGTTTAGATCTACAAAACAAGAAATTCGTACCAGGAAGAGTGGCTGATGACGAGTTTACGATCGAAGGAACTGATGTCTGGATTGAACTGGTAAATAATGAACTGGAGAAGGCGGTGCTTTTACTCGTTTTGTTATTGGTGTTTGTAGTTGTTATTTGCGTGAGTTTAATCAACGGAAGTTCACAAACAACGCCATTGGTATAAGAAGATGGACGTAGAGCTAACATTCCATCTTGCATAAGAATATCGTGGTATTGAAGATTGACAAGTAGACCAACATTTGTTTCGCCTGTTCCTATGCCGCTCGGTTCGCCCGGATACCATTTTATGAATCCGTCATTTGGTGTAGTTACGATGGTGGCCTAGAATAAGGTTGGTTGATTTAGGTTTTTCAATATAAAATAAATTTAAAGCTAAATATTTGATTATTCTATCTTTAACTTCACAACTGTCGTAAGTGGTAACGTACGTCTGGATTCAATTCCAATTGTATCCATATAAGAGTGTCATTAAGAGCTAGTGACATAATTTTTGATCGCATGATTTGTATTGTTTTATTGTAAACTTCTTCACTTCGCATGATCGCCACGTCTGCATTTCCTCTGTTACACATTTCTGCAGAACGCCCGTAATTTATTTTTCTGTCTTGTTGAACCTCGGTCCAGTAACAAAATTCATTATTGAACGCGAATTCGCATAGGTAATCTGAAAAATGGTTGAGAAATATGAGTTTCAGTCGCAGAGTGAGAAAGTTAATTTCAATTTATTTACTAATTTTAATTTTTGTTCAATTTAATTAAGCAATTATATAATTATAAACCATTATTTGGTGAAGTTTCAACAGTCGTTATGTCGTTGGTAGTCATATCACGCGTTGAAATGTTATCTTGTCTAGTAGTCGCTTCCAGCGTTGTTACCATATAATTTCCATAAAGTTTGCTATAGGTTGAATTCATTTTTATAAACGTTGTCAATGTGTCATTTTGATACGTTGCAATAGTCGGGGTCGCCAACGATCGGTCAACGGTTGCAGTAACATTTCGGGCTATGGGAGAAATATGACTTGGTGAAACGACAAGTGTTGTCGGGGCAGCAGTTGTATTACTGAATTCCTCGGGCTGTGTTGCTGTCTCATCAGCGGAGAATTCAGCTGATATTTCGACGACATCATAAAATGATACTTGCAAAATCGCTGTCAACTTTTCTTCCACCTTTGCTCTCAAATCTGGAAAACAGTTTGAAGTATTAAGCAAATTAAATCAAAGATCTGGTATTTATAACTGATGTTGATGATTGTTTCATTATTGTGGAAAGTATTACATGGTGGCGTATTTCTACGTTTGTTGATTTTAGTTATGGAGAGGTTATTTAATGGCCGACAGGTCATGTACCGCAATAACCCACCAAAGGTTACTTCCTGGTCACAAAAGTATATTTATTTAGCACGGTACTTCATAATTTCAACTGAGTTCGTGAAACTACGTTTGATTTCGATGTGCTGGTATATTGGTTCAATAAATATTTTCGTTTTACGAATCCATAGAATATATTAAAACATGTCTCACCTTCTTCGCTGGTAAACTAAATATAATGTAAAATTTAGAATGTTATTGTAAAAAAAATATAGTTGCAAATATAGAAAAAATAAAAGAGTTATGAAACAGTTCTACGCTTTATTCCAAAATTCCAATTTCTTTTTATAAAATTTTAAACTTTATCAAGTAATACCCCACTAAAAAAATTCATATTGGGAAAGGTAAACATTATAAACAAATGAAGAACCTCGTATATACATATATATATTTATAAACTGCTTATAAACATATCAAAAATTATGCCATGCTTCAGAACAACATGTAAAGACCCATATAAATCCGTTATAACACCGAATATTGTATTTACCCGATGTTTGAAACCGATCATAAGCAAAACAATTTTGAGCGAGCTAGATGGTGAAGTACAAGTCTGATTTCAGTACAGTTCACTATGCAATCCTAACACATGGAGAATCTTGTCAACTTGCAAAAAAGTCAATGGCTACTCACGGTAATATCGAATTGAAAACTTTGATCTTCACAAATATCCTCCGATGTTGGGAATGTATGGGCTGAAAATAATGGAACTTTCTTTTACGAATGGTCTAATATATTTATATATATATCATTGCAATTTGGAATTCAACTTGCTGTCAGAAATAAAGTGTTAATCACGTTTAATTTTTTTGTTGAATTAAATCAAGACAAAATGAGAAAAAATTATAAATGTAAACATGTCTGACTGTTAAGATATATGAAAGTGTTGACTGGAAAAGAGTATGGAACCAAGGAATTTTTTTTTTTTGTCTAATTAATCCATATAAACACAATGAATGTAACACATCCAATGTTATATTAATTTTATCGAAATATCACAATTTCATTCAGTGTGCCTAAGTGGCGATATTAGATAATGCAAGTGTTTTTCTTCATGAAAGTATAATGTTTTACAAAACATGAATATATGGAAGACTTTGGCCAAAGTAGAGAATCTCTTTAATAATTAAACTGTCGAAATAAAATATCAAGAAATTTATTTGATGTAGTTGAATTCTGCACCATGACGGTACGCGGGTTTGAACTTCGTATTAAATTATCAGGATAAAACTGAGGGATCACAATAATTTCGGTCGGCCCAATAGAAAAGGCAATGCCTAACCAGAAAGAATGTGTCAAAAATAGCCATTTTCGGAGTTAAAATAAAACGTTATATATATAAAAAAAACTTGACTACAAATTTGACATGACGTTTACATTACTCACCCATTTTCACCCCTATTGCAAAGAAAGGCAGTAAAGCGGTGAAAATTCTCATTTTAAACGTCCAAAAGACTCAATCAACAAATGATATACCAAAGGGTATAGTTTTATAGAATTTAAGAATCGAGATTTTTAGATAATTTGAATATTCAACATAGCTGACTCAACCTAAGCTGAGTTACGGTGATGAATGACAAAACGAATTTGTTATAACTTGTTATGAAGTTCTCTCATCCTTAGGTTATGTTTTCATCAAATACATTAGTCTTGATAGCATGCCTAGATGCTCTGACAATGTTTAATTTACATTTGTGTCTCGTTTGGTGGTATTACTGGCGATAGTATTCACAGGACAAAATAAACATCTCACGATTGTAAACGATTTATTGGTCATCAACAACCTCACGCCGTTTTCAAAAAAGCGTGAATTTCATTATTTATTTATTTTGGATGAAATTGAAACTACATTGCAGTCTGGTCTTGCTCGTCTGGTTTGTAACACAGAAGCTAGCATAATTTGCAACTATACACGGAAACTAATGGCGCCACCTATCGACTCACAAACGAAATATTTCGATTGTGACAGGGAAGTAAATAGATTAGTTGAAACAAGCAGCAATTCGGGACGTTTAGTGCAGGAGGTAAAAGTAAGGGAAAGTGGGGAAGGTTGAGACACTTTTGTTTCTTCTTTTGCATATTCATTTGGCAAACAGGACTAATGCAGAAAGGGGTAAATATCGTTTTTATCCAGCTATTGAAAATATTCAAGCTAGCGACCCACATTTAACCACCAAAATGCTTTAAAACACGTTTGTCAAGTGTGCGAATGAATCCCACTGGTCGGGCACATTTGAACATACCCTGGTACGGTAACACAGTGGGGTATTCTATTAAACTCAACGAAATATGCAGTTAAAATCATCAGCGCATCATAATTTGGAAACTGAGGGATTTCAATTTTGGATATTCGATATTTTTAATGTAATTTTTAACCAAATTATTTTAATCCTTCTTCAAAAATTCCTAAAACGATTTTCCGTATTGAAAATATGAAACGGCATCTAAATAGTCTGACATTGTAGGGTTAGTTGCATGTTGAATATTTTATATTCTTATTATCAAATTTGAAATAAATGCTTTGTTTTACTTTCGAATTATGACTAATTTCAGTAAATTGAAAATGAGTTCTGAAACTTTCATTCTCGACAATAACAGTTCTTTGTTAAAATGGCCAAAACATCAAATACTGTTTTTACTTGTTCAACGGGAACAAAAATTAAAAATGTCATTTTTTTCAATTAATAAACTGTTTACTGTATTCAACCAAACCAAAAGATATATTAACAATTGGTTAGTTTGAATATAGAATATATTCCAAATTAAGCCATGGGACAAAAATAGACTAATATTGCACAAAAGATAAGATATCTCTACGACTCTAAACACTCAATGGATAAAACACTGATGAATCATTCCGGATATAGTATATGTGGGTGTAATAAGAGCTGCTTTTTCACTGAGCTTCAAGTTATTATGATTTATAGAATATTCGATAACTATAATTTTGCATAACCTCCATAGATTTGAGCGTCGCTTTGCCTGAGTGTGGGCTTTATTTAAAGAGAATAGTGAGATAACGTAAACTTTATTCAGGCTATATTTCAAGATAGA